AATTGAATTAGTGATGTCGGAGTGAATATACAAGACATATACCATTCGAAAGGTAACCTCATAAAATTTTAGCACGGCAAGTCCAGCTCACGCGTGCACAAAGCAAGAAGCGTATTTGGCGCTCAAAAGTTTTCTTTGCAAAGAACTTATTTGTTATTATAAGTTCTTATTTGTTTTTATAAGTAAAGAGAGATAAGCCCCTCCTCTTTTGACGTTATTTTGACTTATAAGTCATTATCTGTTCATATAAGTCGTTATATGTCTTTATAAGTCAATTTGGGTCCGCTATGTGGGCTGTCAAAATAAATGTAATAAGCTGCTATAGAAAGGCTCAAAATTAATTACCTTTTCTATCAGTCGAAGCGCTGACGCCAAATCGAGACATATTATGGGCTTGGAGGAGTCCGCGATGAGCAAGAACAGTGACACCACTATACACAAGACGAACCACTGATGGATCGCTCTCATCCGAAACGAGCCTAATGACACAGTAATTCTTACAGTTATCCTTGAAACTACTATAAATATAATTTAGAGAGAAATTTTAAAAATTTCCAAAAATTTTATGTTATTCGTGGCAAATCCCACCTTTGGACGAGGTCCGAGGCCTTGGGCCAGGCGGACGATTGTGTATCCGAGCGTAGAGGCAGGCTGCCGCAATAATCTCGTCGTAGACGTCCGCTAGGAACAACTGCTTTGGTTCGCCGACTTGGCCAATCAGTTTGGCCCACTCTCCATTTTTAACGGCGTCAAAAACAAGTCGAGGGATCATCACATCGCCGATTCCCAGCTTTAGAGCCTCTTGCATCTTCCCGAGAAGGGTCGATTTGTGCGACTGGAGATAAAAAATTATTCCATTCCTCGCTCTGCTGGAGTCAGCTGAATAACTGGATGACCATAAATGTCCAATAGATGAGGCGGCTTGCAAAGGGGAGCTGAAATCTAATTTTGATTGAAGGAAGCCGGATGCGGAAACTCGGACGCAATTCCGTATTGAAAGAAAATGTACATACACGACGAACCCCAAAAATTCCGCTTGTTTCATGGCTCATACCGCCGCGTTAAAGACTGGTCGTTTGTCTGTAAATCTGGGTTTTGTCCAAGACGTTCGTTCTCGAACCGCTTTTCTACGCTATTGTGGGAGTGTGCCACAAAACCTGGTTCCGACCAAAAGGTAGAACTCTTCCGCTAACGGCCAGAAAATTCTAGGTCCGCCAAGCGTCCCGTTGCCCAATTTGCAATGGATCTGAGGCTAGCCAGCCGGAGGAACAAGAATGGAGAAACCAAGGGTCCCCCTGCCAGGCCGAACACTCGGATATTATATTAGGCACCAATTAAAAAAAAGTGTATTGGAGGTGTCGGAGTGAATTGACGTGATCTACACCATTGGAAAGAGCACAGAATTGTAACGCGCAGGTCTCCTGTATTATCATATGAATGATGAAACTACACTGCTGGACAAAATGATATGACCACCTCAATTTTGTGCTGGCAATTTGTCCATGGTAAATGAATTGCTTTAATATTTGGTGAAAGTGAGTATGGAGCAATGTAACTTCGCGTTTTTCCAAATTTTACTCGCCTTGCACTTTTTGAAATCCTTTGATACTTTTTGGGTACATGTTACATTGCTCCATACTCACTTTCACCAAATATTAAAGCAATTCATTTACCATGGACAAATTGCCAGCGCAAAATTGAGGTGGTCATATCATTTTGTCCAGCAGTGTATGCCTTTTTAAATAAATTTTATTAAAATTGTAGAAATCTGAATCGTTCATTGTGAGATTATTCGCACAAGGAGCAACTGGAAATGCATTCTTGTTTCTTCTGCTCCACGGAAATGCTTTCGTCTTCACAATATCCTTCTTTCTTCCGCTTGGCACAGCTGTAATCGTGACTTTTTCGCTAAAAATACTTACTCTGTTGTTGTGTCTGAACAACTTATCCATCGTTTCGTTGTTTTAGTGGCTACTACGTATTGAGAATTGCATAGGTTGCATGTCATAGCGCACATTTTGCTCATGAGTTTTTCGTAGAACTGGAAAAATACAGGGTGGGGCATCTTGTGGCCCGATTTGAATTGGCTATAACTTCTTTAGTTTTTGGCCAAATCTTAAAATTCTTTTTTTCCCTGAATCCTCTGACAACCCTATTTTGTTTGATACCAAGTATCTTATACATAGTAAGTGTATGTCTACAGTTATTGGATTTATTCTTGGAGTTCATTTTTTCGGTCGTTTTTCGGTTGTTTTTTCGGTCTTTCCGGGTGCGTCCGGCAATGGAGTACGGTGCGGAAGAAAAATACGGTGTAATTTCCCCTTCCGAAAATCGACGATGAGAATAAGAACAAAAAGTGAAGATCAACCTCCAGAGTTCGTCGAATGGTCCATGGTGAAGGCATTCCCTCGGTTCTGGCCAAACTTCGTGTACTCATATGCGGATTTTCTCGGAATTTTGACAAAACTTCTTCAATTTTCAACTCCGTTCATACCCATCTTTCCTGCTTTTTTTGTTTCCTGTTGACGCTGGCAGTCTCAAGAAACTTATTCCACGAACGTCGAATTGTCTTGCGATCTGAAAGTTGGGCATACGTCCGTATTTCATGCGGTGTTCCCTTTGAAAATTTATCGGCGAACCGTACTTTCCGTACCAAACCACAGACCAAGCTTTTTCTTCCGCACCGTACTCCATTTTCGGACACACCGAGAAAGACCGAAAAAACAACCGAAAAACGAACGAAAAAATGAACTCCAAGAATAAATCCAATAACTGTAGATGACACTTACTATGTATAACATATTTGGTATCAGACAAAATGGGGTTGTCTGGGGATTCAGGGGAAAAAAGAATTTTAAGATTTGGCCAAAAACTAAAGAAGTTATAGCCAATTCAAATCGGGCCACAAAGATGCCCCACCCTGTACTACTGTATGAGCAGCGTTCTTACGGGGTTTTCACACATCTTAGTTTTATTTTGACATCCCGCAATCTTGTCTTTGCAGTCACCATTAGGAGTTGTTCTTTGTATTTCGTCGCCTAAGGCGATTTTTAGATTCATAAATTAATCAACTTACAGCACCATGACTTATCTCCCGATTGTTGACATGGTATGCTGAAGTCGAATGGACAGACATTATTTGAACATTCTGAAATTGAACACTGCGATTAGGTTTCAGTGAAAATGACTATTTCTTTTTAGCTGGTGTATATTGTACATACAAAGTGGTTCAAAAAAATTGACAAAATTCAAAATCTGTGTATCCCGCCACGGGTACCGTAATCTGTCGGAAGAAAAACATATAATATAATCTTTTTTTTGTTTTTTTTAAGTTCTGCCAAGCTTGACGACAAAGTTTAAGCTCAGCTCTGTCGGAAGAAAAATAGCATGATGACCAAAAACGCGAATATTGCCAAAAATGCACTTATGGTAATCGTGATGCATTATTGAACCCCGTCATTCCATTTTTTTAAAACACCCCGTAATTACCCCGTGCCTTGGTCCCGTCTTTGCACGTTTTCTTCGAAGTTGTGGATGATATTATTGTTGTAGTTGCTGTCGATATTGTGGTCGGATTAGAAGTAGTTATGGTTGTTGGTGTAGTCGTTTGCTTGGTCGATGTGGTTTCAATTTTAGAGGTCAACGTAAAAGCGATGGCTGTTGCGGACGTTGGGACTCTAGTCGTACTTGTACTAATGGAAGTAGGAGTAATTGTTGGAGTGTTTGTAGCAGTCGTAGCTGTTGTTGTCATCTTGGTTGTCGTCGTTGTGGGAGTTTGAGTTGTACTTCCTGTTGAGGTTGTTGCAATCCTTGATGTTGACCTAATCTCTGTAGAAGCTGTCGATAAAGTGGACACTATTGTGGTGGGTATTGTGGTTGTTGTACTGGTAGAGGACGTGGAGGTGCGCTCTTTCGTTGTCGGTGATGTGGTTGTCGTTGTAGTTGTGGTTGACGTTCCAGTAGTTGTAGGCGCTGTTGGACTGGCTGCTGTTGTTGTTAACTCTGTCGTGGAAGTCATTTCCGTACTGGTTGAGGATGTTATTGTCGATGTTGTCGGAAACAAAGTAGTGGTTGATGATATTCCTGTACTGCTTGTACTTGCTGTTGTTGTCTTGAAGTTAAAGTCTGGTTGACGATACGGGCAACAGTACGGGGTATGTTCGATAAGTTCACAAATATAACCATCACCCAGAGGACACTTAGACTTTTCACAGACTGTCAATTACGTGAGTGGAGTGAAGAAAGGCTTACCTTGGGGAGATGTAGTCCCATCTTTACAGACTTTTTCGGCCGGGGTTGTTTTGACCGTGGATATTGTTGTACTTTTCCATTCAAACTGTGGAGGGACATAAGGACAACATCTGTTTTCTCCATCAACAATCTCACAAATATAGCCATCACCCAAGGCACATACATGATTATTGCAAGCTTAAATGAACATGAATTTATTACATATCTCTTACCCTCGGGTGAGCTGCTTCCCGATTTACAAAGTTTTTCAGGGAAGGACACAGTGACTGTCGTCGACACCGGAAGTGTTGTTGCCTTGTATGGGCAGCAATAAGTCTGCTTCCCTATTAATTCGCAGGTGTAGGCGTCACCAAGAGAACATTCTCCGTTTTCGCAAGCTGAGTACATGAATATTGTAATCACTATTGCTTGTTGTTACCTGCACCGGCTTCTGTTCCATCTTTGCATATATGGGATTGTGATGTAGTAGTAGTCATCAGAGTACTTGTTGATATCGTCGTCGTTTTAAAGTTGAAATCCGGCTTTTGATAGGGACAACAGAAAATAGAGCTTTCTATCAGTTGACACACGTATTTATCTCCCAGAGGGCACACACTGTTTTCACAGGCTGATTAAGATTAGATGCAGGCTTGAGGACTTACGTAATGGTGGTACACTTCCATCAGGACATTTTTTAGACGGTAGTGTGGATGCTGTGCTTGGTTCTAAAGGATGGAAAGATTACTTAAAGGTGTTTTCTACCTGTTGTGATGATTGCTTCTTCTTTATCGTCGTCGACGCCTGGGAAAGAGGATTATTACCATATGTGTATATTTGTGCAACTTACAGCAAAAAGTGACATCATCAGTTGGGTTCTTTATGCATTCTTTGGTCGCATCGTCTTCACAGACATTGTTAGTGCATACTGTAAGTTATCCTTGTTTAAAAAATTGAGTTACCTGAAAGTTTTGTAAGCCCGGGATCTGTGCAAAGCTGTGAGTGGACTGAAAAAAGAAGGAAGCAGAAAAGGAGAAAGCGTTTAAACATAATATTCAGATCATTTCTGGATTTGTATTCTCTATGTCAATTTATTAAAAAATCGGAAACAAACAGCTGTACAAACATAAGATATCTCTGATGGAATCTCATCCAGTCGTTTGAGGAGATAGATGTTCGGTGAAAATCCATTAGCAATATCCGCACGTTTGCGGGCAATATTGTGGGAATCCCCCGCAATAAGTAGGCTGACAACTCGGCCACAGGTCAGTGCAAGGGTTGGGTAAAGCTAAACTATAATTAAAGGTGTGAGGCCACATACCGTACGAATTATAAACCGGGTAGTCACAGCCAGCGCTGACACAACCGGGCGGACGGGCATAGCTGGATTGGGGCGGGATTTGAGAATAAGGAAGGGGATAGGTGGGGGGAGGGGGGAGTGTGGAGTATGTGGAGTTTGGAGCCGGGGCAGAGTAGTTGTTCGCTTTTAAAGTCTCTTGTAATCGTTCAAACTCCAATTTGACCGGTTTCTTCTTGTCATCATGTTGCGTTTTCTGTTCTGTGAGAATTGGCCGCCGTTCTTCCTCCTCCTCAAACATGTGATTTAATTTGAAGTCACAGGTATCTTTGCATCTTCTTTGCATAAATTCTCCAACCAATTCATGTTCACAGAGTGAATCATATTGCTGGCAATGATGAGATTCGCAATATCCACAGGTCTCGGCGCACATGACCTATCAATATGACATTTTTTTGGGGACCTTACCTTAAGCACGTCTGCTCTAATGCGGTCTTCACAAAAGTCGAGCTCTTTATCACAATCGGAGCTCTTATCGCGACACGTCTCCAACATATCGGCATGTGCCATTTCAGGATCCATATTTATTTTAGGGGCCTTCTTGTTTGCCTTGGATTTTGTTTTCCTGGAGAAACCACAGAAACCACAAGTTTTAGCACAAAATCGCTTTAAAATCGGCATAAAGAAAACTTCCGAACAGAGCAATCGGGATTCGCGACAAACGATTTTACCCTTGGAATCCTCGCATGGTTCACAGTATCCACAAGTTCGACGACATTGTCTTTTCATAACGTTTTTGTACGTCGGTAATTCACATAACTCCGGATTGCAATTTAATCTTGAATCCTTGCAGAATTCTATGATCTGACGTTCCTTATTTTTTATATCCAACTTACCGTCTCGGGTATCAGCAAGGTCACTAAATATAATAAACATTAGCAAACTCGCCCACATAACTTTATTTCCAGTTATAATCTTCACTTTCAACCTTTTCCCTACTGACCATTTAACCCGTTTCCTTTCGAAAATGAGTCACAATGGGAAAGATACGAACTAAACACAATACAATTTATGCGATTCTTGTATTCTAATCGCATAGTCCACAACTCTTTCCACAGAAAAGTAATTTCACTTCGCGGGAGTAGAAACGGACTCTGCAGAATCCATTCTCAACAAAGTCCTTACATCGGAGGTCCCTGTCCATACAGATGCAAGACTGGCAAGTTGTGGCGCACAACTTTTTCATCAAGTTGAAGTAGACAGGCACATGACATTGAGCTCGTTTTGGATAACAATCCCAGGCTCTATCATTTGCGCACTCTGAAGTAGAGTAATCCTTAAATTATTATATAACTCTTACTTGTTGAGTTGTAGGGACTGGTTGTAGTCATGGAAGGCGCCGTTGAATAGAGTTGTGCCCCTTCGGTAAACGATATTCTTTCCGTAAAATATACAAATTCTGTTTGTTCCGTATACGAATAACTGTTATTGTCAACGCTTATCCCATTGGCCTTGGCCGCATTTTTGGCCCAATCTAAGAAAGAAGCGTCAGAGTTCTGAACCAATAGAGATAAATGTAGGACTAAAATAATAAAACGAAAGAAAATGGGCATGCTGAATAAGCTGAAAATGAACAATTTGTTGCCCCAACTCAATCTACAACAATGTGGGGTCCTGAACAAACATGTGGGAATTCAGATAATTTGACGTCGGACAAAGCCCTGTTTACATTGCGACCCTACTTGGATAAATTTAATTCACAATTCGTAAATGAGGAACAGAGCAATGGCAATTGCAAAAGTAAAAGAAGGGGGCAGGAATCCGCTACTGTTCCAATTATAGTCATAGATCGTTTCACACGTTTCTTTACTGTTTTCATACGTCGATACTCTTGGCAATGGTTTAATAAGATCGTTGCCATCACAACTCCACGTCACTTCATCTTGATTAGTCCAGCATTTCAAAATCTTGTAGATCTAAATTTACATCAAACCGTAAAAAAAGTTTTAAAAAAATTAACCTGTTTTCTTGCTTCAACGACAGACTCAGGGTCACAAGAATTTGGCCATCGGAGGTCAAGATGATGTGCAGATGCATCAATTGTGAAATCGAATAGTTGCTGACTGATCGCTGTTTTGGGAAGGGTTGGCCTTCCTGATTTCCAAGGATCTAAGTCCCCCTGGGTCAAGATGAGGTTTGTGGATTCGCCTGCGTTGAAGCCATAAAGCATTTCAATGGCGTCGATGTCGAGCATGCTAACATCATAATCATCGATGTATTCTTTAAGGCCCTTGCAGGATTCAATCATCATTTCTTCTTTTGTTTTATTTCCGATCTCATCCCAAAACACGTCATTTGGAGAGCCTCGAGATCCCATGGCCATTCCAATCTCGGTACAGGTCTGCCAAAACCATCCGGGCAACCATCCAAGGTTCTTGGTGGCCTGATTTCCGCAAAAATCCGGGTTTACGCAACTTTCTGTTGTATTGTAATAAACACTTGCAGCCTGGTGCAAGGCCTTGGCCAGTTGTGTATTGTCTGTTACATTTTTCTGACTTAGTGGAGCACAAGTTGGCTGGAAAATTCAGTCTTTGTTGAGTCGCAATAAACGTACCACCAGATGCCACGCAGGTAGTTGTACTAGAAATTCGGCAGGGTATGGATAAACAGTCATCGCTCCATACTCCAAGGCTTCTCTTACATATGTTTTTACTAAGTGGACATCTTTGTTTTCCTTTAATTCAGACTCCCTTTTTATTTCAAATATTTGGTTTAGGTCCTTGTAATCGACTGAAAATAAAGGATGTATTACAAATAAATATGTATGTTATTGTTTACTCACGGTTGTCGAGGGCTTTGAACGCCGCAGATACCGTATTCCGGTCACAACCAAACTTTTCCAACGTCTCAGAAACCACTCTAGAAAACGCTTCAGGCTCTACATTTGCATTTCTAAAGTAAGCAATAGGAGCAGAGGAGGCCCACGCTCCATGGATGATATGTGGATACTTCTGTCTCATCCACACAGCCAACATTCCACCATACGAACCGCCAAAAGCGATTACTTTGGAAAAATTGTAATCAACCCGAAGCTGATTAATAAGTTGAGCAAAGTCGCCAAGAGTCTGTTCCGTTGTTAAATAACGGGCTCTTTTAACTGACTGAATAAACTCTAATCATAAGTAAAAAATATAAGAATTATCTTGATGAACACTGCTTACTGTGTAGCTTTCATTTCCAAAGGGCATTGATGACTCATTACCGTAATATCGATGCTCTCCGAAAACAATTAAGGCATCGAAAGCTGGTGCCATGCTGTACATAATTCCAGTATTCCGTGCGAACCCTTCAATCGTCCCTTCATTTCCAGCATAAAAAAATAAGGGCCCCCCAGGCTTAAAGTGAGTGCCGTTGATTAAGTACCTGACATTGACTAGCCTTTTTCACGTCAGAGACTTACTTCAACTTAAATGTATCAGTATTCGTATAGTCACTGTGATCTAATTTAACATGGGTCTCCTTCGGCTCATAAAGATCAACGTTTAAAGGAGCTGACTGATCCAAATTAAAGAAACGGAACGATCCCACATCACGCAGCAGTAAGAGAAACCCAAAGAAATACAGCATACTTCACAAAACCATACAATTTGGGTTTAGTATTACTTCTTTTTATAGCCGGCAATGATAATGGAAGTAATTTAACCAAAAATTGGACACTGAAAGGGCTGTCCTTATCAGTAATTCGACGGTTTATTGGTCACTAACTAATTTAATTAAAGAACTCCCGTTCTTCTTTATGTTATTACGAATGTTTGCTTTTTCCAACTCCGTGGACATATATAATATATATATATGTATGTGGTGTGTTGAACTCTACCGTAGTCAACCGAGCCATACTCTCGGACCTTGCGGTAGATCTAGTGTATGGAATCAGTGCAACGAATGCATGCAGGAAGAAGACTCCTTACTGTTTTGTATGCATCTGATGGGAAGGTCTCTTTGCATGAAGAATTGCGTAATATTCCTTTGTTTGCTATTCCTAAAAGTCGCCCCGGCTGATTATACAGGGTGGGCCACTCGAAACTCCCAACCTCTTTTCAAGTATTTCTCCGCCAATAATGCACCAATTTCTTTAAAATTTATATCAAATTGAAGCTGAGACACCCCATTTTTTGTCCACCAAATATGGCCCGTCTAACTTCTCGGAGGTACCCGCAATGACCTTTTACATTTTCATTCCAAATTTTGGAGCCCGAAATCGGTGAAACTTAGAAATTTTTTGGAATGATTTTCAATTGAGTTTCTCGGACTTAGAAAATTTTTGGATTACCGGCAAGAAAAAAGTCGACAAATTCGCGGAAAAATTTTAAAAACATTAAAGTTTACGTCCGTACCAAGTGTGTGTTAAACCCATATTTCAATCAGGCGAGGTACCAATTTGGGCGAATCAGAACGAAAGCTGTTTTCTCGGGCAATCTAAACCTGGAAAGTTTCTGTGCATCTTCGGGGTGGATGTCCTCATGTATGCAGACAGTTTCGTCCATTTTTTCACATTTTGAAAAATTCCGAATAATTAAGCCTATTGCCCCAGAACACAAAATCAACACCTAGAAGAATAATTTTGACTATTCCGTTGACTGCCATCATTTTTTTCTGCTGCTTATATGAGTTTTATTTAGCCAAATGCGCGAACATTTTCCAATTCCGAGAAACTCAACTGGAAATCATTGCAAAAATTTTCTAAGTTTCACCGATTTCGGACTCCAAAATTTGGAATGAAAATGTAAAAGGTCAGTACGGGTGCCTCCGTGAAGTTAGACGGGCCATATTTGGTAGACAAGAAATGGGGTGTCTCAGCTTCAATTTGATATAAATTTTATAGAAATTGGTGCGTTATTGGCGGAGAAATACTTGAAAAGAGGTTGGGAGTTTCGAGTGGCCCACCCTGTACAGATGACGACGTAAGTATATGATGTACAGGGTGTTTCAAGAAATATGACAAAAACTTTTTACGAATATCTTTGTGCTCATCGCATCTCCAAGAAGTTTAAATTGATTTTAACATTCGACGATGGGCGATTTTAGAATATGCAAAAGAATTTTTTCTTCCATCGGCGGAGACACCATTTTTCGGCGGAAACATTTGACGTCTTTTTTGAAAATTACATCTCGTTGCAAAGGCCAGACAGCTAAACTATAGATGAAAATCAATAGTTCGTCGGGATTCTGACTCCTCGTAGCATCTATTATAAAACACCAAAGTCAGGGAGCTTTTGGCTTTATCCCGAAATTTATGGTCAATCTTCTCAAGCTGTTCCAAACTTTTGACGCATCTATTCTAAAAAGATCTTTTTTTTAACTCCAACAAGCTTTCTGATTTCCACGGCTATGTATCCATTTAGGGCCTTAACACATTGAGCTTCAAAATAAATGGAACTCCCATCTCAAGCCGCAAAGAAGATCTAGCCTGTTCCAAACTTTTGACGCGCAGTATACTTCAATGTATATGTTTCATATCACTGCAATAACTTCAAAATCTTATTTCATTTTTTTTTTTTGTTCCAATCAAGCATAATATTCCCAGACACTATGAGATTGTAATCACCAAAAAACAACTAAATAATAACAGTTTATACAACAGATATGTTAAGTGATAACATCAGACCGTGAGAGTAATAAAAAAGTTACAGTATATTCATGAAGATTCCTCGATTTCCCTTTCGGCCGAAGAAGCCTTGAATTTGGAACGGAGATCGGCCTCGCCTAATTGGGCAGCGAATAATCTCATCTTGTCCTGGAAGTCCAACTGAGACCCATCTCTCTGAAAAGAATAAAACACATGAAGTGGCCGGTAAAATTTCAGTACCAATCACCATGACTAATACCAGGAATTCAAAAAATATGTAAAACCTACTGAATTACTGTTTTGCGAGTTCTGAGATTCGTTGATCTGAATTAATCTCCTTTGTCGAGGATCGTTATATACTTCACTAGCGCCCAATACCTGGACCCTTGGTTCGTTCTCGAGATATTTAAAATTATTTACATTGTCCTCGAGTTCATAAAGTACCCGGTCCTGTTCATGGATGGCTCGATTTTCCTTGAGACTTTGTTTTCGTGGCTGGAATTCTTGGAATCCACGTTGAGAACTACAACATAATATCAATTCAACAACAAAAAATATCAAGTATAATAAAATTGCTCCCTTACTTGTCATGCGACTCATCATAAACAAGGCGATTAGCCTGTTCCTGAAGAAGATCAACTTGTCGCACAAAATCATCATCGTTTTTGTTTTGAGGATACAACTTTCTGGAGTGATTGGAGGGCATAGAATTTAAAGAAATCCTCTTTTCGAACTCTTTATTCAGCTCGTTGAGACATGCTTCACGACTTCGGACGATATCATTGACCGGTGCTGGTTGACGATGGACCAATCTGGATGTCCCATTTGTCAAGGGAATGTATCCTGAAATCATATTTTCAATAAAATATATTATCGTACCCAGAGATGGTTTCCGATCGAGATCTTCTGGTCTTTCAAATATCGGAGCCGATCTTCTGCCGGATTCTGAAGCCATAGGAGGGAGTCTGACTTCATTTTGCATGACTTTCAGTGACCCCAAAGATCCCCTCCTTACAAGGGAAGTCACTTTTTTCGCAGACGGACTTCGGAACGGGACCTAGTAGCTTTCAAATGTGAAGCGTCTGCGATCATAAAACTGATTTCCAAAAGTGTTTACGGGGCTTCTAGGCCGAGAAAATCGACCGCAAAGTTTAGCCGAAATCAGCGAATAGCCTCCTCAAAAGAAACCGCTTATTTCATCTGCAGTGGTGGCCGAGTGGTCAGCGCGCTCGCTTTTTGCGCCAGAAGAGGCGGGTTCGATCCTCTGCGCAGTTTATTTTCTTTTTTGGTTCGTAAATATTGATTTAGTATGTAAACATAAAATGTATACACTTTTGTAATTTTTTATAGTGATTTAAACATAAATTCAAAGCTGAATGTTCATGAATATTGTAAAGTCAAAACAGGGCTGGATTAACGAAGATATAGTTTCTAAATTTGTGTTTTATTAAAAATTGCTAATAATTAGTATATGTGATGTTAACGGCATCTCTCTATTTGATTCAATGGTCAAAAGAAATGCATCCGCAGACGACCGAAGTCGAACTCACGTCTTCTGGCGCAAAAAGCGGGCGCGCTGACCACTCGGCCACCACTGCAGATGAAATAAGCTGTTTCTTTTGAGGAGGCTATTCGCTCATTTCAGCTAAACTTTGCGGTCGATTTTTTCGGCCGAGAAGCCTCGTAAACACTTTTGGAAATCAGTTTTATGACCGCAGACGCTTCACGTTTGAAACCTACTAGGTGCCGTTCCAAAGTCCGTCTGCGAAAAAAGTGACTTCCCTTGTTAGAAATGCATGATCTCCTTGCCCATTTATCTGATGATCTGGATGTGTTTGGTAGTGATATGGGGATTTTACAACTGGTGGACGAATAGCGACCGGTCGAAATCGTTCCGGAAGGCGTTGAGATGACTGTGATGGCAACGAATTCTAAAAAAGACACAATATTCAAGGAACGAGACCCAGCTCTAAATTAATATCCAAAAAATTACCTGACTAAAAGTCCCGGCTGGACTAATAATTTCAGAAGTTGTAGCATAAATTTGAGCGGAATTTTTAGATTGTGGTTGTTGTGACCGTGTGCCTAACCATGACTCCAGTCCATTATAAGAGGCGGCACTCTTTATGACATCTAATCTGACCACCCCACCAGACGCCGATATATGCTTTGCAGCGATTTCTTGAGAAACATTTAGCAAGGGGAGGCCATTTACAGCCAAAATTTGGTCGCCTCTGGCCAGAGATGCCTCGTAGGAGGCCGGGCTGTTCTCGACGACCTTCTTGATGTAGATCCCCATATTCGAATCCCCCAATCCCTGAGCAGCCACAATCGAAAGACCAAGTCCAGCACCGGGCGGTCTTCTGATGGTCACCGTAATTCGTTCTGCTCTATTTACAAAACTCGGTGTCTGTGATGGAGGTCGATAATGAGGGGGTGCTCTTTGAGACTGGATGGCCGGAAGTTGATGAGAAAATTGATTTGCCCAAGGGGAGGCCGACTGTTCATAGATGAGATCACAGAAGCCAGTGCGTTGAAGATTGGCAAGAACTGTTGAAAGGGAGGAGGGAATTGTCTCCAAAGTATCTGAAATTACAAAGAACTATTGTTTATTAACGAGTCTTCATTCATATAATTTTTATTAACTTACCCAAAACATAGCCGTCGTCTGGAAAGGAAAAGGCCAGTCTTAATACGGGATCTTCTTCCAACGTGACTTCTCCACCTTCCTCTTTGATTATCCGATCAGCATGACATTTAGCAAGTTGAACAACGTTATCCACCAGCACTTGAGTCACTGGCAGTTCATTTACATCCGATATATACCTGCTCAAAAGAAAGCCGACTTGCCGGGAATTGAGTTTGTAACAAGTAGCACCAAGGCTGGCTATCTGGTTGACCGTTTTTGGGGTGACCAGCAGATGGAGAGTCTGGTTTATTCGATCCAATTCACATTCAGCCACCAATTGGAGGCCATGGAGTTCTGACCATCGAGTTAGTTCGGATAACCGAGAACGAAATTGAACTGCAAATTGACGAGTAAGGCTTGAGTTTCCCTCTGAAAATATGCAACCACAATCAACTTTTGCCTTATTGATCATGGCGAATATAACAGATGACCTTACCGTCAGTAGAAATGAGCCAATTGAAAGAATACATGTTGATGGTGTAGAAGATATGAGAAAAGAGCTGAATGATCAACGCCGGGTTCAGTTGGACTCTCCTCACATGGTGCGAGACATCTTCCAGGAAATCCATGAGCTCTCTGACTGCAATGTCATGTCTCAAGACGACGTTCAAGAACTTGGACATTCTCTTTTCAATCTCAATCCGACAAGATTCCACGAGAAAGTCAAAGCATCTGATCGTGGTCACTTTAATATTCTCATTCAAATTATTGGTGGTATGTTTGAAGGCAGTCGTATCTTTGGCGATTACATTTCCCAGTTCCAGGCAATTGGCCAGCCAGAAATTAGGGATTCTCCAATCATCGGGGCGCGACTGAAATCATCGTTAATTACATTTAAACATGTTTTCAACACGAATGATTTATCCAATAATTTTACCTGTACAAACTCGTTGACTTTGTTGCAGAACAAGAGGATCAAAGCTGTGGTCTCTCTGTTTTGTGGATCTTTTATGGCCAAATATGTGATAAAGGCTGGAGCCAGAGGGAATTCGGTGTCATTTGAGCGGAAGTGATCGAAGAGAGAGGTCAGGAACTGAGACGCCGAGCCCAAAATAATGTCATCATTCCAAGTTCGTATTATTTTTATGTATAACCTTGCATTCTTCTAATTTCTTATCACTTTCGCTGAAAAAATTCCCGCCGCTCAAATAATCCCGCGTTAAGTAGCTAACTATAATATTTACATCCGACGGCGACAAAAGAACGAGCCCCACTAACAATAAAACATTCCCCACTTACAGCGCAACTGAAAATGACAAGGAATATTGGCCGGAGGGCCGAGGTCTGGGGTCACATCGAACTGTGTGGCCTGCCTGTAGCTAGGCGGCGGATCGATGACCATCTACAATTTGAGTATAAATATGTGACGGGGATGGTAGCAAATCGGTCAAATTAAAAGAAAGCGACGAGGTCGGGCGATAAATCTCGGGTCTCCCGCAGTCGTCTTGCCCCGTCGTTCGCCCCTCTCCGCTTACCGCGTTCTCCTTCCCGTTCAACGGAGTCGATGTCGTTGGAGGCGATGAAGTCCGTTTCCTCAGATGAAATGACGTCTCTGCTACAATATAATCCGATTAGGAGCGCTGGAATAGCCGCTTATGATCGAGGGTAAAGGGAATGCAAGAGTCAAGGAAAAACAACAAAATGGACAGCACTTGGGGTAATTGGATTACTTTAGAGAGGAAATACTACTGGTTAATAACAAGGCAGTCAACTCACTTCCAGAAGAATTGTTTTTGGCAAAAATAACAGCCGGGCACTCGTCCAAAAGAAGGGCTCTCTCCGACCGTCGCCCGTTTCTTTGCTGGATCTGCAGGAGCGAAAAGATATTAGAATAGATAAGAGAATAAGATCGTTAAATTTTGATGTTCACCCTCTCGAAAACCCTCATAAATACAACAATCAGTCGGTAGAGATATCAACTAATCTAGCCGCATTCTAAAAATTATATTATACTGCTTGACTGACCTCAACTAACACAAATTCTCGGTGATCCAAGGTTCCAAAGCTGAACTTTTCCACTGCTTCGAGCAAAACTTTATCCGCACAATCCAATGGCCCAACCAATACAGATACATAAGCTCTATTCGGATCTAACTCTTCACAATAAATCTTCAAACTACCTCCAGTGAGTCCTCTTTCTCCTAATTCCTTCAATTTCTGATCAATCTTCTGCTCCCTTTGACGCTTCATGACAACTTCTGGATTTGAAATGGTCCTAGTGAAAGTATTCTCGGGCAATTCCTCGTATAGACATTTGTTCATGTCATCAGCATAAGTATTGGCTGCAATAAATTATAGATATTATAACTACCTAAAACTAACCTTTATCCTTCCCGTTTCCCTTCTTCTTAAATTTATTTGACCGCTTTGACGAACGCACTTCATCCCCAAATTGTAGAGCCTGCAAAAACAATGTAATTAGTAATATTTACAAAACAAATTATAAAATTTTTGAAGTGTATAAAAAACAAACATAGAATTCTCAGAGTGATATCACCACGCCTTATCAATGATTAATCATCCCCTTAACACATAAAAAAGGAATTTCCGACTTGGCAATTGATCAACAAGCCATAAACCCCATTTATTACCTAAAATCTGCCTTCCGAAACCCATTAAACCCGGAAAAGGGCCATCTGTCAAGTCAAATCCACCTCAAAACCAGTCCGAAATCAACCCAAAGGAAGACCCACACCATGAAATAACATATAAAGTACAGCTTGAATTCAAAACTGCTCCACAAAATTAATTGTATTACTTTAGACATACCGAAAACGGAAGATAAACAGGCTGATCCGTGGATTTCAAGAGGAAACGTCCTTCACGATTGCTCTGATGCCAACTTAATTGGACGAGGAGAGGCCGCTCATCGAGTTCGAGCATTCTTTCTTCACTGTTTTCGTGAAGTTCCCATATCGAGTAATCTGGATCCGTTAACATCTTCATGTCTGGATGGAATTTCTCTACCAGGGCATCAATTACAGCTTGTGTGGTAGTTGACGAAGATACTCTTATGCATTTCGTTGTCACTTTCTGCCCTGGTTCGTGGTAATAAAAGCGCATAACACCGTAAAATTCCATGTTCTGTGACAAAAAAATCGTCAAATGCAGGAATGTCAAAAAAAAAGCACAGAACACACTAGAAACTTACCTCATTGGGCTCACTAATACTAAACAGATCCAAGCGGTTCTCGTTCCACTGATGGATTAGAGTCCGCAGCCTCTCCCTTTGATCCAACTCCATTAGGTTCTAATTACAATATCGATACAAAACGGACAAAATAAATGCTGCCAGATACAAGCGGTTTGACAAAATAAGCCCTCTGGGAACGGGGATGGTCCACTGTTTGGCTTCGAAGAAAGCTCTCTATCTGATTCAACTCAAAAATCCGGGCGCAGTTCGCTCAAAAAATGATTGCGCATTCGAAGCGACGTGAAAATCGAGACAAATAAAGGCAGGTCGCGCCCGGAAAACGGTGAGAGTCTAACGATTCGAAACAGTGTTGTAGCCGGTAACATTTCTGACGTTGTGTTCTACCAAATACGATATATAAGTTGATTTCCGACATCCAGATAAACTTTTTTCCGATCGCTTCTATATGAACTTCGTTCGTTATAAAAGAGTTTGTCCGCGGGCATGTCCGATCTCGTATCTTCTTCGTTATCACTTATGATCAAATCAGACGGCACACAATTTGCTGTTTTATACGATGGATTTTTTTGCAACTCGAAACACTAGTAAATCATAATTTAGCCATACCACCGGACATTGCATCAATGAGTCAGTCATATTGCATAACATCACAAAATTCATAGCTTACGCACGGTGCACACAAGGGCGCAGCTTGCCCAGATCAGACTCTTTTTATCTCCTTTTGATGCGCGCAAAATCAAAAAAAAAAAAAGAAGAAATGGCATTTCTTTTTTATGGCAAAACGACAGAGAAAGAGGGTAGGTACCTCAGAGGGTGAGTAAGGTTGTTTTGTCCCGGAATAATGTTATTCCCATCTGACTTTACTCTTCCCATCCCAAATATTCTTTTTACGCTTTACTTTTTACCGTATTACCGTATTTCTTGAGTAGTTTGGATAATTTTAGATCTTAATTACTCTGTCGTATTGCTTGTAATGTTTTGTGTTACCTAAAATTTAAAAGAATGCTTAGATTTTCCGTGATTTTATTTTGATCCCCATGAACAATATAAATATAATGGTTTTCCGCCTTGAAAGCCGATTTTTGAATGTTTGGGATCAAAGACGCCGCGTTTAAATAACTTTGAATTATATTGTAATGCTCTTTTTTGGCCATATGAGAATGTTTCTTTTTTCCCCGACAATTATGATTTCTTCAAAGGTGATGCCGCCCAATTGTTATTCCCACTATGGGGAGTGTGCCCTTGTCTTTGTGATCAATTGAGGTTTCATAATTCTGATATCTAATGATTTATGGGGGTGATGAACGGTACCTTATTGTTGGTCCTATTTACTTTGGGACGCGCGTACTCTCTGCCCTCATACATCTCATAGGACTATGCAATTATAAGGTATTATGAGTCGGAGGTATCTTCCGTATCTTCTGATGCCTTGTTTAATAGTTATTAATGATGTTATTCGCACTTCCGATATTACCTTAGCCTCCTATTGTCACCTGATTTTTTGTTACTTTCGAATCGACGGCGTCCTTTTTGGCGATAGAATTTCCCGAGGTTCGAGATTACGGTACCTTTTGTCTGATATCTGGAACAGTCCGAATCTGAATTCAAAAAAAAATTATGCGGGCAGGAAGCGGGGGACAGCTGTGTTTGGAATGTCGCGCGAGTGAAATCGCGGCGTCGTCGAGGCTTGGGGTGAGGAAAAAAGGTTCGCGGCCTTTATGTTCTGCTCTTTTTGAATACGACGCTGCTGGAAGACACTCAACTCGACTGACCAGTGCCCGATCAGTCGCCCCTCCCGCGCGGCATCTGACCAAGAGATGGAGGGCGGGGTGAGGGCCATGCCGAAAAACGACGGCGTTCTTTTCTGTCGCCTTTGTGTTGCAGCGATGGCCATTTGCCTTTTCGCCTCCCTTTCCCCCGTTGGAGAAGAGATCTGAACGGCCTCTGATCCGCTTTGTAGGGCACTGTCAGCGGGTGTTGTGATTGATAACCGTCGCTGATAATCCCGAGATAGGTAAATGTTTGTTCGGATCAAGATTTAGTGAGTCTCGAGGGTTACTGTAATGGGGATGGTTATCATCGGAGTTTTGTTTTCGAAGGGAACGTGAAGGTCGGAGCTTCATTTGTGGCACCTTAGGTTGTCGGAGGCAGTCGGTTTGTTAACGAGGGCCGGCATTCTAGTCAATATTTATCACACAAGTAGGTACCGAGGTACCGCATTGTTGTTTTATTTGTACTTTGCTCATCCAAAAAGTCCCCGATTTGTCCAAAACCTTGCAACACCTTTCATGACAAATGTGTCCGCACTGCTGAAATAAATAATTCGCGGAGAATACGACATTGAAATGTAGGTGTTTCCCTTTTGATTTGGGTCATTTTTTACACCCATTCTTAATTATCGACGATTAATTTGATAGGTTTTCCGCGTTACCTTAAGGCTTTTTTGACATAACAAAGCCGTCTGAGTGAGGAACCCTGATCTCGGGTCGATTACGTAATCGGTTGAAGAGAGAAAAGGTTCGCGAGCGATGGAAAATGACAGAATTTGCATATTCTGGGAAAAGATTGGTATGATAAGTGAAGACAGAGAAAGCTGTGACATAACAAGGAGACTCTTTGTTTGATAAACAACTTTGAAGTGTTTCTGTCCCAAATGTCCACAGTCTTATGTAATTTTGTTCGAAATGTCTGTACCTTTATCACCAAACTCTTTTTCATAAGATCGCACTAAAAACGATGGGATCCCCGGCTCTATCTGCACATTGTAAATGGGATCGAACGAATATTAATCACCTCGATGTTCTTATCAGTGTTATCTCGGGGCGAAAGTTTTTTTTCTTTCGCCAGTGGCAGTATTTTTTGGTCGTTCACACCGGCCTTGGCGCTGTCAGTCAAGTCTTCTGGTGTTTTTTGGGCGAGGGGAAACGAAGGAAGCCCGGGTGATGAATGACAACGCTTCTGCGCACGCGTCTTTTTATGTCTTAACAATTCGTTGTCTATGCGGCTTCAAGATGGGGCTGAGGACGGCGAAATTCGGGACTGGCGCGGCGTTGGGACACTGATTTGCCGCTTAGTGATAATAATTGATCTTACACTTAGAGGGGTTTTACTGATAAGGAATTCTTTGCAAATATAGAAACGGAATTCTGTATGATTTTACCTGTAAAGTTTTGTAACAGTTTCTCAGAAATCTAGCAATCCTTCATGCTCAATTACTGATCCCATTAGGGTCCCATCACTCCTATCTCATCCCGGAGCTCTTTTCTGTCACCTTTATATAATCCATGACATCTTCCCCATCCCATTTATAAAAGGCCGGGTATTTTTCATCCTGATTTATGGGACGGTGTCGATCCGAAAAACGGCCCGAAGATGAATGACATCCCAATTAAAGCATTATTCTCAGTCCTTGTGATAAAACTTCATATTGTTCTTGCTTCTCCCTTCTTTGCCCTCCGGGGTTTTTCTATTTTTTGGAGCTCTTTAAACCTTGAGAACGCCTGTTTTTGCCGTCTCGGCCCCCGCATATGTTACTTAATCGATTTTAATTTAATTAAATATTCATTTTTTTTTTTATTAGTACTAATTGGTACTATTCTTTGGTACAATTCTCTCATTTCCTGCCATGTTTTAATGAAATTCAAAGTATCAGTGTCTGACTTGAACAAATTAATACCTAATTTTAAGCTTTCGTTTGTATTTTTTCGTGTTTTTATAAACTTTTGGGCTCTGAAATTGTATTATTCATCTTCAGATAATGACCTCTATGGAGGAAACGGACGAGGTGAAGGTCTTTCGGAATAACAATGATCCAGAGGAAGTGGTGGACACTCCGCAGTCATCGCAACAGTTATCCGATGACAAGAAGGAGGTCGCTTTCGAGACAGAACTCGAAGGACAGAATATAAACCGTATGTTTTATATTATTTTTGTCTCATTCAACTATATCCTTGCGTTTTATATAATGTCAGGGTATGTAGGCCGAGTTTGTACTGTAATATTGTTATTCTAGCTACAGTAGCACCATTTGCCGATCTCCAATTTAAACCTCACACCCCGATTGGAACCCTCAGCCCGGCGTTTCTATGTCCATTATTGGTATGTAGATATTAGTAGTGTAATATCCAATCTTTAGGCAATGAAATCACCGCATACTTTGCTATCTCCCGGCTTCCAAGGGCTCAATTTTGCTTCTCCCAATTACGGGGTGCTCTCGCCCAACTTCATGCCAATCTTTAACCCCTTCTACAATATGCAGAATATGCAAATGCACAATCTATTGAAACAGAGCCTGCCAATGGCCAACATGACTAACAATATGGCCGGCTTGGGAATGCTGAACCCAGGTGTGAGATACCCATCATCTACCCCATCAACTCCCCGAAGAGACAAAGGAGTAAGGATCGAGAAGGATAAGAACCGGATAAAGAAACCGTGCAATGCATTTATGATCTTCATGAGAGAGAATCGAGCACAAGTGGCCAAGGAAAATCATTGCAAACAATCGTCGGAACTGAACAAAGAATTGGGACAACGATGGCAGAATCTGACCAAGGAAGAACAAGAAAAATACTTTGATATGGCCAGAAGGGAGAAGGAAGATCATGCCAAACAGCATCCTGGATGGAGTGCCCGGGACAATTATGCGGTTCATAAGAAAAAAAAGCGGAGTCGAAGGGAAAGGTCTTATGGTAAGTGGTTTGATTGTTGTCGGCAGCTTTAACGAAATTGGAAATAGTTTTAGTTTCATTTCTGTTATTCTAATCACCTTTATTTAGATCCAACGAACGAGAACAACGAACAGAAGAAATGCCGAGCCCGATTTGGTGTCGATAATCAACAGAAATGGTGCAAACACTGCAAACGAAAGAAGAGATGTCTGAATGTCCAGGACCTGGAGGTCTCTTCCACGACGAATCCGTCCACTCCGCTGTACCTTCACAGTTCTCCGAACATATATTCGCCTTTGGCTTGATGTTAGGCCTCAATATTTAATTTTTCTGATCTCTTATCTTTCTTGTGCTGACGGGATTGGGGCTCGATCTCAGGGATCTCTGGGATTAGATTAGAATCACTTTTGGGTAGAAAGTTTTAGGAATCTATTCAAAAGTTGTTGTAGAACGGTTATTTTGTTATTTTAAGGTTAATAATCGAACAATGTAAGAAAGCCCCGCCCATCCAGCACCCAACTTACTTGTTTGTTTCTTTGTCACTCTCCTCCATCTCCACTCTCCCATCTTCCTCAATCCGGGTTTTATTTTTTACCAAAAGTTTGTTCGATTAAATTGCTCATTGAATCCAGATGTAAATAATTTCAAGAACTTTTAAATTCTCCATTTTTTATTTTCAGCGACAGTAAAAGAACAATAAATCTGTTACATATTATACAACGAATTTACAATAATTCATATGCTAGGAGGAAAGCGAAAACCGGGAATTTCATGTCGAGAATAAAAGGTATGCTCTTCGAAGTCTTTGGTATCAGATCTCGACTACAATATGTAATCAGGCGGGGATTCCAAACCTACCACAAAGTGAAGATATCTCTATCGACGCTGTGATACATCTAGAGTGATTAAATATGTAATGCTCTGACCTAATAATAAATATAAATAATGTCATGTTCTAGCGGAGACTTGGACCTACATTTAAGCCTGAATTACAACGTTTGGCACGATAAATATTTAGAATTATGTTTGCTAGCTCTGATACATGTATATTACAGTCACCGGGACGAACTGGAACGTTGGGGTTCATTTTAAATGGGTATTAAAATTAAATTATGTCATCGTAATTAGTACTAAACTACTTCAAATAAAGAATTCCTCCAAATTTAGACTCCCAAATAATTTCTAAATTATTCTACAGTAATCTCTGGTCTATTGAAAAATTTTCAAAGCAAAATATTTTGATGCCATGAAGAATATAGCCCGCTTATGACCCCCATTGTCCCATTCATTGCCCGATAAACCCTGAAAAAAATCTCCGAATAAATAGAGGTCAGATGTAAATAAATAAATTAGTGGGAATGTCTATGTCATCGGAAATGGGAAATGGCTGAATGTGAAATGCTACCAACACTAGGGATTGCACCATCTAAACGCGACTAGATGTAAAATAATATGTTCGAAATCTGATCTAAATAATAAATAATCTTTGTGATCAACACTAATTGCTTTTGGAGTTCGGGGTCGGAGGAATAGGGGACATGGATGCCAGTGTAATATAAATAAATAAGCGACTCTCATGTCCCCGTCGTCCAATGTACCCCTTAGCACTTCTTAACTGTCTGTGCATATGTCCTGCGTTTGTCTTCGACCTTGGGAGGTGGTGGTTGATGTTTTCTGGCCACCACTGCATTAAATTGGGGCTTTTTGGTCTCTTTTATCTGCACCGTCTTCACCGGCCGTTCCTCTTCGATCAGGCAAGGGAAGTCGGTCTCTCCAAACTTGGTGGTATCATGATTAGCATCTTGATGTACTTCGGCTTCTTCTTCCTTTTCTTCTCGCGCTTTCCATTTCGATATTGGCTTCATGGCTGATTTGACTGGAGGAAAGGGGGTGTTATTATTGTTATTGTTGGTCGGAGTTGGTGGGGAATTGTTGACGGGTGTGACGGGGGTGGTGGGGATACTCCTGGGCTTCTCTCTAAACGATATTCGGTTATCTGTTTTAATGCAAGCAAATTACTTTTCGAGTTTTGATAATTCAAAGTTACAAAATTGATAAAATTTTTACCGCAAAAAAATATTTTTTAAAAAGAATAATGAAAATGAACTTACACTTCCTTAAACTCGACCGTTTTCTGTGCCTTGGGTGGTTTTTGATTATGATTTGTGGGATTTGATGGATATGGACTTCTTCGGGGATTGGATGGCCGAGATTTGTAACTGAAACTGGACCTCTCCGAGTAAACTTCGTTCGCAAATTTGTGCTTGGAATCCGGGATGGATGGTTTTTCTAGAATAAATAAAGATAAACACCAGTTTTTGAAGATGTATACATATGTATGACAATAACGTTTACCAAAAAAGCAAATTCTTTAGTCTTACCAGTAGAATATCCTCGATTACTCAAGAATTTGTTCTGTAGAGACCCCACCGAGATGGGCATGGAAGCTGGGACCGTCGGAGTGCTGAATGCAGGCATTGCAGCCCCACTGTTGTCCGTTCCCTGAGCCGCAGCCATGGCGGCCGTACTAGTAACACTCGGTCGAAAACTGGCTCTCGGAACAAATCCAGAGCTGGCCAGAATCTGACCCAAAGAGAAACTGGAGTTCTCCTTGTCATTGGAGGTCTTGGGAATGTCATTGATGGCGAAGGGAAGGTCGTGGATGGTGATCTGACCTGTTATCACGGTCTCCCCGCCCGGTGACATCCCCACATTCGTTTTGTAAGCAGTGCCGGCATTGGTCGTGATCTTGTCCTCGGCTCCGAACTGATACGAATCTGTTACAATCGGCGCTCCACCTGTCTTTATGCGCGCCTGAAATTATTACGCTATTTTAGATCATCCTATGATTTAATTTATATTTTTTCTGTCTATTCAAGTAAAGTTTTAATTGTCTATATTAAATTGAATTATAATACAATATAATTATTCCAAACGCGGACCTAGATGAACAACTTTTAAACACATCCCATATGGCAAGCGCAACTCACATAAATGGGCTTGCCACGAAACGTCCGGCCAAGGCTCTGCAGATGCATGAAGGCCTTCTGGGTATCCTCCTCGGTCGCGAATGTCACATACCAGCTGTTGTTGAGTCCGTAACTCAGCGACACGTAGTTGACACAGTCATCAAACATGGCCTTAACCTCCTCTTCCTTTGCGTCCTCGGGGATTTCACGCAAGATTATCGTGCATCGCTTGTTACATGGCCGCACTTTCAGGCCCGACTCGTCTACTTGGACTTGAGGAGAGTCTGAAAAAATTATTCATTGGTGGATTAGAGCTGAAGGACTTTTTACACATTCACAACAGAAAAATATTTGATGGGATTTGAGGTCTTCATGAGATAAAAACGTACTTAGAATACTAAAATCTGCAAAATTCTTACCTCGGAGTACCTGTACAATCAAATTGAAGTCATCCGTCAACTTGGAGACCTTCGGGAATCCCGCTACGGTCTTGATAGGCACGTATTGATCGGCGTCCATCTGCGACCTCAGATATCTGTCATTCATCAGATTCTCCCTAAATTTGGAATATTTAAATGTCATCCTGTCCCTTACCGACTAAAGTAGTATTCGAGCTGATTCTTTAGGCGCTGATTCAACTGTTCGGGGGATAATCGGGATGGGGGTTCGGGGGTCGAAGAAGGCTCATAGCCTGAGGGTGTGGAACGGCCTTGAGGGCCAGGCACGCTGAGGAGTTGCTGTCTACATTCGGAAGTGAACCACCACGGGAGGAAGGGGATGTGAGGCGACGACTCGGCCGGTGGCTGTCGATTGTTGTCGCCATTCCGGGCCGAGTTCTTGTTTATGTCATTCAAGGCGCGATTCACATCGCTCACCTTAAGAGAGGGAGTAAATAAAAGGGTAAATAAACAAAATCACGTGGTGTTCTGCAAACGAAGTTATCGAAAAGTCGAAATGACGTGACCTCTGGACTTGGCCAAAACGATGACTCATCAGATTTACGCAAAGTTTGATAATTCCTCACCTCTTGAATAACAAAACATCTCGGAGTGGTCTCGGTACAGATGAAGAAGCCATTGTCCTTGAAGCCGAAGCCGCGCATCTGAAGCCGGAAGGCGGCAGATTTGAATAAACAAAGCCGCACAGGGTCCTGCAATGGACGGATATCGAATATCAAGGTGTCATTCGGACGGGGCGAGACGTCAATCGGGCACCTACCTCAGACTGCGAGCTTCAGGATTGTCGCTCCGTTCCGAACGCTCGGCGAGAATCGGCGTGAAAACACCGACCGGACCGCAAGAAGGCGAACAAGACGAGGCCGGAGGGCCGCGGAATCTCTTGGCCACAGGTCCGGGGGACGGTTTCTCTCGCCCTCTCTCCAGAAGCCGCACGTCTTCGCTCTCTCCAGAATCCGGGGCTTCTCTCGCTCGCCCGCCCGCCGTTGACGTGAACCGAGAAAAAGAGAGAGAATCGAAGAGCGCGCACTCCAAACAACGTGGCAGAGCCGTTTGTCTGCACCTCCTCCTCGCTCCACACACTCTCTCGTTGACGGAGAAACGGAAAAAGAGCAAATGCCCCCGACTAACCCTCGGATCTTGTCATCAGGAGGCCAGGCCGAAGTCAATTACCCCGGCGTCGCGTGTTTATTTTTTATTAGATGCCCTCAGGGGAAAGGTCGAGGGAAGTGGACGAGATTGGACCTCAGCTACTCATTCACAACTAATATTAAAAATTTTCTTTATTCGGCTACAAAGATGATTACAATGACATAATTATATTTGGAATAAACTCAAAAAATGAATTACAGTTAATCAAAAATATACAAAGTTACATTAGCTGTGACAAGAGGGTCGTAAAAACATTGCAATTTGATTAATGGATTAGTTACATTATCTCGTAATATTAGGTGAGTCAGCAGGACCCCACATAAATCTCCTGAATGTAATCAAATATATTTTTCTTCCAAAAGTAAAGGATAATATTTTCGCCCCCCTCCCTTTCCGGCGATGTCATGATGACGTCATCTAATCGAATTACACGTTTTAGATTACAATTTTAAAGCGTTGGAGGTAAGGATAATTTAGTCATTCGAACTTTAGGCATTCGAACTTGCGGATTCGAACTTGCGGTGTGTCTCCATATGATTATTGTGTTTTGACTAGTCGATCCAGTGCTTCCATGGCAAGCTGAGTTTGCAAAAAGTAATGATGCAGTTCTACTGCTTCTTTTCTCATCGATTCCAGTGTGGATTCCAGTTTCTTGCGATTCCTTGTCCATTCCGAGAGATGACGAACATTCTCCCAATCTTCATTCATATTCTGTTGGAAGGCACTCATCCGTGTGCTGGCCATATTGGCCATTCGGATACATTCCTGGTTCATATCACGGATCTGCATCAGTTGGAGTTCATGCCTAAAATAATACCTTCGGATATCAAGTGTAAAATAAAAAAGAGCTCAAACTAATATTATTATTAATTTGCTCCTCATTCTCTCTTGAAAAAACCCTTGACCGTTTATTTTTTCCAATCCCCCGCAATTCAACGAAAGTCCAAAAAAATTGCGCAAGAGATTACAAAAAAAGAAGATGATTTCTAACAATAAGAAGATACTTTTTGCAAACACATACTTACTTGGCGAGAATGTCGTCAACGCCGGGCTCTCTACTCAAAAGTTCATAAAATTCTTTCTGCACAACATCTGACTCGTTTCGATTAATCAGGGTTATATTGGACACCAGATGCTCCAAGCCACTGAAAATTTTAAAAATAATTGATTAAAATTTGGAGTTTGAAGTAAATCATGCATCAAAAAAAATTTTTTTTTTGAAATTCAACAATATTTTACTCTAAAACATTGCTTTGTAATTCATAAAAAAATAATTTCCGTAAAATCCAATAAAAATATTTAAAATTGGCGAAAGAATCGATTAAAACGCTCAAAATTACTTTTCTTACCTGGCCACAGGACCCAATTCCTCGACGATTCGTTCTCCGAGCAGACGGACGCTTTCCATCGACGACTTCTTTCTTTTTTAGCAGTAAAAAGAAGTCGAATAAAATCTTTTTTCTTTTTTCTCTCGAATATAACATTATGCCAAAATGTCCGGTTATTGAGTTTCTGAGGGACGAAATGTCAGTAATCATGCCGTGTTTCTACTCCTATTGTCAGTTACTTTATTTTGCATCATACGGTAAACTTGATAAAGAGTAAAGAGAAGAGAGAAAAAGAGAAATTAATGTTTTTCTCGCTCGGAATGCTTGTACTTTGCTTGAGAAGAATGCTTAGAATTTATCAGTGAATAACCAGTTATGATCGCCAAGTGAGAAACTTCTCTTTCTCCCACTAATTCTTCGCATTTTTGTGCGCGGATTCGGGTTTGGGTTCAAAGATTCGGGATTACTGTATATATTGTGTATGTTGATCATAACAACCAAACTTTCGGTTCTAAGATTTGTCTAGATTATGAGTTTTATGTTCTTTTGCAATTCTTCATGTGTTATCAGTTCTTGTTTTTTTCAAAGTTAAATCGTGCTTGTTAACTTTGCGCTTTGTCTTTTTTCAAGTGTAATATCGACAACTTTTTGTTTCTGTAATCCAATCGTATTTTAGGCTCCTTTTTCCGTTCTTTTTATAATGTGAATCCGGATGAAATGACTATGGAGACTTTACACGAAACCACAGATTTGAATATTCTCACGGACGAGTTGCGACGTTTAATTGTGGGCCGCGATATTCCCCTTCCCAGAAACGATAACGATGATCTGAAGATCAAGTTCCAATATATGGATGAGAGGGGCGCCATCAATCTCCAACGTCCTCCCAAGTACTCGTATCTGCAAGAGTATTTCGAACGGAGATTCAAATTACAATTGAATATATATTACACAACGTCCAGCAAGGAGTTGATGATTCAGATAAGATCTCAGCCAGACCTGGAACACGTGGTGGCATTGCATGAGAGGAACAACAAGAAAGGAAGGCTGAAGTTGATCTTGGCCAAGAAACGAGATCAGGACCAGTTTTATATCCCCCCTCAGGGCATCTATCATGGAGTCCAAGAGACGGCCTTGTCTGAGACATCTTCGGTCTTCTCAACTGGCTCCACTTCCTACAATCACTACGGAAATAACAGTAGATTAGGAGAAGAAGAGTACAATCGAATAGGAACTCCATTAGCACCTTCTCAATGGAGAGAAAGCAGATGTTTGGGACGAGGGAGCTTCGGAACTGTGTACGTTTGTCTGAATGTCGATACGAATGAACAATTGGTCGTGAAGAAAATTCAGTTTGGAACCAATTTGAGGCATCGTAACAGACGATTGGCCTCCTTGGAGAATGAGGTGAACTTGCTGAGTACTCTCAGACATCCCCATGTCGTTCAATACCATGGATGCGCAAAACTGCAGGACTGTTTTTGCATTTTCATGGAGTTCATGACGGGAGGAACTCTCAAAGAGCAGGTTGGAATTATTCGAATATTTTTTAAATGAGATCATGGCATTATTTTCACCTTTTTATAAGAGGTTTATTTTAGATAACCGAAATGGGAGCTTTAAACCAAAACTTCACCATCGACTTCACCGCCCAGATCCTGAGTGGCCTGGCCTATCTCCATGGCCGTAATATCATCCACCGAGATATAAAATCGGCCAATATTCTTCGTCATACCAGAGCTCTAGTAAAGATCGCTGACTTTGGATCTGCAATGTATTTGCAAGCAATATGCAGTGAGAATGGGGTAGATATTCATGGAACTCCTCATTACACCGCCCCTGAGATCATTCTAAACACACGACGGTACGATCAGTCATCTGATATTTGGAGTTTAGGTAGGAGATTACTGTAGTTTATAGTCATCATGTGTCTAGGAATATGTGTGGTGGAGATGCTGACCACCAAAACTCCATGGCATGATGTAGATCCTTCAGCTGTCCATATAAAGATTGGATATGAGGCCTTGGATCTTAAATTACCTCCTCGGATCAATGCGAACTTGGAGTTGGCTATCTTGAAGATGTTGGACAAGACGCCAGAGAGTCGACCGTCCGCCGAAGCACTACTAAAAATGGCTCCATTCAGTTCGATTGAGGCCTAAACAAGTACCGGTTACCCAGGGTCTGTTAACTGAGGAATAGGATCTGTAAAATATTTATATTACTCATGTATATGACTGAACAAGATTTGTATAAATAAATTTCTATTTTCAATCTCAATTATAGTCGCTAAATAACAGAAAAGCGGTCAAAAAAGGAAGTTTTTATTACAATGACGATACTTTTTATTAAACCCCATCGATTTTAATTATCATTTGAGGGATCTCGTGACCTTTACTGGGAAAAGAATACCTGCGCATCCATTTCTCCGACTTTCCGCTGATCTTTTTGGCATTCTGTGGCATTTGAAAGTGGAAGGAAAGGGAGAAAAGGGGATTGGATCCGCGTCTGATCGCCCTTTCCTTCAGTGTTTTGAATAATCCCGAAATTTATTTGTTCTGGAATTTAAATTACTCTAATTAAACCGGATTCCGTTCTTCCCGTCACTGATTCTGGATGCCGGTTTTCCCTTTGATCCTACAATGTTTGGTATTTAGTTTAGATAATCATTCGCTTTATTTAGCTGAACTTTTGATGGTTTCCGCGATTAAAACACTCATTTCTATAGTTTAAATTAAATTATTAGACGTTTGATGACTAATTATGAGTCAAACTTGTACTAAAATTATTAATGGTGATGTAAGGTCAAAGTAGTTTTGAATACCACGAATCCCCCTTTCCGGAGTACCGGCATGGAGTTCTCGATGTTTTATGGGCGTCCAGAGATCAGCGACTTTTATTTGTCTTTCCTCCCTTGTATAATATCATATAAACAGAGCATTCCCAGAGCGTTTTCTGTTCATATTACATTAGAGAAAACAGATCCAAAGATGTCTGCATTAAGTTTTTCGCCTCAACAGTTCTATTAAGACCTCATGAGGACTCATTTCATTGTTATATCAGACTTGGATTCACAAAATCTTGGCGTTCCGACGCAAGTTGATCAGGAAGAATCAGGTGTTCTTCAAACTTCTCGCGCAATCTGAGAATTGACCGCCTTTTTTATACGTTTATGTTCATAGGTCCCATTTTGAGACGTCAAATTACCCTCTCTTTGATGTTTAAGGTTTCGTTTCCCATCATAACTTTTTATTTTTTTTTGCACGAAAGTTTTGTATTATTCATCATGAATAATGTTTTGAATAATTATTTAGACTCTGTGTTTTGCTGTTTCTTGTTTACTCGGCTCCACTGATAATTTTCTTTTTATCGATGTTTTATCGATTATTTTGTTAATTAAAATGTTTCAATTTTATTACCTAAAATCTTTCAAAATCAAATTTTAGTCGGAAAAGACCATGCAAAGGAGATAGCTGCCGTGCCAATCCATGAACGATGCGCCTTTTCTCCCGTCCACTCCTGCTTTGTGGACTGGGTGTTCTCCTCGGCTTTCTGGGCGGGATCCTCCTGTTCAGCTTCAGGAATGTCTCGCATCTTGTTATCCAGCACACGGCCAATCTTTCTCCTCAGCCTTTGCGAACTCAGAATGGGCAGAAAAACAGTATTTTGGTGGGGATCATGACAGCCGCCAAATATGTGGACAGTCGAGCCTATAATGTGTGGAGGACTTGGGGGAAGCAGATCCCGGGGAAGGTCCTCTTCTTCGTGGCCGAAGATACCGTTAGTGTATATCCGGAGATGCCATTGGTCCGACTAAAAGGTGTTGATGACACGTATCCCCCGCAAAAGAAGAGCTTTGCCATGTTGAGGTGGATGTATGATAATCATGTAAGTCAACTTATATTGTTTTTTGAATTTAGGTAATAAAAATTTTGATGACATTTTCAAAGCTAAACGTTTACCATTGGAAAGCGCTAATGAAGGTTAATTGTTTCAGCTGGATGACTTTGACTGGTTTCTTCGTGCCGATGATGATCTCTACGTTAGAGGCGATCTTCTGGAGGAGTTCCTGAGATCCTTGGACCCCTCAAAAACACATTTCATTGGACAAGCTGGTCTTGGGAATAGTGCAGAATACGGGCAGTTATCTCTGGGTCCTAACGAGAATTACTGTATGGGTGGCCCTGGTGTTATCTTGTCCAAGGAGACCTTGAAGACCGTCGCCCCATATCTCCAGTCTTGCCTCTCAGAACTGCTGACAACTCATGAAGATGTTGAAGTGGGAAGATGTGTACGAAAACACGCTGGAGTTGCCTGCACCTGGAATTATGAGATGCAGACCCTCTTTCATAACAATCAGACAGTCCCGAATGCTTATAGCAATGGAATCTCTGACGAAGTGAGCAGAGCCATCACATTACATCCAGTAAAAGATCCTCAGGTCATGAAGAAGTTACATGTTACCATTAACACTCTGAAACTGAAACAGTTGAGAGCACAGAAGATTGAATTTCAAAGATTAGTAAAGAAGATTGCTCCTGCTACATTGACGAGGAGAGTTGCCAATAAGACCAACGATCTACAGGTATGGGACTTCTTGGCATTCAACAAGATAACATTTTGTGCTAATCAAGTCAATTGCCCCCGACATACGGTAGATATGAACATTCATACTGCCACTTCGGACATCGTCACTCAATTGTTTGATGAGTTCAATGTGAATGCGCGACAACGAGGCCGGATTCTTCAGTTCCAGAATATCCAATATGGATACAATCGAGTTGAACCGAGACATGGAGTGGATTATGTTCTGGATATGATCCTTTGGTTCAAGAAATTTCGACCTCCACATAGAGCGACTCTTTCCGTCCGTCGCCATGCTTATATCCAACAAGTATTTGCTGAGCCCGAGGCTATTAGTGAGTATGGAAAGAGGTCTTTAATGAGATCTGGAGCTGAGAGAAACTCGACTGAAGTTATGAAGAGTGGAATCTTGAACAGAAAAGTGTACTTCATCATTCCATTGAAGGGAAGAGCGGCCACTTTCTTGAGATTTACTGAGAATCTGAAACAGATTCTACCCGCAAATGACTCCAGACATCAATTGGTCATCATTTTGTATAGGTAAGCAAAAAAATTTTCCTGGATTTATAATTTTAGCTCCGGCGATGTAAATGAGGACTCAATGATCAGATCCATCCTCACCGAACTCACATCCAAAATGGAAGTCCGAGTAATTGATATGGGAGATAAGGAATTTAGCCGAGGACAGGCATTAACAGCCGGCTCGAGCATTCTCCCAGATGACGCTCTCATGTTCTTCACGGATGTGGATATGTTATTTAATTATGATACGGTTCAAAGGATCAGGCTAAACACTATTCAACATTATCAGGCAAGTCGTGGTCATAGTGATCTTATATTAAATATAATACTAATCATGATTACAATTATGATTTTAGGTATACTTCCCGATTGTTTTTTCCGAGTTCTCCCCCAAATTCTGGAACCCGACCGAACGAAACGACCATCATCAGATCTCGTATGCCCGCCAGCGTGGCTACTTTCGCCATTTTGGATATGGTTTGGTGTCCATATTCAGAAGCGACTTCCTCCGTGTGGGCGGATTCAATCTGTCCATCCGTGGATGGGGCATGGAGGATGTAGATCTGTTCGAGAAGGTGATCGCGGCCCCCAAACTACGGGTATTCCGGGCGCCCGATCCCGGCCTAGTCCATGTTTTCCATGATATTTATTGTCCTTCCGACATTCCCGCTGCTCAACATCACATGTGTCTCGGGTCCCAGGCGGCTTCCATGGCCAGCCTTGACTCTCTTGCCGAACATTTCACTAACTACGCATAATTCTATATTATTTTAGTCATCTCTCATCATAATTAGTTGTATTTATAATTGCATTTGCAAATACTTGTTAATCTCACAAATTCGATTGCTTAATGTTATACCAGTCTTTCCCTTTATTTCTCACGAACAATGTCATAATACCCGTTCATAATAATAAAATTCAACAATGACGTTAACCTATTACTGTAACATCGCTTTTACCACATGAATCTCTGAAGATTGCCAGGTTCATGAGACCACTCAAAAGGTCGAAATAAGAATAAATAGACAGTAATGGAGTTTAAAACAACATGAAGAGATAGTTCGGCGAGATTAATCAGAAGGTTATTCGACTTTTGATTAAAATTTAGCCGCCATATCGAATATGGAATAATAAAGTATCGGAATTCGACTAGATGGGCTGGAATGATGGTTAAAGCAGTGCAAGAAAGCAATGAACAGACAAAAAAAGAATTAGTGGCATTTAGGACATGAACAAAATAAAGAAATGATACGAGATACAATGGAATCAACAGGAATTTGCACAAAGAATGTCTTAACATCCATTTTCGCCAGATGTAGAAGACATAATGACGGTTATCAGCGAGCAAGTAAGGATGATTGTAGGAGAAGAAATGAATTGTAACGGCCATAACAACAGAAGCAGCCAATAAACGATACCGGTAATTCCATAAAGCTTTACGAAGTACAGTTATTCTTGTAGGGAGATGGGGAACAGATGACCCCAAAGTGAAAAGGAGGAAATAGTAGACTTGAGGAACATGGAAGTGGATTTGATGAGCCGTCTTATCTCCCAAAACCAATGATCCGTCGTTCCAATAGAGATATCCAAGGAATCCAGCGCCGAGAAAAGCAAATGGCCAATGAATAAGGAGACAGATAACAGTATTCTTGAAGAGATCCCTCTCTTTCGCTTTCAAATGCTCGACTAAATTAGAGAAGCAGTAAAAACCCGCCCAGATAATGTTGGTTTGCCTCGATAAACATGAAGCAGCAAAGACGACTGCCGAAATAAATCGATTCTCTGTCCCAAGTCCCAGCAATACCAACGATAAGGACAACATATCCGTGTAGTAGAGACATGAAGTTTGGAAGAGGACGGGAAGAAAGACCACGGCCAATGCGGGAAACCACCCCCGGCTTTTTGTTTGTTTTCGACCGTATCGGAGCGCGGCCAGATAGCAAAGGCCAATCAACAGCGAATTGAAATATCTCTCCTTCCCACAAGCACCAGCCAAAACAGTCAAGATGTAGATCAAGGGTGGAGTTGTGATCATTGGATCCCACTGAGTGTAATTCCCATCGCAATACGCTCGAGCTTGAGGAATATGGAAGACCTCGTCCATATAGGGATTGGGAACAATGTCATAGTAGAGACGAGTTACGAAGAAATGGATGACAGAGATAATTGATGCAAGGACCACATCTAAATTTATATTATTCTATTTGATTTCGAACTTGCCGAAGAATGAGAAATCGGGGATCTTATCTGTTACTCTGCGGTTCATCTCCTGAAAATTAAGACATGAAAAAAATTATCAAAGGAATGCAACTATTGGAATTTTGACACTCCATTCTTTTATGCGAAGTTTAATTCTTTATGTGCGCTGTGGGACCTTCACAAATTTTATTTCACTAGGAGACTTAGAAAATTTAAGCCTAAACGTACTGTAACATATTCAAAGCGGGTTAAAATGTAATTTCCGGACCATAAAAATTCGCACTGGCGTTCGGCTGTTCTAGTACAACAATTTTTTTAAATATGGTATGGCCGAAAAATCTACGCAATTTCGCACCTGCAGAACCCAGCGTAATAATCATTTGTTATAACTCTGCTCCATAAATTTTAACAGTGTTTTCGGTTAAGGATCATTAATCTAGGTGTTATTTATTACTGGCAGAGTGCAGTTACACTGCTTTCACACTGACATTACAATAGGTCAAGGTCAGCTCTTCCTTTAAAAGGAATCATTAAAATGATTAAAAAGTAATGTAAATTGTGCTTTCATGTCGTGCTTTTCTACATTGTTGACTACGGTTGTGCTGCGTTAACTGACACAACCACTATCAATCCGGGGACTGTTGACCCATTCCATTCCGTCCCTTCCCTTTGGAATGGAGTCACAAACATGGAAATGCTGCTTCTGAAGAGGGGCAACGACCTTGGCGGCGACTTCTACTCTCCCCACCTCACCTCCGCGGTCTCTGCTCTTATTCCCATCTCACGCGCACATCGTGGTCGTCCCCCGACCCCGTCTTTTTTTCCTTTTCCGTTGGCTGCGGCAACCGACCGATTGGAGAGTGGGGGCGCGACCGCCGTCCCTCTTTTGTTCGCATTCGCACACGACGTGAATTATGAATATAGTCCAGGGCCTGTTGTCCAAGATCTCTCCATTGCCCGATGGAGACTTGGCGGACCGACTAAACTATAGTTATACCAGCACCATTTTGCTGGTATGTTCTGTCTTTATTTCGGGATGGAGGTGAGTTCCATATTTCATTCAAGATGTTATTGTTTTAGTTTTGTTGGACAGCCGATCCAATGCTGGTTCCCTGCCTATTATCGAGGTAAGCCGCACAGTTATCTGTCATTTTTTTCGTATAATCGTATATTATCCTTGATCGTTGTTTTTATCCCTTTCAAATCCCTTTTTTCAGGCTGGTGGATGGAATATGCACTAGACTATTGTTATGTTCAGAACACATATTTCGTGGGGTTCCACGAATACAAACCCGATAATTACTTTGACTTTGCAAAACACGTAATCGAAATCCCGACCAATGTAACTGCCAGGGATGAGAAGCAGATCGGTAAGACAGGTCATCCGAAACATTAAACATTGTATTGCGTCATCGAGCGCTGTCCTTTTGGGTAAACAGATTTCGAGGATCACTAATTTCGCGCAGTTTTTGCATGGTATTGATTTTACTGTGTTTGAAAATTTCGAAAATAACACAAACAGATTACTCAGACTACAAGAACCGCTAACAAACAACCTATCAAAAAAATTATTGCAGGTTACTACCAATGGGTCCACTTCATCCTAGCCATTCAAGCCTTCTGTTTTTATCTGCCAGTCCAACTTTGGAGATCTATCTACAATACCCTTGGATTCAGAGTCCGAGCAATCTGCGAGACCTGTAACATCCGCGCTAACATGGATCCAAACGACCGGAGTAAAAACATCGAAACTGTGGCCCGATTTTTGGCTAGTGATCACGAACTGGCAGCAACTCTGGGAGGGCGGATACGACAACATCTGGAAGGCAGAGTTGTGCTGACGACTTATTTGGTAGGTGCGAAAATCTGTTAATCCAACTAGCGCGCTCTTTCAGGTGATCAAGTTTATCTACTGTATTAATGCGCTTTTACAATTCCTGATCGTGAAATGGCTTCTGGGGACGGACAGTATCTTCTGGGGATGGAATGTCGTAGTTGATCTGTTCTATGGTCGAGAATGGCCCGAAACTGGAAACTTTCCTCGAGTGACACTTTGTGATTTCGCGGTATGTACTTTCCTTGCACTCCGTTTGTGATTTATCGATTTTAATGGAATTGGCTCTTCAAATTAACCTTTTTCCCTCAACCTGTTTCTTTTAAGATGATTACCTTGTGAAGTTTGTAATGTGCTTACAATTACTTTCTTGTGGTTTTTCAGGTCCGTGTTCTGGGTAATCTACATAGACACACCCTACAATGCGTGTTGATGATAAACATGTTCAACGAAAAGATCTTCATGTTCCTTTGGTTCTGGTTCCTCTTCATGGCTCTGGTGTCGGCGTATAGTTTCTTCAACTGGATAATTGTCAGCTTCAGCGACCGCGCAGATCGGAGTCTAATTGCCACTTATTTGGCCAAGATCGATCCCCAGACCCTGAGGTCGAATACAAAACGAGAGAGCATTAAGAACTTCGTCAGACACACACTGAGAAGTGACGGAGTCTTCTTGGTACGACTAATCTCCAAAAATAGCGGCGATTTGGTGACGTGTGAGCTGCTGAGGACGCTGTGGACGGACTACTTGGCCCAATCGCCACCTCCCAACTATCAGCCCGAGCCTCTTCTCGAGAAGAAAAAAGCTGAGGAATAGAGCCAATTAGAATAGAGACCGAGAGATATAAACTTGAAGACCTTCTATTACTAATTTCTTGTTACTTATATTAAAGACTACGATACTGTATATCTGAATCGATCTTTTTGCCCTGATTACTTTCCGAACATTGATATCCATGCCACGCGTTGTGACTATATTATTCGTTTATGACTTCTGAATCGTCTCATATCATCATGCTGCCGACTTCTATTGAAACACTCTGTTATGTGCTTTACTCTACGTTTGACGCTCATAAATATTCATTACTGAGGGCTAGCTGATGGTGATTCGATTATACGGGAATGGACGAAACAAAAAATCAAAAACTGTCGCTTTTCGGGGGAATGACACTCTAACGCGATCAAGTCGCCATTCACATTTCCACGACAAGGTCGTCATGAAGGCGAGGAAGGGGGACTGGGCATAGCCCCCTCAAGGTCGGGGGTCGGAAACTCCTCCGATCGGGGGAGAGGAGACTCAACCTTGGGGCTTCACGACATCGTACGACCTCGGAACTCATTCCCCCATGGTATGACGAAGACCCGGGGATCGTCTTCACATTCCCCTGCCCCTCTCGACGGTCCGTACGCACTGCCGCGAAAGGGAAATGTGTGATCTGAGCCATCCTTTTACATGTTCCCGGTCCCTCGCCCGCCTCACCTCGGATCCTCACCGACCGTGCGAGTCGGGCGGGCGTCGCGCACTCCAGAAAAGGAAAGAAGACAACCACTTTTCGATCTTTCCCCGGTTTCGGGGGTGCAACATCAATTCTATTTTTTTTCAGCCCACTGCCCCACCTTCCTGACCGTGGATGGCCGCGCGACTGATCGCCGGCAGGCTGCCGTTAGGCTCGTCGTTCTTTAAGCTATGCTAAGTTCGCTCCCTCCCCTTTTTTGATTCCAGTTAGTGCTTTTGATTACTTTCTATACTTCCGTTTTTTTCTATCTTCACATTTCCATTAAGGAATCACAAAGCAGATTCAAAACCCTGAACAACCCGCATCTCTTTGTCCCTATACATAATTCATGCAAATGTAGCGAGAAGTGTCTCTTTCTGATCACTTATAAACCCATTGTTTCAGACCGTCAAGGGAGGATCATGATCTTCCTAGACAAGTTCCTGCAGGGTCTCAAGCCGCAGTTTGACGATGACGCTATAGATCGGTTGAATTACTACTACACTCCCTTGTTATTCGTAATATTCGCCCTCACTTTGAGCGCTAAGCAGTAAGTATTACGCAATCTTGCATTTTATTGCCGGAATAGGTCAAAATTGGTTCAAATTTAACGCGATTTCCTAAAAAAATCACTTTGGAAGGCCGTCGAAAATCTAATTGGCTCGCTTGCTTATAAAGTAAACAAAAGAAATGGGCTCTGCATACTGTAATTTTGTGTTTTTAGATATGTGGGCCAACCAATCCAATGCTGGATTCCCGCTCAATTCACCGGTAAGTATTCAGTTTTTTTAATTACTCTTTAGGTGCATGGGAACAATACAGTGAGAACTACTGCTTTGTGCAGAACACCTACTTTCTACCATTGAATTACTACATCCCCAACAGTGTATATGAGAGGGAGAATGCGGAGATAGGATATTACCAATGGGTACCCTTCGTTTTGGGGCTGCAAGCCATCTTATTCTACCTGCCCGCGCTCGTCTGGAGAATCTTTAATTGGCAATCCGGGATCTCAGTAAAAGGAATTATACAAATGTGTGACGACGTTGGAAATATGCAGGTAGACAAGAGAAAGGCGTCAGTAGAAGTTGTGGCTGCTCATTTGGTTGATTCACTCAAAATGCAACAAAACTTGACTGGGAAAAGTAGGTAAAGAATTGAGTACAGCTCGTCATCGAATATTTAGATGTATTCTCATTCCTATTGAACAAAAGTACATACCTCACAACTCTGTACCTTTTTGTGAAAACCTTGTACTTGATACAGGTGTTCTCTCAGTTCTTGATTCTCAATCGCTTCCTGGGTACTGACTACACTTTCTATGGATTCGAGATCTTAAGGGATCTGGCATATGGTGTTGAATGGCAAGAGTCTGGACATTTCCCCAGGTGGGTATACTAATCGAAATACTAAAGCCTTTCTAGAGTAACAATGTGTGATTTCGAAGTGAGGGCCCTTGGAAATGTGCATCGTCATACAGTGCAATGCGTTTTAATGATCAACATGTTCAACGAAAAAGTTTATATCTTTATCTGGTGGTGGCTGTTGATTGTGTTGTTTGCCACAATCGGAAACCTGGTCTACTGGCTGGCGGTCTCATTCTCCGGCTCGCAGAAAGAGACATTCGTCACCCAATACCTTCGAGTTTTCAATCTTTTAAAGAATGAAGGTAAGAGTAACGTAGAGAATATCTCATAAGACTTTATAAATGGCTCAAGAATATTATTTTAGACAAGAAAGTGGCCAAGAAATTTGTCCACAGTTATCTGAAAAACGATGGAGTCTTCCTATTAAGACTTATAGCGACAAATGCGGGAGATCTGATCACTACAGACATTGTTTACAATCTGTGGTTCATGTTCTTGCAAGAGGAAGCTTCCCGAGCTCCAACCCTGCCTCGATCACCTAGTGCCCCCACGAATGACAATGGATTAGACGACGTTGATGGAAGTCTCGATGGCGAGAAGAAGAGACTGACGTAAACAAAAGATCTTTGTTAAGCGAATTACTGCCAAGAGTTTGAATATTATAAAGCTTTCCAATTTCTATACTATCCTTAACAAGTAAAGTAGTCCAGAGATTTCAATTATTACCAAAACGTTAAACACAGAAGGTCTTTCAGATCAATCTCGATCTCTGACCATTCCTTTACTTATTCTCCTAGGTTTTCAGCTTAAGACGAATAAAAAAATCAAAATTATAATTTATTGTCAGAAAATATCAACATCAAAACATCTACGGACAAGAAAGAAACGAGATTAGACAAAGGGAGATAAAATAAGAGGTCTGTTCTGGAAGTCTCGACCAAAACCGCTGGGCCTAATCAGCAAGAAATAAATTATTCTCCAAGAATAATAGGCGATTTAATTTAATAACTTTAACTGGCGCCGCCATACCAATTAGCTTTCTGGGCGTAATGGGCTCGATTGGCTTGCATAGCATAGGGGTCGTGGAAGTTATTGGGCTGAGGCGACTGGACTGCGGCAGCTTGAACGGCAGCGCTGGATTGGCTAATGGTCGCGAGGAGGGCGTCGCAACGGTCCTTTTCGCGTTGCAGCTCGCGTCGCAACGTTTCCACCTCGTGCTTCAATTCGGCGTTTTCTCTTTGCAGATCCGGAAACCCAACCCCTGGGGGTATAAAGGCCCGTCGCTTGGCGTCGCCATAGTCATCCATCGCGGGGCGTCGCCGGGCAGCGGGATGTTGGAGCAGCGGTTGGGGTGGACGAAAATCGAGGCGAGCGCTGCAGCCCGGCGGTTGATTGTTGCGCATCTCCCGCTCCATCTCCACATTCACATGCCAGTAGCGACAGCGAGGACCGCGCGTGCAGCGGTTGGACTGGAATTCTTTGCAGAATGGGATCCCCTGAATGTTATCAGCCTTTGTAACACCGGCGATAGCGCGGGCCAGGATGTTTGAAACGTCTCCAGTCCGCCGATAGCGTTCGACCTCTTCTTGAGGAGCATGGATAAAGCGGCAGGACGCGCGAAAACAGCCCTGGTTCTAAAATTGGGAACGTTAGGACACGCATGCATAAGCAAGTATGCTACGCTATGATCATACAGACGCCAAAGGGGAAGCCACTAGGCAACTCAACTCCTAAGCTTATGTTCAGCGGTAAAAATACAGAAATGCCATCAACTTTATGCAGCAACTAGCTCCCTGCGCATTTCTCCATTTACTTATCATGACCTAGACACAAAAAGACAAAAGGATGATAACTAACCTGATAATCAATACAAAATTGAAAATCGTCCTGAGTTCGCTCTCGCGGTGCACTTCCATCGGTACTGGGTGGATGGTAGAATTTGCAGCGAGTTCCTCGGTTACAGACCTTGTTCAAGAAGTCACGGCAAACATCCTTACGATCTTCATCACGAACTGGACTCTCTTCGTCTTTGGTCATATTCACCTAAAATCTACTAGTTCAAAAATAGAAAAAATCCAGCTGAATAATCAGCAACGAACGAAAGATTCGGCAAACCAAAGACTATACACACCCCAGATTTGGCCACTAGTCAAAGAAAAGTGGCCGTAGAGAGCCACTTTCCCAGCTGAATCATCGCCCAACAAAACGGAATAAAACATCCTAGGCTTCCGAATAAAGCGCAAAACAAGAAAACTCTTTAAGAATGCAAAGCAAAGGGGTTAATTTAAATTCTCCAGAAACCTTATCCCCCGGCAAACATTGCCAAAACGAATGTTAGGATATCTAAAATCTTCTTCGGGACAAGTGCGCGCGTCCAAAATTATTTTTCTTTGGTTCGTGGTGAGACGCGCAATGAAACAAAATGCCAAATGGTAAACGGGTGTTTGGTTTGCAGATACGAAAAGCACATTGCAGATACGAAAGGCGACAGAGTTAGATGTCGCGGGTCAAACGCAATCTTCTTCTTGGCCGCCGCCAAATTCTGTTACTAACATCGTGTTGTGACTGTAAAACGAAGATGTCGATACCTGATAAATGCTTTAGATTCCATCAAATAGGATTTTCTGGTTTACTTGTATAAACAACAAAAAAATGTACAACACTCTTTAATACAAAATACAATAGTATGATGAAAATATGTCTGAATTGGAAACAGTGTCATTGGAGGTATACAAGGAAATGTACAGAGTTGACAAAGTCAGTAGCCACCACTGATGCCATTCATCCAGTACTAAACTTCATCGTGGAATTGTAGATGACATCAAATAACTTCACTGAGAGTATTCATGGTAACATGGCAGAACTGGTCGGATTCTGAAGTTCTTGATATCCGTACCTCCAGAAGTCGGTTGGTCTTTCTGTTTCTAGCACTGTACTCCACTTGGATGCTGTGTTCATATTCCTTGATGATATCTCCTCGGTAATAATCGTTGATAGTTTGATCTCGGCAATGGGCAATCTCAACATGATTTACCATACATTCCATATTCTGAGACATAACGAAGCGCTGAAAATTATACCCGTAAACCTTGATTTATTAAAATTACAATGCTTATAATTAATACCGCCTTACATTCAGAACCTCCTTCACAAATGTATTGGACACATTGGGACTGTCGATATAAAGACTATTTCTGCTCGGGAGATCTGCATTTCCAAAGATATGCTTCAAAATAATGTCATCCTCAATCTCCAAAGTCATGTCCACATCTGTGTTACTCTCAACATCATAGATGGTGAAGTCGTCAGCCCTCATAATGCTCTCTTGTTCCATTAATCTTCTGTCGAAATGTTCTGGTCGAGCCCCTCTGACGGCCTCCAAAAAGTATTGACTGGCTGGAATCGTCTTTCCAATCAGCTTGTGGAATGCGACATCAGAGACATTGGCCAGATTCATGGCCAGGAATTCAACCCTGACCACTTCTAGATTGATCGCCGTCAACGATTTGTGGAGTTTCTCCACGATTTCATTGCTCAAATTCACATTCAGAACAACCCATCGCTTGACGGAAGTGTTTTTGAGAAGTCGACTAAGAGTTTGATAGAGTTGTGGACTAAAAATATGAACCATATATGCATATGTAAATGATGATGTCTTATATTTTACATGAAGATATCTTACCCTCCTTCCATCTCCTCCTTGGGAAAAGAGAATTCTTTGCGTTTGTGGCCGGAGGTGGCGGAGAGGTGGGCGATATTATCTTTGCAGACCAACTTCAACAGATTAATGGGACGTCGCGGGAAGAGGGCCGGATTTCGTTGGATCAGCGCATTCCAGGACTTGCTCACAAGTCGGCACCGATCCAAGTCATCGCGGTTCAAAAAGCGGAATACAATATTGAATACCTCAAGAGGCAATGGGTTCTCCTCATCGGTCTGAGTGCCTTTATCCACACCAGGTCTGCAAAGACATCAATTAGATCTTTGCAAACCCAAAAACGATAGCAGCGCTCAGACCCTACTAATAGTACTTTAGTCACTAAACCAAGTTCTCTCTAGAGCAATAGTTCCAAGAACACATATCGAAGATCTTCTTATACTACGCTAGATGAATTTGAATATTCGGCCAAAAAATCAACCCCACAAATTCAATATTGAATGTCAGCCTCTCCTCCAGACAAAAGACGTATCCTTACATTAGTCTGGATCTTTTAGACTCAGAATCTGTTGAAATTGTAGCGTTTTGCCGCTTTCGGCCGCCCACATCCGACTGATTGGTTCGTTGCTGGAAAGCCTGCAACAAAAAATCGATTAGTCGGACAGAAATCAGGCCGAACCACGACAGCAAAACTCTAGACTGACCTGCAGCAGGAGCTGAGAGGTGCGTTGAAGGCACGTTAAATGACTTCTCAACAACTCCAACTCCAGATTCTGAAGATGCGACATGATCGACCAAAGGCTGCCTTGTTATCAACCGGGTGTTTTGTCTTCGACGCTTTGCGAAAAACAATTCGAAAACCCTCTTTCTTCACCCGCACGTGAAACTTTCTAGATCTTTTGAATCTCCAATATTGACTCTCTCAACGGAATGTCACAAAAATTATTGGTTTTTTAAAGGATGACATTTGGAGGTGGTAGCCAATGTAAACTATCTAACAGATGTTTTAAGCCAGTTTCCGTTTGTTTTTGTTATGAACGTGACAAGTGACTTTTGGGGTTATTTAGAGATTCATACGGTAAGTAACAAAAAGCCGGCATTACTTGTTATTACGTCATTGTAATCTTATATTTTTTGTCGTTTAAATTGTGACGTTGACGACATTTGTTATATGATCATGTCGATTAAAACTTTTTAGTGTCTTGTCATTCGATTCCTTAGCGTTCTTACTGTAATTACAGCCGCAGTGTAAAGCGATAAGTGAACAATAAGTCGGGTCCGAAAAGTATTTTTTAAAAAGAAGTGCCAAAAGATGGATTGCCAAGAAGTCGAATGTAGCACGTGTTCATTTCTTTAATATCTTTGGAGGATATTTAGTGAAGTGAAGGCGTTGTTTTTGGGCCAGATGTTTAAGAAAAAGAGAGTTCCCAAGCGGAGAAAAGAGGATATCTTTTTAATGTCCCGTCGGATTGGTAGGGATTCGTTTGGATCAAGTTGAGGCTTCTGTGGACCATAAACAAGCTGATGGAGGCGAAGGATGGATGGGATGGGGGGGATAGGGGAGAGGGATTGAGATAAGATTTTAATCCGAAATAACGAAAATTTTGTTGCCATTAATCAGCCTTTTATGTCATCAAATTTGCGGCATTTTGTCTATCAATGGACTAAAAAACGACCTGAATTTAAAAAAATTATATCACAGCCACCCGATTAGGCGCTAGGAATATATTTAATTCGCGACTTTTATGCGGAATAAATATATTTTTCCGGCGGGCGTTTGAGGAAGACGCTCCCGCCAGAGCCGCCGCCATCTAACCCCTTGTAATGCCCAATCTTGGCCAAGAAGGAATTGGCTTCGCAAGTTGGTCGGGCCCGGCCTTCTTCTTTATCAAATCCCCAGAAGTGCCGTTTTCGGCACCCTGATAGATGGAAACGGCGTCTTAACGTTCAGGCATTGGTCACTCGGCGTCGAGGACCTCTTCGCCCGACATACCCTCGGGGCCCCAGAAGAGGGGGTTTAATTTGTTTCCATTTTCAAAAGCGTCGCGCTTTTATAACTGTGGTGTAGGATATGATGACACTTCTAGGCTTCCTTCCTTTTTCATATGTCACAGTATCTTCTATTACAGTAGTAAAAAGCAAATGTATTTTTTGGTATTACAGTATTAAAAAGCAATTGTATTTTTTGTTACTGTAAGTGTGCGTTTCTTTAAACTATGAAAAGTTTAAAAATTTATTAATGTAGCTTACAGTAATCAAGGGATCGTCGTATGTCTTACGAAATGTGTTGTGGTTTTTTTTGCATTCAATTAGCAAATGGGAAATTCTATAAAAATAGGCACGAGATTCTTAGTGGCCTGGGTTTTGAGTAAACTAATTAATTATTCTGATTCCGTCATCGCTTCAAGTGCGAAAGTTTTGATATTCCAAGTAAACTTGCGGTGCCTTTTGACAACTACTCTTTGGTTTTGGAAATTTTGGTCGTTAAAAATATTTGAACACTAATTTGTAGTTAAATTACTTTTGCCAAAAGAGTAGGGTTATTGCACTTGTTAATGGATTTTTTGAAAGCACCTTGTCTTTACTCTTTTGTAGATGTCTTTTCCCTCTCCTTGACGTATAATTGAAATTTCAGTCATAATAACTAGTTACATGAGTGTATTTACTTTTGAGGAGGGATTAATTCCGTTTCCCCGTTACTCTCTGCCACTATTTTCCGTGGTTTCCCCATAGGCAGTAAGTAATGTTTCCAAGTGAATATATTCGTTTTTTGCTAAAATTTATATAAACATCTTTCGGTGGCCACAGGCATTTATCATGATACCCTGGTATTAATATTTCGAAGGATTCCTTTACTTTACTGCCTTCATTATAATTCTCTCGGCCGGCATTTGCTGCTTTACTTCCTCTTTTGTTTGATAAAGAAAATGAATTTATTTTTAGCTATCATGTCCCCGAGTCACGGCCATCTGATACGGGTGTTGGTCGGGTCCCTTTTACTCCAACTGTGCGATGCCATCAAGGCCAAGGGGAGTCTGCCAGCAATAATTGAGGTAATATAACACTAGAGCTGGGCCTCAAATAGTGATTACGTAATCGAGTATTAAGGGCGAGCTGAGATTTGACTAAAATTTAAAAACACCGTTCACCATTGAAAAAATAATTGATGACTATGCATAAAATTGCAATCTAAAAAAATTAAGCATAAAATTGCAGGTAAATGCAGCAAAGGGTCATCCAAACCCGATCCCAACCTCGTTACAACCCTTAAAGCTATGGTGTCAGGCTATTGATGATCAAGGCCGACCTCTTCCCCTGATTTCTGCTCAATTTCGATCAAAAAGTAATGCGTATCCAGCCACTTTGAGTCCCGACAAAACTAATGCCAGCATCTCGATAGAAGCCGCTCAATCTTCAGAAGCCGGCAAATGGAGTTGCGATCTTCACTCTGGCTATGGAAATATCACGGGAATCATTGATGTGTTCGGTAAGTTCACCATTAATTTAATGAAGATTAATAAATTTAGTGAGACCAGTCATAAAACACAATGGAAATGTCCGAGTTGATGAAAAGGATGGCTCAAAGTTCTACTTGGAAATCAGCGGCCATACAGTGACAGTGGGTGATAATGTCACCTTATTCTGTCCGGTTTACGGTCATCCACCACCAGTTGTTTCGTGGAGAAAGGGGGGCAAAATTATACCTGTAAGTGATCTGATTCATTGAACAAGCTAAAAAGCTTTAATTACTCATGTTTTTGGTGCATTGATGTAGGCGTTTCGTCGGGGATCATTCGGAAAACAAAACAAATCGGCCTTGGATCTGATCTCTCGGTTCGAAATGACATAACAAAAAGGGCTGACGTTTTTTGAAAACAGGAAGTAGTTGGCCATGAGGACTACATAGAAATCGGATATGCGGTACAAACAATAACGCAACAATCGTAGTTGTAAATGCTCATACATCTGATATGAACAACAATTGGTTTCTACAGTAACCTTCCTTTAGGCATCCCCATCCAACTCGTATGCTCTTATATTCCCCTCAACGACAGATGCAGATGAAGGTGTATACACGTGTGTGGGCACCAATACTATCCATCAGAATGGTCGGCCGAAACAACATTCAGTCACCATTGATCAACATCTTCGGATCAAGAGTAAACTGGCATGGTTGGTGCCTTTCCTGATCATCCTGGCTATCTTGATCACTCTGGCCGCAGTCATCATTTTTTGTGAATGCCGGAGGAAGAAACAAACCAGGGAACTCAAACCTCAAGAAGACGACTAGTGGCTGGTTGTTATAGATTGTATACAAAGACAATGCTGTTATATATTCGTAAATTTATTCTTTCGATAAATCCATTTTTACATTATTCTAGGTTTTCTTTTCTACTACGCGTTTCCTTCGGAACCAAAGCATAAAAAATTTGATAAACAACAACATTACAATATACAATATTGGAGAGAGAAACGACGGGAGTTTGGGAATAAGTTTTAAAACCGAAGCGTCGGCGAAATTTCGGGTCTTATCTGGTAGACACCAGATATTCAAAAAGAGCTCTACAAAAAAACGAAACCACCTTCACCATTTTCCCATGATTTCTCTCAACGACTGAATAGTAATCAAAAGTTCAGATATCAAGTCCGTTATTGTTTACGTTATTAATGATAAAACGATCTCTGAACAGACAACAAATAAACTACAAATGAGGTAAAGACCTGATAAAAGTTTACATTCCCGATCCGGAAGGGCTTTAGCTCGACCTCTAGGAGATCTGGCCTGTTATTTTCGGAAATCGTATTTCAAAAATCGGATTAAAAACATTTGCGTATTTCCCCTAATCAGAATCACATTTTACGCCCTTGTGTTAGTAGATATGGTTTTCTGTCTGGTGATGACGGTTTAGAAAACCCTTTCGGATCCAAAATAAAAGCAGAAACAACCCATGCTAAGTGCAAAAAAAAAAACAACAAACAATACTAAATCAAAAATTAACCAACAACAAAACATCGCTGGCGGAAGATAATGACCGAAATGGACGAGAGAGACCCTTTAACTACTTAATACTGCTCAACTTAGAAATAGAACCCTACCTAAGACGATGTCAAATCGCTGAGTAGACGTAATCTCGATATATACTTTTAGACGTCATCGGTTAGATGAATCATTGTTAATCTAATGCCATGATAGTGTACATGTCAACATGACATAATCATTTCCATCATGACGTTGAGGGATCAGCAGGAGGCGTAGTTTCGTCTAACCGAGGAGGTGTGGGGCCATTTTCATCCGGTGGTTCAGCTTTCAAAAGGGTCTCATTTGCTGCAGACGTGGGCTCCAATGAAGTGGCGGTTGCCACTTTCCCATTAGGAGTGGCGGGCTTCCTGTTCTCCACAGCTATCGAGGTTGAGGGGGTTTTTGTCTCGTCCGTTTCTTGGACTATAACTTCCTCTGCTCGTTGGATAGTGTAGGCAAGAAATCGCTGATGTTCATCCATTTCGTTTAACATGGGGCCGAAGGTCTCCTTATATTTGGGGTCTAATATACAAAAAGGTTGAATTAAAGCCCACACGGCCGTCGTGAGTGCCGTCACCCGCGCTTCCGTCAGCCGTACATCTACTTTGCGGGCAGCAAGAGCTTGAAGGACGGCATCAAATCGAGGTACAACTCTGGCAGTGGCTTCGCAGATCAATTCGTTCAGTTGAGGGCTCACTTCCTCCAATGACACTGATGAGAGCTTGTCGGTTATCACATGGCAAAGCTTGAGGATGCATACGGAGTGTTCCAGAACTCCATTTACATCAAACACCCATTCATTGTTGCTTAGGGCTTGTGCTGAAACAGATTAATTAGATTTCGATTGGATTCCGGCTCTTTCGGTTTGCAAATGGCTTCAGAAATCCACAAAAAGATTGCTGTTTGGCACGTCCCTGTCCGCTGTATGGCTGCACCATACCGCGAATAAGAACTCCTACAAAAAAAGAATTTCGAAATCCCTGTTGCCACCTAAACCAAAACAACAAAAAGCCAAGGAACTTACAAAGATAAGGGCTCAACTCCACAAAATCATCCATGTTTTCTCGTTTGAGTTTGGAGAACCTCAGTGAGTGAGCAGTTAACAGTCGGTTGTATTCGTACCTCCGCCGACACATGACCACCAAAAGGACTAGGGAGATGATGAAAACGGCGCAGAGAACGGCAAGTGCGAGATAAACGACAACATCCATGAGAATCGACGGTGGAATGTCTCGATCACATAATATTCACCCAGCAAAGTTGTGTGGGTACCCAAACAATGTTCTTCTTGCCGTTAAATTCAGATTGGATAAAAGATGCGGCGATTAAAAGTGGGACCGGCAGTTGCGATGAGCTGAGGCTCCAATCTGAAAAACAAAAACATTCGGTGCGTTATCAGAAAACAAACATAAAAATCACATACATTATGCATACCGAAACTTTTTGATTTCACAATAAAACGACCAAAATCCGCGCGAAACAAGCCGCCAAGGAAAAAGGTGGGCAAAGCGGGCAGAGAAGAGAATGGTATGGAAGAAGACAACACAAGAATTGGCTGCGCACTCATATACAACACCAAGGAACGCGCGTCGGAGGTCAAAAGGGAGAGAGGAGGGCTGGCGAGAGAGCACCTCAAGGATGCTCCTCCGATGTCCTCCAACCTGAACCAAGACGAGCTCGCGCGAATCGAATGCGCACTACGATCATTCCTCCTTTTCCCCATCTTCTCGCTGCTCGCGGTATCATGCGAACGCAAAAAAGATAAAGCGGATAAAAACAAGTGTGAGGAAGACTTGACACGTCGCTTGTTGTTGGGTCAACTCTTGCCCCGCACGCAAGACTTGACACAAAGAAACAAAAACAAAATAATGTATAGTTGGGAAGGAGATGGGATAACAGATCGAGAGGAAGGGAAGTCTGCTGAGGTCACTGGCGTTCGATCCACTCCGCTTTATCACTGATATTATTCCTAGTTAAGTGTGTGTGGACTTGTTTCCGCGATCGGAACGCACAGTGCAGGTAGATTTGTGTTTAACAAGACGGGATGAGTGTTTTCCAAAGCCATGCGGTCGGTCGAACACGGCGATAATCGTTGTGGTCTTTTTTGGACTTAATTTGTGGGTTTAGGGCTGTTTTGAGGATTTGGTGATTCAGCGACAAGATTGTTTGATTTATGCCTAAAATGCGACGTCAAACCATCTTGTCGCTGAATCTTTGTCGAAAGTGTATTCGTCTGTTTTATAATTTAGGCATGAGAATGAGGTGAAATTATGATTTATTGTCGGACATCACACATTCTCCAGCTGTTGTCTTGAGGTTTCCCTTCAGAATAACACCTCCAGACGGTCGGTAAATTGAGGCCGTACGTGCCTTTATGATTCCGAGTGGCTTTAGTTTTATTTTTTAAAATGTTTGGGTTAGTTTTCGTCTTGGAAACAAGTTATAGATAGATAAGGGGATTCTTTGCTAATTACTCTACTCTCTTACCTTACCGACCCAGGGATAGGGTTATTTTAGGAAGTAATTAAGGCTTTGCTGACAGCAATTCCCTGTCCTCGTTCTTCGTTGTATTATAGATGGCAGATGTCTTCCTGTCTGTCCCATTCTCCCTCCCCTTTTAGTCAGATGTTCTTTCACACATTTTATTCTCATCAAATTACTTTTATTCGAGATATTAATTCCGACTGACTTTATTTGGCACTGCCCAAGTGGTGCGTCCCCCTTTCCGAGGCTTCCCTTCTCCCTTTTTTATCGGCGCTTGCTAATTCTTGGCCTGAGCAAAGCCAATAACACCTAATATGTGAGTCCTAATCCCAGAATTCATTGTATTAATTGTGCGATGACATTCGGCATACGTCAATGGCTTCGGGAAAGCGCAAAAAGGCTGCGGCATGTGTTAAAATTTGCGTGATATGGAGTGGTGGCCGGAGGAAGGGGACGGATTTACTCGAAATTTCCAAAGTTCTCAGCCAACGGCTTCCTTTTTCGGCCAAGATGGGAGGGAATTGATATCAATTTGAAACGGACTGTTTGTCGAATTACGTATGGTCCTGAAGTTGCGAAAATGACTTTACTGGTTATAAAATTGATTTCGGGTTCATTTTTATTATCATATGGTTGTACCATCTTTCTTTTTTTACATTAGAGGTGCATTTTATACGCTTGTATAGATGCGTAAACGAGTATCACAGCAGTATAATATATATTATGCCTTTTACAATCGATAATGTCGTGCACTTAATCGAACGAAGTTGTTTGCCAGAATAACCATGGCATCGGTCTGATTAATTGGTGTTCACGTTTTCAGGGAGATGAGAGGTGAGATGTGTGAGGATCTGAAGTCGTCGGCTCAGAATGAAGAGCCGGTGTCTGTCGAGAAGCAGCAAGAGTTGTTACTCATGAACAAACTCGCCTCTGGTGGTCGCCTTCCTCCGAAAACACAAAGCAGTTTCCTGCAGAAGAAATTGCAACAACGGGTGAGTGTCGTATATATTTTGTTGTTTTTAGGCGTGGTTTTTAATGCTTTCTTCTTTTACACATGTAATGCAAAACATGATTGCAGAAGTTCTTCGACTCCGGTGATTATGCCATGAATCAAGATAAGGAAAAGAAACACCAACGCCAACCATTTGCCAAAACGATTACTGAAGGGAAGCCATTACCCGCCCCTCCGGCACCAGTAACCCCAGTGAAAGTAGTCGAAAAGGAGGAAGTGAGGATCGCACCGCCACCCTTGGTCTCAGAACCATCTCAACAAGCAGATTCGGGGTCAGATGAGGAGGAACATCTTCAGATTCCTCGGCCAGAGAACGTCCCTCAACGAAAAGCGTCGATTCTTCATCCATCGGTCCACTCCAAACTTAGTCCCCAGCCCCATATTCATCACGAACATAACGATGACTTGTCTTCCTGATCCCATTTGCCCAGTGATTTCCTTGTCATACCGTGGCTTTACAGACTTGTATTTATGAATTGTACGCCAAGTACAACGCCCCTTTCTTACTGTCGACAGAGTTCTTACTTAGCCGCAAGTCTTGAATTTCCTGCACCTTATACGACTGGCACCCTATTGTTGTCTGTAGTGTAGTGAATGTCCGGATATTAACTTGTTTTTATTGTCAATTGTAATTACAGTTCCACAACTTCCTGATACTTATTAGCTGCAGAAAGGTCACGGTATCTATATTGTCTCTCAACATTAATTAATCGCACATAACGCCTCTGTAACCGGTGGCGGTCCCTCAAAATATCTACCAGTCATAGACTGTACCTTTATTTTACAATACCCTAGCGTCTAAGCTTGAGTCATTCCCCTTCTTCTATCCAATTGTAATTATATAGAAAAAATAAATAATATTTTATATGCGAGTGCATGTTATGTTGGAACACCGACGCGGAATATCGGGTATTTTATTTCGTCGCTATTTCGAAACAAAAAATTATTTTTTTCTACCAGTGAAAATCCGAAAAAACTTTTTCTTTCAGGTTTTCGAGAATTCTTGCAAAAATGCAAGCTCCCAGAGAGTTGCAACATTTCGCAGATGCATTTAGTAAGGTAATATTTTTTTGACAATTGGTTCCCAAAGAAAACAAAATTTATACCGAAGCTCTGTAACTTTTTTAGGCCTCCGCCAATGCCATCCGTAATGTCTGCATTATTGCCCATGTAGACCATGGAAAAACGACGATTGCAGATGCACTTATCTCCTCCAATGGCATAATTCCCCGTGAGGCTGTTTAATTTTATTTTATTTTGGATGTTTAGCTCGATTGGTTGGACAAATGCGATTTTTGGACTCAAGGGAGGATGAACAGGAAAGAGGAATCACAATGAAATCTTCGGTAGTGTCCTTATCCTTCGATCCCCTTCTTTTGAATCTGGTTGACAGTCCGGGACACGTTGATTTCTTGGCCGAAGTTAATTCTGCTGTCAACGTAGCTGATGTTGCTCTCCTTGTCGTCGATGTGGTTGAAGGAGTGTGTTCTCAAACAGAGAGTCTTCTCAGACAGGCGGTTCTAAATCAAGTTCAAGTGATATTGGTGCTAAACAAGATTGATCGATTGATAACCGAGTTGAAGTTAACCGAATCAGAAGGATTTCAACATATCAGACAGTTGATTGAGAATGTCAACTCCACATTGTCCCAGATCTTCCATGGATTGCTCCTTGAGGAACAAACCGATCAAATCGAATGGGATAAGATGGATGCAGTTGAGCTCCGGCATCATTTCCATCCCTCCCATGGAAATGTCCTTTTTTCTTCCGCTATTTTTGGATACGCCTTTTCGGTAGAAGATTTTGCATCCAAATGGGCACCAAAACTCAAGCTAGAAGCATCATATCTTCAGGATAATCTCTTTAGTGATTGTTATTTTGCCAGTGGCCAATTACAGCATGATGCCGAAAGGAAAGGAAAGAAGACTCTCTTTGAACAATTGGTCCTCACTCCCCTGTGGGAGGTATACAAAGTCGCGTTTCAAGATAAAGACGTCGATAAATTGAAGACGACAGCATTGAAGTTAGGTCTTCCCGCATTGAAGTCAAAGAGATGTGAAGAGGCCTTCCATGAACTGATGAGAACATGGATGCCGTTGAGCTCAGCAGTCGCAAGAGCTGTAGCCCGATGTCAAAGTGCCAAACAAGCGTTTACTTCGGATGCGAGAATTGCCAGGATATTTCCGGCAAATGATTGTGATGAGATTGTGAAAGGTCTGAAGAGTTGTGATCCTGAAGACCCACTTTTGTTATTATTCATCATGAAGTTGTATGTGATCGATGATAAGAAGCTGGCTGTCTGCAGAGTTATGAATGGAATCGTCAAGAAAGGTATTTTTTTAATGACTGGTTTATTGTAAATTTTTCAATGCTACTTTATATTTTTTTAGACCAATTTGTATTTCCTGTCCGAAAAGATAAGGAATCGGATTCTCAACGGGTGAATTCGATAAATATAATGCTTGGGAAGGACCTTCATGAAGTTGAACAAGCAGTTGCTGGTTCTATCGTCGCCGTTGAGTTCACTGACTTCCCATCTTCTTGCACTTTGTCCAATCAGAAGATAAATTCAGAGGGACTTGGGTTTGACACAGCAGGAATGGAACCGTTAGTTCGGGTAACCCTCAGGACATCTCTGGATCTCCAAACCGCCACTCAATTAAAGCAAGGACTTAAACATTTGAGTATTGTGGACCCTTCTGTCAGAGTATTCGAACAAGAAGATGGAGATCTTGCCTTGGTTACTGCTGGGGAAGTTCATTTACAGAAATGTTTGCAGGTTGGTCTAAGCCCTTACAGTTGTGTAACTAACATGTTTTTCATACATTTAGGATCTAGAACAGCTTGGACTGACAGATCTTGAAGTCTCCGAACCAATCGTTCCGTTCCTCGAAACCACAGTACCCGACTTGCAAAGTTCCAACGCCAAGATTGTCGCAACTCATCTTACTGTAAGCTTTGATGTCCCTCCGGTTTAAAACCCTATTTTAGGAATGTTTCCTGAAGAACTTCAATTTGAAGTTGAAGTTGCGAGCAGTTCCCTTGTCTGAAGAAATCGTACAAGTCATGAAGAAGTACGAGAAATGCCTTTCCCAGTTCAAAGAAGGTTGGTTTTATTTTTATCGGTTTTTTAATTTTTTTGTTTTTTTTTCTTGTGGCTTATTATGTTATATATATTGCTTTAGGAATACGGTCACCTGAATTGTTGACTTTTTTGAAAGAATTGAAAGAAGCCGCGTCTTCAACGTTGCCAGGAACTAAGGGAACGTTCTGGGTACGGAAGACAAGAGAGGATGTCGAGAAAATATTTGACGGACTATGGACATTTGGCCCGAGAAAGGCCAAGTTTAACATTTTGTTCAACATGATCACTGAAAAAGGTAAACACAGAGAAAGCTAGTGTTTTATTTTGATTCTTTTAGATGACACTGTAATAAGATCATTGGAAAGAGCTGTAATCGGTGGATTCGAGTTGGCGATGAGTCTTGGCCCATTATGTGATGAACCAATGCATGGAGTGGGAATCGTGGTGGAAGAATTAGGTTTTGTGGCTCCAGAAGAAGACTCGGAAGAAGAAAAGGAACCAGTGGAAGTAACAGATCCTCAACTTCAAGGTCAGATGATCTCGGCGGCCAAACAGACCATACGAGCAGCGTTGCGGAAGACCCCGATGAGATTGGTGACTCCCATGTACAAGTGTAAGATCCAAACATCCGCTCAAGCGCTTGGAAAAGTACACACAGTACTTGGGCAAAGACATGCCAAAGTTCTCGATGAAGACATCAACCAAGCGACAGGATTCTTCGAGATCGACTGTTATCTTCCTATTGTTGAGAGTTTCGATTTCTGCGAACAACTGCGAAAGAAGACCTCGGGTGTAGCGTCTGCCCAACTCCACTTCAGTCATTGGCAGGTTATCGACGAAGATCCGTTTTGGCAACCTTCGACGGAAGAAGAACTCGAGGAATTCGGAGAAAAGGGCGATACGGTAAACCAGGCTCGGGAATACATGAATAATATCCGGCGAAGAAAAGGTCTCCCAACCGACGAGGTCCTGGTCGTAAATGCAGAGAAACAAAGAAACTTGAACAGAAAAAAATAAATTTCTATCTGTTATTCTTTATTATTATCCTTTCCGTTGTTAATTGTTACATTTGTTGTTACTATAAACTCGGTTGTTTCCATTAAAACAAGTTTTCCGAGAGACTCGAGCTTTCAGATTTGCCTTGTGCACATGAAACAGGATGTCACAGTAGAGCCATGAAACACTAACCATGTGTTACCCTAACCTCGAGTACTAAATTTCAGAAAAAATTTTTTTGATTACTGGCCTACTGTAGGTGTACTGTAGCTTTCCCGCATTTCCAGGATCTCAGCCACGAGAGGTTGGATTCTCTCCGGACCTTCTCTGTGTTATAGAATGGACAATTCTAAGCAACTTTCGTATTGACACCTTTTCCCTAGGACTTCTGGAAGTATGTGAAAAATTTGCATATTTGGCAAAAAATTTATATTTCTTAAACTTTCTAAAAAAATTTGCATATCGGGACGTCCTTTTTATTGCTCTAAATGACGCTCCATGAAGCAACAATTCAAACGGTATATAGGTCATCGCAAGGCGTTCTGCCTATGTTGCAAACGAGGCTTCTAAAGGTCGGGTCATCACGGATTTTTCTCGGGCTAAAATTTTATATGCGAGATATTGGGACAAAATTTGGTCTTATTATAATCTACGCAAAATTCTAAGACTTTTGGACCACACTTTTATGAGTCTCAGACCGACCGGTCGAAAGATACGACCGATTCTTGAGACTTTTCCGGTATTTTACAATTTTTACCCGGAAGGTGACGGAATTTCGAGGTTTCTTTGATTGCGTTTAATTCAGCGTCTGTGAATAACTCAATGTTTGTCGCTTTTCATACTTTAGCTATTCAAGTTTTTTTGAAAAGTTGGTTGTCGCTTCTAGGAATATTCTGAGGTACATCTGTATTTTTTTTGGAGTCTGACACCATGCCGCAAGTAAGCTTCTAAGAGGAAAAATTGACAAAATTACCTTTTTTAGTTGCCGCATTTCGAGATTATTCTATAGACCGAATCGATCAAAATATTTTCCATTTATTTTCAGTTCGGAAAAAATCATGCAAATTTTTGTCGGTTTTTCCTCAAAGAAATTTTAATATCTAAAATACGAAACGCTAATGTGATGAATGGAGCACGTATCTAGTTTAAATTATATGTTCGGATTCAATTGTGCCATCAGAATGCTGAATTTCAGTCATTAAAATGGAGTTTTGTTAGATATTGCGCAAAAATTTTTAGACAAAAAATCCTTTTTTTTCGCGAACATCCGTATCGGTATGCGGGATCGATGTACGTAGGCAACTTTGTACGTGCTACATCGAATACTGCCATCAGAATCCTAGAAACCCAGAAATTTCGTCACCTTCCGGGTAAAAATTGTAAAATACCGGAAAAGTCTCAAGAATCGGTCGTATAAAGCGGGAGATAAAAGATTTTCTGAAAAATTTTTGAAATTTTTCTGTTTTTACTTTTTTTTTTAAAAAAAAGTAAATTTTCAGTTTACTTCAAGGAAAATGCAAAAGAAAGTCAATTTTGTTTCTGGCTTTCCGACTTCAAGGTCGGGAGTAGGACCGGATCTTACTCCCCGCTCGGAGTCGCCGAAAGTCAGAGCTTGTTTTTACTTTATTCCTCTTTTTGGCCCCGCACTGCAGATTGCAAGGTTGATGCCAAGTCTTTCCCTGATGTGTCAAGTTTTTCTCTTCCGAAAAACTTATTTTTACGTTTGTGCGACGTTGTGAAGCTATGTTCTCCACGAAGATGGGCTGGAAAGTGATCAAGTAAGTTAGCATTGGCAAGAGGAGATGTACGTTTTTCATTTGACATCAAAAATTTCCATTTTATTTCAGAGAAAGGTACAAAATTTTTCCAATTCGTAAAGCTTCATGACCATGGATAATGTAAGTGAGATTATCTCGTTTTTTGCTACGACGTCAAGATTCTAGGTCGGGAAACGTTTAGAGGAGACCCCACTCTCATGTATATTCTCCATGTATGAAACCCCATAAATTTTGAGGAATAACGACGTAAAAATTTCAAATACTATACTAACTTTCCAAAAGTATGTTATACTAAAGTAAAACCTATGCAAACTATCTTCAAGTTATTGTAACAACGTTATTTGAGCCTTATTACGTTATTACCTCAGTTTAGAACGCATTCGTGGCAAAAATCCGGCAGATCTGAGCGGATTTCGATATTGTACATGACACCTAGAAATCGAATTTGGTGGCGTTTGATAGATAGAGTATATAACAAAACTAAAGTGAGGTGTCCTCTAGAACTCGCCAGCCTAGACCTGTTAACTCCAATAACGGAACAAAAAACGCGATAAGCGCACTTACATTATCCATGGTCATGAAGCTTTACGAATTGGAAAAAATTTGTACCCTTCTCTGAAATAAAAGGAAAATTTTTGGTGTCAAATGAAAAAAGTACATCTCCTCTTGCTAATGCTAACTTACTTGATCACTTTTCAGCCCATCTTCGTGGAGAAAATAGATTCACAACTTCAAAAAAAAAATCAAAACGTTTCTTCCGGGAGAGAGAAATTTGACACATCTGGAATTCCCGGGCGCAGCTCGCAAAAATAGTTTTGAAGAAAATAAATTGGCGTGCAGGTGAGTAAAAACGGCATCCTACTCACCAGCCAAAATGGGCGAGCCATTTTTGTTTCAACTTTGCGGATCGACCTTTTGGCGAGCCATTTTTGATCCAACTTTCCAAAAATTTGTCGTTCGGAGTAAGAATGTTTTTTGACTCTCCGAAATCGAAAATTTCCGGAAATTTTTCAAAATTTACTTTTTTTTTTAAAAAAAAGTAAAAACAGGAAAATTTCAAAAATTTTTCAGAAAATCTTTTATCTCCCGCTTTGTATCTTTCGACCGGTCGGTCTGAGACTCATAAAAGTGTGGTCCAAAAGTCTTAGAATTTTGCGTAGATTATAATAAGACCAAATTTTGTCCCAATATCTCGCATATAAAATTTTAGCCCGAGAAAAATCCGTGATGACCCGACCTTTAGAAGCCTCGTTTGCAACATAGGCAGAACGCCTTGCGATGACCTATATACCGTTTGAATTGTTGCTTCATGGAGCGTCATTTAGAGCAATAAAAAGGACGTCCCGATATGCAAATTTTTTTAGAAAGTTTAAGAAATATAAATTTTTTGCCAAATATGCAAATTTTTCACATACTTCCAGAAGTCCTAGGGAAAAGGTGTCAATACGAAAGTTGCTTAGAATTGTCCATTCTATAACACAGAGAAGGTCCGGAGAGAATCCAACCTCTCGTGGCTGATATCCTGGAAATGCGGGAAAGCTACAGTACACCTACAGTAGGCCAGTAATCAAAAAAATTTTTTCTGAAATTTAGTACTCGAGGTTAGGGTAACACATGGTTAGTGTTTCATGGCTCTACTGGGACATCCTGTTTCATGTGCACAGCTAGCTCGACCCTTACAAAAAAGCTGTTTTAAGTTACACTGCACTCGCTTTCGGCCTGTGATGTCATTTTTTAAATGACTAAATATATTTTAAATGTGTTTCCTGGCCGATTACGCAATATTGTGGAGAGCACGTTCTCTAATGTCCTCTTCCACACCCCGAACCCTACAAATATTAAGCGATTAAAGTACGGCTGGGTGCCACGTACCTTACCAATTACACTTTAATGCCTAAGGCCAGATGTGAGGTTATTCAATTGCAAATAGTTTGGGTTTTGTATTTTTAGATTATCCATGACGTAATCTTTTTCTGTGGATTAATACCGCCGCTTTGCTGTGTTTTAAAGTTTTGCGCGGAGGGAGGTATAATATCAATCTTTCCTTCCCTCCCGAAATAGAATGATCTTATCTGCACGGCGGCAACGCTAAAACCTTTGAATATATGGGTATTCCTAGAGGGGATCGACTGGGCCGGGTTGTTAAAACTATACTTTATTTACCCTTTGCTTCCCTTGCTCTGCCTTGCCCGGCCACTCTCTCGCCAGCCACGTGGTGTAACACTACATTTGGGAAGCGCCCGGTGTCCTGCCTCGGGGCACTTTGCTTATTAGGCGCTGCCTAATATATTTTCACCTGTCCTTTTTTCGTTTCTCCCCTCTCCGTCAGCGATGTTTGACTTCTGAATGTGGTTTTATTCTCTGACAATCTCCTCATTTTCAGCGCTCTCTGATCGCCTCCGGTACTTTTTCTTTCCCTCTCGCGGTCGACCCCCGGCTTTTTATTAGAGTTCACGGGAGAGTGAAGGAAGGAAGGAGTAGGGGAGAAGGAAACCAAGGCGAAACGAGGGGATTGTTGCAAACACAAAAAACGCTCCGAAAATTCCAAAAAACTCGTCAGAAATTTGCCGCTCTTCGTGTTAATTTATGAACTCTTAGAGGATTCGCAATGGATTTGGGTAAGTCTCTTATGCTCTTTATTGTACATTTCCTATTTGATTGTCCTCTTGTTGAAAGTCACCTCATATTTTGTAGTTCAATATTCATCCGAAGTTTCGGATTACCTCTCATTTTTGAATTTCTTGGTTTGATTTCCATTATTATTCAAGAACTCACATGCCTTTGAGAGCGGGTCCAATATTCTGCGGGTTTGTTCGGCTCTCTGGCTATAAATTGTAGCCCTTGCGCAATAAATAATTTATAAATAGTAATTCCAAGGTTTTGGCAATACTATTGTTTTGATGACTGGAAACTGAAAATGAAATTGTTTATTTTTTTAAACGATATATTGCCCCGGAGGATAACAGTTTAAGTACGGGATCAACAAGGAGTCCTAACGACCAATTTGTAGGCTTAGAAATGTAGGGTAGTAATCAGTATTAGTGTTTTTGTGGGGGATAATCCTTGTATGGGCTATGGTTTGTATAAATAGAAATTTTCAGTTGACCCTCTGGCCGAACCCTGTGCCGTTTGTGGCGATAAAAGTACGGGTACCCATTATGGAGTTGTTAGTTGTAATGGATGTAAAGTAAGTCGTGCTCGTTAAAGGTTTGTATGAATTTAGGGATTCTTCCGTCGAACCATCCTCCGCAATCAACGATTCACTTGTCGTTTCAACAAACAGTGTGTAATCGATAAGAACTTCAGATGTGCCTGTAGATTCTGCCGTTTCCAGAAATGTCTGACCGCAGGGATGAAACGGGAAGGTAAGGAAAAGAGCCATGTGATATTATAATAAAGGTCCTTATGATCAATTTATTTGCTACTAATCATATTGTTTTAGCCATTCAATTTGAACGTGATACAATTGGATCTCCCAAGAAAGGCCGAGCCAATTCCCCACCACCAATGTCCGCAGGGCCTTCAGGAATGGGAGGACCGCCCGATGAGAGAGCTACGGATGTTATCGACGTCCTCATGGACATGGAGATCCGGGTCAACGAGGAAATGTCTCAAAGATACAGAAACTCGATGCTGTCTCAAGCCGCCGCTGCTGGAGAGAATGATCCGAATGGAGACCTGAAGTCATGCACGGTGGATGACCTGAACGAAATCAGCCGAACGACCTTACTTTTGATGGTGGAATGGGCGAAAAGCCTGTCACCGTTCCCCGAATTGAGTATGGAAGACAAGATCATCTTGTTGAAGAACTACGCTCCTCAACACCTGATCCTGATGCCGGCTTTCAGAAGTCCGGACACCACTCGAGTTTGTCTTTTCAACAACACTTATGGCCGAGAACAAAACAATGGAGCAGAACTGAATGGATTCGCGGCCTTCAAGACCTCCAATATCACTCCCAGAGTCCTGGATGAGATCGTTTGGCCAATGAGACAACTGCAGATGAAGGAACAAGAGTTCGTTTGCCTCAAGGCCTTGGCCTTTTTACATCCAGAAGCCAAAGGATTGAGTTCATCCAGCCAGACGTTGATTAGAGATGCCAGGAACAAGGTTCTCAAGGCCTTGTATTCATTCATCATGACTCAGAATCCAGAAGATGCCCCAACCCGATATGGAAACATCTTGTTGTTGGCTCCAGCCTTGAAGGCATTAACCCAGCTGCTGATCGAGAACATGACATTGACCAAGTTCTTCGGACTGGCTGAAGTGGACTCACTTCTTTCCGAGTTTATTCTCGATGATTTGAACGATCAGACCTCGGCTCCGGCTTCTCTGAAAGAGCATTTGTCCTCAGCCCCGACCTTTAGCACTGTCGGGACCTCCGCGAATAACCTCCCTTCGACTCACAACTCCCAGATGTCTATCCCGATGTCCTCCTTGAGTTCCGGCTTTGGTAATGTGACCACCTCGTCCGCTTATTATCAACCCCAACTGAACGCAATGATGGCGCCAGCCATGAATTCGGCGATCTACAGCCAGAACTCGAACCTGTTGATGAACAACCTCTCCCAGGCGATGCCCGCGACCAGCCAGAATCCCACTGATACCGTTATGACCATCCTGTAATAACCTCCTCTCTCTGCAGTTATCCGCCCAATACACAAAAGTATCTTGTTTTTATGTTGTACTTGACCATCAGGTGGTAAAGTTGTTTTAATTAACCCTTCCACCCACAGAATTCACTGATTCTTTGATGTTTATGTCATTTTGGTGTCTGGATATCACTTTTTTTACATGAGAAGATACCATGATGATCAGTTTATATTACGCTAGATCAGGTTTGATTACTTTAGGTGTCCCCGATTTCAGAAAAAGTACTTTTTTTTACTAAGTTATGTTGTATTTGCCAAAAAGCCAGTTAAAGTATGTCCTCCGCAAATCTACCGTCTCTTGGCATTACTTCATGTTCATGTACATTAAAATCTTTCAAGATGTTTTCAAAAAACTGGTTGGTATTATTGTTGAAGAGTCATGTTGAATGTAACACACGTGGTTGTAACCAATTGAAGGACCATAAACCTCTTGAATTATCCATTTTGCACACCCAAAACACCTGGGGGAATGAAAAAGCAGGAGTTAGGGCACCAATTACTTTCCCCATTATTTCATACACTGATCAATGAGCTCATTTTGTTCGGTAAACAGTTGAATTCAGAGTCAGGTATGAAAAGCCCCAAGGAATATTGAGGAAGAGATTTTAGTTTGCTTCAGAACACCAAAATAGGCTCCAAAATCATTTTTTTTTCGATTTTTTTGATCTCAAAAAGTATGAATTTGGATGATGCTTTCCGAAAGCTGAAGAGATTTGTATTGGGTGTTACTATGCCAAATACAAATCATAATTATAATCGTTTTGGTTGGCCTTTCTTTCCCGCTTATCAGCGCCAAGAAATAATCGAAGGGGGAGAAGTTGCCAGGGTCACGTGATCGCTGCTCGGGCCCTGAGGGAACGAAGAGAAAGAGAAATGGAGAGAGCGAGACAGGCGTCTTCTTGTACATGCCCCTTGTAGATTGGGGCTTCTTGGCGTCCCCCGAGAGAAGGAAAGTCATTTATTTTTGTGCGAAAACAATATTTCTGTGAGTGCCCTACCTGTTGGCCATTAAAACAATTCCCGGTGCAGTTTAATCTTTTCAAAAAAATGTTGACTCAGTTGTGGCGAAAGCGGGGCTCTATTTTGACGCGTTTTTTCCACGGGGAAATGTTGGATCGCCGGGGGATACTAGGGTTTACAATTTAAAATCATCAGAAGTCCGGGTGATCTCTAATGCAATACGATTTGAAATATGATTACTATTTAATTTACAATCTTATTACTGCAAGTTTTCGAGTACATTCTTTTCGCTTATAATCTTGTTTTTATCCGACCAATCCTCGAATTTTAGCGAGATATTATCCTTCTTCACGTGTCCACACTTCATTTGTGAGAAGGTGTTACTTTATTAGAGTTTTAAATAAGTTTTCAAAATTGATAAGGCCGTTGTGAACAACTTTATGGCTTATCTGATGCCATCCCCATCTTCATCGGCCTCTTCGACGTCCTTGAATCCATCACTGAGTCCCCCAAATATGTCACAATGTGCAATTTGTGGGGATAAGGCGACCGGGCGACATTACGGGTGTGTAAACAGTTGTGATGGATGCAAAGGTTGGTAATTATAATCAAAAAAATTTGCCAAATTCCTTGACATTTGCGTCTAACTAAATAATATACGATCAATTTTTGCAGGGTTTTTCCGTCGAAGTATCAGAAAAGAACACATTTACAAGTGTCGCTTCAAAAATGATTGCAATGTCGACAAAAGTAAGTTTTCTTCCCGAATAATTTTACTTTGCATTTCTCAGTTTTGCATAATTTCAAATGCCCTGGGGCATCCGGTTAATTGTCTTCTTTTCTTGCATAAAAAACCGGTTTTAATTACAATTTAGAGTATAAACAACACGTGGGCATAAAATTTAAAGTAAGGAGATTAGAAATGGCGTGATCAGGTGCTTTTTTGGTTCATACGTAACAGCAGGTAGGAGGCGATGATTATATAATTGAGCTTCGAAAACAAATGACAGAACTCATTAGAGCTGCACGGGAACATAAGACTCATGGCATGTTTATCCCATTGTATTTTTAAATATTCTGTCATAATGCATTAAGGCATGAGATTTTGGAAGGAAAACAGGGATCATTGAGGTGTAATATCGTTGTTCGATATACAGTAGGAACTCTTTTCGAATGAAACGGTGCTAAATAGGCATGCGTTTGTTTTGTACACGGTCCCATGGGATTCAAATTCAACTTTCATGTACAAAATTTCAATTTTTTGTGTTTCAAATCTCCGTTACTGATGCCTACAATTTCTATCCACGTGTTTTCAGCCCACCGTAATGCCTGTCGCGCCTGTCGTCTCCGGAAATGTTTCGTGGCTGGAATGCGGATCGAAGCCATCCAAAATGAACGAGATTCCATCGGAAAAAGACGAAAACTGGACCCGGAATTAAATGAAGGGGCCAACTTCTTAAAGGACCTGACAAATGCCGAAAGCCTGTGTATACAGTTGAGGGAATCTGTGATCAAAAGTACCGATCAGATTAGCTATGACAAAGGGAAGATCAAGTATGAAGGAAACACCAAAATGGCGACACTAAATGATGTGGGATCTAGTATTCATCAACAATTATTGCTGACTGTGGAATGGGCAAAAAGTTTGGGGCCTTTCAGAGAGCTTGAGTTGGATGATCAGGTATGCATTGGCTTTGGATGTCAACAAAAATAAGATAGAACTGCAATAGGATGCTTTTTGGATTAAAAACCCGCTCAGGAAGTCAACCTGACTTTGCGATTTCCACTTAGTTCCTTAAAACGGTAAAATTACAAATAACCCCAAAGATCTTTGATCCCTAACCTTGCTTGTTTACCAGTAGTGGACTTGGAGAGCTTCTAAAAAAGGACAAAGCGGGGGTCATACGAACATTGATTTGATTGATTAATCAAGGTAATTGTAAACTAAAATGTGATTATGGTGCTTTCTCGACCCAAAGAACACCCGTATGTTTTATCACAAACTATGGCATGATGATTAAACATAATAAAAAATTATATTATCCATGACTTCAGGCGGCTCTTCTCAAAGCAAATGCGACTTCTCTAATTGTTTTGGCGGTGGCCATTCGATCCATGGCCTTGGATGATGGGATTTGTTTGGCTAACGACACTTATCTGCCTATCGAGAATGCTGCTTTGGTCGGTGATATCAATGCTGTTGTTGTTCGGATTGTCAGAGAATTGGTTCGGCCGGCAAGGGAGTTGGGAGTTGAATTGTCCGAGTATATTGCACTCAAGGCCGTCCTTTTCTTCAATCCTTACAATGCTGGTGAGCAATTAAAGACATATTTTTTTGAATTTTACAACTAGGTCATCTATATACACGTATATATTAATTTTAGTCTCCGTTTCCCCCGAATGTGTCAGAAAATTGCAAGAATCCCGTTTGATTTCCCTGAAAGCTCTGAAACAGTCGGTCCGTGAAGGTGCGGACAATGAGTGTCGGATGGGAGAACTCCTTCTGCTTCTTCCCGCAGTCCAGGCCGTAGCCCAACAATTGGCTGAAGATGTTCAACTCTGTCGATTATTCCAATTAACCTCGGTTGATTCGTTGATGGAAGCCCTTATTCTCCAGGAATACAAAGAGGATTCGGTCGACAAGAGAATTTTGGTAGAACGATTGACCAGTATGAACCCAGGATAACTCAGAAAATCATCTTGCCTACCGTATTCCGCCAGGCCAAATTCATCTTCATCGATGCTCATCGGGTGTAAAATGTGGCTCACAAACCGTTTTACAGTATTGCGAGTAATTCTACAGTACGTTGTACATAGTTGTTTTTTTCGAACATTTCTACCGTAATCCAAAGCCATATCTTCGAGTATTATCTTGTGTAAAACCAGTGCTCTGTTTCAGTATTCCCAACGAATAATCACCTCAAACTGTTCCAGTATCACAAGTTTATTTATGATCATCAATTATACTTATGGAAAATAAAATAACCCGATGAGAAAGAGGAATATTACTATCTAAAATTATATATCTTTTCACTGATATGGTGTTCATTATGCAAGAAATGGCGCTCTCTACACCCCGAGATTGGCCCAGGTGCAGCCGGAAAGAATGGGCAGGAAGAAGATTAAAAAATTAAATCAAAATACAGGGTGGGCCACTCGAAACTCCCAACCTCTTTTTAAGTATTTCTCCGCCGATAATGCACCAATTTCTATGAAATTTATATCAAATTGAAGCTGAGACACCCCATTTCTTGTCCACCAAATATGGCCCGTCTAACTTCACGGAGGCACCCGTGCTGACCTTTTACATTTTCATTCCAAATTTTGGAGCCTGAAATCGGTGAAACTTAGAAAATTTTTGGAATGATTTCCAGTTGAGTTTCTTGAAATTGGAAAATGCTCGCGCCTTTAACTATACTCCGCGTACAATGTTTTGACCCCCCTTCTAACTCGGCCCAAAGTGTACCAATTGGGACCAAATTTGGTATGTAGTCTACTTACAGGCTAGTAACAAAAAATAACATAGCAAGACAAAACATTTTGTTGAATTTCAAAATCTAGGAGCAATTTTCAAAAATCACCTTAAAAAATCGAGGAAAAAGTTTTGACCCCCCCTTAAAAAAAGTTAGATATCGCCAGCGGATGCCACGCAAACCTATTGTAACCGACGTCCCATACCTGAATACAGGTTAATGAATGGTTTTCCGTTGAATGCTTCGTTGCATTTGAGGATTCAACGCGTTAAACCGTTTTTGATGTAGAGGTGCCCAAAATGGTAAAAATCTTGCCCTAGAGTTTTCCTAGAGCACTAAACTGGCTTATATTATGTTATTTAGACCTGTATTTACCTTCTCCTTTCGATAAAAGTGCATGGTGGCCTGGCGGTGTAGATTCGGCAGATACCCTCTTATCATGCCCAGCCTTGGTGAGCCATTTGCTCTTTGGCTAAAGGTCTAGATGTGGTCGTTAGGTCCTCAATCTAATCCTGAGACTCCTAGTTACTCTCAAACAAAGAATAAACTCCCGCTGACACGGTCTCGTATGGTTTGCAGGCGCAACATCGCCGACCGGAGTTGGACGATTGGGGAAAAAGACGATTGGGGAAAGGGACGATTGGGGAAAAAGACGATTGGGGAAAAGTACGATTGGGGAAACCGAAAAGTATTATTTTTCTTCCATGCAAATGTCGAAGTTAGGATAATAGAGGGTGCTTATTTCGAAAATGACATTCATTTTTTTGATTCTTACTTTTTTCCTTAAGTAGTACTGTAAAGTAGTAATTTTTGATTTTTTTTCATAAATACTCGAATTAGGGGTTTTCGAGGGTGCTGATTTCGAAAATCATGTAAATTTTTCCTCTAGTACTACATAGTACTATTCTGATACTATATAGTACGAAGTGAAAATATGGCTTTTGACGTTAATGGTGTCGTTTTGATGCTTAGTACTCTTCAAAAACACGTTTTAAAGACTTGGTGCTATATAGTACTGTTTGATACTATGTAGTACGAAGTAAAAATAGGCGTACTAAGCACCAGAACAACACCACGAACGCCTAAAGGCCAACTTTACACCTCGTACTACATAGTATCAGGTAGTACTATATAGCACCAAGTCTTTAAAACGTGTTTTTGAAGAGTACTAAGCATCAAAACAACACCATTAACGTCAAAAGCCATATTTTGACCTCGTACTATATAGTATCACAATAGTACTATATAGTACTAGAGGAAAAATGAACATGATTTTCGAAACCAGCACCTTCGAAATCCCCTAAATCCAGTATTTTTCGAAAATTTTTAAAAAATTAGTACTTAACAGTACTACTTAAGGAAAACTAGTAATGTTCAGAAAAAATAAACCCGATATTCGAAATCAGCACCCTCGAAAACCCCTAAATCGAGTATTTATGAAAAAAAATCAAAAATTACTACTTTACAGTACTACTTAAGGAAAAAAGTAAGAATCAAAAAAATGAATGTCATTTTCGAAATGAGCACCCTCTATTATCCTAACTTCGACATTTGCATGGAAGAAAAATAATACTTTTCGGTTTCCCCAATCGTACTTTTCCCCAATCGTCTTTTTCCCCAATCGTCCCTTTCCCCAATCGTCTTTTTCCCCAATCGTACTTTTCCCCAATCGTCTTTTTCCCCAATCGTCCCTTTCCCCAATCGTCTTTTTCCCCAATCGTCCCAGTTCCATCGCCGACCTGCACCTTAACGAAAAACCCGCGTTTTTCAAATGGATTTTTAGCCACCAAAAACGGCTTTAATTTGATGGACCAGGTAATTTAAGACGCTACAGCACCCACCATACTCATTTGAGACTTATGAAACGCCAAATGGGAGGTGGGGATGTCATCGTACTCGGGGTCATCTACAGTAACGGCAAACTTAAGATTAAGGTGAATGAAACCCATTACAAAACGTGTCAAATCGAAACATTTTACATTACTGAGAGTAAATAGGAGTCTCCGGATTACATTGAGGACCTAACGGTCACATCTCGACCTTGAGTCAAAGAGCAAATGGCTCACCAAGGCTGGGCATGAAGGTATCTGCCGAATCTACGCCGCCAGGCCACCATGCACTTTTATCGAAAGGAGAAGGTAAATACAGGTCTAAATAACATAATATAAGCCCAGTTTAGTGCTCTAGGAAAACTCTAGGGCAAGATTTTTACCATTTTGGGCACCTCTACATCAAAAACGGTTTAACGCGTTGAATCCTCAAATGCAACGAAGCATTCAACGGAAAACCATTCATTAACCTGTATTCAGGTATGGGACGTCGGTTACAATAGGTTTGCGTGGCATCCGCTGGCGATATCTAACTTTTTTTAAGGGGGGGGTCAAAACTTTTTCCTCGATTTTTTAAGGTGATTTTTGAAAATTGCTCCTAGATTTTGAAATTCAACAAAATGTTTTGTCTTGCTATGTTATTTTTTGTTACTAGCCTGTAAGTAGACTACATACCAAATTTGGTCCCAATTGGTACACTTTGGACCGAGTTAGAAGGGGGGTCAAAACATTGTACGCGGAGTATAGATAAAACTCTTACAAGCAGCAGAAAAAAATGATGGCAGTCAACGGAATAGTCAAAATTATTCTTCAAGGCGTTGCTTTTGTGTTCTGGGGCGATAGGCTTAATTATTCGAAATTTTTCAAAATGTAAAAAAATGGGCGAAACTGTCTACATGCATGACGACATCCACCCCGAAGATGCATAGAAACTTCCCAGTCTTAGATTGCCCGAGAAAACAGCTTTCGTTCTCATTCGCCCAAATTGGTACCTCGCCTGATTGAAATATGGGCTTAACACACTTGGTACGGACGTAAACTTTGATGTTTTAAAATTTTTTCCGCGAATTTGTCGATTTTTTTCTTGCCGGTAATCTAAAAATTTTCTAAGTCCGAGAAACTCAATTGAAAATCATTCCAAAAAAATTCTAAGTTTCACCGATTTCCGGCTCCAAAATTTGGAATGAAAATGTAAAAGGTCAGTACGGGTGCCTCCGGGAAGTTAGACGGGCCATATTTGGTGGACAAGAAATGGGGTGTCTCTGCTTCAATTTGATATAAATTTTATAGAAATTGGTGCATTATTGGCGGAGAAATACTTGAAAAGAGGTTGGGAGTTTCGAGTGGCCCACCCTGTAGAAAGAATAGAAGACTTGGGGTGAAAAAGTGGAAGAGTAAAAGCGTAAAGTTGTGAAAATAGAAGAGTAAAAATAAAATTCTATAAGGCCGATGAGGTGAGTTGGTGGTCATTTTGGCAATTGGCACAGGTCTCGTCATCCGAATCCACGGCGCCAAAACGTTCATCTGTATTTGATAATAAGGCGTATCTAAAACAAGGCAATTTGGATAATCAGAGCAGAGAATGCATGGCAAAACTGTCAAAACTATCACATACTCGGCTGATTTGTCTTCCCCGCCACATACATTTCCTCGGATGAAGGAATAAATACAGTAAACCAAGCCTCCAAAGATGGCAAACACGACAATCGAGCTGAACAAATGACTGTCGGACTCTTCTACAATCTTCTTCGAGCAGTCTTCACATTCATGATGAGTATTTTCGGGTGTTTTATCTCCAGTACAGCATTCTCTACAGTATCCAAAAGTCCCATTACGGTATCCATTGGCGCAAGTTGTGCATTCCAGAGAACCTGCAAGGATTTGAGTCGTTATCAGCGACACTTACCCGGTCCGTGACACGTTTCGCATGCCTTATCGCAGAGCTGGCACTTCCCATTCATTCCCAGATAATAACCTATGGAACAGACATCTTCACGAATCATGCAACGCGCTTGGACAGCGTGACTGTCTAAAGAGAAAAGCAATTAATAAAAAAAGTTATACTCACAGAGGGTCTAGTATAATACAAATAAATTTTAACTTACAATCAGGGACCAATCCGATGGGGCAGGTCTTCACACAATGTCCTTGATCCAATCTTACAGTATGCGTCTCAATCAGAAGCAGCGACCCTTCACAAGAATCACATTTCTCGGCCCCAGAACAGGTCTGGCAATTGGCCGCACACTTTTTACATTTATCACCTTCGGCGAAAAATCCGCTGGAGCACTTGGGCACGCATTTGAAGCCGGCTCTATTCCTCATGGTCTGCGTGAAATGCTTGCACGAGAAGCAAGAGTTAGCTGAATTGGATTCTGAACATCCATTACATTCAGGATGACAGTTCCCGACTGATTGCAGATCTCCGAAAGCTGGCTGATGCGGCTCCGAAGTGGAAGCGGGATGAGTCTACAAGAGATTACGGTAGAAACTATTAAAATAATGACAAAGGTGTTCAACAGAACGGGATAACCGATACAAAGACCGCGCAATCTTTGATTGTAATCATAATTTTATATTCATTTCCAAACAAACCATTCTGATATTGTACTTTGTACTTTTTCAATTGCAAAAAATCTGACAACTTTGCAACCTTCGGTAACACTTATACCATAAATTCTCAACCAACCACCACCACAACCAAAGAAAATATGACTATTCTAATATACCGTATATCTGTATTCGTATTTATAAATTGAAGACATTGAGAATCCATGTACAACGTAAATAAGTAATAGAAAGGGAAAGGAAGAGAGCATCGTGCATTGCGGAGATTCAGAAGGGCCGAACCAGATCGAGGAATTTGTTCCAGAAGCCGCGGGAAGTGGTCGTTGTGATATGATGCACGTTCTACAAAAAAGCTCTGACTCAAACAGCCGGATCAAGGGATCATGGGTTAGTGCTAGATGGACGTTAATGTTCCCCTGAGGCAGTAGAAATGCGTCAAGAGATAAGCAGGGAAGTAAGTTGAGACCCGGATCAAGCATGGATAATATAAAATCGCTACGTAAATAAACTCCGTCTTCATTAACAGCTTTATGTTCGAATCATGCAATAAATGCAACAATTATTAATATTATTTACTACCCTATTCTAAGATATGACCCTGGTCGAAAGATATATAGGGTTAGATACATTTACATGAAAAGATTAGCTCTGATGACAACATAAATGAAAAAATAATGCGACTTACAATGTTAGAAATACCTGACAAACAATAAAAGACAAGATACGATACGGGAAAGACAAAACATTTCATCGGAATATCCACGGAATAAACGCTCTTCTAATTCTGAAAATATATAAAATACAGAGAGAGTGCTACCTTCTTCATTGAGCATACGAAAATCACCCGAAATGTGTTGGGAAAACAAAAATCACATCAATAAGTGCTAGTTTTGGGGAACCTAAAGGCAAAACCCAAAAACAATTAGTTGGAAATATCATTTTCGTTATATAATACTACTAGGCTATTAGTATAATAATACCCAAAGTTTTTTTTTCACAAATTAGTATTAACTTCCCGTATTCTTAGATACTAGTTAATCTCGTAAGGACGCTTGTATTTGATAGGAATGACACCGGTTACTGGTCGTTTTAAAAAAGGGTACCCGAAATTATCAACAAAATAAATATAAAGTGAAAAAATTGAAAACTGCAAATATCACAATGCAAAACGATCTTCTCCTTGCGCTCATTGAGTCGTTTCCTGAGTTTCTTGAGAAGTTGAATGTAATTCATGAGTTGAAGGGGGATTTGACGCCTTCTTCGGACGACGACGACACAATTGGTAGACTGAGAAGAGAGCGACGAGCGCCACCAAACCGACAGTGATGACTTGGACGAGGAAAAGGAGCCAGGACGTTGAGAAGATCTGGAGAATCATCAGTCAAAGGGAGCGAGGATAAGGGTTATGATCAAGATCATGGGACCCAACATTGTTGAATTCAGAGTGTGCGGATACTCAATTCTACCGACGATAATCACTTTCCGCAGACTTGATCCTATTTCTTCTTGCATTTTACTATATTCCGTTGTAAATCAGCCTTTTTGTTTTACATATGAATCAAACTTTCATAAGATTCGTATTTTAAGAGGATTCCAGGAAAGCACTTTTGGCACGATCGACAGTCACAGAATACAAAACAGACTCAGAACAGAGAAGAGTGTCGGAATTTCCTGTTTCGTATTCCGTGCCTGACAAAAAGAGTGATTTCCGTGCTGAACTGGAACCCTTGACTCAACGGCAGAAACGGAAATGGAATCAAGAAACACGAAATTCCGCACACCCTGGACAGAACAATATCGAGGTGTTATGAAAGGGGAAATGTGAAAGTGGACATCAAACTCATGTCACGACCCATGTTAAATCACATCAAAAATACAAGACCAGACTTCCGAAAGGACTAAACTAAGGAACCCGGTCATCAAAAGCAACAACTTCGCAAAACGACTTACTTGAGATGTGATGGACATCGATTGACCCTGAGATGAGGGCTTAAACCTCGAGGGCACCGGGTTGTCACTGTGTCTGGGGTCATTGGACTGGGCTGGGTATTCGGTTCCGTATAACAGAAGGGTCCAGTCGCTGATCATACCTGTAAATTGCATATTACAAACGATGGCTCGCCTCTACACGTCTAAATCAACAAAAAGAAATAAATGTATACCTGATATCGCTGGGTTGTTGGTGACACTTTCAACGATCAACGTCCAGGTTCCTCGAGGATCTTCGCCCCAGGTCTGCACACTTAGGAAAGGCCATTTATGGAACCCGTTTTGATTTATATCCTAAAATCATCGAATTAAAAGATTAAAGTAGAGATTCATTATATATATACATCTTTGTCCGCCTTTAAAAAGTTTCCGCCGAACCTTCGCCGATGTGTGAAACATCCGCCAAACTATCGAGACTAACAGATTACGTCCTGCCAGATGCGGCATACCTGATTTCATCCGTAGTAGAGGAGTCTGAGCTTTGTAGCGAGGTGTAATTTTCAAAAAAGACATCGAATTTTAAATACAACTTAAATTTCTTGGATAACTGCAAAGAGCACAAAAATATAAGCAAAAATTTTGTTCAAAATTTCTTGAAGGACCCTGTACTCTGAAAAAAAGAAATACCTGAGGTCGCGGTGGAAGAAGAACAGATTCAGTGCCACTAGGAGAGTAAAGAGTCAGCTTCAAATCTCCTCTCTTTCCATATCTGATCGTTGATACAACTTGAACATGTTCTAGATAGAGGACTGGTGTCCCCTCTCGACAACCATTCACATCCAATGTGAAATTGAGTTTAAATCGCCCAACAATTGGTCGTGGACTAAAATAATATCATATATAACAATATTGTTCTCTAAAAATGACGACAAATAAAGGAAATTGCTTACTTCGGCCTCTCCAATCTGTATTCGTAAGTGCACATGTGCTGTTCAGGGACAGTTCTCCAGACTTTTGCCAACTTGACCAATTTCCCAGCATCCATTAACCCGTAACCAAATTTATTGCTGATATATCGTCCAACTCCATTCACCGACCATCCAGCATTTCCCAAAAGAGGTGCAGGGTTAGCAGTTCTAAGAACAATATGCTGCATATCCCTCCAGGTGAGAGCTGGATTAGCCTCCAATGCTAAAGCAATAATACCAGCAGCCAGAGGAGCAGATGCAGATGTTCCTGTATGCATTTTGGTGCACCCACTGGGAACATCGACTGTAACAATGGCTGGTTGATTGATGTTGGCCGAGGAGTAAGTAGTGGCGATTGTTGATGGGCATTCCTCTAGATACCATGGTCTTTTGTTATCGAAAGTAGCAGAAGAAATACTGAGGGTGTAGATGGAAGTAGTGTAGCCATCAGCCGAGCAGGAATCTTGTCTTGATCCTCCATTTCCGCTGGCCCAAACAAAAATATTTCCTCTTCCGTTTCGGCCGCGTTTGATCCCTCTGTAAAAGGCTTCCTGGGCCAATGCTCCAGGCCCATCAAAGGTCTTGCCATCATCCTCGGGACCCCACGAAGCTGAGTAAATATCAATATGATCTTGTCTCAGATTCAAGGAAGCGGCTTCGACCGAGTCAGAGACCGGGCCATCCAACATCCTGACTCCACCGATATTAGATTTGAAAGCGACACCAACTCCACAAACATTATTCCCAGCAACGGCAGCAACTTCACCAGCACAACGAGTTCCATGTTTGTTATCTCCATTATTCTGAGGAGTGGGATCATCATCGTGATCATTGATGTCGGTACTGGAGAGCGGATCATAGTTCTGGGCGATGTCTGCGTGATCTCTTTGGATTCCGTCATCCAGAATAGAGATGGACACATTTCTTCCAGCCAATCCCATCATCCACGCTTCTCTCACATTCATATCGTATCCTCCTACAGCGCGACCAACAAGATACCATTGGTCTTGGTACAAGGGATCTGGGAATGGGAGTTTGGGGATTGGTAATGCTTGGCGTTCTTCCCTGGGGCCATAAATAAGAGAGTCGTCCACAAAGTCCCTCTTCACCCGTTTCTTTGGAACATCTGCAGCAACCCATTCAACGTGACCATTGAGACCGATCTGATCCATGGTCTCCCTTTTCACACGATGCCCTTTTTCGTGATACATAAAGTAGTGAGAGTCCAGAAACGGCTCGCCCTAAAATTATACTGTATTAAAAAATATAACGGATAAAATAAACACAAATTCGACAAGACGATGCAGTAGCGCGCGGTGGCTTAAACTTTACTTTGGTCTCTCTATCTTTTACCTTGATAACCATTCCGTGAGACCTGGCAATCCTCCTGGCCAGTTCATCATCTCGTTTAACCAGTTTGAGAGTAGCCCGATCAGTAAGTTCTTCTTCTTCGGCAATAACAACAACAATAAGCGATAACAACATGAGAGCGGCGGACCATGGGGAAGCCCATAGCCGTATCCGAAAACTCATCACAAACACCAGTTCGGACGCCCTTCAGACTAACACCATGGCTCTGGATCCCTGCAATAACAACATTCCCCTTTTGCATTCAAATCACACGCATTGAGGATACACGAAATTGAGGTTGTTTGGGTGAGAAAGATTGAGGGAAAAACAGAGCAAACACGGGAAAAACATAAAGATCAGAACGAGATCAACCGTTTATCACATAAAGGCATAAAAATATATTTCCTTCATTTCTGACTAGTAGAATATAGGTGAATACCATGAAAGGAATCTAAAAATTAATCGAGACATGGTCGACGTAAAACAAATTCAGTGACTCATTTTTAAATTAAAATGTCGATTCACGTTCAGAACAGAAGTGAATATCCTAGATATTATTATAATTGAATATCAAGGTCATTTCCATATGAAACGCCAGGTTGCTAGGGATCAATCCTCGGTCGGTCTAGTTTAATTTTGAAAGAGGAAAAAAGAAGAGTATACAAAATCAACAATTCTAGCTTTTGTCTCGATAAATGGGGGTGTAAACAAGAACACAAACTTGTTACAAAATACGGTAAAGAAAGCATTGTTTGTAATCTGGAGTTTCGAAAATGGCTATTACAGCACACAAATACTATTACAAAGTCGGGTTCGAAGCAAAAGCAATATCAATTTTTTCAGGTTTACAAACGTTTAAATCTAGTCATGGAAAGAAATTATGAAATAAAAATGGTCATAAAGAGAGCCAACCGTCCAATAATTGGAAAATGACGCTAACTAAGAATTGCAAAGCTTCGTTGTCATCACACATTGGAGGCTACTTATAAATCCTATCTTTCTATTCAGTGAAAATTGTAGGATTCAATCCGATTTTCTTCGAAATCCGCTGGACCGAAAAATAAGTTCAACAAGTAACCTCCAATACATCCCCAATATCCGAACAACCCAAATCATCAGCTAAACGACGACGACTTGGATTGGCTAGATTTATTTCCGCCCCCACTATCACCTGCAACTTTTCTCAAACTGCCATTCCCGAAATATGATTACAACGCGAATTCCGGAAACAGTAAACGCCGATGATTTATTCATCGAAAAGAGAAATACAGGAATAAAAAAATCGGGAATTCTCCGAAGAATACCACTTTCCGTCCAAAAGTGCGGGGTCAGCCTCAAATATGGGAGGGGATCTCGGCTGAGTAAGCAGCCCTTCCATTTTGATAATGAAAGGTTTACCAAATACAAGTGTGACTTGAGCTTAACACCGAAATATATAACAAGTCAGAGACCGACAGCAAATCCGCCTTCCTTTGGCTGTTACCTCACGATTACATCTCGAAATCCAGGTCTCACGGTACATTAAACCATCCGCAATCTGATTCCCGGTTACAAAAAGCCTTGTCTGTCTTCCAAATCATTCCGTGGAGGGATTTTCCGCTTTCTCACTCTCACTTTTAAGCCGGCGTTTATCTGACCGCAAAAAGCGACGGAAGGAAAGAAAAAACATTCCGAATAAAGACGACGACAATGGATAGCGTAATCATCCTAATGACACCACTTCCGAGAGACATTCAACTCGGAATATTAGTTCCGAGAGAAAAAACAAAGTTGATTTGATACAAATGTATGATTCCACGGATGACACCTTCTTATTCGCGATGGGCAAGTAAGAACAAGAAGTGTAGACAAATATTTTCCTCAAGATATTCCAAACAACAAACAGTTGGGCTCTCCAACTCTTGGGATACGAGAAGATACGAAATAACAAAAGACATAAAAAAAACTATCTCTCCACGTTCGTTCATAGAAAGAACCCATTATATCCATCCCTACATGTCTCAAATCACCAAAGACGGGGTCGAACTTCGAACTCGGAGGGATTTGACAATGATTGATAGCTATTGTAGGTCTGGAACAATGGGAGACGTTCCCTGTAGAAGGTGGGGGGATGTCTGCTAGAGCCAGTTCTTCTCTCTCTTCTCTTCGATCGCGCAGACACGGAACGACTTCTTTTTTGTGATGATCGCGCACTCTTTCGCTCTCTTCCCCATCTCCAGCCAGGCTATGGATATCTCGGTGGGTGAGTCTTCCGCCCGGGGAAAATCGGTCAAAACCAGAAACTGCATTTCTTTTTATTTGCAGTTATTAAGAGTGGCGGAGACTGCAGTATTTTACACTTATCTCATCTCGGATTCGCACTTTTCAAAGTTTCGAGCCATCTCCAAGACGAAAGTCGTGTAAAATGTGTTTGCGAAGACTTCCGTTAGGGATAAACAACAAAAAACTAATCAAAAAAGATTGATATGTGGAAAAAACAACTACAGATGACTCTAGGAATATTTACCGCTTTCAAACTTCATGTTTCTACATAAAAAACCTTACAACATTTACCTGAACCAAGAACGAAACACCCTTTTTAGTCGCGAACACTTCAGAAATCAGGTCCTGGAACTAGAATAAAAAAGGCGGGTCCCCTGAGGGTCTTTACGCCTTAAAAGTGAAAGGTTAAATTACTTCACGATTGACGTAACCCTCTCTCTTTTCAGAATTTTTACCTGTTTTTGTAAAGATATTTCTGTTGCTTATACAAAAAATATAGAAATCAATCGAGTAGATCCATCACTTTGACTATAGTCCCGGAAAAAATAAAAGGATGACATGCTTGAACTTTAAAGGACCCCACCAACTACATTTGAATCGAGTTTTTACGGCTTGGAGGTGCGCCTCGCCAAAAGTTGCGAAAATCCCGCGAAAAAAATAAATACAAAAAATAATCGAGAATTTTTCTCGAAAATGCAAAATTGAAAAAAGTTTGAGCTAGTTCATGTTCCAAAGTTGCTGAAAACGCTTCTTGTTCACGTGGATCCTGCCGACACTTATTCGGATGCTCTTGGGGAAAGTCTCATGTAAGTTTTTCTTGATTTTTTACGTTTAGGTAGTAGTGAAGGATCATGTACAATATTTATGCGGTTCTTCCAAAAAACAGCACATGAGCAGCCTTGAGGAGAGCAAGTGTTGGACTCAAGGCTCGTGTTGTGTCCATGTTCTTGCTTGTTCGGGCTGTTTTTGCCCATTTAGAGGTGTTTTATATGTTGTTTTAGTCAAGCTTTCAATTTCAGAGTTGTTCAATCGCCTGGAACACGATCCATGGAGATGAAGTAACCAGCGTGTCAACATGCATCTGTAATTATATCTAAATATGCTTCAAAATGAATATAATTAATCTTGTAATATATCTTTTATTACATAATACATCAATAAAACATATTAATCGTGAAGTTTTTGTTCAATATGCTGGTGTACAACCCGTTTTCGTTTCCCTCGCAGAGCCATTGATTCGCGAAGACAAGTCCCAGTCTGAAATTAAATGCATAGGGGCTGAGAAATTACGTACCGAAAATTTTAGCAAAAAAGTAAATAACACATTATCTTACATGAATATCCCATAGATAACGTCTCTGACTCGAATCTTGATGCCAAGGAATCTGAATGAAGAGAATTCTTCTTCATGCATCGCGTTCTCGGCGATTGAACAACTCTGAAATTGAAAGACTTGACTAAAATAATTAAAATATCTCTAAATGGGCAAACACTGCAATAACAGGGCAAGAAAATGGAATACACACAAGCCTTGAGTCCAAAACTTGCTCCTCAACATTTCGTTCGGGCCGTTTTTCAAAAGAAAAGCCGAAATATTGTGCAAGATACTTCACTCCTACCTAAACGTGAAAAACCATGCAAAACCCAAGAAAAACTTACATCAGACTTTCCCCAAGAGCATCCGAATGAGTGTCGGCAGGATCCACGTGAACAAGAAGCGTTTTCAGCAACTTTGGAACATGAACTAGCTCAAACTTTCTTCAATTTTGCATTTTCGAGAAAAATTCTCGATTATTTTTTGTATTTATTTTTTTCGCGGGATTTTCGCAACTTTTGGCGAGGCGCACCTCCAAGCCGTAAAAACTCGATTCAAATGTAGTTGGTGGGGTCCTTTAACGGATATGAGAGTCTATATTTGGGTTGGGCAGAAATAACAGTCGCAAAAACAAACGCAAGCGAAAGCTATCAAAATAGTCAGAGGGAGACATTTACGCTAAAAAACGGGCCAACAGCAACCTTTTTTTGTCAACAGGACCATTTGAAAACAGCCTCAGGCAAAATTAACATTCACTTTACGGAGGATATATTAGTCAAATTAAATAACAAAGTGCATAAAACTATAAGCGGATTAGTCAAAGAGAAGCGAGATGAGTAGAGAGGTAACGAGCAATAGCAACAAATGACATCAACTCCAGAACCAGTCTTGCCCGGCAGAATTACATAACCATCACTCAGAGAAACCAGTCACAGACGTAAACATATAAATAAGCACAAAAACTGCTGGCAAATAGATTGAAATAAAACTGAGTCATCAAATCGGCCCCCAAAACATCAAATGACTTAAAACACCAAGGATTAGTCACCTTTATTACATCCGCAAGACCAACTGGAAGTCAACCTCATTGTAGAGGTGAAAAAGACGAGAGATATTGGGCACGGGCTAAAATGCACAGAACTGTTTTCTGACGATCACGGTTTATATTTCATAGAGCGCAGATGGCGAAAATAAATAAATCAAGTTGGCTAGTAATCTTCGGGAAAACCACATGAAACCACATTTACAATGCGCAAAAATATGCAAGAAACATGCTTCAGGTCTTCACACCCACATAAAAAGAACCCGACGATCCAGGTTCCAGGATAACATCACTTAATCCCCACCAACCCTTCCATAATTAATTCACGCCTGAAATATGAGCCGCAATGTAAATAAATATATAAGGCCGCCACGTCTATTCAAGCTCATATCGAGGAGTATTTATAACCTTTGAGCAGAAAGGCCGTCATTAAGAAGTTAGACAGCAGAACATCTAAAGAAATATAGATCTCATGCTTTCAAAGTCCTTAAGTAAAACTAAGGCTTGCCACGAAATCAGTTCATTAACCCGATATCGAATATCCAAAAAAGTTATAATTCTTTTCTTTGCGTATTTGCAGAATGCCACAAGTTTGGCGTTTGTTTATTTTCGTGTCGGAACTTAGGACTGTACTGTAAATAATTGATGCAATTTTCGGAAAAAAAATCTGGAGGTGTCCTGTCCATGTGTAAAATTTTGGCAATTTATATTGTGCAGAAACAATTTTCGCTGAAAATGATATTTCTAGTTTCAGGAAACTGAATTTTTTGACTTCAATTTACCCATTCCACGAAACCCCTTTAGGTATTTTTATTTACAATTTGTTTACAGGATGTCGAAGTTCTTCAAACTCGCCGTGACTTCTTCGGATTCTTCCGAAAGCGAAGAAAGTGATCATGAGGTACCAGTGCCGACCACTCATAAAGGGTGAGTGATTTCATTAATTTTTACAATTTTAGGTATTAAAACGAAGCTGCTTTTACGGATTCTTTTCTTTCAGTCTCCGCGACTTCAGCTATCCAAGCGACAGTGAGGATGAAGGGCCGAAAAGAGTTGTCCGAGCCCAGAAGGACAAGTTCTACACCGCTTTGAAGGATCAGATTAGACTCGGCAGAAACGCCAGAAATATTAAGGATTTCTCCAAGTTACTGAATGGTAAGTTTATATTATTGAGGAATTTGATTGCTGTTTGTAGGATTTGAGAGTCTCATACGTTCTTATGACAAGGCCAAGCTTATTATGGCCAGGGAGAACTTAACCATCCCTCGTTTTTACATTCGATACCTTGTTGAATTGGAAGATTTCTTGAATGAGCAATGGGAGGACAAGGATGGCCGTAAGGTAAGGGATTTATATCAGCTTTATATTCAATGTGTAAATTTTTGATTATGAAAAAAGATATCTTCAGAATATGTCCAAACTTAATGCCAAAAGTTTCTCCGCTCTTAGACAGAAGATCCGAAAGTACAACAAGGACTTCGAGACAGATATCAATGCTTACCGTGAGGGTCCCGACCCGGTTGGATATTCCTCTGGTGCCGTCTCTGAAGATGATGAGATCATCGACGAACAACCAGCTGCTGTGGCCGAAAAGGTGGCCAAGAAGAAGGAAGCTGCTGATTCCGAGGATGAATGGTCTGACAGTGAATCGGATTCGTCGGATTCTGATATTGACCTCGAGGGAAAACAAATGGAAGAATTGAGAAGATACTTCTTAAAGTATGTTTAAAATGATTTATTGGTAATTGTTGTTTAGGAAAGAGAAGACTACCACCAAGAAGGATAAGTCGGACCGTGCCCAAAAAGAGAAGAAAGAAAGAGTTAAGAAGGAACTTACCGACGATGAAGACGATGAAGGATGGAGTAAGGTCACCCACAAAGACAACGCGTCTAAACCTTTGTTTGATACCAAAGTCGAGATTAACACTGAGGTAAGTTTATGATATTCTTAATCGTTTATTGCAAACGTTTTAGGTGGTTATCAACAAACTCACCGAAATCATTGCCCAAAGAGGAAGAAAAAATACCAACAGGAAGGTCTTTGTTCGCCATCTGCAAGAGTTGTACCAGATTGCTGATGAGCACAACCTTGGCCCTGGAGTGTTGGCAAAGATCTTGGTGTCAGTTGTTTCGTCTCTCTTCGAGATGAATTCCAAAATCACCGAAGCGATGGATTTTAATGCCTGGTGTAAGACACTCGAGACCATTGATGGGCTTCTGAGTCTGTTGATTGAGAATGACAACGTCTTCATCTCCATTAAAACAACTGAAGAAGAGGAAAACTTATCGGTAAATATTTATATCCCAGTTTGAGTTCTGTATTTAGGATCCTTCCAAGCCATATCGATTCCATGGATCAGTAGTCATGCAGGTTAAGCGTCTTGATGACGAATTAACCAGAATTTTTCAACAATCGGACTGTCACTCTACCGAATATATTGAAAAGTGAGTGATAAGGCCGATTTATTATTATTTCTTCAGACTGAAGGGAGAGAAACTTCTGTGTGAGTTGGTGGAGAAAGCTCAGCGTTATGTGGACTTACGGAGGGATAATGTTGGTTTCGATCTGAATGAAGTTGCCACCATCTACATGATCAGAATTGAGCATTTGTATTACAAATTCACTGAGGATCCTGAGGCCGAAGCCACGTTATCTGAACTTTGCAAGAAGATTTATGCTCTTAAAGATGAGAAACTCCAGAGACAGCGAGCTCTTCTGTGTCAGATCTACCATCATGCTCTTCATGATCGATGGAACAAGGCCAAGGAACTGCTTCTGATGTCTCATCTCCAAGCTATTGTTGATCACACCGAGGCCAGCACTCAGATTTTGTATAATCGAACCATGTGCCAGATCGGACTCTGTGCTTTCCGTCATGGATTTATTAGAGAGGCTCACCAAGCATTGTCTGAAATTCACAACACTCAGCGTCCGAAGGAACTTCTGGCTCAAGGTGTTGCCCCCAGGCAATTGGAGAGAACTGCCGAGCAAGAATCTAGAGAAAGAAGTCTCCAGGTACCCTACCACATGCACATTAATCTGGAAGTCATGGAATGTGTTTATTTGATCTGCTCGATGCTGTTGGAGATCCCCAGCATCGCTTCCCATGAACATGATCTGAGACGAAGACTTTTATCCCGTCTCTTCCATTACCAATTGAAATTTTCTGAACGATCTGCTTTGGTTGGACCTCCCGAAAACACGCGTGAGCATGTTGTGGCAGCTTCCAGAGCCATGTTGAAAGGTGATTGGATCAAGTGCAGAGACTTCATTATCAATGAGAAAATGAATGCTAAGGTAAGATGTGGTAATAATATATAGAACAAAAATTGGTTTAGGTATGGAACCTGTTCCGTGACTCCGAGAAGGTTAAGACCTTAGTTATCGAAAGAATCCAGGAGGAGTCGCTGAGAACGTACTTGTTGATGTTCTCCACCGTCTACTCGACAGTTTATTTCCAAAGCCTCTGTCTTCTCTTCGAATTGCCCAAGGAAAGAGTCTACTCGATTGTGAGCAAGATGATCATTCAAGAAGAATTGAGCGCCACTCTGGATGAACCCACTGATTCCATTATTATGCACAGAGTTGAGCCTTCTAGGCTTCAACTTTTGGCGCTCAGTTTGACTGATAAACTCTCCCAATTGGCTGATAATAATGAACAGATCATCGAACCTAGGGGAGGCCGGTCCGGATTCTCTGGGGCTGGTGGTTGGGCTCAACGCACTGGAGGAGACAGAACTGGAGATGACAAGAGAAGAGCAGGGGGATTATTCCAAGGGCAGCGAACACAGGATCAACGTCGTGGTGGTTGGAACCAGAGTCAGCCTGCCAATCGTCGTCGAGAAGTCCGAGTTCGTTTCTAATCCGCTATATAAAGTGTTTTTGTTTCACTGATTGTTATTTCTATGTTGGGATAAACTATTTTTAAATAAATTACTTTTCTGGATCATTAGTATTACTTTTCCTAACGATGTTGTATTATATGGAGAGGGTGTTTGCGGCTAAATGATCCACTTATGTTGGTAGGGGCGTTATATGACGGCTTTATCTAATAAAGATTAGCCTTCATTAGATCAGAAAGGAGGAAATCTAATTTCCAAAACGGGGCAACAGATGGCAGACGGCCCGATTTCTCGTCCAGGACATTTAATCTATGTTTTTCTTTTCTTGATAGTACTTTTACCTTTAATTGTAGGAAAGTTTTATGTTGCGATTGAGTTAATTTTTCTCTTTGTACTTCTAACCCGAGTGTCTTGAGTTACCCGACGTATTTCCGGATAAAGTAACCCCATCCTAAGCTTGTCTAACGAAAAGTAAGAAGTCAAAATTGAAAATAAATTTCTGGTAACTTCTAGTTTAAGTTTTTGGTCCAAGTTGGGTCTGAAAGAGCGCCGAGAACGGAGATTGTTCAGGTTTCGGCCTCCTCGTTCCCTCTGACACTGAAATGTACAAATTGAGGCAGGGGTGGGGGAATTCTTTTTTTCTTCCCGGCCTTTTTCGTTTTCGGCTTCCGGATTTGGAGTTTTTGAGCGGCCTTGAAGAGGGCCGCCTTGCCGCCTTTTCGGCCGCTTTTCCCAATAACTAAGTAAGAACGACGTCTGCCCTGAGGTCATCCCTCTTAGCACTTCCAGCGATTGTCCAAACCGCTTTTTTCCATGTTTCCATGCTTTGTGGCCTAATTCGGTTATACGGTCGATAGATTGCGCATTCGACCGTTATTCTCTCGAATTAATTTTGTGTCTGGACACACTCTAATTCAATTATATTGTTCGTGAAACAAGTGGAATGTTTCTCGGCTTTCTTTTATGAAATAATGATAGAGATGCCTGCGAGTAATTAGGGTCTATTGATGTCTCCAGTAATCCATAAACTTTTCCTTTTATCCCCTCAGGCTGAGAGAATTTTTGAGGTTAGAAAAGCAATTTTTCATCAGCTTGTGACATGTCCAACACGGCCATAACGATTATTTCTGGTTACGCAACATACCAATTGTATTCTCGCCCTTCTCAATGTGACATCCTTACGTGTTTGTTTCGTATTTTAAGGGCTATCTAATCATCTGTGGGTAATTAGATATTTCGTCCGTTTCCTCATATTTCTGTCGCTTCTAATTTACGTATTCCAGCCATAAATTTACGGGTGCCGCTGTAGCCGAGTTTAAAAATAAATTGGTGAGGATGTCATACATCTAATTCTTGTACGTATTTTGACGATCGTTTTGGGATAAATCGGCCTATTCGTTTAGATGACTTATTGCTGGGTATTTTCATTTATAATAACTTTTCCGTAATTAATAGTGATTTGCAAAACCGTATATGCCATCGTTTTCTGACATGATTTAAAATTCTTCCGTTTTTTTATTTATTTTGATCCTGATATCAATTTTTGAAACAAGAATTTATTCATGAATAAAAAAATAAAATTGAAATTTTGTAAAAGAAATAGATGATCACTGAGAGGAAGACGGTAGAAACTACTGGTACTTTTGGAAACGGGTTTTCTCACTCTTCCTGATAACCAATTTTTACCCTTTTTCTTTTGCGGGCAAGCTAGTTATCAGCTGATTGTGAGGCGCGTAGCCCTGTTGTAATTTTGAGCGAAAACAGGCCAATTGGTGGCGGCAAAGAAGTCCGGGATGCTGTGCCAAGTAATAAAAGCCAAGTTCCACTTGTTCTCCAGAGAATAGAAATGTCAAAAAAATGCTGAAGAGTCTTGCTGTAGACACATGTTTTATTCCCTTCTACTAAAGATTGTTTCGAAAAAGATGTCATGTTTAACAAAACTTTTTTGTGCGATGTGTATTGGTCATAATTGCGTGTTTTTTATTCTCAGCATAGACCACAGATCGCTATGCCACCCCTTGAAATGTGAATTTCATATTATCTGACCCCCAAGAATAATATAAAATTATTTATGATATAGTCGATGATCACGCACTTATTACATCAGCACGTTTGCAGATCAAAGATTCTTTTTCATCGACGGAAACGGAGCGATAATCGACGAAATGAAAAGGCCTTTATTTCGTTGCAAAGAGGAGGGGCAAGCGGCGCTGATATGGACGTTGATAAAACCAAACCCTTTGCTTATCATCACTCTTAATTCGATTGGTAAACAAGATCATGGTTGACGAATTTCAGCAGGTAGGTGACATTATTCTTGATAAGGAGTTTGTTTTCGGAAGTAGGAAGGAGAATTTAATATAGGAGGGTGATAACGTTGATCATTGTGTTCTAAGCTTTTTGTTGTTTTCATTAAAGTGGAATGTTGCATAAAAAAGCGCTGAGAATACACGCTAACAAAGAACTTGAGAGTAGAACCTAGAATGATGTTATGGGAAGATCCGTCAGTACAATACCTTCTGGTACAACCATGATGTGCAATCCTACAAACTGAAATCGATCCTTTTCTCTTACGTTTTTTCAAGAGTGCGCAGACCTTTGTCGCGGTGCACCGTGCATTTTGTTCCTTTCGCATGGTGCTAACCATTTTCAAATCATTTTGCACTGTGCACTTTGCCTCACCGCGCATGATCACTTCAGACAGCGACACAGTTGAGGAAGTCTTGTTTTGCACGACATCTCGGATACTGAAGGAATTAGTATTTAATGACAGTCTGAAGAAACTTCTTCAGCACTTGATTATTAGATGACTTTTTTCAGCTGAAATACCTGACCGGATTTGGAAATGAATTCCAAACCTATGATCCCCGAAAGCCGAATGCTGTGCCCTTAGGGCAAAACAGTCCCCAGACCTGTCCATATGGCCTTTATGCCGAGCAACTCTCGGGAACGGCTTTTACTGTGGCCAGGGGTGGAAATAAAAGAAGGTAAATTTACATTATTTTCATGTGTTTTCTTATGATGTTTTTTCGATAAAATGGGGCTCTATCCCTCATATTTTAGTTGGTTATACCGCATCCGTCCTTCCGTAATCCACAAGCCTTTCAAATCCATCGACATCAGCCCCGACGTCGTCAATGATTTCTCCAGATTCCATCCTGATCCCAATCAATATCGATGGAAGCCACTTCCATTAACCGATCAGAAGAAGGATTTTGTTGAGGTAAGCCCTTATTTCCACGCAATTTCAATGTGTTTTCACGATGATTATTCAGTTCATTTAGTCTTTGGTCACATTTTGTGGAGCTGGTGAGCCCTGCGGCCGAAACGGTATCGCCGTCCATATGTATTCTTGCAACTCATCAATGGGGAATCGATGTTTTTACAATTCTGATGGCGATTTTTTGATCGTACCTCAAGAAGGAGAACTTCGAATCAAGACTGAGTTTGGTCGATTGCTCGTGAAACCTCTGGAGATCTGCGTTATCCCTCAGGGAATTCGATTCTCGGTGGACGTCGCTAAGAGTTCCCGAGGCTATATTTTGGAAGTATTTGGTACTCATTTCCAATTGCCCGATTTAGGACCAATTGGAGCGAATGGGTTGGCCAATCCAAGAGATTTCGAGATTCCAACTGCTTGGTATGAAGATGTAGATGGCGTTGACTATGAGGTAAGTGTTGATTTGTGTAATCGCCAAAATAATTTTCTCAAAGAATTGGCAACATTGTTGTAGGTGATTAACAAATTCCAAGGAGCTTTTTTCACCGCCAGTCAGGATCATTCTCCATTTGATGTGGTGGGATGGCATGGAAATTATACCCCTTATAAGTATGACCTAACCAAGTTCATGGTCATCAACACGGTCTCATTTGATCATTGTGTAAGTCGGATTACTGTAATGCACGTTGAAAAGAAGCTTCCGTGTTATGTATTCAAACTTATTTATTTTCCAGGACCCCTCCATCTTCACAGTTTTAACCGCTCCGTCGACCCGACCAGGAGTGGCTATTGCTGATTTCGTGATCTTCCCTCCTCGATGGGGAGTTGCTGATCATACATTCAGACCTCCTTATTATCATCGCAATTGTATGAGTGAATATATGGGACTGATTAAGGGGAATTATGAGGCGAAGCAAGGTGCTTTTAGCCCAGGCGGAGGCTCTCTTCATAGTATGATGACTCCTCATGGCCCTGATCACAAATGCTTCCAGGTGGCTTCAACCGAAGAGCTGAAGCCAACACGAGTTGCTGAGGGCACTATGGTCAGTTTGGATAGATTTGTTAAAAAGTTGATGACCTAAAGTTACTATATTTTATTTTGCTTTAGGCATTCATGTTTGAGTCCTCATTCAGCATGAAGGTGACTGATTGGGCCAAGGAAAATCACGTGGATAGGGATTATTTCAAGGATTGGCAGCCGTTGGAAAAGTTATTCAAATAAAAAAATCATGTAATTGAGAGAAATAAATCTATTATTAATTGTATATGTTCTTGATGACAATATGTATCAATAGCATTTCATATCTTATATTTATAAACTTTTAAATTTCTTATTATGGAAGGTAAAGCAGGTTAATTTATTTTTGTAGGCATGTCAGAATGTCGATAAGTGAATATCGACGGAACAACAAGGCCAATGGAAGTCAGCCCTCCTCTTTGTTGGAAGGTAAGGGATAATGAATTGTGTTGTATAAACAACGTATATATCTATTTGTATTTAATTTCAGAATGCCAGCAATTTTCTCTTGATGACGAACCCGAGACAGTTCATGTTCATGTTCCCTCTACCCACAACAGTGATTCCAAAACCAAATTATTATCGCAGTCAGAAGAAAAGAAGTCCAATGGACATTCTGTGATGGACAATCGATGGTCCACTCAATCCACAGATCGGCGAACTCATGAGATATCTCCTTTAACAGATGAGATTGACCTGGGGAGGGATTCGGATTCAGATGATCAAGATCTCCTCCCTGTCATCACTCAGTCCAACTCCAAGAATAAGGACTCTAAAACCAAATGGGCACGCCTTCTCAAATGTTGCTCGCCTTACTGGGTACGGCCGCGATGCAATATAATGTAAATGTGATCCTCAACAACCTCCGAATGATCTCCCTTCAAACAAATTGTATCTCAGAATTGTATGATCTCCATTCTTTTGGACGAAACAAGTTTCTAGATGTATGTAGAATAAAGAAAGTGTAATTTGGACTGACTCTTTGATTCTCGGGCTGTGGAGATGCATTGTCCAATAAATGATGTCGCTCTCCGAGGGGGTCTAAAGTCTATAAACAACGTAAACAATCACAGTGTTTAAGGTTCGAGAAATTTATCCTATTGTAATGAATACAGACCAAGTATTCTATGTAGAAACAAACGAAGTATTTGGTCAGGAACGGCACCTAAACTTATATGATATTAATTACCTGCGTTCAAAGAGCCTTTTATGTGGTGCATTGTGATCACGTATACATATATATGGAGGGAGTCACATTCGAAACGGAGCGACGGTACCAATTCCATTTCCCTTAGCGTTCTGTGATTTTGTTTTATTTTTGATAACCTTTCCAACAAATGAAACATTTAAAATTTCAAAATATACCAGAACAGTTCTCTCCCAAGTCCTGTATTGTCATCATTTTGCATTTTTCCCCCGCTTTTGCACTGTGCATTTTGTTCGCGGAATTGAATTCCTCAAGAGTGATAAATGGGCGGAAATTGGAGATATAAATGTTACTGGACGGAGTTGTTTTTTGTGATGAAAATGTGTCAGAATGAGGGATTTCCTGGGCATTTCCCGGGACCGCTTACGGCTTGCGGAACCTTTGCCGCCCGGAGGGGCGAGCGTTGAGACGAAACGCGAAAAACGCAAAAAAGGGCATCCGAAGAGTGGAGAAGACGAGTACGAAGTGACGGATGGAATTTCGGGACGGAGATGACTTATTGGAAACGAGGGCCGCGCCCCCTTCGGGAAACGCAATCTGGCCATAAAAGGTAGTCCAGAACCCCCCGCTCTCACCTTTAATCACATACTTTACGGTAAATTTTAAGGGTGTTCAGAGATCGTTGTTGTTTTATCCACTCTGATCAAATTTTTTGATCTCAGTCTTCTTCCATTACATTTTTTGACGCCTTCTCCAATCACGTCTTCCTTCTTTGTTACTTTTTTACTGCCCCCGTTCCCTCCTCTTTACCCCATCCCATTACAACCCCCTTCATTTTTTAATTTGCATGCCTGGCAACTCTTTTTTGTCCCCATCCCCGAGTGGGTTGTCCTATGTCATAATGAGTAAAAGAAAGACGGAAATTGTTTCTTTCTAAAAAACATTTCCGCTCCGATGACTTCGGATATTGCACTTGGTCGACGATGATATTCTTGTCTCGGAATCCGATGACTTTTTGAAATTCTATTGTTATTCCCAATTGAAATGGGTATTAACAGACTCCCTTTCGTTACTATATCATGTTTTTGTTCCAATCGTTTGTCAAAAATGTGATAAAAAAAGACCTCCGGGGAGTTTTTTACTGGTCCTCGCCGTCTCCCCGGGCACTCGGGATCATGGTTTCGGAGTTTATAGACTCAGTAAATGTTACTATGGCACTGCGTAGGAACGGGGGTAAGATCTTAATGAGGTGATTTGAGCTGGCAACAGTTTTCTGAACTAAAAAAATTTAAATAAAAAAAGTAATCTGAATAGTTTGTAAGACTAAACCACCCACCTGATTACTTTGTAATACATTATAGTTTAAACCACCGGTGTTCTGAAGTGCGTGTTCAAAGTTTATTATGCTTTTTTACAACGAAATTACTGCGTAAGAAATAATTATACATTATGTACACATATCTCCCTCTAATTACTTTTTTTCTCCTTTCAAACAATCTGTGAGGTAAATTGTTTAGGCAGTAATGCAGTTCTGATGGGGGTTTACTCGGTTACAACTTTACTTTTTTTTACACTTACAATTCCACAAGATATTTTTTTTATAAATTCGGCTTCTTTTGGTCCTTTGATAACTCATTTTTAATTAAAAGTAAGGATTCTGATACAATATACTGGAATAAAATTATTGCTGGGAGTTTCTGGATGCCCTACGGCTTCAGAGTAAGGGAACAACACGGATAATAAAATGCATTTGTGGGCTTGTTTGATTTCTTTTACATTTTTTGTAAATATTTTGCCGACTTCTGGAGTTTGTCTTTTTAATGTTGTTTTTTGAATCCTTGAAATGAATACTCAAAGTGGATAGACAGATTCTGGAACAAGATATCTGCTCGGGAAGTTGGACCATTCCACTTTTTGTCTCAAAATAAGCCGCGAGATATCAATTTTATCTAAATGTACCCCCAATTCTTGGGAAAGTACAGGGTGGTTCAGCTAAGTTCGCGGATGTAAAATGCTTATAACTTTTTATAGGATTGTTCAATTTTTATGAGCAATACCTCATTTTATTCCTTAGTAGTTACCATTTTGTTTAAAAAAAAGATCATTAAAAATTATCAGTCCTACGTCGAGTTATGACCCTTCAGAGTCAAACATGCTTTTTCACGTAAATTTTAAAAAAATTTACGGATTTTTTCGGATTTTCGGATTTTTTTTGATTCCGTCGTATTCTACGCAAAATTCTATGACTTCTGAAGCCCACTTACAATTTACAATTATCGACCGGTCGAAAGTTATAAGCGATTTTCGAGATTTTTCGGAAATTTTCAGATTGAAGCGTGAAAAGGCAAGTTTGACTTTGAAGGGTCATAACTTGACGTAGGATTGATCATTTTTAATGATCTTTTTTTTAAACAAAATGGTAACTACTAAGGAATAAAATGAGCTATTGCTCATAAAAATTGAACAATCCTATAAAAAGTTATAAGCATTTTACATCCGCGAACTTAGCTGAACCACCCTGTATTGATTGTAAACTGTAACTGAGGTCAGCGTCGTCTTCACTAGAGTTTGAAGCTGCTTTTTGAGAACGTTTTAGTGAATTTAGCCAATGTAAAACAGGATTCCGAGTGCAAATTAATGATGCATAGCCATTGAACAAAAAGAACTTCTCCAAAAAACGAGAAGATCCCAATTTGCATACATTATCCCAGCCAAGATAAGGTCACAAATGGTGGCAATTGGGTTAGGGTTCCGGGAATGACCTTTTTAGCCTCATAATGACTTATATTTTACAAAAAAGGGTTTTTTTTCAAACTCAAGACCAACAAAAAGGTCGAGTTTAAAGCTCATCTTGCGGACCCAGTAAATCAATGGAATCTTCCGTTTTCCTCGGTTATTTAATTTCACATTTTCGGCCAAAAACTTTGCGAACGTAGACCAAAGTAAAGGGAGGAAAAGTAAAGAGTAAAAGAGAGTAAGAGAGTAGCGCCCTCTGGCTGTTGGCCAACAAAGGGAAAAGACGCGAGGCCGGGGCATTCCGAAAAAGAAATGGCTTCGGTCTCAGGAAAATTGAAGAATTTTTCGCGGCCGAAAAAGCCAAGGCTCCCGTTTCCGTTTAAGGCTTTTACGGGCAAGGGGAAAGTCCTTGAACAACGGAGGGGAGAAAATAAAAAGTTGCGCGACTGATTGGCCAATCCAATTTCTCTGTTATTGTCGTCTATTCTGAGAATGCCTGAGGCAATGTCGAGGACGGTTTGTATCAGGGGATCCCTGCAACTTGAACGGATTTTTGTGGCCTTGGCCGGTTCCTGAAGGGGTCGTGGCTCCAAAAAGGCCATCTTAAATTAACGGGCGTTTGCAGACGTGGGCAATTATAGATGGTTGACCAGTGGAGGCAGCCGGCTTCAGCTTGTTTTCCATTTTCCTCTGTTTTTGGCCGTTTTTACATTATTTCTTCATTTTGATCGACTCTCAGCTACTTCTATCTGTTTATTTGGCCGTATCGTCCTTTAAAATTTGCTCCTAATTAGTTTTATTATTTTTTTGATTCCGTGTAAGATTTTTCCGGGAATTGTATTAATTCGGTTAAAGTAACCTTTGTTCTCTTTTTTACAACGTATTTTTTGCCAGGATTTACTTCAAAATCCTAAAATTCTCTCCGTTTTCTTGTTTGTCAACTTAATTTCGACCGTTCCCCTCTTTTACAATCTAGAAGTTTATTTGCCCTCAGGGTATTTTATGCATTCCGACGTCTAGTTCGACTAATTCTGAGAGTTTCATTTAATTTATTTCCTTCCTTGCACTAGTACATTTAATTTCGACATCATTTTAATTGTGTTTCCTTCCGTTCATGCATTAATTTACATTGTAAGGCATCTTTTTTCATTTTCCACCGACGATTGGTTTACCATTGTTAAGTAATTCATATCCCCCGCACTCGAATACTACTCTATTTTTTAGTTACAATTTAGCGCCGACCTTTTGTTTGTCATAAAACACGTCATCAGAAAGGTGGGAAGGTCACAATTCCTTTATAATAATGTTATTTTTGGAGGTGTAAAATGATATTTTCGCTGGGGTTCCGCTGTAAATTCATTACTTTCAGGTACTGGCCGCATATTTTCAGGGTGTTTTCGTGTCAGGTTTCGGTTGTTTTTGTGTCCATAAATAGCGTCATCAGGACGGATTTAAAGGCCGAAAAGAGTTTGGCGACGAAATAAATTGGATTGGGCAGGAAAAATGGAAAAATTCTAGAGTAATTGCAGCCAAATTAGAGTAGAATAAAAGGAACACAATTTAATGCCCTGAGGGCACAAGAAGGGCCTGAGACACATTGGACTTGTGCCAAAGGGTTTACAGCTTCCGTTAGGGTCAAAAGTTTAGTTAAAAGTTTTGGGGTTTCAAAGTAATCGAAATTACTACGTAAGAAATATGTAATAAGTTTTCCTTCAAAATAAACTGTGATTACTCTATTAGGGACCTTTTTCTTTCATCAACTTTTTATTTCCCACACCTAATGAAGTTGAAAACATTTACAAGGTTTTCGTAATGCCATATGCACATATCTAAAGGTTATATTCGACATGCCAATTTGATTATTCCTCAGGGATTTCGGGAAGGATTTTATTTAATTTTGTTATGTTTGCAGAAAAAAAGTGGTGGATTATAATATATGATTTTGTAATATTGCAGCATTACTGTAATTACAGTAATGAATTGTTACTTTTGTTTTATTAAAAATTCTTGTTTTTTCTTTCAAACCTTTTATTTCACTTTTAAAAAATAACGGCCATATTTTTTATATAGTAAAAAAGACGGTGGCAAGCAATCAAAAAGGTGGTTACAAGTGGTGAAAATCCGCTTTCAGCCAACTAAACGGTTTAAGATCCGAAAAATGATTAGATGATTAACTGTTATGGTAACAGGGGAGAGAGTCCCTTTCCATATTCATGAAAAACGTCTTCTGCCTATCCTCGCCTTAGGGGTTTTATTGTTTTGTCTTCTGGCCTTCAGGCAATATTTTTTTTTTAAATTTTTTTCCGATTTCTCAAAAAATTTCCTATTCTTAAATTTACATCTTTAAATTTTATTGTAAATATTTTGATTGAAATTATTTGGATATGTGTGTAGTTAAGGGTGCAATGACTACTTTTTGCGTTTGAATTTTAAATTTCCGGTCATGGGTTCCATCTGCAAGACCTGGAAACTTTTCGGTCTCCAGAAGAATATGAATAAATTATGAAAAAAAGAGCAGAGGAAGGGTAAAATGCAGGTATAAGAGTAGTCTTAGGACCTGTTTCCTTATCTTTGTTACACTTGTTGCTGAAATTTGATGCCCGATTTTTGAGATTCAAGCCTTTCGTTCTCTGAATTGTATCATGTGTAATATAAATTAATGTGAATGTTTGGCTTCTTGGCCTTTCTTATTAAATTTTAAGACTCCCAACATCTACTTTATAGCGTATCAATTGCAATTTGTTTTAGTCCCTCCACCTTCTTGTTTCTGTTTTATAATGCAAAATTTCCTGATGTCTCGATCTCCTCAAGTCTTTAAGTATGACGTTGTGTGTAGTCCCAAACGTCTCTCCCTCTCTGGGCATCATCAACTGCCCCTTCTAGAGTCTATTCGGGTAAATTCAGCGAAGAAAAATGGAGGGAAATGGGCAGAGGAATTGTAATTTAATCTTTTTTTCGTTAAACGGGATTTGTTTTATTGATACATTTACATTTTTATCGGTTTTCGGGTATGGGAATCCTTAATTTGCGCGTTCTGGGGTTGTTATCGGATTGCATGGGATTTTGCGACAGATGACGTGAAATTAAGAGATCGGGAATGGAGCCGCCTGAGTGTTTTATGGACAGTCATTGTCGACAATGCCCCAATTCTCAAATTTTCAATCGATTTCCTGCCTAAAGAACAGTCTTTTTTAAAGTTTTACAAATTTCGAATGATGACAATTATCCTGCCACAACAGCATTTAATTTTACATCACCAGTTGTCGAACCTTTTGATTTGCCAAACGCCTTCAAGCGTGATCGACATATCATCCCAATATTTTCGTTTCTTTCCTTCGATCTCCTGGTATTAAATGTAGATCTCCTTGTTTGTTGTTGCAGGTATATATGCCCGTTCCACGCCATCCCTTACCTCCGCTGAGCCCGTGCCGTCCGTAGTCAGCGATGTCCTTGCTCTGTGTGACCAGTAAGTCCCTTCGCTTTGCTGATTCGTGTGCTTTTTTCTTTCGCTCTATCGCTGCAACGATCGCTAACGTTTTTTGGTTCCTTTTAAGTATTTCCTGCCTGATTTGTGTATTGTGAAAATGCTGCGACAGAGCAGTTTGGAGGTGTTCACGATTATCGTTTCAGTCAAACGTGCGCAACTTCACGGAACAGCAGGTGAGTGTGGGACGTTATTATCAGTTTGTCAGGAAATGAGATTGTTTTTGTGTCATCAAAATTCGAAAATCTTTTAATTGCTGCATCGGATGTTATTTTGCATTAATCTCGATTATTTTTAATCCCCAAGATGACCAGGAAACCCAAATATTCTTAATCTTTGATATCCTACATGTCACAATTCCAAATGTGCCTTGTTGCACGATATTTTATATAATCCTTGCAACCGTTCGGGCAACTTTCGTAATAAGTACCAAACTTCCCTAATAAAAATGAAAATTGGATTGAAATATAATATAATATATTTAGATACATATGTTAGGATAAAGGGGCATACCAGGGATTTAGAGATGTCAAATCTTGCATAATATTCTGTGCATTTCCAGAGGAATTCCACTCGTATGTGACGGTCAAATTACAAAACGTAAAGTCGACGACGGTCGCAGTCAGAGGGCCCAAACCATCTTGGGAACAGGAATTCATATTGTAAGCGGTCTTATTATTTAGTAGCCCTTTAACAATTTTACCGCCTAACCAACTCTCTAGTGAGACGAATCGCCTCGATCAAGGGCTGATGGTGGAGTTGTGGAACAAGGGAGTTCTCTGGGACAAACTGATCGGGGTCCACTACCTTCCTTTGTATCAAGTCCAATATCGAGCAGGTCCAGGGCCGGGCGTGTGGCTTCAGATTGATCAGGAATTGGAAACGAGGAATGGCCAGACTGTGGGGACGTGTAAACCAACCGGACATTCGGTGATGGTGGATGTCAGATTCGAACTTCCTTTTGGCAAGCTATTCTTTGATCCTCAACTAGTCCAAGGCTACTTTTGCATAAATTTATTCTCCTTAATTGGTCATGAATATCTTGATCAAAGGCCATTTACATTTATTTTGTGGTCCCTCTGGTCTGTTTTTAGATTACTTTTTCGAAATTATTGCCTTTTTTTCCGATTAGACCGCCTTAAGCAGCAGCAAAAGGATGACTTTAAGGGCGTGTTTAATGAACTCCGTCATGCTCTACACGCTCTCTAATTATGCGGCAGTTCCTTTTTGGCTCTGTTTGTATTAGATATTATGCCTCCGGGGAAGTGTGTAAAATTTTATAAAAAGATTGTTGAAAATGTTTTGAAAATCCCGAAATTTCCGGCAGTATAAAAGGAAAGGCCTCGCTTTGGGCAACAATTAGCTGCGTTCTTTTTGTGAATAATTCAGACTCCATGAATTCGCTGAAATCTTAATTCTCTTTCGCGTTTTCGGCCCAAAATTCACCTGAATGGGGGTTTGGACCGACTTTTCCGGTCCGGTAATTCAGTCCGCTGTGCGTGGAGAGGCGGGTGTCCAGAAGGCCAGGTTTCTGGAGCCCCGATTCCCAGATTTCCCGCTCAATGCCCTGGGGGGTTTTTTGCGCCGGCCGCTTATAGTTGTGTTGTTATTATTGGGGCCAGGCATTCTGCGGGGAGAGTACGAATCTTCAAATGTTGGAGGGAAATACGTGCTAATGTGACGTATTCTGAATTGGTTTGGGCAGGGCAGGGGACAGGAGGGAGGGGAAAGATCTCCACGCTTTTTGTTATGGAATTGCTGAGGTCATGAGGTTCAGAAATTTTGGAATCTCGTCTTTGTGCGGCCTTTTTTATTATTTCTTTTGACATTTTTTACAGATTTTGTTAATGAAGTTAATTTAAAGCTCGAATAATATTTTTTTTGTTTTCAACCTTTGCCCTTTTCGAATACTTATCTAAGAACGGGTTGTTTAAGACGCCTTTTATCTTCAATTCCCATTAATTAATTATGCAAATCAGGGTCTCCGTAGACAGCCAAAAGTGGTAAATATGAGGAATCGGAGGTGTCCCGGGGAGATGACAAGATGGAATGTCCTTGGCCGCATATTCAAACGGAGTTTATGCATAAATTATGGGACCAAAATTATTTGTTAAGGGACGAGGGGAGTGGGTGGCCTCACGCAATTAAATTTAATTTTCCGGTAAAAGTCTTTATCCAGAAGAAATGGCCCTGGAAAAAGTAACTTTGGCAGCTGTAAATACAAGATTAGAATTGCCAAACGCTGCTTAAAACCGTTTTCATTCCTTCAAAAAGTGCATTTTACTCTTTGATTTCTTTTTTTGGGCGATAACTAGTGGCCAAGACGGAGTTTTCGGGATTAGTCCAATTACTTTTAAATGTCGCATGCAGTCCTTTAACTGCTTTCCTTTTCTTTTTGGGGAAATTCTTCCAATCTGACACTTTAATATCATATTTTCCAAATCGAATTACATCCTCTGGCCGTTAATTTTTTCTCCGAAAACGTCGAGAAGAGCCTGAAAATGATATTTTAAATATTTTTTTTAGCTTATTATCAATAATTGGAATCGTATTTTAGAGGCCCAATCGGCGGATGCAGAGGAAGTTCAGCGCCGACTTCAAGAGCTCAACCGATTTGTGGAAAACGTAAGTGAAACGCTGTTTAATTTTATAAGAAGAACTGCGAGGCCTCGGGTGCTCGGATTATCTTGGAATGTTGCGTTCGGCTTCTGAACTAGCCATAAATCTCTTCCTGGGAGTTTTAGCCCCCAATTTAGCCCCCATCAAGTTTTGGAACGGTCTTTTTTTGCGAGAGAGCATGCGAAATGAGGAGAGTCGGGCGGACAAAAAACGGGTTTTGCCCATAATGTTTTCGGATGTATTTTTTTTTGATAAATTGTGCACAATAATTGAGATTGACGTTGTTATTTTGATGTTCGAAAAAAGGACAAAACTCTTCGCTTCCAGTCCGAAGAGTCGGCATTTTCTGAGAAGCGCGGGCTAGGAATACATAATTATATCTCAGAAGATCAACTCTAAATTTGAGCCCACTTTCCTCCAATTCTGTTTGCTAACGTCAAAGATTTCCCCTTTTAGTCATCGGTTTAAATGTTATACTTTTTATCGACACTATTGTCACCACTTAAATTATTTTTTTAGGAAGGTCAGATCTCACAAAGAGCACCGTTTAGTCATTGTAAGTCCATTTTCAAGAACAATTGCATTTGTATTGTAGTTGGTATTACATTTGAGTTGTTATCTAATTTATGAAGGGGTATGTTGTACCTTTGGCAGTAGTAGATTGTAGCAATGTCCAAGCTATGCAGTTGGCGTTGCCTTTTGAAAATTTTTAACATTAGAAGGCAGAAGTGGCTATATTTTAAAGCGTCTTATATTCAATTTTTGGAGAGGTAATAACATAATTCTCTTCTTGGAAACCACATTGCTTTGAGCGTTTATAGGGAAGATATGCGTTTGAGAAGCTTGTTACATTTTAAGCAGTATTCTAAGATACTATGGCTATGAAACCTGAGGATTACCATGAGAAAAGTGAGTTTTGGGAAGAATAATTTTATGTAATTACCAGAGGCAATTGGTTACTGTAAGCTGGGAAAATGAGTCTTTACCTCACCTTTCACAATTTTTGGCGTCGGTTTTTGAAATACAATAACTTCTCAAGGCCTCTCGAACGGTGTGTAGCACACGTAACTTGGCCGTGGATAGTTTGTACAAGTCCCTTGTTAGGTCATAAATTAACAATTTACTTAACGCATTTCCAATATTTTGCCTCTCCTTTGAGAAAATATTACCTTGAAGGACCAAATTTTCTAACCTTTTGCGTCGGATGCTTAGTATAATATAATGTATAAAATGATTCCCCCCGCCCCTGCCGCATTGCCTCCGGCACTTTGAGTGCATTCATCCAGTGATTCTTTTTTGTTTAATTAAAGTTTTTTCTTTTCCCCGTTTAATCGCCGAGATTAAGGCCAAAAAAAGGAAGCGAAGAGAGAGCGGGCCCAGATGTATAATATAACTAACAAGCCGTTCTTTTGTTGCCCTCCTCACTCCTTCTTATCCCACTGAATATTTTAGCGGGAGTGTCGGAGGACAGTGATTACACTTCTGACGTCTCTTTCCCGATCCATCAGAACAACCAATCAGTGCATCAGTGGGGATCGCATCTGCATCCCTCGAACGTCGCGTCCACAAATTCGTGTACAATTCAGAATCCACCGTTCGAAGAGGAGTTTGATGGGCATCCGGAGGACGTGCTGAGTGTGAGTACCAACTTCCAGAACACCCAGGAATATCAGGAGAATACATACGGATTGGTGAGTGAAATGTTTCCTTTTCTTGAGTTTAGAACTGAACTTAGAACTGAACTCTTCTTTAAAACATTATCTCTGTATCAAATTGCTACAAATATTTTTATCTTTTTGTCTCTTTAGATCTCAGATCGTATCTCCAGTTTTTCACCGTACTTATTTTAAATTTAATTCGGTTATTCTTTTGCCCTTCTCCAATTTAATTTTATCTCTGCAACGCCTTGCACTTAAATCAAATGCCAAATATTTACTTCCATTTTTCCATTTCAGTCCAATTATTCCGAGCCCTACAACTACGAGCTCGACCGGCAGAGTCCGCACGGGCTTCGCAGATTCCATCTGAATCCGGCCGAGAACCTGGAGGAGGAGAGCTACGGGAACGGACAGATCTATCAGTCCGGCTACTACGATGCGTATATGCATTCTATACCGGAGGACGAATACAAGGGCGAGGACAACGAGGGGAATGTCTACAGTGAGGATGGTGAGTGATTTAAAAGCACGTTTCTTTGATTGCAGGGAAAGATTTTGGAACTAACTCGGCAAAAATTTAAAACATTCTAAAACTCGTGTGAGATTTCTAGCTTGCGCTTTTGAAAACTCCGAAATTTTTGATAGGATATAAAAAAACCTTTTTTGTGAACTTTTGATGCGAAAATTTGAGGCCCAATTATAGTACATAACATAAGGCGCATGCGTTCTACATTTCTTCGGACCCCCTCGTAGAAACCCGGATTTCTTGTCTGTGGGTCCTCTAGACAACATTTGCGTGTTTTCCGTCTAAAAAACAGACAAAAACTTGTTTGAGATAACAGACAAGTGGAAGATTACCGTGATCGATGTCGGCGACGACGGTCGCCGGCCTTCGGTTTCGGCGAGTTCCGTCGCATAATTTGGGATGTGACGTGTTGTTTTTCGTCTTAGAGATTGTCCCAATTTCGTCGCCAGTGACAGTTCGGGTCAACGAAATATTTTTATATGTAATCAGGGGTGCTGATTGGGATAATCCTATCCACCACATGAAAAGCTTTGATTCTCAGCTATTGGTTATGTTAGTCTATATACTAATAACGGACTTTTTAGGGGCTTATCCCACAGGCTCATCGGTAGAACGGACCTCAGGAGAGGAGTACAACACGACCCCTTCCTTCCCGGATGCCTCTCTCCATCATCTCCCCCAACCCTCGACGCCTGATTACACTAAGCCTGAGGGCATGAACGGGGGATTTGATATTCATCAACAAATCTACAATGAATACGCACAATACGATGACACGGGTCTTCAGCCTTATCCAGAGGAAATTCCAGAAGAATTCGATGCAGAATTGGAGGACATTGAACCGACCTATATGGATCGGCAAGACCCCGGAAGAAGGGGATTAAGGAGGGTCCAAGTCCAAGGAGAGTACGGGTACGATAGTCACGAAGAACCGGGTACTTCTGAATATCCACAGGAAGACTATTCAGGACAAAATTATGACTCTCCAAAGGAATATGAACAAAGTTTGGATAAGGGATTTCAAGGAGAAGATCATCAATTTGAAGAAGTCAATCGACAATACGATTCTGGTCAGGAATACGGAACTACTCGACAATATGACTCCGGAAAAGAATTTGAAGTCATCCATCGGCAATACGACTCAGGGAATCAAATCAATGATATCCACTATGAAGAACAATATGGGGAAGATCAAGGAGAACATTACGAGGGTCCCAGAGCATACGAAGAGAAGAATTACGGTGAATATGAGCCGAATCAGGAGTTTGTGGAAGGCCAGACATACGATCAGCCCAATGATTACCATGAACAAACATATCAGCCCCATGAATACGAAGAGAACGAGTATCAGCAATACAATGACACCGACTACAGTCATGATACTTATGTTGACAACACTCAGTATGTGAGTGATCATTCGGAACAGAAATCGGAATACGGGTCCATCAAGTATCAGAGCCATGATGAACAGACAAGACCGTCGAGTTCGGGGGAAAGGATTGGGTATTCTAATGCAACATCGCCTCTGGCAGTGGCCGAAGTGCAAGATTATATGGCTCAATTGGCAGCGACGGGGAGAAGATACGACAGTAAACCCGATGAATATGACTTCCCGGCATATGTGGAGGTGGAACATAACCAGGCCTATAATGAATATGGGGATAAAACGAGGTAGGCAAGGCTAATCTACTAATCGTAATGTACATATAATATGAAATCGAAATACAAAGCAAAACTTCACGAAAAAATTTTTGGGATGTTTCTTTCGGGATCTTGGAGAAAGCGTGGCCAAAATTTTTTATTTGAATTTAAACAATGCTTGGACCACCTTGTGCAGAAACTGCAGGAAAATTGATAATCAAAGCTTTTTTTCTTCTTGGGTTTTAAAATTTCTAGTTTCAAAATAATGATGTCATTTATTTTTAGACCATATTCACAGCAAAACACCGACGACGAACACCTTTCTTATTCAAGTCGTCCCATCAGCCAAATAAATCAAGTAAAAGAGCCAAAAAGTACCGGAAATGGCTTCCTCCCCAACCATCAGCCTGCCAATGATGCTGATTTGTTGAGAGGAATATACGCAGAAGAAGAAGAGGGGCATGATCAACAGGTGCCGGATGTCTATGAACATGAACATGAGAGGAATTACCAACAAGGTCAAATGGAAGGAAATAACGAAGGAAGGGAGCAGAATGGACTTATAAGGGAGAATCAGCCATTTGATGAGTATGGAGTTCCAATCAGAGAGGAGGTGGATGAATTTGGGAGGGTTGTAGAAGACAGAGATGAATTTGGGAGAGTTGTCGACGGCAGGGATCAGTTGCGAGAGAATGGAGAATATCGCGAGGAAGAGAGGTAGGGCAATAGAGCATAACTTTTAATCTCCAAACTTTTATTTAATCATGTCAATATCTCTTTTGTAGACAGCCCAAACCCCCTCGAAATTACCGCGATCTCTGGCGATTGGCCTACCAGAAAATCTGTGAAAAACATGGAATCGAGGTAGGTGACGTCATTAGAAAGTTGTAGACGCTATCGAAAAGCGATTTTTTTGCCAACTACCCAAATTTCTGGTTGTTATTAATCTCGACGGCCCAATACAGGTCGCTTTTCATTTTTCTTTTTTGTGTTGAGATCGTTTGGGATATACATAAACAATGGAGGGATGGCTCGGTTTACCTGCCCGCGAGGTTTGATGTCCTCATAACACCGAGCGAGAGAAGGAGGGTGAAAGTTGTTATTGTTTCTGAGTATTCTGTATGTTGTTGTAAGGGTGGATGTCTAACTTTTGATCCCAATTTTGAAGGAGACGCAAATCTGCCAGATTCCAAAAATGGGTGTGCACTTTTTGGGAGTCCCATTGCCTCAGGCATTATCATCTTCCAGTAACGTTCGAGTATCTTCTCATCATCTAGTGTAACATAAGACGTTCTTTCTCGTTCTACGTGTACTTTTTGAACTTTCAGCTACTAGTTCATCCAGTTACAGTAATCCTAATTTGGTTATCTGGCCACTTTTGTCTCTCCCTCCTTGTTATCGGAATTTAATTTCTTCAAAACTTCATTTCTTAGCCAAAAAAGAAGTGTAAACAACAACCCGGGGATGTCGTGTGTAGCGGCAATTGTAATGTCAGACGTGTGCTTGTTGGTGTTGATGTCATTACGGATCCCTTTCACCTATTCCGAATACTTTCTTTCTTCTTTTACATCCTTTTTTATGGCCCATTAATAATTCGAATCCAATTGTTGTGGATGTATTCCTTGGCCATATCTAATATCCTCTTAATCATTCATGGCCTTATCGAATTTCCCTTTTTTTGTGCCCAGATTCAGGTGAATTTATTTCTATGGAATTCTTTTTCCCCCGGAAGGTGTATCCCTACTATCATTTTTTCCGTTGACTCTTGATAGCAAAATAAACGTCTGAGGGAGGGAAAATTTAAGAAAACCAAAAAGGATTTGGTTCCTGTTATTGTAAAGAAGCGAAGCAGTAGCTCTTAATAACGCGTTACGGGAAGGGCCGAGCATCTGCCATCTGGCGGTTTACCTTTGTGCCTGCGGGCATGAAACGCGTTTCTTTTTTATGTCAACTTAGACTGGGCGTTCTGCGGTTGTGCGTGACTCGAGAAGGGGATTCAGAGTGGGTAAAAAATGCCTGTAATCATTCTCTAAAATACACTAGTTACACTATTCAACGTTACAGTGTAGACATTTTTTTGAGGCTACTTTTCAAGGTCATTACTGCATTTTTTGTAGAATAATAGTACCAATAAAGAAATATTTCAAAAAGGGCGATTTTTATAATATTTAAAAAATTATGTTTTGTTGTTGTCGGAGCTGCAATTGCATCTAAAATGGCCTAATTTTCTCCTTTTTGTCGAACTGTTCTATTTATTCGCCTACACTTTCAAACATGCCCTTAGGCGTTATTTGTTCCTGTCTCAGACGTGTTCAGTCTATTCCCCATCTTACACACTCCTTCGAGCTCTTATGTACTCTTATGCGTTCCAATGTGCTCTTATTGTGCCCTTATATACACCTGAATAGCCCCGAATCCCGGGAAGAGCGATGACATCGTCCTTAATTGGACCCCGTTCTCTTCTTGCCGCACAACTTCTTCTTTGCATTCCATGAGAATTGTTTGTGGCCAAGGAAAGTGCGGACCCTGAGGACGTCTTATAGATTAACTTTTGCGCAGGGTTAATTGCCTCTGGCCTTGTTCACGGGTTATTCCTTCTTTGCGACGAGTTTTTCTCCAATTTTATTTTCTCTCTTTAATTTCCCCGCCTTCGGACTGTTTGTGGGGATGGTAATGGCTGTTTATTTGGACAGTATAGAGCAGTTGGGGAGTACTTGCCTCAGGGCAGACTTGATTTCAACATCAACAGGGCTTTGTTGATGAGTCCTCATTATATTTCAGATGACTTTTACTGTCAATAGGTTGTCTTATTTTATACTTGAAAACAAATTTACCGCATTACATTCGAAAGTGTTTTTATGACCATATAGCGTTTTTTGGTCATAACACGATGTGTTTCTGGTCACGTCATGTTATGGAGTCGGCTCTATAATATTTTAGAACTGTTGTAGTTATTTCTTTATCATATAAAACTTTGAGCCGAAAAACAAACGGAAATGTATTCAGAAGGTGCTCTGCACTCTTCGGCTCATTTTTTTTTGTTCTTCTTTGCTATTTTTGGCCCGAGCGGATGTTGTTACATTTAAGGAAACATTCGATTTCTGATTTAACATCCTGCATTTTTGGATTCAAATTGGGGTTTCCGTTCAAAATACGTGTTTGATTTGGTAATCTGCACGGAAAGTCTAAAAATTAATCTCCATCGGATCTCTAAAAATGCCACAGCCTTTAAATTTATTTCCTAATGTTTGATTTTTCCGTTCTATTTCCCTTTATTCCAAGTTTATTTACTAGTAAATTGGCCTGATCTTCTAGGATATGTGCATTCATTACCCACATCCGATGCCCTCAGGGCTTGTAGGCGTTGTTTTTGTTTGCACAGTGCACTTGTAATCGGCCATATACATTTCTGGAGTGTCTAATTTTACATCTCAAGTCACAAAAAATATTTTTGGAAAATTAAATTCTCCCCTTTTATATTACCCCGGCCCATAACAGTTTAAGTAGATTGGGAAATGGGCGTCAGAAGTTTGGTTGGCGTATTCCCGGGGATTAGGAAACACAAAGTTTGAAAACCCCTCAGGCAATGAATCCGAAACCCCCATTTTTTGATTAAAAATAATTTCCGAGGACATGCGATTTATGGCCAGATAAATAAAAATAAAAATACTTGGCCGCCAAAAGGACGTTCTTGGCCATATTTATCCCAAATTTAATTAGACGCGAATCCAGGAGAGCTCAATCTACTACCGTAAGGTCGGGGATAAAATTGAAGGAAGTAGGACTACATGTCGATCCAATATTCTGGTTATATGTACAAAACAAGCCCTTTCAAGGGTGGTCTGTCTAGCTTCCCCGTTGAAATTTGGCGATCTTGTACTTGAGAAGTTTAGAGAACGGCCACTTATTATAATGCAGTTGTAAGCCTCAAATTTCTAAACCTATAATCTCCTTTCCTTCCCATCATCTCTCATCATCGCACAGTGCATTTCTTTTCTTCCCCCACCGCACCGTGCAGCTCTTCTCCGTTCTTTGTCACAGGATTCATTAATTTTTGAGCTTTTGGATACAAATTATTTGAAGACACGAGTCCGGGATATTGACGGAGGTTCATTTTACATCGCCCTCCCTGCCCCTCGATTTATTTTCGATATGTTCAAACAATTTTATCCTTTTTTTGGAATTTAATCAATTATTTTTATGTAATGATAATCAGATTAGGAAAAGTAGGCCAAACATGACGGAACGAAGACCTCTGATCTCAGAGGGATGTAATTTTGTATTAGTTTCTATTATATTGCACTTTGGGGATGTCTGATTTTTGTGCTCTTTCATCCCCACCAATTTTAATGCAGAGTATTTGTAATTCCAAAGTTTTATTGCACTCTTTTTGGAATTAGGTGAGCCGGTGTGGCTGTTCCTCGTCGTCTCGCCGCAGGCACTTCACACCCAATTGTTTTATATTTTATAAATTGCGAACAAAAAACTTTTTTTGGTTTTGGCACGCTCGGAAAGGGGTTGAATTACACGCACGGCGGGATTATAATACATCTTCTGCCGGCTTCAGACGTTTTGATGTGCTCCTATCCACCCATCCTCAGGTTTTAATTCAATCTGTTTGGCGGCATGCCCTGCGGCGTCGGTTCGGTCACCCGGGAAACTCGGTGAAACCGTTGATTTGGGCCCGGTTTTATGCTCCCAGGCCCGGAATTTGGCCTCTCTGTTGGCCCCGCGAAACACCTGTCTTATCCACCTGCATTGGTATCTTTGTTCTACACTCGGCCGTCGTATCTTGTACTAAAGAGTGATTGTTGCGTCGCGATTCTGTAACAACTGTACCCTCCAGTAAATTGTGTCGAGTTTAGTCCTGTTTCGAGACGCAAAAAGCAGCGCCAGCGCTTGTTTTATACGGCCCACTTGGCTGATGATGATGTAAATCCATGTACTCGGGTCTCTCTCCCTCAGGCTATCATCCCCGTTCGACGTTTCCCCCGAGTCCCAGTGTCCACAAGCGCGGTGAAGGACGATTAATCTGAGCACGAGCACGTTGGTGGGCGCGACCGCGTTCGGCCAGTCCAACCTGGCGTCGCGACGTCGCGCCCGACGTGAGTCCAGTATGGTGTTGGCGTCGCTGCCTCCTGCTCATGTCCTGCAGGCCCAGTTAAGACCGGATAAGGACCGACCCCACCCGTCGTCAGCCCCTCCGAAGTCCACAATTTCCGTGGCCTCATCGCCCGTTGCAAGTAGTGTCTCGGGGACCCTAAAAGCAATTGGAAACGTTCTGGATACGGCTTTCAACTTGCCTAGGATGATCTCGGACGAAAGAACTACCAGTTACAGCCCTCAGAGTCTGCCTGAACCCCTTCCGAAGAGACATTATTATGATGTTAGAGATGTGAAGGCACATCCAGTAGTGGTGATCTACAACCCTCATACTGGCGGATTCCAAACCATTGATGCTCCTTCCGGCAAGTTTTTACCCATTATGTTCAAGTTTATTTCGTTTGAAATTCGAATTTTCAACTTCCCGCCAATTAAAAAATTTCTTGGCATTTCGTTGCATGTCACTCTAGTTTAAGTTTTTGAGTAATTACATTGTTTTTTGAGTGTTTTTGAGTTCTATTTAGTCAAAAATCATTTCGGAACTAAGAAGGAAGTTCCAATTTAAAGAAAACTTTTACAACCCATTTGAGGAAAGAACGCGCGCCGAAAGACGTAAAGTAATCTAGCTAAAACAGGACCTTAGGGCTTGTTTAGACAATTTAGAGGTCTGACTTGATTCCTCGAATTAACTTTGATGATCAGAAAACGTAAGTTTTGTAGTAGTCATACGAAATGTTAGGTCTTCTAAGATTTTTTGATAGAATTTTAATCTGGACGGGATTTGACAAGTTTTGATCGAACTTTAGAGCCCTCGTCTCCGATTATCCGAATCCCATCGGCCGAAAATCAACGGGCCAATGCTCTTCTGGCATTCTCCAAATCCTTCAAAAAGATAAAACGGGCCAAAACAATGACCAATCATGATCATCGCAAGAAGCGGAAGAGGAAAAGAAAATGCCTGAGGCGTCGACGGTCCGCTCCCATTCTTCGAACAACCGTAAAGGAGGAATTGATCTGGGCATTTGTGAACAATATTGACCTGAGCCAGCCGGGGAGATTACAGACGGTGGAGAATAATTTAAATGGCGACAGGTTGAGTGTCTCCAGCCATGATCGGAAGCGCAGTTCATCGCTGATTCCATACAGTGACAAGGAGAAAAAGAAAGCGCCCGATAAACAGGAGCTGCTGAAGAAGAAGGTCCCGCTCACAGAAGTCTACAAGAATAAGGTTAAAAATTAAAAAAAAACTTTTGGCCTAAAGGTCGTTGGCAAAGAAATCTAATAAGAAAAGTTCGAGAAAGAAGAATAATATTAATTTTTGAATTTCAGAGCTCTTTATTCAACCGAGATCAAAAGGAGAATGACCCCGGGGCGTTTTATAAATCGATTGATGTCATGCCCAACATGAATGTGGGACCCAACAAAAAATCGATGCCTTTGGTTGGCGAATTGGTAAGTAGAACCGTTCAAGTGTCAGAAATCTACTGACTCTTTGAATGAATTAGGGATTTTCAATGAATTCTAAGATTTCTAAAAATAGAAGAAGTTCTGACAATAAAAGAAATCAATTTCTTGATGATTGAAAATAATCTATTTCCAATTGCACAATCTGTTCTTTCTATTTACATCGCATATGAATGCCATAAATATCATCCACAGTCTATCTCACCTGCTTCAGTACTTTTTGTACAATCACAGATCTTATATTCCGTTCCTATCCATCACCCTTTACAACGCCTTTATAAATTATCGAATCACTTCTGTCCATTATAAACAATCTTTGGTTATAGGTGCTCCAGGTAAGCCGGTGGCGGTCACAGTTCTGTAGATTACTCGGTGAAAGGGCCAAGTTTATTTCTTTCGGTGTTTTCTTCCCGTTTATTTCACCTTCCACATCAGCACTTTGGAAGGATTTGAAGGTGTCAGGATGACTTATTTTTTGGAAATTACGAAATAAAAAAATGTCATCTCACACCTTTGTCTCCATCCCAGTGCACTGTAATTTAGTTTTTCTCACTTTCCGCACTTCGCACAGCATATATTATACCTAGCGTAATATAAAAAATATCCGGTATAATATAAAATAGTGTTACATCTAATGTAATATTGCCATCTTGTAATGTTTTAGTGAGCTTTTCCCAATTTCAGTTTTGATTTTCATAACTTTTGAATGGTTTCCCTTCCCTAACCCTTCGTATTTTACATCACTCGTTTCACTTGGTTCACTCTCACTAGTCCGAATGTAAAATACTTTATTGTATTTTACATCAAATGTGATCGTCCTCACCTTTATCGACACAGTTTTGTGATTAGTCCACTTTTTCTCATCACTGGTTACTAAGAGGATTACTGTATCAAGAATTTAAATGGTCATTTCAGACTGTGGCCACGAATCGGGCTCAGGCCGTATTGGCCAATGCCTCCAAAACGACGATGCACGATGAGGAGCTGGTAAGTTTGGACTACTGTTGCATCGTATTTTGCAAATAAAATATAATTTTTTTAATGAAGGTTACTGAATTTAATTTTTAATAGGGGTTCTAAAGTAATGTTTTAGAAAATGCTTGTGTATCGAAAGACCCTCCAAGCCCTGATCTATCCCATCAGTGCCACGACTCCTCACAAATTCCAGACCACCAATTTCCAGACCCCCACTTGGTGTTATGAATGTGAAGGATTACTCTGGGGATTGGCCAGACAAGGCCTCAGATGTACTGAATGCGGGGTCAAAGTTCATGAAAAATGTCGCGAACTCCTGAGTGCTGACTGTTTACAACGTAAGGATCCTACTTTTTCGTGAGCTTGCACTGCTTAAGAGTAATGCTTATAAGGATTAATTCATCCTTTAGGTGCCGCTGAAAAATCAAATAAACATGGAGAAGGCGATAAAGCCCAGAATTTGATAGCTGCAATCAGAGATCGAATGAAAATCCAAGAACGAAATAAACCAGAGATATTCGACACCATCAAGACTATCTTTAATGTGGATGATCGAACTCAACAAGAAACGTTGAAGAATGTGAAGAACTCGATTCTCGAAGGGAGCTCCAAATGGAGTGCTAAAATTCACTTAACTAGTAAGTTATTCCTCGAGTCTACTGGTAGTAAAATTTCTTAATAGTTCATGGAAACCTAAGGATTAACAATCATGATATATAAAGTAATATAATTCTTTTAGTAATCTGTGCCAAAGGCCTAATTGCCAAGGACAAAACGGGTAAGAGCGATCCTTATGTGACAGCTCAGGTGGGCAAGACCAAGAAGAGAACCAGTACCATCCATCAGGAGCTGAATCCAAGTTGGAATGAGAAGTTCACATTGTAAGTGGTCCAAGAGCCAAAAAATTTTAAAAAAATCATTTAGTGAATGTCACAACTCAACGGATCGCATCAAAATACGGGTTTGGGATGAGGATAATGATCTCAAAAGTAAATTGCGACAGAAATTGACTCGAGAATCGGACGATTTCCTGGGGCAAACCATCATCGAAGTGAGAACATTGAGCGGAGAAATGGATGTCTGGTATAATTTGGGTGAGTGTTCACCTTGAATAAATATTTTTTTTTAGAAAAGCGAACTGACAAGTCTGCGGTCAGCGGAGCGATCCATCTGAACATAAAAGTGGACATAAAAGGAGAAGAACGCCTCGCTCCCTACCATCTACAGTACACCTGTCTTCACGAACATATGTTCCAAAATTATTGTCAAGGAGATACGGTGAAGATCCCTGAGGCCCGAGGCACGGAAGACAGTTGGAAGACCTACTTCGATGATGTTGGCCAGGAAATTGTCGACGAATTCGCGATGAGATTCGGCGTTGAGAACATCTATCAGGTATGTGCGTTGAAAGGAGAATAATTTTGCAAAGTGTTCATGCATAATCAGCAACGTTATCTTTCAAATCTTCAGGCAATGACGCACTTTGCTTGCCTGTGCAGCAAGTACATGTGTGGCGGTGTCCCGGCGCTTCTGTCGACCTTATTGGCCAACATAAACGCCTATTACGCGCATGCGACGGCCACGTCCGCCGTCTCGGCACCCGATCGATTCAACGCGAGCAATTTTGGGAAGGATCAGTTTGTCCGGCTGCTGGATCAATTACACAATGGCCTCAGGATTGAGTTGGGAATGTACAGGGTCAGTTCAATTTTGTTTTTTTGTAAAGTGGAGGGGCGGAGTAATGAAACAAATGTTTTAACTCAAAGTAGTCGTTTGTTAAATGTATTATAATTAAAAAAATACAACGTCAGATTAATTTGTTGTTGTAATAAGTGTAATTGAAGCCAGGATTTCAATATCCTTAAGTGATTTCGCCTTGCTTTTCTCGTTTCCCTCAAATTCTGTTGGAATCCGAATCTTCTCGAATCTTCTGATAGTCTTTCTTTTCCAAAAAATTTACACTTTATTGTTTGAACACAGTTTTTCCGTCTTCTGCGGTCTTAAAATTACATCTGAAATGTCTTTTTTCCCGAATTCAACATCATTTTTTCGCGGAATTTAATAATAATATTCGAATTTTTGGAGGAATTGAGAGTGGATGGAGAAAAAAGTGCAAGTTATGATATCAGATGTTTTGAACTTGGGAGTTTTGACAACAAATATTGACCCCTAGGAGTCATCAGATGATGTTTTTATTAATGGTTTTCTGAAGAATCCGAAAAATGTCGCTACAAACCCTTTTAATTTTAGCGGTAATCGGGATATAACATTATATACTTCGATATAACATAGGCAAACTCTGGGTGGGGGCGAAGACATTAATAGAGAGTTCAGGACCAAATCTAGTCATGGATAATATCAGAACACAAAGGTGAGGCCCTAATATTTTTGTGGAAGCTGCAGAGGACCTCGGGGTGGATAAAGCGGCCGTAATCAGTGGCCGGATTGACGCAAAAGCGGCCCTTTCCGGACTCCCGACCAGCGAGAGATTTGAGGATACATAACATAACGCCCCAAGGGTGCGCTCTCTTACATTTCGTTTAATTTGGAATTACATAAGTCTGGAGGGGATTTTTATGGGGATTAGGAATGGAAGCGACTCGATTCACGGGTTCATAGCCTCAGGGAAGGGAGTGTTTTCCGATGATACGTAGGTAATAATGGGCTGATTACGGAGAATATAATTTACTTTTATGGGCTTTTTATGGGCACGACGGCAATTGGGAATGAGATAGGACGAAATTCTCGAGTTTTCTGCAATTTCAAAGACTTTTTTTTGGATTAAATATCTACTAAATACAATATCAATTTCATAAGCCGTCATGTTGTTGACAGACGAAGGGGCAGGAACATATCTTTCCCAAGTCTTCGGCTAATCTCACTCCCATGCCCTATAAATTTTAAAGAACTGCCCTTGAGGCAAAAGAAGTTGAATCCTCGCTTTTTGACCGTTGAAAACGAAATTAATCTCAATTATGGTTCTAATATGAGAAGAGTGGTGTCTGGAGGTCTTCCATAAGTCCTATTCGATCTTTCGTTTGCTCAGAAAATATAGTAAGCGGCGTAATTTCCCTTCGATTATTTACTAATGTAATTCATGACCCATCCCAGAGAACTGTTTCTAGAAAACCCGTCCCAAAATTCAAATTTCCTGCCCTGAGGGCACCAGTCCATAAGAACTTTTGTTTGAAACCGCGACCTCATTTTCGATTCAGATTTTTTTACTTTGTGCCCTAAAGGGATTTTCATGTTTTTTTAGGGCCAACGCGCCGGCCGAACGGCCGAAAAGTCTATGCATTGTTTGGATGTAACGTCTCTTGCTTTTTTGTCGGTTAATCCGTCGCTAATCCCGTCAAGGTCTTCCTCGGGGTTCTGGGTTTCAGCTTGATGGGCCTGGTCTGAGATAATTCGACTATTCCTTTGACTGTCACACTACTTTGTTTTATTGTTGTCCTCGATTTCCTTGTAAATAGCCCAATCCTCTTACATCCTATCTATTCCGTCAAGACACTTGTTTTTTTGGCGTCAAGATGGCTGATGTAAAGTCTTCCAAATCGCGGCTGAGTCGTTGTCGATCGGTGAGACCAAACAGAGCAGTCAAAGGCTCCTTTCGAAAGGTCTCGCAATTCCCGGGACCCACAAGAACCAGATCTGTGGATGGACTGTCGAATAATCTGAACACGGAGGTCAGAACTACTCTCAAACCGACAGTAATCGATCTGGATGATGAAATGCCTCCAGTTTTCGCCCGTGATTACGAAAAAGAAGAAGAAGAGAAGGAAAATCCATTCAAAGGAATGGATCTGGCCATGTTATTGCAACTCAGCGACGAGGAATTAATTGAAGTGCGACCTTGTTTACATTACTGTTTACAAATCGTTGGCTTTAATTTCACTTTTTGGGACAAAAACTTGATTAAAAACATTATATATAGAACAGAAAAAAATGTAACCTCAGTAAAATATGTAAAGGAGAAGGGGGTTATAAACGGTAATATTTAATTAATTAATTCCTTTCAGAAATTCTTCCCAGCCACGGACAAGGGCAAACTACAGGACCTGAAGAGCACCGTGGATTTGCTCACATCCATTACATTCTTCCGAATGAAGGTCTTGGAGCTCGCAAGTCCCCCCAGGGCATCTACCGTAATGCAAGGATGCGTCAAGAATTGTATGGAGGTAAGGATATTCAATGATGCATTCTTCTGATGACTGATCTCATGGATACTGTAAATTGTTTCAGCCGACTTACCACGCTTTGTACGAGAACTGCGCGAACGAGGCGGGTGATGACAATAGTGTCAAATTCTGGTTCGACTTCCTCGATTACATAATGCGAGTCATCGAGGACGACAAGAACATTTACACCCCGGTGCTAAACCAATTCCCTCAAGAACTAAATGTCGGAAACATATCAGCCGCCTGTTTGTGGAATCAGTACAAAAATGATCTACAAGGCATGCTCAAAGGTAAGAATTATGTTCTGATTCTGACGAGGGGCAACGTGATATAAAAATTGTATTGAAACTACCTAAATGACTTACTCTTCGGCTTGTGTGAAAGGACAGGGAAATAAAAATGATCTTTCGATCTGATCTGTTCTTTGGAATATCAGATTTACAGTTAGTGATGACGGATTTTGCGATTTTATTAGCGAAAAATTAAAAATTTTTTTAAAAAATTAAAATATGTCAGAATTACTGTCATAAATGAAATAAAATATTTTCAGAGCACGCGGAGAACCCGAACGCCCGCCAATCGAAGAATGGCGTCACCGAGTACATGAACCTCTATTTCAAAGTCAAGGGTTTCTATTTCAAGTACATCGCCGACCTGCCCGAGTACAAGAACTCGATACCCGAATTCCCAGCGTAAGTATCGAGTGTCCCATAAATATGTTGGCTGTTTAGATGGTTCGGCGGTTTCGTGATGGAATGGTTGGGTGAGAACGACGAACATTCCATGGACATTCTCCGGAATGCCTATCTGCTGGACAAGGACAACAACTTCCCGCAGACCTCGGAACATACCAAGTTCAGTAATAGTGTGGTGGATGTGTTTGCCAAGTTAAATCAGGCCTTGACACTCCTTAAACAGATGGATTGCCCGAATCCAGAGGTGGCAGTGGACATGATGAAACGGTAAGAGCTTATTTTTTATTTTTCACTAGCCATCTAAAGCTTAAGGTGGCTCAATTCTGATGGCTTTCGATTTTATATTCAAAGTTATTTATGCGGAACATACTATTATAAACCCTAGCGAACGTGTGGTTTGTTTGTATCTCACATTAATTTTGTGATTTATTTATCCTTTTCCCAGATAAATCTTAAATTTTCTGTGTATTATGTATGTATTCACTTCCAATTGAAGCCACAACCAGTTACAGTAACCCTATTGACTTAAATACCTTGTTTTCAGATTCTCCACGACGCTGAACAAGGTGTTGTTGGCCTATGCTGACATGGTTCAGAAGGACTTCGGGAAATTTGTGGACTCAGAGAAGCTGGCTTGTATTCTCCTTAACAATATTCAACAACTTCGAGTGCAACTGGAGAAGATTTACAAGGAAATGGGGGGTGATGACTTGGATGAGGAGTCCAGAAGAGTCCTCAATAATCTCCAGAAGAAGCTGAACAGTGTTTTGGACAAGTTATCTTCCCAGTTTGTATCCACATTGGAACCTCATATTCAAGAACAAACAGCCAAATTGGGAGCATTACTCTGTAAAATCAAGGGAACCCAAGTGGAATCCAGTCAACTTGGTCCAGATGTGGATATGGTGCTGGTTCCGTTGATGGATTTGCTGGAAGGATCGCTGCAACGATATGCTCAGCAATGCGAAAAGACCGTGTTGAAGTACATCCTGAAGGAGTTATGGAAATTGACTATCATGAATATGGAGAAGATGGTCGTTTTGCCGACTATGAGCGATAAGGCGGTAGGTTTCGGGCCAGTTTAGGGTTTTGTCAGACCTAAATTATATGATTTCTGACCAATGTTTTACTATCCGCGCCATCTAAATCAACATTTTCCAGTTGATTAAACAACTTCCCAATGCCAAAATCGGAGATGTGACCAAGATAATGTCCCATGTTAAGGATGTTAAGGGAATGAGTTCCGTGAAGGAAGTAATGGACATTGCCCGAGATTCCGAGAGATCCTTGACCCCCAAACAATGCACCGTGCTGGACGCTGCTTTGGATGCGATCAAAGAATGTTTCCACGCCGGAGGACAAGGACTCAAGAAGACATTCTTCGAGAAGTCTCCGGAATTACAATCTCTAAAATACGCCTTGTCGTTGTACACTCAGACAACTGAACAGCTGATCAAGACCTTTATCAGCACGCAGAAACAACAAGATCAGCCATCGCAGGATCAACCGGTCGGAGAGATCAGCGTTCAAGTCGATCTCTTCTGCAATCCAACTACCGGAGAGCAAAAAGTTACTGTGAAAAGTAAGCGTTCTCCACTTTGACCCATACTGTGATCGATTTTGCCGGGTTTATGATACCAAGTACAATGTAATTTCAGTTATTGCCGCCAACGATCTCCGTTGGCAGACCACTGGTGTCTTCAAACCCTTCGTTGAAGTCCATTTGGTTGGCCCTTATCTGAATGACAAAAAAAGGAAATTCGCGACCAAAACCAAAAATGGAAAATGGGATCCGAAGTTCAATGAGACCTTCGTATTGTAAGTAAATCCTATTTTTAATAAACTGCTTCTTTTAGTTTGCTCGGAAACGAAGGAGAACCCGAAAATTACGAACTGATGTTCCAAGTAAAGGACTATTACATGGTCAGAGAAGATCGAATCGTCGGAGTGGGGGTTCTGCAGCTGGCTCAAGTGGTCACTGAAGGTAGGAGAATATCTGAAAAGGGCCTTGAGATTAATGACCGGCAATACATAACAAATAATTTCAGGTTCTCTCGCCCTCTGGGTCCAACTCGGACGTCAACTTTATATCGATGAAACCGGCCTAATCCTTCTACGAATCCTCGGCCAACGCCAAAACGACGACATTGCCAAAGAATTCTACAAACTGAAGACGGACAGTCGTTACGAATCCGAATCCGTGATGACAAATTCAGCGTCGAGTCAGCAGATCCGCCAATAGATTCCAAAGTTCTCGCCGCCAACAACCTCAATTCATCCCCCAAATCTTTTCCAAAAATGGCTCTTAACTGCATAAAACCGGTAAATTGGACTTTACTTATGAGATGTTACGGTATACTGTAACAGGATTACAAGTACAAGTTCAATCCTCAAATTATCTCTTGGTATTTGCTTTATCATTCCGCTTATCTCACCAATGTAAATTATGTAAAATGTGCCTGATTTATTAATAAAAAGATATATGAAGGTGTGAGGGTTACTGTAACAAAAAAAAGTCCAAAGAGTTAAAATTAGACATTTAAATCTCGCAAATGAAACATCCTGGTCTCATAAATAAATCATTTTAATTTCCATTTCCTTGGCTTTCCGTTACAAGTCTGAAATTAACGCTGAAATCCCGTTGAATCTCGTTTTGGACAATTCGTTTTCGGCAGCCTGCGCCCCCGCAAGAGACAACGCTAATGAAGACTAAACCGAAGAGAAATGCACCATCTGGGCAACGTCGCGACTTCAGAGAGCGAACAGAGAAAGCAATTAGCCCTCTTCGACACTGCGTTCTCTCGTTTACCTCGGGCGCAGCTTGCGCAAAATAAATATTTCTGTCTCGAATGCCAGGGAAATGTTGTAAATCGCATATTTTCTTTATAAATTGAAGTGATTTTCATAGTATTTTATATTGTAAGAAACATGGCCACGGAGGAAGTTGTCAAGGCCTTTAATAAAGAGGTGAGCTGGGCATTAACCTAGGAGATGGGTGGATATCTTGTGGTAACAGTCTTTTAACACTCCCGATTTCAGCTGGCGACAATGAAGAATGCAAAGTCAGCTTTGAGTAAGGATAAGATTATTGCCATTACAAAAGCGGCGATGAGTGCTTTAAGGTACTATAAACATGTTGTCTATGCTGTCGAGAAGTTCCTTGCGAAGGTAAGTTGTTGTTATCACGGTTCTTATTCTTTATTTAGTGTAACACAAAGCTGAAAGTACCCGGAGTTTATGTTATTGATTCGATTGTAAGGCAGGGACAGAAACAATTCAAACATAAAGATGTATTTGGTCCAAGGTTTGCTGTGAATATTCTTCAAACCATCGAAGGGATCCTCGGAGAATGTCCAGTGGAAGATAGGGTAAGTAATTAGTGCAATTATTTATGTTTTTAGTTAAAAGTTGTTCGGGTGATAAATTTGTGGAAGAATCATGAAGTCTTCTCTCCAGAAGTCTCGGACTCGTTGCTCGAATTATGCAGACGACTAAATTTAGGTATGTTTTATGTTTAGTTAAATGCAAAAGTCGCATTTGAGTTGAAGTTCTTTCTTCATTGACTTTTAACACTGTACAATTTTTTATTATTTTTGCTTTTTAGAAACCGATGTGGAAAAAGTTGAACATCGAGTAAAGGGAGCCAAAGCGGACATGTCCATCTACAGGAATGTTCAGAAGAAGCGAGGAACTCCTAGGACTCCACCGCCAATAGCTGAAGAGCATTCCAACGGAAATGGAGAAGTTCTAAGCTTGTCTGAAAGCCAATTTAACGACTTATTCACTCGAATGTATCCAACTTTGGCTGATGGATTAAATCGGGATAAGGAATCTTTGAAGAAGAGTTACAAAATATTCCAAGGGAAGCTGAAAGATTCCGTTGAACGGGAGAAAGCTGCAACTGGTGGAAATATAGCTGTAAGTTGTTATTTTTCATTGGTTTATATTACTTTTGATTTCACCGAGTAGTAATTTATTATTTTAGCAACTTCTTACAACAACTTTTGATTATTCGGATGATGAAGATGAAACAGCTGACCGCTCAAAGCCAGAGCCGATATCGAAAGAGCGTTTGGAAGCGTAAGTTCACCTAAATATTGTTGTTCATGTGTTTAGATTGGCCAGGAACATCTGCGAACAATCAGAATTTGTCAGCGAAGTCCAATCTACATTAAACAAACCATTGGAATCACGAAGAAGAGAGTCTTATAATCGAGATGACAGGAGTTTCGATCGAGGTCAGAACAGATCTCAGGAAAGTAATTTGAATACAAGCATACAGTCGTTCGATAGTCGAGTAAGTCGAGTATAAAAAGATATATTGTCTTGATCTTTATAGGCTTCACGGAATGGGCGACGGAAAAGATCTGTGTCACCACCGAGAAGTGACAGAGATCCTCGGAAAAAGAGGCATCGAGAGAGGAGTCCCGAGAAGAAGTCAAAGCGCAGATCAAGATCCAGGACACCAGAATCAGCTGCTGATAAGGACAGGGAGAAGGAACGGAAGAGAAATGGGCTTCCTACCCATCCGAAGAGGGATTGTCTTGTCTGTAAGTTGCGTTTCCACTTGATTATTTATTATTTTAGTGGCCACTCGAACCCTTTGGTTTGGTCGATTACCCACCAATTGTGTGGATCATCAGATAAAAGAAGCCCTCAAAATCTCCGGATATGAACCAGAAAAGGTTAACATCATTCCTTCGAGAGCTTGCGCTTATGTTACCATGCCCTCAAGAAGAGCTGCATTCAAAATTATGGATAAGTACAAAAGAGATATAAAGATTGCTGACCGCTCCATCAAAGTCGATTGGGCAACTGGAGTGGGATTGCAGAAGAATGATCGATTGATGGATTACTGGGATGCGGATAAAGGGTATGCTCAGATTCCACATCAAAGGTTGCCATCCGACATTGGACAACTGATCCAAGGAAATTATGTTGACGTTGATACACTCCCAAGCAATCTGAAGGGTTGGTTTTTAATTTCGTTTTTGTCTTGATCCTTCGGTGGTATTTATAATGTGTTCTTTGTAGGGAAGTATCACTCAACAGGACCAGTCGAATCAGATCCAATCCCCCCTCCAGCTGATCCAGATCAGGCGATGATAGCCAGTATTCCAACTCCAGCAGCTGCTAATCAGCCACTTCCGCCCCCTTTCCCTCCATTACCACCGAATCCAGCAGCTCAGGGAATCCAGCCAACTCTAACCCAACAACTGCCCGCTGGATTCCCTAACCTTGGATTGGCCCCACATCTTTTACAACCCAACATTCTGGCGGCTGTTCTGGCACAACAGCAGAATTTAAATTTGGATCAATTGGTAAGTTTTTGTCGAAAATATGTTTTCATTTATTGTTACCTCGAATAATGTTGCCTTTTAGATGAGTCAGTTTCAATCCAACAACTTGGTGCAAAATGCTGGAGGAAATCCACCACCATCGCAAAGTAGGTTGTTTGAGGCTCAGTATCTTAAATTTCATAGTATTTTTTAATCAATTTAAATTTTTAGTTGAACAGCCCGATTCTCGAGGGCCTCCCCCACCTCGGCCCCACTTCCAAGGTCGAGGGGGTCCCAGGTTCAACAACTTCAATTCCCCTCGCCCGGATGGGCAAACTTTCTTTAGGGGGAGAGGTCGAGGCCAATTCCGTGGCCAGAGAATGCCTTTCAGAGGGAGTCCCCGTTTCGATCATCCTCGGCCACGATTCGAAGCGCCTGAATTCCAAGGAAACGCGAATCTGATGCCTCTTGGAGTGGGACCCATGAACATTCCACCACCAGATCTGAGTGCTCTATTGGCTGCTGGATTACCTCCACCTCAACTTGGCTCTCAACCTGGACTGCCGATGGGTTTAACACAGCCTATGGAAGATCAGTCTGAGCCCATGCAAATGCAGGACGATGAAATGGATCATTCGTCAGGTCCTCCAAGCATTCCAGAATCATTCAAACTTCCAGGACAGCGGTTTGGCAATCTGCCGCCAGGTCTGCCCGGTGGACAAGCACATCCTGAAGTCCCGATAAGTCGAGAGAATCAGAATTTTCATGAAGAATTGAACTCATCGCACGGGATAAATGAGAGTGGAGAGTCTTCAATTCAGCTAGACCAGCCCCGAGAAACTGAAAATCAAGCAGGAAATGCTCAGCCAAGGACTCCAGAAGGAAATGGGGGGACGTTTGAACCGAGGAGAACAAGATTCTCGGCACCGCATGAATTCGATGGGGAAGATCCATTCCGCCATAAAGGACCCCCTCATGATGATAGCTACGAAGACAATCCCTTCCAAAATAATGACGATGATGACAATCAACCTAAATCCCCTGAGGAAAAGTTTACCAACAATGTGAGTGGGGACAGCCCCATGCATATGACCACCCCTCCCCCGGCTTCTACACCACCTCCAGAAACTGAGTAGAGAACAGAAAAGGGATAAGGCGTTTGAATAACATATATTGTTTTTGTGATGTGATCCTTGGTCTCAATGTTTAAATATTGAAATCATTCTATCAGATTATAAAGTCTGGGGTCGCTTTGAGGTTATGAGTACTTAATTAAGAATATTTTTTATCTGTGGCATACTTCAAACATCAAATGTTTGTCCTTTGTGATTTTAGGAAATAAATTTTTGGCTGAAATACGTTGTGTTTTTTTCAGAAGATGTCGGTCTTCTTGGCTGGTCTCGTCTCTTTTCTTTTTTATAAATCCGTGTTATCTCGTTTTTTCACGTTTTAATTTTTTTAAATCCATTGTTACCTTAACAGTTTAACCTCATAAACGTTTTGAATTGACTGAATGATTGAAACGTTTATTGATCCCATTGTCAGAAAGGATATTCTTCTTCAATAAGTTGATCATAACACAAAGGACAATTGATGCAAGCGGTGATTCCAACCATCATGGAAACAAGGGTAGCCGCACAGATGGCCGAGATGATCCCAACAGTCACCAGTCTCCACCAACATTCGAAATCCATGTGGTTCTAGGGATCCAGTACAATATAATTTGGGGAACTTACGAAATGGAATGGCTTCCTGTCTTCATTGTAACAGTAGGCCTGCTTTCTCCTGTTTAGTCTTCTTGTTTCCGCAGGGCATATCCAGAAGCCCAGCAGAATTAAGGTGATCAGAAGTTCCGACCGTCCCATAATCAATATCAATCTAATAATTTTTTCAAAAGTTTTTGCAATTTTTATTTTTTTTATCAAAAATTTTAGAAACTTGTTGGTAATGTGTTTATTTATACGAAGGTAACTCTAGATCCAGGGATTTCTTAACTTATGAAGCGAATTTTAAAACTTTTTTCTTTGGTCGATTTTTCGATTCACCGACCGGTTTTGGTTCCGAATATACTACTAGAATACAATATGAAGGTAGTTCAGCTGTCATTCCACTCCTTTCCATTCGTCTTGTGTCCAAACAATTCCGTCAACGCATCTCCATTGGGATGGGAATCGGAGCTGGAGGCCGGGAAGAGGACGCCCTGATAGGTGGTCCCGTTGATCTCCATGGAAACCACCATCGACTTCTCCCCATTCGGCATGGTACTGCTGGAGACCTTGAGCGCGGTGGAGTGGGAGTTCTTCAGGATCTGATCCAGCGAATTCTTGGGGCCTGGGGATTCTGATTTTAGACGGAGAGGGGACGAGGTCTTCAATTTCTTGGCTAAATTATACAAATCATCATTCAGTTGATGGCCACTATAATATTGTTTGTGATTCTACTTACCGACGGGCTCCGAATCTCCCGAGCACGTAGAATCGCGACCAGAAAGTCCATTTGCCGCAGGGTTTTTGCTCTGCATAGCCTCGGCAAACCGCTGTAAAATGTCCATTTGGCGGTTGTTTGTATCAAGCCCGTAGGCATTGTTGACTGCATTCATCATCTGGGTGTTGTGCGATGAGTGGTCGTCTGTAATTATTGCTCAATTATTTACGTCTTTCATGACTTCTCTTGCGTCCAAAAGGTTAAAGTTTTACCTTGTCCCATCAATGAGTTGAGATGTTTCGAAAAGAGGCTTGACATCGCTGCAGCAGCCGCTGAATGAGGTACCAGTGGATAGGGGAAGCCCGGAGGACCGGAGGTCCCTCGGAAAGAGCCGTTTCCATTGCTGGACCCTCCATTATTTCGTCTTCCTTCCCTTTTGTTCCCTTCGATAGCTGCATGGAGATCAGATGGAGAACTTAGTCCCTCCTTCTCACACTCGTAGTCGTACAGGTACTTCTGGTACTGCGTCCTCAGGGTAAAAGCGGCCGAAGTGATCGAGCTGGGAAGGTTGAGACCCTTGGTGATTTCTCTCCACAACTTTTTGTTAATAATTTCAACAAGACCACCATGTTGGACAACCAGGCGATAGAGTTCGTAAAGATCGAGCACTTGTTTGGCCATGATCGGGATCCGAGTCACGGATTTCCCTTTTTTGTGCATGAACATAAACCAATCGTCCAGCCATTCCTTGCGTTTCTTGTCATCGGACAGTTCGTAGAGCTAAAATAATTTCAATAAATTCGTTTACTGTAATTTTAACTATTATTTTGGTACCGCAAAATTACATCAGAATCCGTGCAAAACGAATTCTTTGTTTTTATTTAGCTGAGGATTTTGCCCATATTTTTTGGGCCAAAGTTACGGTCCCTAAACGACCCAAGAAGCGGCCCAAGAAGCGGCCATTCAAAGAAAAAACTTTTCCAGAGCGCCCAAATTTAATAAAATATTCTCTAAAAGATATTTGGGCACCTAATTTGTCCGTTGCCCATGACAATATTATTCGTGGCCTTTAATGAGAGCCAAATGGGTTACTGTATACAGGGGAAGTGGGGGCTCGAAAGGGAGGGAAAGGGCGATTAGATGGTCTTTGGAGTCTTTATAGAAGGTTACTGTATGCTGTGGAAGTGGCCTACCTGTTTGAACTGCTCTTCGAAGGTCCAGTTGCTGGCATTACTCAGGTGATTGTCATCATTTTCTTGTTTTCCCCGCTCTCTGAAAACTCTGATTTGTGAAATCGGATTTCCCCAATAAAAACAGTTATATTGGAATATTATTTTATTTACTTACAAACTAAGGTCTTCGGGTTCATTTGCACTGGGATTGGAAGAATTTCGATCGATATCCAACGATGAAGAGGCCTGATTCATCAAGGGACCAAAGTCAAAATTCATGGAGTCCCCGGATCCAGAGTTCTGTTTGATCACTTCCAAGAAGGCGTTCATATTTCCAAAGGGGAAAGCGTTGTGCATCCCGAGTTCTAAAACCAAATAAATGCAATTAAATTCAAGAAAAGTTATATTCAACTACCTGGATGCAGTCTCGGAGGAATGGCGCCAATCTTCTGGAAAATGTTCTCCACACTATTGTTGGTATTGGTCGAGTCGTCGGTCGAATTGTGCTGGTCGTTTTCCTCGTGTGGACTGGTCGAACCGACCGATGGACTGGGCTGTTCGACTTGAGGGGCGGGACTGGGAGAGTGGGTGGCCTTATCCTAAAATCGTGTACTTTATTTTGAAATAAATTTCATTATCATAAAATGGAGCGTAACTCACCAACGATTGGAAGAAATCTTTGACGGAATCCGCGTTTTCGTTGGACATCGAATAAAAAGGAGCGTCGGAAGAGATCATGGAATGCCCGGAGGAGGTGAGGGGGCCAAAAAAATAAGTATGGAGTTGTCCACCTCGGCTGCCACCAACTGAAAATAGATCTGGGTTTAGTCTCATCAAGGGTAATATAAATTAAATTCGCGATTACACAAAAAAACGATGTCATAGTCTACTACATGTAATGTTACATAAGGCATGCCCAAACCCCTGCAGACTCCCCTCTTTTACCGTAAGATTTAATCCCTTCCGTCCCGACCCATTATTGGATATCAAAATTGGACTCATTCCTCCTTTTCTAAGCCATTTGCCCCATAAAAGGACTTTCGGAATGAAAAAAGGGCGGAGTTGGGCGGGGATTACGGTAATAATTTCACATTCATTGGGAATCCGCGGAAGAATCGGACGGATAAAGACTCTCCATTCTACCGTAATTAATGGTTTCCCATCCAACTTCATCCAAAATGTAGCCGAGTGGAGCGCCGATATTGTTTCAGAAGTAGTCAAAACCCGAATTTGGCGCCCGACTCCCGGTCCTCCAAACATAAAAAAGAGGTGGCGAAAGTGCAATCCCTTACAAATCCGGGAAAATAAAGTTCTGAAGAGAAGGAGAGGGGGATTATGAGGTAATGCCATAAGGAATTTTACTTCCCTAAGGCTAATATCCAAAAAATTTAAATTTCCAATTTTTAGACACTTGGAAGTAAAATAAAATACTCTTAACAGTTAGTACTGTCAATATAATCTCTGATTTTGTTCGCCTTCACTATCTTCTTCATGAAACTCAAGTCGCAATCATATATCCGCGGATATCTTCTTTCCAATTTTTAGAGCCCTCGAGGGAAAACGGACAAAAGAAAAGGGGAAACGCCTGAATTTGGTCTTTTCATCCGATGTAAATTCAAATAATCGACTTATTTTCTAAGGGAGACGTCTTTGGCCTGATAAATCAATTATATTCCATAGAGACATGATTAATATAATTTCTATTTGAAAAACACCTTGGGATTGATAAAACTGCTATAATTTGAACCAATTGTTAAACCATCTTCACTACAATTTTAAAAAAATTTTGTAAAATTCAAAAGAATACTTTTTCTTATCCAGCCAAAGCCAAGCCCTGCGGTCCGATCCAATGCTCAGCGCCGATCGAATTGCAGCTTTTCATTAAATTCCCCAAAATCAAATGGAAGATTTTCGCGCAACCAGAGAGTTGAATCGAGAGTAAAACCCCGCGGGCCAATTGGGGAAGCGAAATAAAAAAGGGGCGGAGTTTGTGGTTTTGAGGGAATAAATAAATGGAGAACATGGCCGGAGGGAAAATCAGCCATTCAGCGGGAATTCTCGGCAATTACGAGATAAGACACACCATTACAGTTTGCAAGAAATTTGAGTAAACACGCATAATGACTCAAACTACTTTTTTTTGTTTTTGACATACGAAATTATTAGACGTCTGGATATTAATAAAACGTGGTATCTTACCTATCCACAGTCTGCTACAACATTTAAAAGTGCTTAATTATACCGCCTAAAAATTCGAAATTCCCGCAGCCCATCCCACTCCGCCCCACATGATCTCTAACTCGATTTCGCGGAACTCCTAATAATCCCTCTCGTATTTAACCGAAAACATGGCCGGAAAAGGGCATATTGGCCAGAAGGTATGGGGACAAAACCCTCGAAACAATGGAGTCTGCAACAATATAAAAGAATCATTAATTAGACAGGTGTGCGGGAAAAAGTTAAACAAATCGCCGAGTACGGGGCCCTCTTAATGATGCGGATTTGCATCAAATATGCCCATATTGTACTTGAGGCTAATAAAAGGGCCCAAAAATATCGAATTATTTGGAAATAATGGACAAGTTCGGACATTGACGCAGCCAAGGCCAAGCCCCATTGTCCTTAATTAAACTGACCCCTTAATGCGGGCGATAACCACTCGATCCGTGACACAACAACCCCCACCGAGTCATATGGCCATCACAATTAAAGTGGATGACATAATCAAGACAAAAGAATCGCTTAAAATGGATAAAACACTTGAAAACGAGAGATTATGGGAATGGAGGAGGGCGAGGGCGAAAAAAATGGGAACGAGGGAATGCCCTAAGGGGATTCGGAGGAAGATACGGTAGAACTGACCGCTAAAGGCACGAAAAAAGTTTTTGAAAGGGGAAAAAGCGGATGGAAGCATGTAGAAGTTTATCATTTACATATACTCTTAAAGTAATATAAATAATCGGACAAAATCAGGATAAGAAATCGAATTCTTTGACCTCATTTAATCAGATATTAGATGCATTAAAAATCACTACGCCCAAAACCTTTACAGTACGTAAAAACTCTAATCTCTAATCATCCAAAAAGATTGTTTTAGGCCCTCTGAACAAGACAAACATTTTTGCGAAAGAGGATCGAAATGATATGCCTTCTACTCGGGCATAATCAGAAGATATCGGAGTCAGGTGTGTGCAGATATATTTTGTTCCAATCATTTCGTGATTAAATGACAACTTTTGACGAAAACTGAAACCGCCGTTCCCTTGACTCCGCCCCTTATATGATCTGATACGATCAGTGTTACGAGATGGGAGATGAAGAGAGTAAATGACGTCAAAATATGGGTGATTTTTGAACAATTATTTTTGCGTTAGAAGGTTGTAAAAAGTAGCCGACTTTATTCATGCTATCCGGCCCTCATTTCTTGCACAAAAACCACTTGTGATGCGTTTGTTCGCTGATATCGGATATCATTTTTTTCTGGCCCGTTTTGATCAACGTTCGTCATATCGCGGCAGGCCCTCCTCTTATCACTCCTCGCTTATCCCGAGAATTAAAAACTGGCTTTGATTCGGCAAAAAAGCAACTGTCCTCATTTTTTTGATAAAAAGCAAAATTTTCTGGCCAGATTTGATGACTTTTGATGAAATGCCTAAGGGGATGACATTGATAAGGACCGTTAACAACAACTGGCCCTCGGCAGAGAGATCTGATATTAAAAAGTCTCCTGTTTATTTCATTTATTTAAGATGAAAGATTGCTTTTTAATTTTTTCCTAAGACCCTCAGGCATTGTTATCAAGAGTTTTTTCGTTCCGAAATTTTTGGGATTAAGGAAGGGAAAAGGATTTTAAAGTACGTGACTTGAACAAGTTACTGTAACATTAATAAATAAGCAACTATAAAAAATAAATTATTGGAGCAGAAGACGAGATAACATGGAGAAGAAAAAAAATACTGTAAATAGCGGAACAGAAGATACGAAAATATTTACGTGGCTTTAAAAATAGTCCCAAATTTCTAGCCGAACTTGCCCTGATTAAGGTTGGGCCCAAGACCACCCCCGTTTCCCCACGTCTTCACAAAGTTGGATGATCAAATAGACAACAACAAGATCGTTTAATAGGTTTGGCAACAAATAATTTCGCGCACTTGTGCTGGGCTGGCCTATCCCTGACGCCCCCCCCTGCCCAGACCTACTTGTTTGTTCGAATCAATTCGCGCTCTCGAGAAAAGCAGGCCGCCCTTTGGCCTAGCGCGAGTTTGATGTGCACTTAACCATATCTTTTACAAAACACGATCCGTTTTATCCCGTTTAAATCGAAAGTCGATCAATTCAGAGGGCTCCGCTCTCGAGAGGCGGATATGCTTCGAGATCCCGTTGGGCCTCGAAATCGCTTTGATTTTGCGCAAATAAATCGCCGAGGATTACGGTAGGGGACTTGGAATGCAGACGTGTTATGATAAAGCAAATTTTCGAGACTTTTCCTACTGTAATCCGCCATTGATTGAGCTAGTGAAAGGCTGAATTTAGTTTCCAAAACACGGCATTCCTTGTAATGGAATTAAAACTTCGTTAACTCCACCAGTTGCGCAACAACCACCTAGTTCTTGTCTCTAAATGTTCATAAAGTCTCTTAATGCTCTTGATTCCGAGCACAATAATATGGCCGTATCTCCTGCCGCGCAATTCTCAAGTCCAAAAATGTTTCGAGTTTTTTTTAATGGGTTTGGCACAGCGGGATGCGGTTGCAGAGAAAGGAGAAGATGGGCCGTGCAAACACGATTCTTCGGCCTATTGATCCACCAGAAGCCGCGGAGTATTAAGTGTCTATAAACAAATCGTTGGGGGTAATATTGGGAGGCAGATTCTGGGGATTTGGACAACTTTCTTAGGGAGTAATATTAGGTTGAGTCAAAATTATCCGGCGGTTTTATTGGCGCGTTTTTTGTTAGTTAAAATTTATGTTTTGTTAATGTTTTTTTTATAAAAATAATCTTCTCTGGTTGGTTAATAAAATGGCAGTCGAAACCCATACTCATATTTGCCACATAATGCTCTACCACTTCGAGAAAAGTTGGAAGTCGGCACAGTCATTTCGCGATCTCAACGAACTTTTCGGCGAAGGAAAAAAATCGGCAGGTGTTTCGTCCAGAGGAGTACCAAAAGACGTCCACTGTAAGAAGGGTACGTGGTATGTGTGGTGGGACAGAAGCGGAATCATCCACTGGGAAATCGTGTCTATTTTTTGTTCCTTCGCCGAAAAGTTCGTTGAGATCGCGAAATGACTGTGCCGACTTCCAACTTTTCTCGAAGTGGTAGAGCATTATGTGGCAAATATGAGTATGGGTTTGGACTGCCATTTTATTAACCAACCAGAGAAGATTATTTTTATAAAAAAAACATTACCAAAACATAAATTTTAACTAACAAAAAACGCGCCAATAAAACCGCCGGATAATTTTGACTCAACCTAATAGATAATGGCTGATTAAAGTGCGGTTCACCAAGACGTGGCGCCATCTGTGATTGTTTTCGCGCCGAAACACGTGGGAATTTTTCTTGAGCGCGCGAAATATTTTTCTGAAAAATTACCAGTTTTTTTTTTATTTTCCGTGGTAGACGCCAATGAAGTGCGTTCACCGCGAAAACAATCATATTTGGTGCACTCTCTGTGGAAGCTCGTTAAGGGGAGTCGCTGAACAAAATTCTTAACATTTATACGAGAGACAATAAATTTGCAGTAACAGTCATAATTTTCTTTTACTTAACCATCCCCATCTTCATAACAATTTTGGCCTACGTCCATCAGACAGACAAAGATCGCGCCCTTTTTCCATCAACATCTCACCCTACAAATCCGTTAATAAACTAACATAAACCGACCGTAAGTCGGCAAGTTGGCGAGCACAAATGATGGGCGCATAATTTAGCAACAAACCCTCCGGCTGTTTCCTTTATTTAGTTTAGATCTTAAAGGAAAGCGAGCGGCAAAATATAAACAAAGGCCCGGCTCTTCGGGGATAATAAGCCCAAAAAGACATTAAGCCCCGTTTAAGGATAATAATTGTAAATCAAGTTAACATTTCCGACAAGGGCCTCTCTCATACGGTAATAAACACATTAAGCCGGACCGATCGGGGGTTATATATGGAAGGGGAAATAGGAATACATTTTATTTGAATATTTAAATCCAAAAGTAAAGGATTTGGATCACAAGAATGGCAGAGGATTCGGTTATTTCCCAGACCCATTTATGCCATATCCCCCTCAAAACCACATGACCCCAATGAGCAATTAAGAACTTTTATTAAGCGATCTTTAAGTAATCATTGAATCGTGCAAAAAACGTCTGCCAATCTCGCAGATGCTGGATAATAAAGAAATGTTAATGGGAAACAAATTGGGACCTCCCTTAGGGCTTTTATTTCATTTCAATTAAATTTCAATCATTGCCCGATCAAAAGAACGGAATTCCCTTAGGCACTTTGAGGGTGATACGAACAAAAGTAAAGCGATAATACAATAATATGAGGAGAATAAGGGAATATGAAGAGATGGGAATGGAGGGATCTGGATGGTAGAACAGACAGTAATGTAAAGGGAGAAAATGGAGTGGCGGATATTTTATGGGATTCGGATTTGGGTTACTGTAGCAGTTATTAGAAAAAGTTGGGATGAAAGTGAGCCTTGACATTGTGAACGAAACCCGATCGCAAAGCCCGCTCTAAAAACATCGGCAAATCAAAATCGTCATCTTTTACTCCACGATTCCGCCACAACATCTCCCATCCTATTTGGAATACTCCCCCGGATATCTCACCCCGATCCCCACGAAACATTAATCACCGTCCCGCCACCCGCCCCGCTCGTGATCGACTCCGAGAACGGTCCCCTGAGGCACTGACCATAGACGGATTTAATACCATGCCCTCCGGCCACAATCCCCACCTCGGAACATCGAGAGGTCGCAATTAAACGCGAGATGTTCAAACAACCAGACCCCAATTCCCGATAGAACCGGGCCCCGATATGAAAATGATGGGCCCCCATTCTTCAACGGACCATTCACTGGGACGGCTTTAGGACCCAACTGTTGCTTCGGGGCCGTGCGCGAGAATATGGCGCTGAGGAAATGCAAATTAAATGCAAATTACGAAGGCATGGAGTTATTACCCAAAAAAGAAGATTAATTTAGTCAGAAGTAGAAGGAAACTTGTTGATGTTTCGATAACTTATTTGATATGCAGGAGAAAATCCTCTTCAGAAAAAGAAGAACCGCTCACCGTAACTCGTTCCTAACAATATAAAATGCGACTCAACGGAGGATTACAACAAAAAATTGCCCCCATAAAGGGAATGGGGTCTTATTTCGACTCCCTTTTTTGTTATCATTCCGTCGCTCATTGGTCGGGAAAACGAATGATATAAAAGGAATTACTGTAAAAGGAAATCAAATTGCACACTATAGGAACAAGGGGTCTTGGAGAAGAAAATATGAGATAAAATCATAACCTTGAACCGACTGGTATTACCCAGTCTATAAGGTAATATTTCCTGAACACACCGCCAAAACCCGCTCTTCCAAGTGATATTACATAAAAAAGAATTTGTGAAGAAGATCCTCCAAACGGAATCCCCAAATTATAAGCCTAATCAAGATGAAAACGAGTTAATGAAGGCCTTGAAGAATATAAAAAAGGCGATTCAGAGGAGGAAGAGGCATCGCGAATGACTCTTCTTCTTTTTTCACAAGCCGGCTTCAGTCGATAATCAGATCGTTATCAAAATTAAAAAATGTTTTTTGGAGGGAAAAAGGAGCGACGGCAATTAACGATGGTGATCATCATGGACGACGTGAGGGAGTCCATAAAAGGGAGAGAACAGGAGATTGAAGAGAGACATTCCGATCCAATTGGCGTGAAGATCGGAGGGCTTGAGACGGGCTGTAAGTCGAGTAAAATATTAATGGAAGCCGTCACTATTGCAATCGATACGTCAACCTCAGAACATTCGAATCCCCTCATCTCATCCAGAATTCCGTCTTTTGATTGGCGCGCCACCCCATCCCAGTCGATGCCCATAAATTCATAGCACAACTGACAATTACCATCACTCTCCAAATATCGCTTCGAATTTTATTTCCATTCAGAACATACGAACACATATAATAGGTTACAAAACATGGAGATTCCTTTTTTGCACATAATTTCATATTGGAAAATTCAAGAATAATACAACCTGAGAAGATGCGGATTAGGCGAGCGAGCGACGTCGTCGGAAGAGCGATCGTCGACCTCGGTTGTAGGAGACGTAGCCCGCTTCCTGAGGCCCTTGAACATAACTGGGTCCAACTGGGACCGGGATTGGCTGTGGTGGGGGTGGAGGAGGTGGAGGAAGGGCGGGAGCAGCGATCGGAGCACTGTACCTGAAATAAATTATGTTTCGTCTTTGTGATTGTATATGACTTGAGACCCCATTACTGGAGCCTCCCTTTTGCTGATTTCAATCGCTCGAGGCCATGTTTACTGCACTCCAATTTCTTAATTCCCGTTTTTTACCTTTACATTTCCCTCACATTCCTCGGTCCCCCTCTTCTTGCTCAATTTCGCAAAGACAAAAAAAAATGAAAAGATACGCTCATCAGATATATGTTTTTACTTTAAATTCCCTCTGTTTGCTCTCCATAACAATGCTCATCGGGCGATAAAATGAGCTTTCAAATAAAACAAAGAAACGAAAATATACATTACATCCCCCAATGTCTAAGTATATATTACGCGGTTGGGGGCGATGAAAACAGATACCGTAATTGGGCGTTGCGCAATCCCCATTTTGATTCGGAATCAATGAAAGTAATTAGTGGGAGGGGGTTTGATTGGATGGAAATGGGGTTCTGAAGGGACGGAGAAGGGAGAAATTGGATGAAATTACTGTAAAAAGCTGCCGAATTCACGACAAAAAATTTAAAATTTTTAAAATCTCTTTTTGTTGCCGACATTCTTGACTATTGCTTTGGAAAACTAGCTTTAATTTTGACAAAATCAAAACAAAAAATGAATAGTGAGGTCGCCAGAAAACAGTGAACTTACCCGTAGCTTCCACCGCCGCCACACGGAGGCTGAGCTCCACATCCACCTCCACTTGGTGCTGAACAACATCCACCGCCGACTGGAGAACCAAGGCCTCCAAGACAGGCATGCGTTACATGGTAGGCGAGGAAGGAGAGGAATACAATCAAGAACTTCTAAAACAATAAAATTGGCCATAGGATTAATAAATATACTAGGCCTAACACTTGTAAAAATGAAATTGAAAGCGGACGAGCATCCAAAGTTCTTACCATTCTTTTGCGCGGGTGACTTTCTGCCGTAAATGCAACGACGATCTGATGACCGAAATGACGACAGCGATGAGTATTTAAATAAGATTATCCGGCAACTGCCGGACGATCGAAGAGGGAAGGGCTTGTCGAACCGGTTCTCTGCCTGAGGGAACAGGCTCTTCTCCGGTCATTTGCATACTCCCCTCCCCTTCCTTTTCCTTTTTTTGTACCTGCGAAGATACGACGACGGCGCTCTCTTGTCGCGCAACAAACGATGACGACATCGTATTTGGAGCGATGAGCCGGAAAAGAAGCCGTCGGCTTTATTTGCAACGATCCGCTTCGTTCGTTGCAAAACTTGTCTCAAGGCCGGGGCTTCGAAATCGGCTCAGCCAAAGCCGGATTTGAATCAGCCAGACTGGAATCTTTGCGTAACATTTAATTGGCATCCAGGAATGGCTTTCATCCGATATGAGTCAGGAAATGATTCGAATTCAAAGTCCGGGTTACTGTAAACCCAAATCCGCAGATATTACAATCCAAACATACTTTCAAATAACACTGAAAAAAACTCCAGTTGAACTAAATGAATCACTTTACACTACTTTGACGTCGTTTTATTTGCTCGGGAAGTAAATGACAAGATTCAATTAACAATCACGCTATCTTCCCCACCTTTATTACCAAACTTTTAATTGGAATGAATTCTTTCTGCTTTTCGTTACAGGTTGCTATCTCACTTTTCTTGGGACCTGTAGTTTTCAAACCGCTATTTAGAAAAATTTTTTGAGACGGAGAACTAAAACTTGTGTAAATATAACGTTTGTGTGTAATATAAGGTTGATGTGATGTTTGGAAGATAATTTTGAAGGGTCTAATTGTAAGTTTCGTTTTCGTTTCTATGGTAAAGATATCGGAATTGTTTACTAAAGTTCTGATATAAGTTTTCTAGATGTTTTTGTAATATTAAGAGGTGCATTTTGCATGTTTATTAAAATTTTATTTTTGAAATTTTTTCTAATTTTTTCCGAAACTAGCGTCGGCCTTGACATTTTTCATGACACCATCAAACCGGGATTAGTGGGAGTAATATTCTGCTCCAAGAACAAGTCGTAAATCATCATAACACGCATTATTTTATTGCAATTTGCCTCCTCTTTCTCTGTGCATAGGGATGTTTCTTCATTCGTAAGACTTTGAATTCTAAAAAATAGTCCAACAGCAGCCTTGCAATAGCCATCTTTTTGATGACGAATATGGTATTATTTGTTGATATTATTAGAAGTGTTTACCTTATCGTTGGCTTCTCATAACTTCTTCGTATCCATTTCTTTCCACATGTGGAGGATTTGTATTGGAAATCGTAAGAAATTTTGTTGTTTTGACATCTCGATGCATCGCCTTATAAGGCTCCCGCAAAAAACACACTTGGATTGGGAAGAATCCGTTTTTTTATTAGGCCGAATTGGCTGAATCTGGGCGCCTATTGTCGCAAAAATAATTGGATAAAACGAGACCCGGATATAAAGACAAACGCTGACGCATCCATTTCCAATTTAAATCCTCGAATTGAGCCCGGATTTGGACAGTGACCCTCTTTGTGGTCAACTTGTTGTTACTCAGCGTTGGCCATGACGCAGAGTAAAACCGGAGGCAATCAAAGTCGTTCTAAAAACGACTGTTTTGATGACCAAACTCGATCCAGATGACCATGTAGATATATAATAATAGGAAAGATGGGTATGTGTTTCCATTCACTTTAATCGTCCGTCAGATCGCCGCAACATCTGGTTTTCTAATAATCGTGTTGCTTTAAGAATATTTATACGCTACGTGAAATGGAATAAAACCTGCGATCCTTTTACGGGTAAAAAATAATGGAATTGGCATCTGCAAAGAGAAATTTTAATGATGAGAAAGTGGGGATGACATAGATGAATAGCTAAAATCCTCAATGCGGCAAACAGAGGGCAAATTTGAGGTTTCCTCAAGAAATAGGAAATTAAATTTTGGCCAGAAATTCCAGAAAATATGTTAGAAACGTTTTCTAGAGCCTCAAGAAATCATTTTTTAGTATCAGAATTTGAATATCCCTTAACAATTTCCGAGTATATCCAAAGAAAGAGGACCAATTTTGTCATGCCTTTTATGGCCAAGAGAACATGATTTGAATAACATTTTTGGGGACAGGAAGGAACCCCTAGGTGTTTACATAATTTGGTTTGGCAACTTTTGAAAAGGTCCTTTGGGACTTCTTTCATTTTATTTTTATTTGAAAACTTGTATTCCTCTACAGGTCCCTGCGTATTTTATTCCTTATTTTATCTGAAAACGTACGTTACATATAGTATTATATCAACGCCCAAAATTTTATTCTTACAAGATTCCCCGCCAGATATCCCATCTCCAACATCATCTTTCATCCAAAACATCCAGATTCCTGTACTTCATAAGCTGACCAAAGGGAATCCCCGTTTGATTGACAACTTTCCCTTCCGTCCCTATCTTCTCCACAACTACCGGTCATTCCTCTCTGACTCCATTATTGGCCATAAATCGTGGCAGAATAATGCCCGGAACATGCGCAGCAATCACCGCCGAATGTAATCATATTTTGGGCCGCGCGGCCATTTATCCGCATTTATCATGGGCCTTATGCCCGCAGGGAATGGGCGCGGACTGGTGGTCCCACTTCCTTCGTTTGCGTGTTTTTTGTTGTAACGGGATGTCAAATGTTCCCCGACTCGGTTTTCGGCCGCTTTCAGAGATGCGTTGAATTCAAATTCCATTCCGAAGATGTGGACGGCACTCATCGCACTGTGCTTGATCACTCCGGTCGCCAATGGACTCAGTTGTTTGGTCACCAGACCTGGTAGGAATATTAACTATGACGTCATCATAGGGTTACGGTAGAAAGCAACAAGTTTTTTTTTAATCTTGATCCAGCTGCGAAACTTGACTTTTCACTTTTAGTTATCATTTTTATCAAAAAATAAAAAAATAATAAAATTAATTTTAGAATTTAAAATTTGATGTAATTTTAGGTTACGGCCTGGTAAGTGAAGAATGCCCTCAGGGCTCAGTCGCATGCCGAATGAAGATCGATCATAATGCCGTCGAATTCTATCAATATTCTGCATTATACGATCGAAATCAACTGGTTTGTATCTATAAAAATGAGTACGGATTAATGGAATCTTCTGGATGTGTGCAGCGAAAAGCCGGTAAGCAATTTGGATGTTTTCTTTAGATTTTTAGAGCTTCCGATATAATTTTTTATGAAAATACATTATAATTTTTTTATTTGCAGGTCGCGCCCGATGTTGGTGTGTGGGTGACGATGACTGTAACACCCCCGAATTGGCCAAGGAATTGTATGAAAAATTCAAATCTGGCGATAAATTCATCCAAAAAGAAGAGAAAAACGAATTCGAGGAATTCAAAAAGATCGCCGTAAAAGAGCACGAGAAGTTACATCAGAAGAAACATCATCATCACCAGGAGCACAGAAGCAAGATCAAAAAGACTGTTACCACCACTTCCCCCACCACTTTGGCCTCGATTGTTTTCCCTCCCGATCAAGCAGAACCCAAAGTAATCAGGGTCAGCGATAAGGAACAATATCAGAACTTTATTGGGAGCGAGCAGTTCAAAAAAGCAATCGCGACGACAGAGGTAAGGAGTCAATAAGAAAGATGGATCGTCTCAAGGAATTACCTCTTTGTATTTTACAATTCATGGACAAATTCTTTTGGGGGTTGCGTGCGGGAGGGCTGTATATTATAATGCGGGAAATTAGGTGACAAATTGTTTGGATGGGAGAAATTCAAGAATTTATAAAATTCGAAGTCCATTTACCGGAAAATTAATTGTTTTTTTGTCTTAATAATACAAAATTCAAGTTTAACATTTGCTTTTAAATCATTTTACATCCCATTTATAGAACACTGAAGGCCTTAATTTCATATTTACTTATTTAAAAAATTCTCCAGGATCACACCGAGCTTCCCTACGACACCGAGGAGGTGGTCCTGCTTCCCTCCGAAGAGGCCGAACCCCATCTCCAATCCTTTGCCCAGCTGCGCCCTGGCTCCCATGATATCGATGACATAATGGAACCCATCTACGAATTCTCTTCCTCTTTTTCTCTGACGTCTCTTCTCCCTCTCACACTCTTCTCCCTCTTGCCTCGTTTTCTCTAATAAAGCTCAAATTTAAATATTTAATAAACAATTTAAGTATGATATTAATGTAGATGAAGATTCAGTAGGTTCTCAACATGTTGTTCTTCAGCATTTCGCGGAGTTTGAACTTCTGAATGCGCGTGTTTACCCGGGGGAAATCGTCCACAACGGCGAACTTGTCGGGCGGATATAACTGAAATGAAATATATTGTGTTAAAGGGACAGAGAATATATTAGCTAAGTTCTGTTTGAAAAATGTTGGCAACATTTGCTTGAATAAATTTCGCTGCAAAGGTATGCACCGCACCGTGCAGTTTTCCAAAAAATTAATTTTTTTAATCTGCACTATGCGGCAAAAACTAATTTTTGAAAAAAAAGGCAAATAAGGGCAAGATAGCCATAAAATCTGGAATTTGATATGTAAAATCAAAAAAAAAAATATTCGAAACTGACCTTGTTGTTATTGCAAAGGCTAATCAATTCCGACATGAAGAACCTCGGGATGTCATCCAATCTTTTGGGGACAATGATCGCGACGATTGGAGCACCGGGACACACTTGAACCACTTGGACTCCCTTGATTTCATCGTATTCCTCGGCCATTAATTTCTCCATTTTCCAATGTTCTACGAGATGATCGAGACGATCGTAGATAAGGTCCGATTTGTTGGCCAAGATCTCGACATTCCCTTCCTTGGAGATGGAAGCAATGTCACTGAAAATATCGGAGATTATAATTGTCTACTATGTTATGATGGACGTACCCAGTGTCGATCCATTCAAGATTTGAATTGAAGTCCGGCCCGTACCCGATGAATTTTGTGTTGGCCAAGGCCTTGACTCTCAGCTCTCCGATTGTGTGGCCATTCGTATTTTTGAGCTTGGGAATGGGTTTTATATCCACCTAAAAATTCAGGTTACTATATCAAATAATTTTTGCTATACAGTAAAACCAAACTACCATCAAATTTCTTACTTCGTAGCCTTGAAGGGCTTTCCCAATGGATTTTATTAAATTCGTTGTGTTATCGCTGATCACTGGTGCTGTTCCGACTTCTGTTAGCAACATTCCCACCTAAACAATGATATAAAAAAGTGATCTTTACGGCAGTAGCAATTCATCTTTGGATTCTTACCGCGATTCTTTTTGCATTTTTCATGATTTTCTCGAGATTAGCCAATAATTCCCGACCAACTCTGTCGCCCAAAAGGATCACCGTTTCCACCGAGGGTACTGTAACTTTTTGAGCCATTGCCATTTTTAGCAGTAATCGAATTGCGATGGAATTCGAGACCAAGTGAGTGCATCTGAAAAGGAATCATGTAAAAGCTCTGATTTTTGAGCAATCGAATTTTTGTAAATTCCTTTAAAACAGAGTTTTTTACAAACTGAAGCTTCCCTCCAAGGGGCCCGGACATTGTTGCAACGACCATCACCAAATTTCTTGAAACTTGGCCAGTAGAAGGGCCTGAGCATGTTGATGAAAAGCGAAGAAGGGTTTCGCGAAATTTCAATCAGTCCGGGATTACTGTAACAATTTGGGTTTTGTAAAGCAGCCGTTGTCGTGGACCGGGCGACAGCCCTACGGGGCTGAAACTTCCTGTCTGTATGTTTTCGAGCATGGCCAACATTTTTCTAATTGAAACTTTTTTTGTATCTTTTCGTCTTTCGGTAGTACCGTAATCGTCATGATACCATATCGATTACTGTAAAAAATTGGAGCGAGTGTAACAAATTTTTAAACTTGATTATAAAAGTCGGACACCCTTCCCGTAAAATAAGACAATAAAATCAAAAATAAAAATATAAGTTTTTGAGATATAAGCGTTCAAAGTTGCTATGTTCGGTTACTGTAGGACCAAAATAGAGACGATCAATTTTAAAACTTTTCCATTAATCGCTACGGTTCACATATTAATAGAATGACATAAGAGAAATGTTTTCAGGTTGAAAAATTAATAATTGACCTTTTATTTTAGGGTTTATACAAAGGTTACTGTAATTTCCAACTTTTATTAAGTTCGCTAACAATTTTATTGGAATGACGAATTTAGACAAGCTATCCGGGTCAGAAACGCGCATACATCATGGAAGACAGAAATCAGAATCGTAATACTACCTATTCCTGAAATAGTGGGAGATTACCGTAGCCGTACCCACTTTTTTCGCTGCTTGGCCGCGGCATTCTTTGGAGCTGCTAGTGTAACAACTTTTGAAGCCTGAAATTCATTCAGGATGGATAGAAGAGTATTTCAGCAAAAAATCGCGAAAATAAAAATATAAGTTTTTGAGAAAATCCCGGATTACGGTCATTTTAGGGGGTTTTTGGGCCGTCTGGCCGCGGCATTCTTTGGAGCTGCTAGTGTAACAACTTTTGAGTCTTGAAATTTACTCAGCATGACAAGGGAAGTATTTCAGCAAAAAATCGAGAAAATAAAAGTATAAGTTTTTGAGAAAATCCCGGATTACGGTAGTTTCGGACAGAAAATCCCCTATAATGACCGTAATTTCGGATTTTCTCAAAAACTTATACTTTTATTTTCCCTATTTTTTCTTAAAGACTCTCCTATATATTCTGAACAAATTTCCAGTCTCAAATCTGGTTACACTAGTAGCTCCAAAGAATGCCGCGGCCAGACGGCCTAAAAACCCCCTAAAATGACCGTAATCCAGGATTTTCTGAAAAACTTATATTTTTATTTTCGCGATTTTTTGCTGAAATACTGTTCTATCCATGCTGAATGAATTTCAGGCTTCAAAAGTTGTTACACTAGCAGCTCCAAAGAGTGCCGCGGCCAGACGGCCCAAAAACCCCCTAAAATGACCGTAATCCAGGATTTTCTCAAAAACTTATATTTTTATTTTCTCGATTTTTTGCTGAAATACTCTTCTATCCATCATGAATGAATTTCAGGCCTCAAAAGTTGTTACACTAACTGTCCCAAAGAATGCCGCGGCCAAGCAGCGAAAAAAGTGGGTACGGCTACCGTAATCTCCCACTATTTCAGGAATAGGTAGTATTACGATTCTGATTTCTGTCTTCCATGATGTATGCGCGTTTCTGACCCGGATAGCTTGTCTAAATTCGTCATTCCAATAAAATTGTTAGCGAACTTAATAAAAGTTGGAAATTACAGTAACCTTTGTATAAACCCTAAAATAAAAGGTCAATTATTAATTTTTCAACCTGAAAACATTCCTCTTATGTCATTCTATTAATACAGTAGCTGCCAAAAAACTGTCAATTTTTTTGTTTTTTGTGTAACTCTGCTCAACGTGGACGGATTTAAACGAAACAAATACCATTCTGTAGAGAATTATTGCTGTTATCGAATGGCTTAGCGGTTGGAGCGATTTTACATCTTAGGGTGTAACAACTGTCGATGTAAAATTTTTGGAAAGACAAAAAACTGTCAATTTTTCCAAAAAAAATTTACCACTTGCACAGGTCGCGGCGAATCATGGGCTTATACATCACGATTTCTAAATAAAGTCCCACTGTACATTACTGACCATCAAACGGAGCCAAGAAACTTAATTTAGTTGACCATTTGGTGGTCCCAAGTTCGATACCCCAAAACATGACGTTTAAGGAAAAATCGATTTTTTCTTTGACTTAGAATAAAGGAAATGCCTTGCAGTAGAAGCTAGACAACCTACAATTAAAATAGAACAATGATTGGGAGCCGCACTGTAAGTCTACGGACTCCACTGGATATTCAAGTTTCTCCGGTAACCGAGTGTCTGAAGAGACTTGGCCTTGTTGCCCCCGCTTTTGTAACAACTTGCTAATGTTTTATCAATACGTGATCACAGATGTTCTAGAAGCATTTTATGGGCATTTGTAGGACGGCGATGCAAGTCACATAAGAATTACGGAGGGTTATGTTGTCATTAACAAAAAAATTTTTTTGTGGAAACTTGTAAGCCAGATTAAGACTTTAGAAACACCTCAGAGGGAGTGAAACCGCGTTAGAAATGTCAAGAATGGCTGTAAATCTATGACACAATATCTTGCTTGTTCTTGCACTGGGTTATTTCTATTATATGGAGAGTGCAAATCGAGACAATAATTTTTCTTCAAAAATTCCGTTTCGAAGTTTGTTCTTTTACACGCAAAGTACGGGCCTGCCGCAGTAGCGGTTCTAAACTGTTCACTGTTCACATGGGTGCCTTCTGTCGCGTTGGAACAACGACTAGAGTTGTCTACGGAAGCACCCGGGCTAAAGTTTCACGGTACATCTACTGCCAGAAAAACTTGAATGTCAAGTGGAGTCCGTAGACTTACATTTAGGCTCCCAATCATTGTTCTATTTTAATTGTAGGTTGTCTAGCTTTTACTGCAAGGCATTGCATTAATGCTAAGTCAAAGAAAAAGATCGATTTTTTCTTAAACGTCATGTTTTGGGGTATCGAACTTGGGACCACCAAAAGGCCTACTAAATTAACTTTCTTGGCTCCCTTGGATGGTCAACAATGTACAGTGGGACACTATTTAAAAATCAGACTATATAAGCCTATGATTTGCCGCGACGCATGCAAGCGAGAAAATTTTTTTGGAAAAATTGACAGTTTTTTGTCTCTCCAAAAAATTTACATCGACGGTTGTTACACACTAAGATGTAAAATCGCTCCAACCGCTACGCCATTGGATAACAGTAATAATTCTCTACAGAATGGTGTTTGTTTCGTTTAAATCCATCCACGTTGAGCAGAGTTACACAAAAAACAAAAAAATTGACAGTTTTTTGGCAGCTACTGTATGTGAACCGTAGCGATTAATGGAAAAGTTTAAAAATTGATCGTCTCTATTTTGGTCCTACAGTAACCGAACATAGCAACTTTGAACGCTTATATCTCAAAAACTTATATTTTTATTTTTGATTTTTTTGTCTTATTTTACGGGAAGGGTGTCCAACTTTTATAATCAGGTTTGAAAACTTGTTACACTCTTTCGAATTTTCGGCAGCAATCGATATGGTATCATGACGATTACGGTACTACCGAAAGACGAAAAGATACAAAAAAAGTTTCAATTAGAAAAATGTTGGCCATGTTCGAAAACATACAGACAAGAAGTTTCAGATCCGTAGAGCGATCACCTGGTTCACAACAACGGCCGCTTTATAAAACACAAAATGTTACAGTAATCCCGAAATAATGCAAATTTTGGGAAAACGTTTGACGCTTTTGATATATGCCCTGTGGGTGTTCTATGAGCCAAATTTGAAGAAATTCGGTGATGGTCACCGCAACAATTGTTCGGTCCCGTGACGAAAACTACAAGACCTTTGGCATTACGTTTTGTCCCATGGCCAAGGAGGATTATATTATTCAGTGAATGTGTGTGTTACGCTATATATTGCTATTATTGTTTCTGTAATAAATCTATCTATATTTATTACTCTACATTCGGCTGACTACATATCTTCGCGGATACAAGTGAGGATACAACAACAATGTCCGGGCCATGCTTCACTTTGTAAAAAAGTCCGTTTTAAGTTACCTATGCATCAAACAAGACGTAATTAATTGCCGTGGCACTGGAGATGGCTCCGAAATAATGGTCCTGGATTCGAACATAAACGGGGTAAATGCGACGAGGCCAAAGACCGGGATGCGATATAACGGAAGAGCACACGCCATTATACTCTAAAATAATAATGTTAGCCCGGAAAAACAACAATTGCTTACTCCTTTCCTGATCCCGATAATATTCGAAGCGATGCGACAGCCATTGATTAACTGGTAATGAGAGAGACCGGCAGCTTTAGGAGGACCCGTTGAGCCCTTGAAATAATCATTCCGTCTAAATTGTTCTTACCAATGTAAATTGAATACAAGCCAAGCGATGGGAGTTCCACTGGAGATAGTTGGGGAGTTTCTCCATCCTCGGGGGTGTGCATTTCCCGTAGATCTCGGATAAGGTCCAGGTACCGCTGAAATAAGATTTTTTTTAAAATTTCTGACGCCTTATAAAATTATTCAAAAAGATTATTTTAATGGCAAAATAAGCTGCCCAAAATAGACTTTATTGCTTCTAATTTTTTTGAACTTACGCATGTTTGTGATCCTCATCGCCCAGGATAACATGGGTTAGTTTGGGCAATCTGGCCGACTTCAGTTTACTCCGAGCGCATTTTTTGATCTCTGGACATAAACTCTCAATCAAATCATACATCGCGTCTGAGCCCCCTCCATTTGGCGACGAAAATAAAACAACGGCACGGAAGTCCCCCTAAAATATATATAAAAAAATATGTAAAGAATTGAGATGATTAATTAAAATCTCTGATGGTGAATTTACCGCTTTAAGAAGATGCTCTAATTGCTCTGGTTTGGCGACGGCGTTGGCGCCGACTAGAGAGAAGACCAGGCCAGCTCGGGAAGCGGCCAAAGCCGAGAGCAGGACCTGGCTGTGGTTGTGGCCACAGATTAAAATACGGTCCATATTTTTTAGACCGGTCGCGGCGAATCCGGTGGCCAAATAGTCCGTCTGAAAACACTTTATCAGACAACAAAAAGTTTTTTATATTTATCTCTGTCTAAGAATTACCTCCATTTTGATCATTTCGAAGCTGAAACTCATCCGTTCTGAGTCAAAAACAAAGGCCGTCTGATTATTGGTCCCCTTTTTGTTGACCAATTCGGGGATTGTGATCTCATACGGACCACTGTCACTTTGTCTCTGTAAAGATTTTAATGAAAAAAGGTATATTATCCACGGAAGCTGATATTATCCATCTCCCTTACCTGATGTGTAAAATCCAAACAGAACACACTCTCTTCCCGTATTTGCAACGGCATTGCTACAGTAACCCCCTTTACTTCCGTATATCGAAAAATGGAACAAAAATGTGTGAAAAGGAGCGATCGGCACTGAAAATGCCCTGAGGGGAGCTTTTGTTTTCCGGGCCTAAAGTCTTTTTTTGCGGATATTTTTTGATCTCAACGTGCCAGGTGCTGATCGGAGTGGGAGGCTGGAAAAATAAATCTCCTGGGTTTTTGCGACATTTCAAAGAGAAAAAAGTAATGAGTAATGTTAATTACTGCAAGGGCTCTGATAAAGTACTCGGAGGCCTAAAATAGGTCCTTGAAACTTTGGAAAAGAGCCATGTGCATGATTAAAGCTTTGGAATAGCGCCATATGCATGATGATTTAATGGACCAAATTCATTTTGAAAAATAAAAAAAATCGTTTTTTCTGGATCAAAATTTGCTTACTTTTACAGCGAAATAAAGCCGGTACAACAAAAAATAGTTGATTTTTCACTCTGTTGGGAAAATAATGAGCACTATATTACATAAAAAGTCGCAGTCGAAAAAATTAATCCTTGTGTCGCGGCAAAATCAAATGGCTGTTCACCGCGGCACAGTCGGCGAAGCGACATTGTGCTCATTATTTTCCAGACAGAACTGATGTAATAACTTCTATTGTCTGGTTTGATTGTATTTGTGCACAGGTTTAGGCAAAAAAATCATGAGTTCTTCCAAAATTGCCATTTTGTCGACGAAACTTGTCCAAAAATTGTGAAATATCTCTGTGTCTACGAATATCGCCTCAGTACTCTCTCCACTTTTCTCATTTTTTCTCAAACTTTCTTCATTTCCTGCTCTTTTACTCTTCTCCGTTCCTCCCATTAATCTGATCGATCCGTACTTCGGACATTACTTTTTTGTTTGATTTCCTTTTTATCAAACACTGCCTGAGGGCAAATTGAATTCGAAATCGTCCCACATTTTTTGTTTTTAGTGTATTCCTCAGCTGTTTTTCCTTGTCATGTCATCTTTTTTTCGAGCTCATATCCAATGATTGAGGTTATGAGAGACAAGTTTTAAGGTAAGAGGGTTAGGGTTGAGGGGGAGTTCAGAGAGGCTCAGATTACAGTAGACAGAAAGAAGGAAGCGTTTGCACAAGTGTTTTCATATCAGAGAGAACTGTTGGGGAATACCTCTATAAAAGGTATCAAAAGATTATTTTAATCCGAGTAACTTTACTCTTCTGGAATTACTAAACAGGAAGTTGAGTAATCCCCTACCTCATCGTTACGCAATTCTACGCAAAAATCCTCAAAATACTTGAATTTGGGAGTAAACAGTAGACCAGACAAGACGCTGACGTCCGAAAGTGCAAGTGAAATCCACATTTCCTAAGGACTAATAGCAAAAAGATGAAATAAAGGTCGTAAAGTCGCCATAAAAGCAACAAATGTCTTTAAGAAGAGACTTGGCGACTGGCACGTTGTTTTCGAGATCAGAAATGGATAAATAAGATGACGAGACGGGCTGATCAACAAAGTCGCGACCACATGGCCCGGCTCTTACTTCCTTGCTGACGGTAAACAACTCTCCGGCCAAGTCGAGACAGGATTCTTACAGACCATAAATCGTGGCCCTTCGTTTGCAAAAACACTCCAGAAGACGAATTGCAGAAGTCCTCCTTCCAATCCATCCCCTTTTCTGAACCTTTTTCTTGCGTTTTCGGACGGCCGAAAACGAATCGATGCAATTTCTCTGGGCCCCCAAGTAAAATTAGGCCCGCCGAAAAAGCGGTGAAAAGGGAAAGAGAACAGAAAAACGATGGCCCCTTTGGCGGGGACCGGAGAATTCTTGCCCCAGGGCATGCCATTGGGCTGCAAGCGAGGAAAGAGAGTGCAAAAGAGTCCCCGCTCTTTTCCCCCTAAAACATTGCACTCGAAACGTACGCCGGCGACTCGATGTAATGGCCATGTGGCCGCCGCCCATCAACCCGCCCGACCACACCATCGCCCCTTCCACCAACGGCGATGAGTTGCAATCTCTCATCGATCAGATGCGTAAGGAATCTTATCTCTTTTTAGAGGCTTTTAAAGCGGATTCCCAGAGGCTTTTTCCAAAATAGAATTTGAAAAATCTCAAATTCTATTGTTACTTACAGCTTTTATCCCGCATATTATAACAAATAAGGATTTTTGACATCTTCGTCAAGTGTAATATTAAACTTACAAGGGAAGTACCCCAAGTGCGACGCTCGGATTTTCTTTAAATTTTGCACACACGTCGGGTATGGACTAAATATCAATTCCTAAACTTTTAGCTCGCGCTTTGCAGGCGCCGTCGAGATATCGGGCGGGTTATGCCGCCGAGAGAGCACGCTAAACGTGGAGAGCGGTCAGAGATAAAAACGCTTTTTGGCCATAACTTTGGCAGTTTCGTGCGGAAAAATTTGATTTTTTGTAGAAACATTATCCTTTACGGTAGAAATTGGCATGAAACTTTTCGTGCTGAAATTCGGCAAAAAGTCCTAAATTTTCGCCGACTTTCGATCTAAAAATCTCGGTTGTTTCTGCAAAGCGCGAGCTAGGATTCTCGCATATATCTTAGAAAAAATTATTCTAAATTTGTGCCAAGTTTCATCAAAATCTGAGCGTCGCACTTGGGGTACTTCCCCTGTTAGAACAATTTCAAAGTGTACTCAAATCATTTCTAATGTTTTTGCATAATGTCTCTACGTTTGTGCTCCCGTGCCAACAAACTTTAGAGCTATTAGCATAAATTCCGGTCATGGATTGTTTGGAATAATCCGAGCGGAAGACGAATTTTTTGAAAAAGAAAGGTCAAGGAAAACTTTGGCGACGACAAAAATGTCCAAAAACGTATCGTAAATTCATAAAACTTAAAAGAATTCTACAAGAACCGCTTTCAGGAGTCCAAGATTTTGATTCGATCAGATTCGCGACCTATCGGACTGCTTGTAAACTCAGATTTGTTCAGAAAAAGACGAATGGTAAGTGTTATTACCCATTAATTACACTAAATTCAGTTCATCTTGTTGGAATATGGGATATGATCGAAGCTTTCCGAGAAAATGGACTCAATGCAATGCCAATTACGGCAAGTTTGAAGATCTCTCGCCTCGAACTGCTTCTAACTTCTATTTTCCACAATCTGAACAAAAGATTGCCGACTTCTCAGCATGTGGATACGGACAAGAGTATCTCTTCTCTCCTCAGCTTCATGTTAGGTGCATATGACCGACAGCATATCAATAGAGTCACCGTCTTCGCCACGAAAATCGGTCTAGCCACCCTTTGTGCGGGTAAATTGGTCGATAAATTGAGGTGTAAGTGGTGATGTAACCCGCGTTATAATAATATAAAATATTAAGATGTCTTCTCACAAATTTCTGATTCATCCGGTCGAATGGAATACGAGAAGTTTACCGAGTATTTACAACAAGTTCTTGCCTTGCCGACGGCCGTTTTCGAAGCACCAACCTTTGGATTCTCGGAAACAGCGCTCCAGCAATGTTTTAAACCGGTAAATATCCTTGCAACCCAATAATAGGGACAATTAATATAAAAAAAGTAGTAACTTACTTTCCCCTTTTCAGAACCAAGAAGTCAGTCTAAACCTATTCCTCGACACAATAATGGGAGAAAACTGTCCGCCATGTCTAATGTGGCTACCTTTACTACATCGGATGGCTTCAGTAGAACATGTTTACCATCCCGTTGTTTGCGATGCTTGCCAGGTAACTTATATTTCCTATTAGTATTTACCTTATTTTTAGGCTCGATCCTTTACTGGATTTCGATACAAATGTCAGCGATGTCCCAATTACCAGTTATGCCAATCTTGTTTCTGGAGAGGCCGGATAAGTCAATCCCACTCCAATGAACATGAAATGAAAGAGTACTCTAGCTATGTAAGACATCTCTTGAAGTAACATTTACTTTTTTAGAAATCACCAACCAAACAGATCGCTCATTCGATCCACAAATCCCTCCAATGCATGCCATTGGTATCTCAGAAGACCGAAAGACCATTTGAACCGCGGCCTCAGAGGTACCTAGACCTCTCAAACATAGTTCCCATGACTCCATCTACCCATCGTTATCAACAACCGCAAGAGCCCATAAATGAATGGACCTCAGGATTACTTCCGGGACAATATGGAAATGGATATGCGATGGATGACGAGCACAAATTGATCGCGAGATATGCCGCCAAATTGGCTGGAAGGACAAGTGTGAGGAACAAATTTAATCGAGTTTGAAAAAATATTGTCAATTTAGGATGAAGGCCTTTTCTATTCTCAACGCTAATATAATACTTTTCCTAGGTAAAAACCCTATTCATGGTTGTATTTCAGCATGTTCCAACGATGAAAAAGCAAAAAAGGCCAGGTCAAATCACGGATCCTATTGATGAAAGAGCAGTGATCGCCCAATTAGAAGAAGAAAACAATGAAATGTTGAGAGAAATGGCAGTGATGGAGCAACAACAACAACTGGTAGACAGTAATCCACATTTGGCCGGAATCCGGGATCGAACGGCCGAATTGGAGGCCAAAATGAGAGAGAAACAGCAAGTCAGAAGACAACTAATGCAACAATTGGAGAGATTGATGGGACAACTAAACGTAAGTAAAGTGAGTACATGTAGAATAAATAAATATTATTCTTCAGTCCTCCTCTGATGGAACAATAAAACGGCCTCTCACATTGGGAACAAACCCGGAGGAGCTGAACGGACTCGGAAATATGATCAGCAACGCCTTCCGGCAATCAGAACCGACTCCATTCCCAGAGATCACCCAATTACAAGGAGATCTACTCAATGCGGCCGAGGCCATCACTAGTAATATGACTGATCTGGTGCAGGAACTTGACCAAGGTAATCTTTAATCTATATCGACTCATTTTACAGCACGAATTTGATGTAAAATAATAAAATTCCGAACTTCTGAACTTTCAGCCAGTGACGAAAGTCTAAAAGAGAACGGAACGACCGTTTTGCCATGAAGAGACGTGAAATTCAAGTGTAATATAGCTGCTGAACTCCGTCGCTTCCCCCAAATTACATTGCCATAATTATCAAAAATCAAAAATATCGAGTGGACTTCTAATAAATTTATTTTGTTTTTTCTTATTTTTGGGCTGACTTCGTCAATTGACTTTTGTGACGGAATGTCAATATTGATTTTTCAAAAATATGACTGTTGCCAGTTTTAAGCAGATCAGCGAAGCCATCCCGAACCGCTGGACCCCCTCTTTTGACACAGCCCTTGTTGTGTGCGCTAAGTCCAAATAATGGCCCCGGATTACCGATAACAATTTAGAGACTATGGGGGGAATACGGTAGTACTATGAAGGTGTGATGGTTACGTCAGAATTGCGTATTTTGGGAGATTTACCTTTTTCTTGTTAGGGTGGCGGGGGATTTTCTTTTTTCAATTAATAACAGAAGGGGTTAAATATGCTGGGACTTGTTGTGACGTCGGCAGGCTAGGAGAAGGGCGCTGATGTCGGGGAAAGTCGATAGAGAGATGTATTTGCCAGATTCAACCTTGCTTTTACTTGTTCCTTTCTCTTTGCCTAATTCTTGACGTCTTTTCAGTTGTTGTCACATGTTTTTTTTGTGTTGTCTTACATCATGATCCCCTTTTTTATCACCGTTTTTGTTTGCCCCCACCCCCGTCGCCCTGTCCCCCATTTGTGACCGTTCCCGGACCCACAGCTGGCACACGGTCGTACCGAAGAACGTTCCAACTCTTGTTTGTCTTCATCTCCTTGCTCTTGTTTGCTCTGACCCTCATCGTCCCTCTTCCCGATCTGAGCGTGACCAGTGCGTGAGGCGGAAAAAGGGAAGATCTAGAGCAACGGGTTACAACCTATGAGTCCACAAGTTCCTCATACTGTCCGAAGTCGAAAAAGTCAAGATTTGGGAAGATTTCTTATATTATACTTGATCAAGCTCCAAGATCGGTCGCCTTCGTCCGTCGTAAATTCGAAGAAAATTATCAATATTATCGATAAACCCCTGCGGTCCTGATTTTACGCTTTTGCCCTTTTAAATCGCGGAAAAAGAAGCTTGTAAATGTTGGACATTGCACCAAAACAAGCCCATTCTTATTATAAATAGCTTTCCTTGAAACATTTGAGTTAAAACGTCTGTCACGGAACGGTGCGAACGTTGACTATGCAAACAGAGACCGAGAGATAGGGAATCAGCATTTCCGCAGAGAAATCGGTGTTTTTGTGGGAGATTTGGAGAAAACAATCGAGAAAATGGCGAAATCTGGAGAGCATAGACCAGGATGATAACCTTAGACCGCGCGGAATGTTTCGTCATAAAAATTCTTTTAGTAAGACCTCTCAAATCATCGTATACATTTTCTTGTATAAAGATATCAGCTTTTGACTTTAAATTTTGAACGTATAAACAAACAATGGCTCCATTCGTTTTAGGCAGTCAAAAAAAAAACGAAAACAGATACAAAATTACACCTCTGACTGTAGACCTGCACTTTTATTAATGAGTCTATTCTGAGGGACTCCCCCAATTCTTATCAGGACCAAAGAATAAAAGTCTCCAAATCAAATTTCAAAATATTTTTTGCGAAGCCTGAGGCGAGTAAATCGGGAAGTCGAGACGTGATAACAGGTTGGAGTTTCAACGAATTTAGCCGGCCTTTTATTATTGTCTGTCTGAGCACTTTGACCTCTGGGCTTGATCCAAATATTCCAAGTGCATTTCTAAATTTTTTGAAAATAGAAATGTTTGATTATGACGTTATCTAAAGCATTAAAAGCAACAAATTGCGAACGAAATGGTGCATCATGTAGGATATTAGGATGTTCTCTAATCGCTCATCTTGGACGGCAATTATGCGATTTCAGGAGTATATGTGTATGTGTAAAGAAGTAGACATGGCTAAAGAGCATGTGAGATTGCCGAGAATAGGGGGTGGATATAGGTTGTCCATTTTTGCAAAATTTGGGATTTTCCTCGAATGTTTCGGAAAATTATTTTGGGAAAATTGTTATCCAAGAAAAGCGTTTCATTCCGATACTCTTCAAATTTTTGCAACCGTGTTTTTGGACTTGGCGCCATGAAAGTCTTAGTTCCCACTTTTCAACGACAACCGATATTTTAATCGCTCTTTTATTTTTTTACAAATATTTTACGCTCAAATTTTTGGTCGGTCTACGAATTATTTAGTGTCCCATCTTCGAAATGTTGTGTAATTGCAACCACCTATTCCTCTAAACTTCCCGAACCCGCACTCTGAACTCTTGCAAGCTCCCCTTGTCCCCATCCTCAACCACTTTGCTCTCTTCTTCTCCTCAAAACTGATAACCGACTGGTCACAAAAACCTTGAAAAGAAACCATTTCGTCGCTACCGGGCCTTTTCGGGGGTAACTGTTTCTGGAACCGGGGTCTCTGATAACAAGTGCACCTCCAAAAACTAATTTTAGGGCGTCGTTGAAATTCGCAATCTGATTGTAAACATGGCCAATCGGGGGTTAATTAAGGCGATGACGGCGTTCAGGAGGTCATTTGGAAATTTTATTGGGCATGTTGCTGCGTTTTTATGTCGTCGTATTTTATCAAATTCAAATTCTTTCATCGAATTTACATATTTGCTTTCATTTTTTATTTTCAAATTTTTTGTTTTTCACGGTCCAGGCACCGAATTGCACTCTTTTCCGCAGAGTTTTTGTATCCGACACAGGTGTAGATTAGAAGGCATTGGTCGAAAAAAGAGGGGTCTTGGGCTTGTATTGTCATTACCATGATAAAAGATGACGTTGAGGAGGGTCGGTTCTGATTTCGAATATAATTTTTGATTTAGAGAACTTATAGTGATCCATTGTTTAGATTTTTAATATTTATATTTTTTTAGCTCTTCAAATCTTTATTTTCTTTACAAATTTTTAATTAGAATATGCCTGGAAATCCCCGAGATTCATCTTTTTTTTTCTTTCTCCGGCACAGAACGTTGGGTCCTCCAAATCTTGATCCCTTTCCCCGTTTCCTTTTCCCAAACGAAACCTTACCGTAATCCCGGATGGAATGGACATTGGTCAGAAATCATAAAAATCTTTTGAATTTATTTCCGCTCTCGCTGTGGAACGCCGCGATGATTCAGAACGACGGAGCAAAAGGCGCCGCCACGTCGCTGAGACTTGGCCCAAGAAATTATGCATTGAAGATGGGGGAGCGGGAAGATAAAAAAAAATTGCAAATCGGAAAGAGGAAGGTAATGGGGAGTTAATGGACACTCAACAAAGGAGGGCTTAAAATTATTCATCCATTCAAGTCGATGGATTTTTCAAAACTGTTTATTATTATCTTGAATATTCAAATTTGACATTTTAATTTTTGGGTTCCCTTCAAACTTTTTCATTTCCCCAAAATATGCAAATTTGCATTCCCAAGCACCCTTTCCTGACCTCTACTTATGCGGAAAAGGGAAGACATTTCCAATTCTTATGATTAATCATCAGAAGTTCGGAGTAAACCCAACCTCAACCCTCCATTATTTCACTATTTCAAACCTCAAAATCATTTCCTTTTTTCTTTATTCATTTAATTTCTAACCCCCTTGTCATTAATCTTTACCTGTCGCTGACCCAGAATCCTCCAAATTTATCCGTCTACGCACATGTTACCGTAGTCGACGGCCCCTTTCCCATCAAATGTTATCAAAAAAGCAGAAGATTACTCGAACACTTTATTACTTATTGCATTCCAGCTATTGTTGTGGCCTTGGCCAAATCCGTTTTTCTGATGTCATCCCAAAACAATGATTTGTCGCCGCAGGGCTTGCGCTCGGTTGGTACCGCGCGGTAAAACAGCATTTTTGGGCGATCAACTGACCGAAGGTCACAATGGGTTAGATGGGAGGACGGGGAGGAAGAATTTGTTTGTTTTTTGCGTAAAGAATCGCTCAGGTTTGATCGAATTTCAGAGTGACGTCATTTCTAGGCTAAGGGTCCTCATTAGGCGTCAATTTTGCATTGAAATTATACATTAGTGGATCTCATCGGACATTAAAACAATTTTTTATCAATTTTATTTTTTTTTAATTGCAGAAGTTTGCATTTTTTCAATTCTCGGTAGGAGAAACCCAAGATAATCAATTTCTTTTTCTGCAGAAGCGGAAAAGTTATCCCTGAAAACCGTTTTTCGTCTGGCCGACTCTTCTATTTTTCATGCTATCTTTCAAACGAGGTCATTTAATATCTCGGCAGCCGTTGAAAAGTGTGAGCTGACACTTTCAGGAAGTGGTTTGTGACCTGTTCGTAATCCCTCTGCATGACATTAATTTCCAAATTTAATCTTTTGTTCCAATTATGTTACCGTTTCTTCCAAAGTTCCCACGTCTTCTTTTGTTACACATTGCCGCCCTTCGATCCCTTAATTCTTTGCTTAACCTCTTTTAACCACTTCCCGAATGTAGTCGTCAAATAAACTCATCTCCGCCTCAGGCATCTAGCTCAAGTGTAATCGAGACGCTTCCACTTATCCCTGCATTGTGACACAAATAAGTCTTCAGTTGTGAAATTGTTCCGGCCATTGAATTGAAGACATCTTAAACCTCCGCCTGAAGAGCCCTTAGGGCAGATATTGTGGTAACTGGGCCTACAATTCCAATGTTAAGTGTATTTTTATCCGTCTTCTGATGTCCTGTTTCAATAGACGCCAAAGCGGATGTCAGGAGAGTGTTCGGATACAAAATTGGTGTACGAAAAAGTTCAAAACAGTACGTTGGCAACAAGGTTACGGTAGTCTGAGATGTTTTGATTTTATGGATTTTGGACCAAGAGAACCCAAGTACAAATCCTCTAAATGTAGTCGAAATAAATGAGATCTTTGTGTTACAGTAGACGCACAATAGAAGAGAAGGAAGTGAAAAGGTTTCCTGCTTCATTGGTCGATGATTCCGACGTCATTTACTACCAAGAATCCGTCTTTTGTTATATTACACTTGAGTTTACAGAAGGCAGAAAAATTACGGAGAAGAGAGATAACTCTTATGTGTCGTAAGTAGGGACGATTTGGCAACTTTTTGCATAAATAAACCCTATTGTTTTCGGCCGAGATAAATAAAAAAATTTTATCCTCCGGCTCGCGCCCTAGCTCCCATTTCCCGTCTTTTGTCCCAAAAAAATATTTTTTTGTCGAGATCTCTCCCACAAAAAACGGACTTGAAGAGATTTTTGCGACGCGTTGGACGTGTTTCCGCGTCGTCGCCTGGACAAACATTGCGCAACTGGCGCAACCCCTGACCTTGCACCACCCGGCTCCAACGTGCGCGCTTAAAGAGATCACCCAAAGAATGTCTCTACCGTCTCCTCAAGCTTCATGCTCTCTTCCAGGACTCTTGTCTGAGCCCAATTCAATTCTTTTCGGGGTTTTTTGTTCACGGCGCTGGACAGTGCAAACATTTCCGGAGATCAGCACGAAATGAATCAAAAAAACTTCGCCCTCTTATAAAGAGCTGACAATTAGCGGAGATCGGTGACAAAAGGGAGGATCTGCAAATTTAGAGAGTGAAAAAATCCCAAATCTACATTTTGCTTACAAATTTCACAACCTCAAACATTAACGACAAATATTTTGCTCTAAAAACTCGGAACTCCGGGAATTTTCGAACTCGATTTTCAAATTGTAATCATTCGCTCAAAACTTAACAGTAAGGTTCCGGGAATCTGAATCTGGAGGGAAAACAAGTGAATAGAAAGACCTGCGTATGCTTTAAAAATAGAAAAATTCCCAGCGATTAATCAGCCAAAACTGGGATGCATTTGTGGATTAGAGGCATATTTGGTGGGGACTTTGAAGAAATGAAGGTGTAGGAGTTGCTCAAGATGGCCTAACCAGACTATTTTTAGAGTAAAAAAAGTAATCTAAGATAAGAATGTGATGTTATTTGGACTTACTTTGAATCTAACAAAAATGACAAAATTTTAATTATTCTTGCTGAGCTCGAGGAAATGCCCCACCGAGAATCCCAGATGTCTGTTTTTATGTTTTGACGCTTATCACTGCAAGAACACTGATAGGAAGTGATAGGGGACGTGCGTGTACATTGTTTGTGTTTTCTTTTTTGTTTGATTTTCCTCAGGGACTAAATGGTGGCTCCAGGCACGGCGATTCCATTCGCATCTGAAGGCTCTCTCTTCCGCTTTGCACTCTTGATTGGAGGGCGGCGGAGGGCGATGATTTGGGTAAACAAATCACTTTTTTGTATCCGAAACCCCGTGAACTGACCCCTACGAGCCACGCCCACTTCCTTGCGAGAGTTCTTTTTTGTGCGCGGCCAGCACCAGCACCGGTAACAGTTTTTTCGGAAATTGTTCTCTTCAGAGGTCCAGGTGCGCGATGCTGGGAGGTGAGGGGTCAAGGATGGGTCGGGAGGGGTCAGGCAGGGTACAGTAGAACATTGCGCTTGTAGAAGTAGGTTGCAACCTTATACTGGATTTATATCCCTTATCCTCAAGAGTACCTGTAGGTATATCTTATAGGTATTTCTAGCTTCTCTATAGACTTCTTAGACCATAGTTCCAGTCATTTCCGCTTTTTCAACTATCAAGAATTACTTGAAATTGTGCGTAATCATTGTTTTTGGCAGCTTTTTTGTCGCATTTTTGTTTAATGTATTGAAAGGCCCTTCTTTTTTGAAGGAATGGTTACAGTCAGAAGAGGAACGGGGCTGGTCATTTAATGGCGAGAACGTGGGTCGGGAGTGAAATGGGTTTAAGGAGAAGGTCGGGTTACGGTAGAATGGGTTTTTGTCAAAACAATCTTACAACTTCAGTTAAAAGTATTGTGCTATATTTCACAATAATTTTAACTACTTCTCATGTATATAATACTATGACAACAACGCCATTCCTAATCTTTTATAATACACACATTATTTTGTATGTTAAACTTCCTCATGTCAAGTAAACAGCCTGAAATATACTTGCCCTGAGGGTCTAGACTCTTAAGGTGCTACAATTTCGAAATTCGTTCGCAAATCAGATGTCAACGGAATGCGGAGAATTGTAGGTACATGTGTTGTGATGTAAATTTAAATATCAATCGAAATGTAAGCATAAATGCAGATCATGTCCTTCATTGTGAAGTAGGGGCGTGATTTGTGAACACTGCTAACCATATAAACAAACAGGGTTACGGTGAGACATGATATTTTTGTAGACATTGTATGTGACACGGGAAGACTCTCGCGAATTTTCTGTAGACATTAAAGGATCTCCAGTTTCCTTGAATCTGGTTGAAGCCATTTTTCCATATCCTAGCCAGTATTTGGGGGTATTTAAGACCCATTGCCTAAGGTCCTGCACTTTGTTTTAGCTGACCGCTCTCTTAATACATCTGGAGTAAGGATAGAAGCCCTTCAGGTGAGGAAAAACGTATCTGAAGGGTTTCAGTGCCATAATTGGGCCTCTTTTATTGTTGGAATTCGCTGGGATTTAGGGCAAATTTATAAATTGTAAGGATAATACTAGAGATGATGTCAATCCACGCTAACTCCTCTGCCTGCCAGTGAATGTAATCTCCCGTCATGTGCATATCTAGTGTGTGTTCTTCTTGGCCAATAATTCTACTTGCTTTCGATTTTGCATATAATTTAGTTCTTACAACATGCATGCCAATGAACGTGCACAGTATAACGACCCCTCTCTCTAGCTATACAAACCACCGAGACTTCAGACGAATGTTTATCCTTTTTCTGGGGATTTGCGACTTCCTTTTACGTAGGTAATCTTGGAAAGTAAGGTAAGATCGGGGTAAGAACCTCCTCCTCAAGATGGATTAACTTTTGGGACCGACTTCTGCCTTAATTATTATAAAGTCCCTACTTTCTTGGGCCTTCTTAGCTGTGATCATTCAAATTCATCATCTTTAAGCCCGACATAGTGGCCTAATGCTACTCGGGTATGATGTTGAGTACAAGTTAGGTGCCAGTCTTGGATTTGAATAGCCGGGGTTAGATATCCTATCATTGATTGGGGGGCATCATACTACAAAGGGCTGATATCATCTTCTAACATTCCAAAGTAGAGAGAGATCGCTCAAATTTGCAATTTACAGTCTCTTAATCGCATTATCCATGGCTTTCATATCCTTGATTCCGTTCGCTTAAACCCTCAAAGATCTCCGAGATGGGCATTGGTGTGATCTCTAGCATAAGACCGTCTTATATTGTGCAACGAAATGAAAACACAGTAATTTAACTTTATCAACCCTTCTAATCAGAATGAAAGCGCTGAAATCTCTCCTACAATACTAGATAATGCACATTACATCCCGTGTTCTTTGACGTAACTTTTTACAAAATTCTCCCGTCTTTTCTTACAAATCCCTACTCAATTTAACCTATATGTTAGAAGATGGCCTGTAAAAAAATGCCGGTACATGCGTATACGCTGTTGCATGGAGGTGTCTGTCCAGAGAACGGTTATCCATACAGCGAATGCTACTTTTGGATGTGGTTGTGATGTCTGTTCTTATTACAAATTGGTCGGGTTTCCTGTTATCACCACTCTTTAAAGATGCCTAAGGCATCTCGAGTGTCTATTGTGTATTCTTCTCCCTATACGTACATTAAAATACATTCCTTTCTTGTGTGTTGTGCGTACAAAGCCCGGGATTACAACCTGCCAAACATTAGCTAAAAACTTGTATATATTACCCATTATTTATGTTGATGTAGCCATGTTACTGTTCCGTCTTTCATTGTGCTTGCAGTCTTCCGATTTGATATGTATTATAGTTGCCGAAAGATGTCTGTCTCCGATTGTAGAGGGAAGTATTTTATTATTTCAACGTCAAAATATAATCTGCTGAACTCGCGGGGATCTCTGTCTCCAGTTTTGTCATTTCCCTAATGAGTTAGATTCATAGTATTTGTTGTAATCCTCGTGGTTACAACAGACATTCCAGTATTGTAATAAGATTATTGGACATTCCTGAGGTCTGGAAGAGGCCGCTGAAGCCATTTCGAAGAAACGCCGAGGGTGGGGTGACATGCTGTTATTTACAGTGAGGCTTTTGTAATCAGAAAATTAGTTTTTTGATTCAAAGTCCAGGCCCAAAGGCAGTCGATTATAATAAAGCCTCCTTAACTGTATGCGATGTCACTTCTGTAATCGTTAGAGAAGCCGGCTTTGTCATTGTTCTATGGTTTTCTTCCAGCTTTTTGTGTTTCTTCTCCTTCTTTTCTGGTGTTTTAAAGTTTGCCCTTAACATCCGTGTTATAACATCAAGATTATATATTTCCTTATATCATCTTTAAGCATACGCCAGATTCTAATTTCAACGAATTCCTTGAATCTCCTTATAGCTCCTTAAAGGTCCGCAAGGTCAAATTACACTTAATGAAAGATTTCAGTGCAGATGTGCATTGGAATGTGTATTGCAAACACATGCCGTTGTGAAAATACATCCCGAAGATACCTCTTCGTTTACTTTGCCTTGTCTTCCGTCCATTTACCGCACCTCCAATCCTGTCTTTATAGCGGCCCCACTTCCTGTTACTTACTGCCTAAGAAAGTAATTTGGATGGTCCATAACAACAACAGGTGCCTGTTTACATCTTGGTCCTAATCCTGAAGCGATCGTTTAGCGCCGCCAATTAGCCGACTATTCTCGCCGTTAAAGCGACCGATTAGAGTTGTACTTGCAGCTTGAGGCCACTTGTTTTCCGCTGCTCGTCATTTACAGCCCTACACTCTGGGTTGTAGCCCACTCTTGTAGCATTCTATTTATGGTCTTTGAGATCAGTTGATCCAAGGGAGTTATGCAACATTTCGTGCCGATTATGTCTTATACAAGTTGTTTTGCACCGTTAAGATTATGGTTTTCTCATTCAGACAGTCCTCGCAATCCTCAGTTCTCATCTACAAGTGATACTAATTTTGCATCGCTGAAATTACTGATCAGTTCTAATGAGGGAAAGTTCAGAGATGTCCATGGGGCAAGCTGAGATCGCGATAAGCGATGCAACGTTACCCATCGACATGAAGTTTGATTCTTTCACCCCAAATTCGGACTCTATGAGTACCTTATCTCCTCTGAGCTTCTTGGATGGTCTGAATAAGAAAGAGAGGAAACGGAGAAGAGTAATCGGTAATCATGACAATACTCTCGACGGATTGGTTGCCAAAAGAGTTGATCTCGGGCCGGACACAAAAAGATATCAGACCGAGAATGAAGCCATTGAATTGCCAGATGATGAGGTCGAAATTAAGGTATGCTACAGTGAGATTTGATGAGTGTGTGCTACTACAAGAAATTTGAATTTTGCGTCATTCTAATATCCCCTCAAGTTTCAGCGTTTGGAAACAGACCCGGATGTCTCGACTCGAATGTGTTCCATCTGCGGTTACCAAGGGAAATGGGTGTCGGAAATGGTAAGACACAAGAGAGTGCATACAAGTGAACGTCCTTTCAAGTGCAAGTACTGTAACAGGACCAGCAAATGGAAGGCCGATCTGATCCGGCATGTTGCCAGTAAGTCTCTCGAAGGTTTTTGGACATCGAACTATTGATATTGTTTTAACGAGAATCAATAATTTTTATTTTCCAGAAACCCACGGTATCCGTGTAGTCTCAAAATACAGCCGTTCCAAGGCCTTCGACACACAGACGGATCAAAATACAAGACCCAAGAAGGACGAGAACAACAACAAGGTAAGAAACATCATAATACAATCTTACGCTGACTGAAACTCTAAATATCTCGTCTTCCAAACGAGTACAAAGTCTTGTAAAGCCTACCCAGAATCTCTATTTTTTTTTGTTTTCGGAGACATTCTTGGTTCAAATTTAATGTAACTGTTTCCGTTGAAGCAGACGAGCTTAAGGGGCAAAAAGCTGATTAAAGAAAGTGGAGAATGTTTGACGTGAAGTGGGAGGCGAACTCAAAACACTTCATGTTGAAACTTGCAGTTTCAGTACAATTTGGGAAATCCTTTAAAAGTCTACGTAACAAGCAAAAAGGCAAATGCCGACTAAACAACTTAAATTGGCATAATCATAAGCATTTAAAATAATATAAAAATAATTTCAGAGCCCCTTCCTGTTCCAATCGCCCGTCCAGGGTTCCCCCGCCTCCACTGCATCCTCTTTATCCCCATCTACTCCATTCTACAAATGCCAAAGTTGTTTCTTCGAATCAGAATCTGTTGAGGGAATCCAACAACATCTCGATGATCGTCACAACCAGAATCCATTTGATTGTAGAGCGTGTCAGAAGAGTTTTAAGGACATTCGCGAAGTCTCCGCCCACTTTTTACAGTCGACTCTCAAATGCACGGCGATCTCCATCAAGCTGAACTTCTCGATCAACGATTCTTCGAAGGCCTCGAGTCTTTTGACGGTGTCAACTTCTTCTGGTTTAGTCCATTCGGAATCTGATAACGCTTCGACTTCTGGAGTCTCGTCTTGTGCCTCGAGTCGTGATGATTTTGATGTGCCGAGAAGAGTCTACAACTGCTCGGATTGCGCGTTCAATTCCACTTCCGAAGAACAATTCGATCAGCATAAGCAAGGGCACGAGCCGCCTAAGGGCTTGTTCACATACAAGTGCGTCTTCTGCTCATGGAATTCAAAGAAAAAGTCGGCGATTGAGAAGCATTTGAACGTCCATACCGCCGACCCGTCTCAATTTATGCCTCAGGTCGAGAAGAATTTCCTGGCGCCAGTTCTGCAGCCAGTCCAGCCAGTTAGTTCAACCTCCTCGGCCTTGCAGTGTTTGGCTCAATTGGCTCAACAAAGCCAATTGTTTGGAGCCACTGCTCCTCAATTTCCAATGTTGCCTGAGGGCTTGAATGCCTTTGGATTACTGTCAACTTTATGCAATGCCCAGAGGAATCAGCTGCCGGGGCCGTTGATGGGAGCGGTCCCTGGCGGAAGCCCGATGAATTTTAATGCAGTTAAAGATGTAAGTTTAGAACCATCTCTTTTTTTAAAGAATTACATATTTCAATCAATTTAATATTTTTATATGATCCATGTTAACTGATCTATTTTCAGATGCCTCAACTTCCATTTATGGCCTATGGTCTTTGTTCTCTCCTCGGCAATCTCTCAAAGCAATCTCCAACCGTTACAACGCCCGCTATCAACGGCCAATCGGTCTCTTCAAGTCCGCTGACGGCCAATTCCTTCGACCAATTTGTCTAGTCATCCAAATATTTATAATACTTTACTCGCATACATATCCACTCTTTTATGCAACGTATTTCTCTTTTCTTTGACTCTTTCTCCAGCATTTTCCCTAGTTTCTCATCATTTCTAGTTGTATCTCAACTCAGATTCTACTCGATATTATTTTTTGTGATCTGTCGAAAATCCGCAATGCAATTTTTTATATTTGGAGTTTACTCTGTTCTTCTTGTATACTCTAAAATGGTGATATTGTTAATATATCTAAATTTATTGGTTTTCCGGTATTAATTAATAAAAATTACACATTCTACTCTACTCTCACAACTTTTTTAACTCGATAAGCTGGGCCCGTTGGATTCTCTAACAGCTTTATGAGGGTAAGCCAGATAAAACAAGTATTTTAGGAACCCCAAGGTCAAGTATATTGATAAAAAAGACCTTTGTGGAATTTTTCTATAAAATCAAAAAAAATTGATCCGGGATCACCTCTAAACGCTTCCACAAAAATATGTTTTTCCGCTCAAAAGTAAGCCTGATTTATATATGTTCATGTCCAATAAGTCACCATGACAGTCAAGTATTCAGAACCTTTTTATTATAAACGTAATTCTTCCTGCATTTCCAATTTTATCCCAACCGGTAATCCCTTGAACTCTCAGTAATCAGTCAAGGGAATCCACCGTTAATTGGCAACTTCGTCTGCACCTGAAACGGTAATTCAGAGAACATGTTCGATCACAAGTGTAATCCCTGATTCCCTCTTGTTCCGATAACTGTTGGAATAATACCGAGAAGAGGAGAGTGTTAACCTCCGAACAAAGCAAGCGTTTTAAACTTGGAAAAAGACTTTGAAAAAGCGAGAGAGAAACGGAGAAATAGAGAAACAAAGATAACAAAATGGGGTTATCGTCCTTGGAAAGCAAATTTAGACAACATTTTGTAAAAGTTCATCAAAAGAAAGAGTGGCGCGAAGCGGGACTTTACACTCAAATAGCTGCAAAAAGTTGAGCGAAGGTCAGCTGAAGACGAAACACTATATAATGGGGGGCTTTCATAAAACAGAAAATAACTTTTAAAAACTGTTGATGACTAATTCTAAGACAGTATTTTTAAAGCATTTTCATGGGGAAATAACTGAATTAAGTCTCTCCAAGCCGCCCCATGCATGCAATGACAAATTGAGGAACCAAAGTATCGTCGACCCGAACTTTCGTTGACCCCAAAAGTCGTAGGCCCAAAAATCTGAACAATTTTTAAAAGGGTAAGTCTCGTATATAGGATAGAAAATCAACTTATTCCACCTTTTGTAAAAAAAATTCACATTAATTTTTTTTCGAAATTTCAAATAATTGAAAAATTTTCGAGCTCTGAATATTAATTTTGATGACGTTTTTAATTCAATTTTTAGCTCTCAAATTTTTTTATAATTTGCATTTTTATTAATGCAAATTTTTTTGTTTCGCAGTATAGTTAATCCTTTACATGATCACAAGCTTCAGGTAGAACTTGGTCTTTTAAAAAGATTAAATTTCTGTTAAGGCAAACGATAATTGTAATGAAAAGCATCAGACAATTTTTTGTTTAGAAGAGTTGAAGTTGGTAAATTCATGTTTATTTTTTTTGCTATAACAAGTGTAGGTGGGCAATTTAATCATGTGCAAATTGTTAGTTTCTAATCGAGTAATGGTCTACTTGTTTATAAATATTTTAGTAAAAATTCGTCCATAAATTTAATTGTCTCAATTAATACGCTTAAAGATCATAAATCCCTCGTCATTTTGGGATCTCACCTGTGCCGGAAAACATCTCATTATGTGTATTTCGACAATTAAATCCACTTTTATTTGAACAATTTTGTTACCCCGGGTACCTTCTTTTACTTAAAATCGAGGTTAATTTAAATTTAAAACACCTTTGTCGTCAGTTGAATCCCCACTAAAATCCCCTTTTTTACCCAACTTTTTCTTCTCCGTGGTTTGTGGATGTTGCAATTTCTCCTTTCCAATTTTTGAGCGCAACATTTGAGAGGTCACCTTTTTTACAGCCGACCATTTTTCGACTATTTCAAAGACGATTTCATCACTTTTTGTGGGCAAAGTTAATGTTTTTTACATGCTTTACAACATTTTTATTTTTGAAAATTTAAAAATCCGTTTTGGCTAATGACTCTGCAGTGGATCCACAATGCGGTAAAACCCCTACCGAACTTTATAAAAAACCATGAAGATTTTGCCCTGAGGGGCTTTATTATTAACACTTGTGGGCTCGGAGAAGGGCTCCATGTGCCCAATAAAACGAGACTTCTGGAGGATTACACCTGACGTAGCGTGTAATTGGTATTCTGGGAATGTTATTTCGGTTATGTGTTCGTATCTAAATGTTCTCTGTCTTTCGGATTTCTGCACTTTCTATTTGACGTTATTACACTTAGATTAGATCTTTTGCGTCTCGCTAAAAAAACTGGAATTTCTGAAACAAATTTTGGACGAGATTCGGGAAAGTGGTTTTCTGAGAGACTTAAATTACCTAAATTGTTGGTTTTGGGTAAAAAAAATGTGTTTCTGCCAGTTGCACTTTAGCTGTTCATTTCCTATATTTCATTATTTTCCTGTGTTTGTCAGAGTAAGAAAATTTATTTAATTTACAACAAAATGTGTCATGATGACGAATTTTCCCGAATTTCTCCAAGAATTTGATGATTTTGGATAACTTCTTTTGCGGCTTTCATCTTCCACATTCTCTGCTCCCTTCAATTGGTTTATTTACCCTCTTTGACGATTACGTAATTCCGGGATCAGCCAGATTCAAATGGCTAGCTTAAATACTCGCCAATTCTAAAATAACCCCGACTTTTTTTGTTGTTTTTGACCTTTTAGCGATTTCGGTAATGGATGGGACTGAGGGATCTGCAACGAGATTGTAAACAGAGGGTCTTCACGTGATCTATATCATATTCAAAGTTCGAAGCTCGCCCTAAGGGCAAGGGTTGGAAAATAACAACTTTTATTTTTTATAGAACCTTCATGCAAAAGAGCAAACGTTTTGATGGAAAAGGATGACTGTGTTGTCTAGGGTAATATATTTTTTGGGAGCTGCTGCAAAAGGGTGCTTTTTAGTTGTCTAAATTACACCTTGTCCCTCCTAATTAATAAAAATTTTTGCTACTTTTCTAGATGTACCATAAATCTTGTTTTTTAAAAATATTTAATTGCAATATATGTCTTCAAACACCTTTCCTTTGCTTACTTTTGACTTTCCTAGTATTACTCGTTAAGTTGGCGGCTTGATAGAAACGAAGTCGTTGAGAAATGCGGTTACCTTTTAATGCTCCAAACTTTTTTCTGACTGTATATGTTGCTTGTTCATTCAAATTTTTTATTTGCAGGATTAAATACATAAATTTAGGAAATTGTCCTTGTCTTGATGACCACTTTTCGAGTTTAAATATTGTTCTGCGATGTTATAAGCCCACTGTGTTGCGTAACTTTTAAATAGACATGACTGCTTTATCCATATTTGCGGTATTCATGACGTTTTTTTGGTGACTATCTTTGTAAAGAATTTCAATTTTTTTAGTGAACTTACCATCTCTGGCTTTTGTTATTGCTTTTACAAACTCCTTTACTGTGTTTTCTCTCCCTCTTTTCGCCCTTAATTGACCTTTCCTCTGCCGTTCTGCCACTCTCCTCATATCCCATTCTCTCTTTTTTATTTTGTTTTTTCGGTGTTCGTGGCCAAAGTTGTTTCTCGGCCCCGGAGGCCGTGTTCGTATCTTTGCTACGGAGCAGTAAACGGCATCCCGAGCCCGAGAGAAGCGAGGGAAAAAAGGAGAAGGAGAAGATCCCCCGGAGAGAGAGCGAGAGAGAGTTCCCCTTCCAAAGACCCCCGGAAAAGAGGTCCCCCGAATGGGAAGCGGGCTCTCTCTCTCTCCCACATCAGCGCTACGCACCTGTTTTTGCATTTCTCCTTCAAAACAATCTTTTTTCGCTCGCCCTTCAACATTTATTTCCTTATCAATAAGCGGCCGTTTTTGTCAGTGTTTTTTTTTTGGTTGTACTAATATGGCCGGCCGAATCCCGGTCACGAGAAATGCTCCTCTTAACAAGTATTCAAGCACATCTACCGAGCCGCTTTTTGCGAGGATCACGTGACGAATCGGGGGCTCCCTTTCGGCCGTTTAATTTCGGTTTTTATACTTCTGGCCGCGGCCCAAAAATGTTGGAGGATAAACAAAAAAGATGGTCACGTTCCGGGGTAAATTGCACTCCAAAAATACGCTGGCGCCTTTTTGTTTTTTAAAAGTATATGTGGTTGTTAATAGTTTCGGTTCAAAGTTTAATTTTCTGATATTGTTTTCGAAGTTGAATTTATCGCTTTCTTTCTCAGAGGTGGACGTGTGAATTATTATATTTCCAATCTGATTTTGAAATTGATCATCTTGTTTTGGAGCTGTTTTTCGAAATTTTTAAAATTATACAGTGGTTTTATGCGCAGAGTAGCTTTTTTTTTGTATCTTTATACATTTTTGCCGTCTAAAGTGGAAACATTTTTGGTGACTTTTGCAAGGAATACAAAGCATAAAACAGGAAAGGTTTCCTTTTCCCCACCCCCGCCTTCATATCACATGTCCCCGATAACTGTATATGCTCTTTTATCATCTCCAAACCTTCTGATCTTTTTTTATCACAACAAAAGATGTGGGCCTGCGTGGAAACCGGAGTTACAATCTAACCGAACTTTTAGACAAGTGCTTTCTTAGGGTTCACAATGGAAAACGTCATCGATTCTGTGGCCAACATCTTCGACAGCAATCATGCGGGCATGTTGAAGAGGTTGCAGATGAAAATGAGGTTCAATACCAACAGGAGTGCCGCCAGAATAAAGGTACCGATTTTCGTGAGCGTCTTATAATTTAGGTTTTGTTTTGGCTTTATACCAAACGAGTGAAGTCTTGAGATTTTCATAAATTTTATTTTGAGAGGTCAAAGTGTTGTTGTAGGCTGACGAACGATGTGCCGAGACCGCGTTAAAAGCGATAGTAAAGCGACTGCGGAAAAGCAAAGAAGCCCTCGAACAACTGGAACGTGCCATCACTTCCGAAGACCCCTCAACTGCGTGTGTTATGTACAAAGTGTAAGTCTTAATTTTTTTGTCATCTTTAGAACAATGACAACTAAAATTATTTTTATTTTTGAGAAAACGAAAGATTATCCAATGACTTTTTAATTTTAAGATTTGTTTTATCCATTTTTTGTTCATCTTAAAATTTGAATATTAAAATTTGTAATTTTTAGATCGAAAGACGAGATCAAGCCCGTCGGAAGTATGATGAAGAACTTCCCGCACTACACTTACTGTAAATTGTTTCGCTTCCCCGACCTCGTTACCCATCATCAAGTCCGCAGTCTCCCTCATTGCCTGTATCCTTTCAATAAACACATGAAAATGGAGGATTTCTGTGTCAATCCCTATCACTATGAGCTCATCGAAAACCCCAGTAAGCTCCTTTATATCTGATTCGGTTTTTAGTGCAGAACCAGCTGTATTATGGAGAATCTAAAATCTTTTCCTTACAGAAATCCCCGACGTTATTGTGCCCACTTCAACGAACCGATTGCATCCCCAGGATAAAGAGCGGCTTATCATTCTGAACGAAAATATTGATCAGATGTGTCCCCGAGGCGTCCCCAATGTCAGTATATCCAGAAGAACCCTCACCGATCCGAATAGTTCGCAATTCCAAGAAGACGAAGGGGATAAGAGGAACGGAGATGACACGGCGTCGATCTCGTCGCGAAACGACGCCGTCTCCCCGCAAAGTAGCAACGGGTTCTCGCCCCGAGGCTATATGACGGACGATATGGACACGGACGTGCAGAGTCCCTGTTCCACCAGATCCGGTGACATCTTCAGTCCGAACCCCATCTTGAATTCCGACCCTCCTCAAGTGAATATGTACCCCGAGAGTCCGAGTATTAGTGTGACGTCGCCCCAACCTCCCATGAGCAATGATTCCCAATGGAGTAATCGGCCGAGCAGTGCCCAATCACCCGTCAATATGAGTGCAGAATACCATGGAATCCCCGATCTGCTGAATACAATGACGATGAGCAATGGGGAAAGAGGTGAGCATGTTTTCCGGAAGGTTTAGTTTATTAAATCAAGTCCTGATTTCTAACTAACCATGAATTTTTGTAGCTTATGTTCCATTATTCCCGAATTATCAGCAATAACTTTTTTGAGTATGAGTTCCCTGTATTTTGACGCTTGTTCTTTAATGATTTTTACTCTTGATTAAGCCATATTGTAATCATATTTCTTTCAGCTAAATGTGTTTCCGTTCAATTTACCGAATCCGTGTTCTGGTGCACCGTCGGTTACTACGAGTACACGACCTGTTGTTCCTCTGAATTCAACGCTTCCAAAGCCTCATTTGTGGTTGATGGGTTCACCTCCAAATCGGATGATGAACGGTTTTCCTTGGGCAATGTGACCAACTCGAAGAGGACGAATGCGGCCAGAAAGATCCGATCTTTTATTGGGAAGGGTGCCCGACTGTATTATATTGGAGGAGAGGTGTTCGTGGAGAATATGAGTGATTATCCCATCTTCGTGCAATCTCCCATCGCTTCTCATCGATATGGATGGCATCCGGCGACGGTTTGCAAGGTCCCACCTCGTAAGTGAAAGGTTATATTGTTCTGTTTTTGTGAATGTATACATAACAATTCCATTCGAATTTTGTAGGTACCGAATTAATATTTATTTCTTTACATTTTTTGGTTCCAGAATGCAACTTCAAAGTGTTCAATATGCCCGAATTTGCGAAACTCTTGTCACTGGCCGTGAAGAATGGATTCGAATCGACGTATTCCTTGACCCGAATGTGCAGCATAAGGATATCGATGGTGAAGGGTTGGGGGCGAGCGTATCGTCGGCATTCCGTCAACCAGACTCCAGCCTGGATCCAAGTCCATCTCACCGCGCCCCTCCAATGGCTGGACCGGGTTCTCCTCGAGATGGGCGGCCCTCCGGCAAGATGCACCTCATTTAGCTGAAAAGTTAATTAATTAATTAATTAATTGTTAACTCTAAATCTTAGGCGTTTCGTCTACACTTCCTTGTATATTTTTTCAGTCTCTTTTTCCTTTATATCAAGATATTACGTTAGTCGGGCATTAAGAACGGTGCCTGTAGATGTTCTTTAGACCGGTTTTCGGCGGCCATCAGATGGCCATTACAGGTAAAACGGTACAGCAAATGTTACAGTGACCAATTTGAACCATCTTGTAACCCCAGTACTTCTCCTATTTGTTGGAAATAGTCCCATGAATACAAATAATACTCAAAATCACAGAAAAACCCAGTTACTCGTTACTCTTTCAAGCCGTCGCTTCACAGTCTCGACATTCATTACATAAATATATAAATAAACTCTATTTTTACCAGTTTTTCTTTCTTTTTCATTATGTTGAAAAAAATATTCTATGACGTGAATATTCAAAAATGATGACATCCGTTGTGTCAGCGGAATGACAAATGTCCCGAACCCGAGTAGCCTCATTATTACCCTGTGGATTCTGGTATATCGCGTTGTTTTTGTGGCCAAGTTTCCGGAAGAAACCGTTTATCTGAAGTCACAGTCATCCATCAGAGTCCCCCATTATCTGAAAACAAGACGTTCGGCCAAGTTTTCCTTTGGCCAAATGTGGGTTTATATCCCAGAGATTGACTCCAATTCTAATTCCATTGTCTTACGAAGAAATTTGGACATATTGGATTGTCTGGCCAGGAGCCAGACCGTATTTTGTAGAGTTCGCATCGGGTTTGTGACCTTATGAAAGCGTGAAAATCTTTGAGGAGATTTGGATGAAAGGCTGAAGCGAAATAAACCAAGGGAAAATCTGTTTTTCATCTGGTCGGCACTCCTTGTCTCGCGTGTTCTCTCGCAAAGACAGTCGTTGAATACCTTGAATGAACGTCGCTTCATGACAGACGTTCCATTAGAGGAGAGATTGCTTTTTACGGCAAGGAAAACCAAATTTCCAAAAATTTTTTACACTTTTGCAAAGGATTATTTTACTGTTTGCAACTTTACTCGCGGCAGGATGTTAGTAAGCTGGTCTTTTATGAAGCTATTGTTTTGATCAATTTCTCACCTTTTTTCTAGATTGCTTTTTTTACAACTCCTTCGGGCCCACGGTTGTCCACTTACTTATGCCATTTTATATCCCAGAGATATATATGTCCTCGTGGAAGTGTTCTCGTTTGTTCGGTTTAAGAATTAACAAGCTTTCGGAGCCCTAAAAGTGGCAATTTAAGCGGACTTCAGAAGCAGCTTCGTGATGTCTGTGGATACCCCGACTTCCAATGGATATGATCGTCGTAAGAGTAGTGTCGCTCCGATGGTCCCAAAAAAAGAAAATCTGCTGACAAAAGAGTCCTTGGAGAAGATGTTGGCCGATCCCCAATGCAATTCCCTGTTCTACGATCAGTTTGGCCATGGGGATAACCAAAATTGGTTCAGATCCATCCATTACAGTCCAACTGGCCAGAGGGAAAACGCGATCAAACAGGATTTTATTATTTGTCAGCGTTGCGATCGACTTCTGAATAACTCCAGTGGTGGGGGAACGCACTTCACGTAAGTCTAGAAGTATCAGTGCGACTATATTGCATCTATCTATAGATCCGCTAATGAAATTAGTATTGAAAAGGAATAAAGTGGAAATCCTTGTAGAACGAACTCCCGTGCAACGGGAGGTTTCTTCAGATACGTTCTACGGAGTTGTGACAGTATTTCTTTGCAGAAATCATCGGAAATACGCGTGTCCCTCAATCAAAGATGGGAATTTCCTGGTGACCAAAAGAGAGCGGCCTCGCTTGCAATCGGTCAGTCGATCTTTAACACCAATCAGAATCGCCGACAAGGCCAAAGAAGAGAAGGAAAAACCCAAACCACCAACTTATCTTGCCCTAGATGATAATCAAAAGAAACTCTTCCTAGATGCCCTCAAATTCTTCAAAAACTCGTTCGAATGGTCAGCCGAGATGATGGAATGTCAGGAGTTTTCCCATTTCGTCGACGAAGTATTCAAATTAGGGTTAGTTTATATAAAATTGCTTGTATTTTTAAGTTGACGGCTACTGTAACATAACTTTTGCCATTTTTCCGGCATTTCAGATACTCCTATCGCTGTCGAGTGGCTGTAAATGAGATAAACAGAAATCCACCGCCTAAAATAACATCTGTTCATGGGAGAATTAAAGCTGATGAGCTGACGGACAGTCTTCATGAATTGAAATGTAATGGAGAAAGCTTGACAGACAGTCAGATCAAGAGTCTGGAAGGGAGCACTCATAATGTGAGGAGTGTCGACGAGGGATATGGAACTTGAAAGTCAAGATTTGCAATAATATTTAACAAAGTCTGCATGTTCTATTTGGCATCAGTATTCCAAATACGCCTGCTGATGCATTACAATCCTAGTTTCAAAAAAAATGCAAAAAAAATGTTTTTCGTTTTATTATCGATAAAAAAAATAAATAGATTTTACAACAATTCAAATGACAGTACAGGCAACAGCGAGAGAGAGGCAGATTCGAAGCCGAGACGCGCAGTGTTCAGTACCCGAAGTCAATTACCCGACTAAACGGAACCAAGTCTTCCAAATCAAATCGTTGGCCAAGATTCAGAACCGAGGTTTGGGAAATATAATGGTAAAAATTTTAATGTGAATAAATTATTTGAAAACGCAACGATATTTTTAAGCCCGCCTTCTCCATTCATTGTATCTTTCGCGTTGTCGTTGCGCGGCAGCGCGCTGTTGCTAAAAGATGGAATTTCATTATTTGGGATTAGAAAGGACAAAGAATTTCATTAGAGCAAAATAAAAAGCTCCTTTGGAATTTTTAGACCGTCATATTACTAGAGTTTATTATAGTACCAATTACTTACCTGTTGAAGTTGTCGGTTCGCTCGATCCAGTTCTCTGGCCCTGGCCTCGGCTATTTGACGTCTTCGTTCAATCGCAGCGCTAAAGAAAGATTTGTTAACGGCTAAGTTTAACTTTATCGTAAGGAAGTCCTACTGCCTGAATTTTCGTCGGTATATGACCGTCCCTTACAGTCTGTATTGCTCCCTTATCGCTGCAAGTCTTTGTCTCTCCCGTTCTTGTCTTTCTCTCTCTAGCCGTTCTCTCTGTTGTCGTTCTCTTTCTTGTCTTTCTCGCTCTTGTTGTCGTCTTTGTGCTTCCTGTCTTCTTTGCAGTTCCCGTTCATAAGCACGTCGTTGTTCATTGTCAGATCGTCGAACTCGGACATGGGACTCAGCAGTAGTGGTGTCTAGATACGGTCAGTAAATGCTTCATATCTCTTACCAGTTACATTTTGAGAGAATATAGAAACGGCGAAAAGTGCAACTGCAAAGGCCAACAAGATATACAAACGCATGATGAGAAATTTACTATGATTTTGAAAGGTTCAACTTTCTTAAATATTGTCTGTAAATTTTAACTACAATAATACGATCAACCAAAAATTATTCAAATTGACTTTGACGACGTGTTTATTATGCTTATATTATAGCTTTCGATTATTGTCAATTTAAATCGATCTTGAACAAAGATTTTGATCTTTCTGATGAAATTGTTGTTATGCCACTGTAAGCGTTCTTTGAAGTGATATGGCAGTGCTCTGAGAATTAGTTATCAACATGGACTACTTACTTGAGGAACAACTGTAATGTTTACTTCTTTTACAAAGTACTTTTCTAAGTGAAGTAGCCGGGAAAAGGCTTTTCTGTAGTCGCTGGATCTCCAGAAGTAGATATAATAATTAATTGTGAAGCTTATTAGGCCTGTAGTTTAGAGAGTTGACAGCAATGATAGATTGCTTTTTACAAATGCCCACCTGGAATGGCTGCATAAGTCTCGGCGGCATCTATCACGTCTTGAGAAGCTCCGGAATTCCGAAAGTACAAGATTGTCAAAGCAGTAGCCACCGAGGAAATAAAAAACCCAATCACATTAATACTCAACGTGTTCACAATCTTCCGTTGTTGCATAATCTGCGATGATTTTGCATTTAATTTCTCTGGAGCTAAAAGAAAAGTAACCCAAAAATAATTTTCTTACAGACTTTGTACAACATGAAGTAAGTGATGGCATAACAAAGCACAGTTGCTGCACACGCAGCGGTCGAAAGGTAATTCCAATAAACGCTTACTATGTAAGGCATAGAGGTGGGGAGATTGCACATTCCCACGACTTCATTGGGATCAATCCCTACAACCAGGGTGGATATGGGATAAACAAAGCCGTAGAGAACGGGGATCACTATCATTCTCAGCACATAGGTCTTGGTGTCCCAATGTCGGTATCTGCCAAATAAATGTCTTATTTAACAGCTTCAGTAATTTAGGAAATAGCCTTATTCAAAACTTACTTCATCGGCGTTTGTATCGCCAATTGTCGGTCAACGGACACTGCCAGAATCATAAAGACTCCAGTGTTTTCGACTATAATATATCCGACTTGGAGGGCAAAACATTTCTTCTGAGTCATCGCTGCCGTGTCTGTGACGAGTCGAATTCCAGACCAACATTCGAAGAGAAGACTTGACCCATCGCAGCAGGCCAGAATTGCCAAGAGAAATCCTGGAATTACTAGTAAACTTTCAAAGCTCAATGCACATTTCGATTTTTCTAACAGTTGGTCGGAAAAATAACGCGGACTCGTCGCGAAATTCGAAATTTCTCGCCTCGCCGAAGTGACGCCACAAATCACAAAGCGTCGCAAAGCGACGATGTGCGAGTCCACATTATCTTCCCGACGAACTAATACACTATAATACTCACCGCATTTTGTCTGGAGCTCTTTAAATTTAATGGTAGCAATAACAATATTTGAATTCCCAAAGCACCCCAGCACTGTAAACACAAAAATGCTCCCTTCTAGAATCTGACCAGCGACGATCGAGGTTCCATTATCCATTTTGATACGTCTCCTAGATGCATTAAAGGGTAAATAAAAAGTCATTTCTACTAGTCGCGACATAAAGTCCTGACACATTTTGTCGCGGGTGTCGCTCGAGAAAAGTGGCAAGTTTGCGCAAAAGTGCATGTCGCTAGTGCAAAAATGGGGAATTGCCGCGACGGGTCCGAAAGAAAAACAAAAATGCACTGTGCAAATTTCTCAGGACTTTATGTCGCGACTAGTAAACGAGAAGTTTAAGAATAAAGCCATGCCTGCGTACAAGCAATCTAAAAAGTATCTATCTAACAATCACGGTCAACTTTTTTGTCACTCTCGGATAGCAGGTGGAAATAGCGGAATCAGTAATGTAAGACAAAAGGCGCCTACATACGTTAATTTGTGATTTATAGTACGAGGAACTCATTAAGAACGGAGAATTAATCATTACTTAACTAATCGGTGGTATCTAAGAGTTGTCTGTGATCTCTTGACCATACAAATTTTGTATATTAAGGCGCCCGTAAGTCGTGCATGGGTATTTGAGAATTTGGCCCCATTGCGAGCGCCTATCTATTCGATGGCTGCACGCCTAATCCTTGATTCGATTGATGCCGCCATCTCCGACGTTTATAAACAGCATACAAATTAAAACTATTTAAAAACTTGCCATCCGGGCAAATAATCGGCATTCTGTAATATCATCAAATTCAAAACAATTCCGTTGTTTGGTAAGTGCGGCTACACCCTCGCATTGACCCTTTTAATACGCTTACTGAGTACCCTATTTCTAAATAAGCCGTGCTTTACACTGAATTCGCGCTTATGACGCAGATTTTTCCGTCAATTTTTAAATATAAGGCGCGTGCGTTCTACTTCTCTTCGGACTTTCTCGCAGAAAACCCGCATTTCTTGTCTGTGGGCCCGCTAGACAAGAAACGCGCAATTCTTGTCTAAAATTGCGTAACATTGCGCAATATTGCGCAATTTTCTGCTCTCTCCCCGTGAAGATTTTTTTCTTTTTTTCTCTGCTCAGCCAAGAATTGCGCATTTCTTGTCTAGCGGGCCCACAGACAAGAAATGCGGGTTTTCTGCGAGGAAGTCCGAAGAAAAGTAGAACGCACGCGCCTTATACAGGGTGTTTCAAGAAATTTGGAACAAATGATTTGCTTATATCTTTGTGTTCTTTGCAGCTATCAACGAATTTCTTTTTGCTTCTAAAAATTGACAGCGTGCGTTTTTAGAATCTCAAAAAAATTTTTTTTCGTCGGCGGAGGGCCCATTTCTCGGCGGAGAAAATTAGGGCCTTTTTTAAAAATCACAGCGTATTACGTGGCGGAAACGCCGTTGCAACGGTTGAAATCAAGTTTACGTTACACCCCCGTCGATTTTACGGTATGCATTTTTTTGTTTTCGATTTTACGCGCACCGCGGAGGCGCGGCGGAGACTTCAGATTTCGGCGGACGTTGTTTTGGGCCTTCGGCTGTTGCAATTCATGTTGGAAAAGAGTTTGGGGTGATTTTTTGTTGTCATACGATGCACAGATGACAAAAATTTCGTGCTTTTTTTCCCCGGCGGAGAATTCGGCGGAGGCTTTATCAAAGGGTCAAAGCAGTCTTACGAGTCCGGGAAAAATCTCAGCTACAAGAATCATCAGAGCAGCATTGTTTTTCAAAGATTTTTGATTTTTTTGGTCCGGCGGACAAATCGGCGGAGTTTTGTTTTTACCCTTTGATAAAGCCTCCGCCGACTGCTCCGCCGGGGATAAAAAGCACGAAATTTTTGCCATCTGTGCATCGGATGACAACAAAAAAATCACCCCAACCTCTTTTCCAACATGAATTGCAATAGCCAAAGGCGCAAAACAACGTCCGCCGAAATCTGAGGTCTCCGCCGCGCATCCGCGGAAGTGCGTAAAATCGAAAACGCAAAAAAAGCATATCGTAAAATCGATGGAGGTGTAACGTAAACTTGATTTCAACCGTTGCAACGGCGTTTCCGCCACGTAATACGCTGTGATTTTTAAAAAAGGCCCTAATTTTCTCCGCCGAGAAATGGGCCCTCCGCCGACGAAAAAAAAATTTCTTTGAGATTCTAAAAACGCATGCTGTCAATTTTTAGAAGCAAAAAGAAATTCGTTGATAGCTGCAAAGAACACAAAGATATAAGCAAATCATTTGTTCCAAATTTCTTGAAACACCCTGTATAATTAACAAATTTTTATATTATTTATATGAAGACAGAAAACTGACACAGACGGTGATCTTTATGGCATTACGCTCATTAACAAGCGTAAATTACTTATGACGGCTACACCCGATACTTCTATCATTTGGAAAGGCATGAACACAACAGTTTTATTTGAAGGTTATACTAGTCGTTCCAGAAAGTGCGTAGACTTTTTTCTGCCTTTTTTCGGACCGCACAGTGCAAGTTTCATGTTTCCCACGCTACGCGATCCTTTTTGAAACATTTTGCACTGTGCAATTTCAAAAAAGTCGCGCCGGCTCCCTTGAGAAAAGCTTGCGTCGCAGCGATAGTGCACTTGCACGGCGCAAAAGGTCAAATGCACCCCGCAAAAAGGGAATTTTGTGCGGACCGCGACAAAAAGTCTACGCACTTTCTGGAACGCCTAGTACCACCACAACGGTATCCCCGCCTGTGTCGCAACGGTAATTGGAATAAGACCCAAGGCTCCCGCGCGTCTTATTTTCACGTTCACCGGGCTTACAAAACTAATTTTCCAAAGAATATAGCCGTTTCAAACGCCAGCAGGCAAAAAAATATTTTTAACGTCCAGTACAATATCGGGGCAGTGTGGGTAGCAGTGAATTTTATCTAGCTTCGTCATACACGGTTTAGAAGCGCAATTTCTTAGCTCCCAAACCGTATGTCAAACATATGCCGTAATGCGTTTCAAAGGTCACAGCAATGCGCACACATCGACGACCTAAAATGAGCAAGCCCTAATAAACCTTCAACGTATTTCAGGCAGCATTTCAATTTACTAACAACAAAAAAACATAAAAATCCAAGAAAAATTAAAATTCTAACGGGGTTTGTAGTCCTTTCCAGTCTTCTGCTTGTATTCTTTTTTCAGCTCCAGAAGCTTAGCGATCGCTGCCTTGGTGGCATCCTATAAGAATTTAATATTACAAATCAGGGCTCATTCAGATTTCTGAAAACATCGCCTTACACTTTTAGCGTCTTTTCCTTTGAGTTCTCTCACAAGTTTTCCTTGTTCTTCCACTTGGGCATAAAGCTCATCCTCAGCATTATTACCGGCAGAAGGGGCAGCTGCCGGAGTTGGAACTGGTGCTTGTCCGGGTTTATATTCTTGGCCTGTGGCTTCTTTGTATTGCTTCTTCAACTCGAGTAGCTTTGCAATCGCATCTTTAGTGGCTTGCTGAAACCTCACTTAATAAACAGTATGGATGATATGCAAAATCAAATTTGCAAGGCCACACTCACACTCTTAGCATCCTTTCCTTTGAGCTCCCTAACCAGATTTCCTTGTGCTTCAATTTGTCCATACACATCGCCGGAACTTGCAGAAGACGTTTGAGTTGGAGCTGACTCAGCTGGTTTTGGTGCTTGACCTGGCTTGTATTCTTGGCCAGTGGCGGCTTTGTATTTCTTCTTGAGATCAAGCAATGTTGCAATTGCATCCTTGGTCTCTTGCTACAAACCATATAATCAAAAACCGACAACCGTTCATGCTTACACTTTTGGCATCTTTCCCCTTCAGTTCTCTAACTAAATTTCCTTGTTTTTCAATCTGTTCATACAAATCATTTCCAGCCGAAGACGACCCAGTTACCACGGAAGTTGTGGCCGCTGATTGAGGAGCTTGGCCAGGTTTATATTCCTGCCCAGTGGTTTCCTTGTATTGCTTCTTCAACTCCAAAAGTCTTGCAATCGCATCTTTAGCTGGTTGCTACAGAAAGTATTTTCATTTTAAGACTTTAAAATGAAACAGAAACATTATAACCTTATTAGCAACCACATCAACACCGTTCAACTTACTCCTTTGGGATCTTTGGCTTTGAGATCTCGGACTAAATTTCCTTGTCTTTCTATTTCAGAATACAGAGAAGAGGCATCTCCATTATCCGCCTTCGCTGGGGCTTTCTGACTTGAACTGTCCGGAGTTGTTGATGGCTTCGTTCCATCTGGAATCAAGATGAGGGTTGGACCTTGTTTTGTCTTGGCATCGTAGGCTTGATCCACAATATAATAGCCCTTTCTTTGGAACTGGATGATATCGCCTTTGGCAAGCTTGGAAACTGGGGGTTCAGCGAGGAACGTCTCGGTTTTCTAGAAGCAAGGTGTAAATTTTTTATTAGAAATTTTAAAAAAAGGACTATAAAGACTTACAACAGAGTTCTTATCAACAAATTGTTTCCAATCCTCGTCTTTTCCGATGATCGGCTTTGTGATAACATCGGAATAAACCAATGTCTTTACCGGAATATTCGCCTCCTTGCTCTGCTCAGCCAGCCAAGTGACCTTCAACGTCTTCTTATAATTGGTGTTCTCCAAATCCAATTCGGCTTCGATCTCTTTTCCCACCGAAAGAATCTTCAGATTTCCCCAGTTTACGAATGTTACCGTATCCCCGGACTTGATCTGATCAACATCAGCTTGTTCAAGGAATACTGTAGGGCCGTACCACACATCTTTTTGTCCAATAGCAGCGTCTTTTGGATGCAAATTGACCGGTTTCTTCTCGAGATTTGCTTGACCTTTCACATTGACCTTCACCAACGGCTTCGTTGTGTCCATGGCCGTATATCTGGGGGCAACTGGGTCAATTACTTTCTTGTTGAAAGCCCAGATCTTATCCCATTCCATCGTCACCACTGACCGACTCCCTCCTTGAGCCAAGATAAATTGTTTCAAACCCTCGACGGTCAATCCTCTACGAATAATTCCACGAACCGTCGGAAGGCGAGGATCATCCCTAAAAACAATTAAAAAAAGAATGATTTACTTACCATCCATCAACAATCTTCTCATCAACCAACCAAGTCAACTTTCTTTTGGACATCACAGTATGCGTCATGTTGAGACGGGCATAAGACCATATCTCGGGAATCCGTAACCCCAGGGCATTTCCAATGAATCGGAACTGATCATCTCGATCATGATATTCGGTGGTTCTTAGGGAATGAGTAACTCCATCCAAGGCGTCGATGATTGGGCAAGCAAAGTCATATGTTGGGTACACCCTAAAAAAGAATCATATGGATGAAAAGTTTCATTTTTAAGAACGTCTTAGACCTTCTTAGGCATTAATTTTATAAAAATATTTAAAACAAAATTAGGATACACATTTTTCTTACTTGTATTTGTCCCCTGTTCTAACGTGAGGCTCATTCTTGCATCGATAAATAGTCGGATCTCTAAGAGCTCCATTATTACTCTTCATGTCTATCTTAATTCTAACACAACATTGTTGACCTCTTTCGGATCCCTTCTTCATTTCCTCCCACAGCTCAAGATTCTTTTCAACAGCTACAAAATTAATCCTTGCAGCAACAGTAACTTACAATTGTGCCAATTCTTGCTTTCAACCCTCTCCTCTCGCTCCTTTCTCATCGTTTCCATATCAGTATCATCCACATAAGCCTTTCCTTCCTTGAGTAACTTCTCACAATACTCCAACATTTTGTCAAACCAGTCAGAACTATGGGTCCAGATGTCAGGCTTAATCCCAAGAAGTTTCAAATCCTCTTTGATTACCTAAACATCCAGAATAATACTCTTAAAATCCCTTACCTCTTCAAAGTGGGCATTTTCCTTTGCTGGATTAGTATCATCAAAACGCATAACAAGCTTGCCGTTATAGATTTGTTGGTAATGCTGATTGAGGAGTGCCGCCTTGGCATGACCAATGTGAAGATAACTAAAAAATTCTGTTTTAAATGTAAGCAAAAGGTAGGAGATGCAGAAACCGAAACAAACATACCCCGAAGCTTCCGGTGGGAATCTGACTACCACCTTTCCCATTTCAGCATTTGGCAGATCCACAAATTTTCCTTCATCCTTCACTTTATCCTTAGGCTTTCCTACTGGAGGTGCGGATTCATATTTTCCAACAGCTAAATGGGCAGAATGGAATCTTTTATCCGTCTTCATTGACTCGAAGAACTTCTCAAAACTCTTCTGCAACTGAAACGAATTGGAAGAATTAACAAGGCCTCCCAAAATTTCAATAGCTTCTAAACCTTCAAACTTACTTCTTTTTGGTTTTCCAAGATCGCCCAGAAAATAAGATCAGCCAAAGTCTCGCGGCCTAAAACAACGTGGCCGGTCGCCTTCACATTGTCGCCAACCAAACGCACAAGATCATCGGTGTTGACTAAACCGCGAGTAAAATCCTCGAAGATCCCAAGGATATTTTCAATGGTTGCCTGCTCCACAAATTCCTTCCCGAGCAATTGTTTCGCATTGGAAGAGTTGGAAGCCAAAAATCTAGCAATTTGAACATCGTTCGAATAGGTACATCCATCGCTAAAAAGAAGAAAAAGGTTTTATTTACACCTAAATCCAATAAAACAAATAATAAAAACACTACACAAAGAGTTCATTCCTGTCCGAGTTGACATCAATAATCTTTCCATCAAACGACCATCCATTCAGCGAGGCCGTGAGAAGAGAGCCGTAAATAGGCGAGGACTTAGTCGATTTTAAGGAAACAGACATGGTTTACCTAAAACATACAATAGAAAAAGTATTAACACAGAGAATGATTCAAAAAGCGGATAAAAAACAACTTCCAGGACAAATTGCATCATCCTAGGCCTAGGATTAATTCTTCAATAAAAATTATTTTTTGAGGATTAAAAGAAACGAAATGTCACAATTGACTGTGTTGCGAAGTGCCATCTTTTTGTTACGTAAGAAATATTCAAAATAAAAGTGGATGATGATACTCCCTTCCGGAAAGACACCGGACTGAAATCGGCCACACGCACTGTGAGAAAGCAAAGGTTTTCTTTGCACTGTGCAATTTTTTTCTTTATGCACCGTACAATAGGTTTTTTTGGCTGTCGCTCGGACCCTGACTTTTTTCGCACAGTGCAAACGCCAAAAATCAGTCCAGCGACTTTCCAGGAAGACTCGTATTAACTACACCGAAAAAAATGGAAACGTGTTTATTCGGGTATATCAACTTTTGTTTGACATTCGTTTCACTGGTGGAGTATTTGCCATCGATTTCCTATGCTTTCCTTTGCCAATCCTTCCTTTCGGTGCTGGTGTTGATTTTACTTTCTCTTCTTCGGATCCCTGAGTAACTTTTTCCTCTGTGACTTCACATGTGACTGTGACCTGGTTCCTCTTTTTGAGCGATGATTTCCTTTGCAACTTCTTCTTGTTGCTATGCTGATCGTCCGTGGGAGTTGGGCTCTCCACAAATCTCTTAAGCTTGACGTCGTATTCAATGTTTGTAGTTATGGGAGGAGCGCCATCGGCAGTATCTTCGGCTGTTTCACAGAGAAAGGCGGGCTCTTCGTTCCCCGTGGCACAGACATCAGGAATGTTATTCACGGTTAGCTGCAATCAAAAAGTAATACAACTTTGAACCTCAATGTTTCAATTACCAATTTCACTGTCTCATACCTTATCCAAGACTGGAGCTGGGTATTTAATGCTGATCTGGATAAACAGTCGAGTTATATTATGGAAGTCCAGCCTCTTTGTCGGATCCCTGTGCCAAAGCCCTTCATTGACCATTTTTCTGACCTCATCTGGAGCTGTGGAAGGGAAGTCAATCATCTGGTTACGTCGGATATGAGTGGCAATCCGCTTGTTCTCCCAATCAGGCCAGGGCTTTTGGCCATGGCTGAAGATCTCAAACAGAAGCACACCATATGCCCTGAAATATACATTGTTCCCTGTACCAATTTTAAAAATGTTATTATAACAAAGGCTACAAAGCTTCAAGCCAACTCACCAGACATCAGAAGCTTTGGAGAATTGTGGTTTATCGGTCAGCGTTTCTGGTGCCATCCATCGCAGTGGAATCGGCATATTTTTCAGATTTTCTCCAGCCAGATCACTAACAATTTTGCTAAGACCAAAGTCCCCAATCTTGACTACTCCAGTTTTGCTGATCAAACAATTCCGAGCGGCCAAGTCTCGGTGAACAACGTCTCTGAAAAAGCCATATCATTAAGTTTAAACGAATGCATAAAAAAGGTTTAGAATTGTCTTAAATTTACTTAGAATGCAGATGATTCATTCCCCCAGCAGTTTCGGCCGCGAACTTGATTCTCTCTCCGGTAGTTATTGCTGCGCCTTCTCTTGTCAAATGCCTCAATAAAGAGCCTCCAGGACACAATTCCATCACAATCATGACAGGCGTTTGGTCGCAACAAATCCCGTAAAACTAAAATGTTAAATGTTAAACGCAATATGTATATCATAAAACGACAAAAACACTTTCAAATTTACCTTCACAATGTTCGGATGGTTGATCGATCTCATCAACTTGGCCTCTGCAATCATGTTGTTGGCTTCCCCGACTTGGATTGGGGCTTCATCGGCAGCTAAATTAAATTTTAATCATCAATTTAAATTACTTGCTGTTGATAGTGTGGCATATCTTGACTGCGCAAACTCTCTTCTCTCTGTAAAGTCCCTTATGGATGTCGCAAAAGTTTCCGCTCCCTGTAACCAGCGGGTCAGAAATCATTCAGAAAGTTACAGTAATCGAAAAATAAAGGTTACTGCAGGCTAGACATGGCTCTCGGGCCGGCCCGGGCCGAAAATCGCGGCCCGGCCCGCGGGCCGGAAGAGGTCGGCCCGGCCCGTTTCAATTTTTCTTCGGCCCGGCCCGGCCCAGCCCGCGGCCCGGGCCGGCCCGGGCCGGCCCGAAAATTAAGGAAAAGTAAAAAACCTTCCTACGTTATTAGAAAAGACATATTTTTCTTTATTCAAGCAACTAACAATCAATTTTTAAAGCAAAAAATTACCAACCATCGCATTGCCTTGTTAAAATTAATCAAAAATTACCGAGGTACTTTTTCAGACTATTAAAAATTGCCCCAAGATGAATTTTATAGATTCAGTAAAGGTGGAACCTATTTTATCAAATTTTTCGTCAGATTTCCAACTTTCAGATGATAGTGTTACTTCAGACGACTTACTAATTGTGTTTAGAAAGATGTCGATTACGTTTATTTTGGGTAGTTGCTCAAACGATTACTACAAACACTGATACACTTTACTTCTTAATAGATCTTACTAGTAAAATTACTTATTATTAATGATTTTTGAATACTTCCCTGCTTTATTTTTATAAAATTATACTTACTGTATGAAAAATAGACCCCATTCTTGGCTTTGCGTTTTAATTTTATTGGCAACCCAACTTTTCGCTTTGAAATTCAAAACTTTAATTTTGCCGGGCCGGCCCGGGCCGAAAATTGCGGCCCGGCCCGCGGGCCGGAACAGGTCGGCCCGGCCCGGCCCGTTTCAATTTTGCTTTGGCCCGGCCCGGCAGCCAAGTCTACTGCAGGCCTTACCTAACAGCTTTTTGTCAAATTTGATATCTTTTCGCTTCAAAAGGAATCTCGGTTTCTGTACCGGATTGACCAATCTAACTCCCATTTCATCGTCAACAGGCAAGTCATTCTTTTTGAAGAACTCGATGAGCTCCGTAATTGTCTTGAACTGATTCTTCTTTTTTGATGCCAATAACCACAAGTTGTTCTCGATATTTATTGGCAAGTGGTACAATTTCTTGCCCGTTTTGACTACCAGCTTGAAATTGTTTCCCTTCTTAGTCTCCGACAGTCGTACCACAAAATCGCCTTTCTGCTTCAGGAGCTCCTGCCGTAATGTTGTTAGGGACAAAGCAGGTGGACTTACCTCAGACTGAGTCTCTGGCAGTAGGCCTACGTACCAGCCCTCCTGATCCAGCTGTGCAGGAAGGTCTTTCAAAGTATTCGCAGCTTTGATTTCACTCATGCCAAGAAGCGGCCGATAATTGGAGGTAGCAGAATGATAAATGAGCATGAAGAAACCCCCGATTCAAATTCGCTTCATGTCTTTATGAAAAATTTTGTATAAAATGAAAAAAAAACATGGAAAGAAATTTTTTTTTCAAAAAAAATGATTTTCCGGAAGGCTTTCAATACGGTAGGCCCAAATCAAAGTTTACTATACAATTAATAGCTTACTGTAAGATATCCATAAAATATCCGGAAGTACTCAAAGCTTTCTTTCCCGCTGTTATAAAGTTTCAAATTTCATTAAAACAATCAACAATTTATCAGCTATGAAACAAGTAACAACAAAGTGATTCATAACAATTTTTGAAAACTTTCGATACTCTCCTTTTCGAATTCAAATATATCCGGCTCAGAAAACGTGTTTTGGGTGACCTCCTCGAAGACTCGTTGCTCTAATGAGGTGGGCATAACCATCAAAGAATCGTCGAACTGTACCGATGATCTTTCCTGGACAAAGGAAGGAATATGTGGATACTTTGACGCTATCAGAGTGTATGTAACTCGGGGAAACAGTACAAAATTAATCTTTGGCAAAAGATGAGAGTAGATGATAATATCTGATGCCTAAAACAACGTGATTAGTATCTTATAGGAACTTTTATTTTACCGTTTGTCTTACTGCTCTTTGTTCATCTTGAAGGAAGACGGCCAGAACTTGAACAGCTTTCTCTTCATTTATTTCGATGAGTTCCTTTAGCTTTTGAAGGGAAATCTGTACCAATGAGGGCTTTAAAAGTATCTTCTCCAGGTCATTCCATCCATCCTTCCCTTCTTTTACCTGTGCACAAAGCTTATTCAAAATGAGTTCGTCACTGAAATTTAATTAATATATCGTATGTCCTTACCCTGAACACTTATTTTGCACGGTGTTACCGTCACTATATTCTCCACTCTCTTGGTGCTTCCGTTGAATGATGCTTTTAGCCAGCTGATCTGGGAAATCAGCAACATCATCGACCCCATCGTGTAACAGTTCAGTTAAAATCTCCGTAGAAGCTAGACATCGCGACATTTTTCCAGACCTTAGGCATCTAATAACTGTCTCCAAACAAACTGAACGTCCACCTCTCTTGAGCTCCAAATACACAGAAAGGATATAATAGACGATAAGATCGGGTCTGAAAAACATCGTGATCCCTAAATTAAAAATTTACAATTCTTTCTTTTCAAGAAGGTCATCAAAGGCCACAGTGATCGTTTTCAGTAGCGTTTCCAGTTTCGGGGTGGCGTCAGCTTCATTTACAATATAATGAATCTGCAATTATCGTAGACAAAATAAACCGAATCTATTTCTTACAATCTGACATAACGATGTAATCCATCCAAAAGGCAGCCCGTGAATGTCATCCAACATTATCAAATATTCATGGGTCATCAATTCAGCCAGGGAATCCACTTGAAATAGACATCGGATCGCTTTAACGGCAAAAGTTCTCGTGTGGTCTGAGTGGGAAGTGAAAGCAATATAATGTAGTGGATAAATAAAGGACTTCAGACAAAATTTGTCAGTCGCTGATAACTTTGTCGGCTTGATATGGCATAAGAAAGCAGACACTGCGGTCGCACGATCGACAGATTGCTGATTCGAGGGTTCAAATTTGTTTAGGATCTCCAGAAACAAGGAATAAAGTGATTGATAACTGAAAAAGAATGATGGAGGCGGCAACCCTCCACTTACGTTGTAAAAAATTCGAATGCCGACATCCCCGTTCCTAATTTATTCAGATTCTGAGGACCAAATATCCGGAGTGTAATCGCTGAGAATAACTGCGAATAGGCGTTCCTAAGGTTCCACGACGAAGATGGTAATCGATCAATGCTCAACCTCAAGGCGTCTTCAATGTAATCATTAATCTGAACCTTGAATATCCTATTACTTATGATGGCCTTCAAGACATTAGCGCAGTGAACCCTAAATACCGATTACATTCAGTACTCCTCTGTATGATATTACTGTAATTATAATTAATTAAACCCACTCGATTGCCGTGCTTTTCCCCTCATTTCGAAGCAATTGCCGCATCGTTCTCCCCAACGATTCATTTTTATCAAACTTGCCCTCAGGCTGGAAAGCGGCAAGAATGGCTGTAACCAGATGCGGAAGACCGGCGCTTCTTCTGGTGGAGACAAGACGATGAATCCCTGGAATCACAGCATGAATCACAAGGCTAGATCAATTATATAGCCATTCTTATTCAACCTTTGTTCTCCAACGAAAATGCAAACTCCATTTATTTTAATCGCAGCTACAGTATTCGTGGGATACTGTGATTTGGAAGATGTGAATACGAGTGTGTTATATAAGACGGTCGACTTTGGAAAATGCCATGAGACGTGTGATGGAGATCTGCCCAATATGATTTTTTCTCTTTTGGAGTTTTACAATACCTACTCCAAGATGATAAAGATCTGCCAGTGAGTACCAAAAGCATTTTGCATTAGTCGTATAACATGTTTAGACAACTCAAACCCGCCAGTGAATGTGTTAAGACCTCCAATTGCCCGTTTGCCAGCCGATTTTTGCTTTTATACGGAGGGTTTTATGACCTATGCAATGGGAAAAAGTGGAATTATTTCATCAATAACGAAGGCTGCTTAAGGACATATTTGGATGAAACCCTTCAAGGTAATTGTTCTAATAAACAACTGAACAGATTATTTTAGCCACAGAAAACGAATGCCGTTTAACCCAGGAGATTGAAAGGTTTTCCCATGATCCTATCGTAGTCAGTCAAGTCCCCAAGGGCCAGCCTGCTGCTTTAACTGTGCTTGGAAGAACCGGTCCTTTGTGCAGGTGAGCAACTATGCTATGGCCAACCTATTTCCAGTTCTATGATCTGTTTCATCCCAACATTCCGGCGATTAATGGACGAGAAATGCCCTGGAGCGGGCAGTGTTGTAACTGCCGCGATGGTACGCCCCTTTTATCAGGGACTTCACATCGTCAACAGGATGGGACCAGCTATAACTGGAATGATCAAGGTCTCAACGCCCCCGCAATGCTATCCACTTGGAAATAAGACCGTCTTGCATATGATGAAACGGCAAGATTAAATTTTTCATTTCAATTTAAATTTAAGTGACACAGGCACAAAACTAATAAAACAAACGGTCTTAAAACCCACCTTTTCCAGAATCTAGAGTCTCCAAAATGTCATCAAGCCATTTGTCAGGGTTAAGTTGATGTCCATCTTCTGTGAATTGTCGCTTCATCCGCTGGCATACACGTTTAAAACATTCGGAAGCCATTTCAAACGCTCCCCGATGGCGACATTCCGTCAATTGATTCCAAAAATAGCCGACAATACGCGGTAAGTGATCCGACCAATCATTGCGTAAGAGATCGTCGGGAGACTGCAACAATTCATTTAAAAATTGGCAACTTACTCTTGTAACAATATTAGCGAAGATCTCGGAGACTGCTTTTATAGTTCTCCAACAAGCCACCAGTAATCTTTGTGACTGCATTTTCTGAGTGAGCACTTGATCCGGCACATTTTTGTCTACCAAAAATTACATCTCCGAGTCATTACTTACCCATATCATCCTCGTCATCAACGAAATCTTCATCCAAAACCATGCCTTCAGGAGATATACTGTGCAAAACAGGATTTACCATTTCCATCACAGAAAAACAAGGTAAAATAACATGGTCATTCGCCGCCCGTTGTACTGAAGGATCTGTCAGATCACATTTTGAAGTAATCGCAGACATTGCATTGAGAACTGTATGAATAGGGTTCTCGTTGGAAATAGATTGTAGATTAGGTTGAAGGCCATCAATCATCATTCTGGCTCGATTCCCGATATTATTTAGGATATCCACAACATTTTGAGGGCAAAATTCAGTTATAACTTTCATTTTGTAAACGATTCCATGCTGAGTTTTGGAGCAAGCAACAGTGTATTTCTGTAATGTCTCTTCGATCAAGGCGTTCCATCGAGTATCATCACCATATTTGTGCGATCTCAGTAGAAGGACGGCGGCCATATCCTGGCACTTCTCGTAACTGTCATCAAGTGATCTTATCATGACATTAAAAAAATGAGCGGATGAAATTATCTGATGAAGCTCCAGAAGTTCATAAATAGTAACACCTAAAAAAATCAGTTTAAAAAATGTAAAACATACCTTTCACTTTTCCATCAAAAACAGTTGAATGAAGTTCTCTAAGAACATGGAAAACAAAGAATCTGCGGTTGAAATTAGCAGACTTGTCGAGAGATACCACGCAAACATCATGCAATCTATGAAGAAAATGCTTGAAGGAACTCAAACTATTATACCCATGAGATTGCAAGATGTGTGCCATTCTGGAAAATAGCTAAAAAACAACAGTAATATTACCGCTGAGTCTTACTTTCTTCACACAGTCGACGATCGGATCTCTGATTGACGGACTCTCAATTGTCATGGAGAAGGTGATCAAGTGTAATATCAATTCCAAATCTAGTTCACTCAACGGCATGGAGACTCTAGGATGGCAACAAAGCGTTTTCAATGCTAGTAATCGTACCTAAAAAACATAAAGTCGCTAATAGAACTCCATACCGTATCATCTCCATGAATTGAAGCTAATCTCAATGTCTTCTCCTCGATAAGTTGATCCCAAGTAAAAGTATTTCCCACAGAATATGATATAATTGATTCACACACAAGAATCTTGGACTCAATTTTGTCGTTTTCTGAATTTTATGGTGATTAAGAAAAATAAAATACCTAAAAGTTCTTTAACGTGGTCGGAAAACCAATTTGCAAGATGATTATTCTTCAAAATCATTGACAGTAACCTTCCCAATACTCGAACATCACAGCAATTCTTGATCATTCTTTTCAAAAATTTGAGATGAACCTGGCGTCGTCCATCACTTACCGTTAAATCGGCTATCAAGAAGTGTAATGCCTAAACAAGGAAGGTTATTTAAACAGCAAAGAAACCATACAGAATTTCGTAGGCCCGCATTGTACAAATTTTCGTAATTCCGTTCGACGAATTCCTCTGAGGCTTCATAACTTCGTGACCATTTGCAGAGTAATAACTAAACTTAAGGAATAGAGCATAAATAAAATGTAATGCCTACCGTAATCCGTCCCCGCAACTTTTCCCGAATATTATTTTGATTAAATTTACATTGAACTTCCTTCAAAACCGTACAATCCAACGCTCCACAAGACTGACAAGTCTTTCCATGCCCTTCCAGGAACGCTTCTAAACATTCTACACCTGAGTGTGAGATGAAGTCGTTTCGATGGGCAATCATGGCAAGGATAATATCGGTCACTTTTAATTGTACAGCCGTTTCTATTTTGACGTCGCACACACTAAAATATGAACGCTATATAAAGCTTACACTTACCCCAGAAGAAAAAGGCATCGTTTAAGGCAGTGCAAATAAGAGGTATCACTTATTTCTGCAGGATACAAGGATATTAATCTGTTCAAAGCAAAATCCCGAATAAAAATTTGATGTTCACTACAGCATCTCTTCTTCCAATCATCGCTGAACCCTTTTTCAATTGCCCTTACTCCCTCTATGCCTTCAGCGTGGGCCATTTTGCCTAATTTTTTGAGATTTTCCCGAATTATTTTCTTTTTTAATCGTTACTGACATTTCGTCTTCAAAATTATTAATTTTTAGGAAAATTTTGGATTTTTCTGGCAGTCTAATACGTTTGGCGCTTCGGCGTGGTCTAGACATAAGTGTCAATGGGTGTGGATATTATGAGCGAAGTCCTTCAAGAATGCCAGATCTCCGAATCTGACGACCCTAAGAAAGCTGCTCAAGACGTAAAAAACGAGGCAAACAAATATTTCAAAGGCAAGTTTCCGGTTTACACTGACTCTTCGGAATTTTAGAACAGAAATATGACAAGGCTGTCGAATTGTACTCAAGGGCCATTGAGTTGGACCCCACCGATCCTATCTTTTACAGCAATCGGAGTTTTGCGTACATCAAGAAAGAGCTGTTTGGATTAGCATTAGCCGATGCCGATAAAGCTCTAGAATTAAAACCATCGTTTGTGAAGGCCTACTTCAGACGAGCTTCCGCCAATCTGGCATTGGGAAAGTACAAGAAAGCTCTGACCGATTATGATACCGTTCGAAAGGCATGCCCCAATGATAAGGATGTTCAGAAGAAGTATGAAGAGGTCAATAAGATTGTAAAACGCATTGCTTTTGAAAAGGCTATTGCGGTGGATGAACCCAAAAGCATTGCTGAGTCCATTCATCTTGAGGCCTATCGTGAGTTCTTCAATGTTTAATACTGATTCTTTTAGCTGTCGAAGCAAGCTATACTGGGCCTCGACTGGATGGGGATGTAACAAAGGAATTTATGGATGAGCTTGTCGAAACCTTCAAGAAACAAGGAAAACTTCACATAAAATACGCGTATAAAGTAAGTTTTTATTATCATTGTTATTTTTTTTATAGATTTTGCTTAAAATAAGGGAACTCTTTGGGAAGTACACTACGCTACGTGAGATCACCGTTCCACCAAAGCAAAAGTTTACAATTTGTGGCGACGTTCACGGCCAATTTTATGATCTCTGCAATATATTTGAACTAAACGGTAAACCATCCGAGACAAATCCTTATGTAAGTTTTATCAGCAAGACATGATTAGAAATTATTTTTTGTGAATGAAAATTAATCTCTGCAGCTTTTCAATGGCGATTTTGTGGATCGAGGTTCATTTTCTGCTGAAACAATCTTCACTTTGTTTGGTTATAAACTTTTGTATCCAGAGCATTTCCATTTATCCCGGGGAAATCACGAAAGTGATGTCATGAACAAGATGTATGGATTTGAAGGAGAAATCAAGGCCAAATTCAACATGAGGATGGCTGAGTTCTTTTCCGAAATTTTCAATTATCTACCATTGTGCCATGTTATCAACAAGAAGATCTTTGTATGTTTAAACGTGATATGTCTACCTGGAAACTTTGCATTGAGTAATATATCTGGTTTGTCTTTCAGGTTTGTCACGGAGGTTTATTCTCGAAAGATGGTGTCACTCTCGACCAAATCCAGAAAGTCAGCCGAGTCCGTCAGCCTCCAGATGAGGGAATAATGACAGATTTATTGTGGGCGGATCCCCAGCCAATCCCGGGAAGATTCCCATCAAAACGTGGAGTCGGCCTTCAATTTGGTCCCGATGTCACTCAGAAGTTCTTGCAAGACAACGACTTGTTATACGTTGTGCGGTAAGATTTGTTACGTAATTCACTTCAAATTGTGTTGCTTTTGTAGATCTCACGAAGTCAAACCCGAAGGTTATGAAAAACATCATGATGGCAAGTGCTACACGATATTCAGTGCCCCCAATGTAAGTCTTAACAATGCATTAATAACAGTGTTCCTTTGATCAGACGCTATTGTTTTTTAATTGCAGTACTGTGATTCCATGGGTAACCTTGGCGCCTTTATTACTATAACAGGTGACAACTTGGAGCCCCATTTTACTACGTTCGAAGCCGTCCCTCATCCAAACATCAAGTCGATGTATTATGCCAACTCTATGTTTGACTTCGCGTAGTTGTAGTGGATAGTCAACGAATCTTAAGGAAATCTCCATTGTTGTTTTTTGTTCTAAATTTGTTAAAGTCTATAAATCAAATTCTAAGATTTTTATAGTAATTTTTGATGTAGAAGGTAAAAGTTTTGATTTACTGATATGTTTACATAGTGTAAAAGCCATTGCAATCATTTTCCTCCGTGCGTATCTTTCAATTCTGTGTCGCGAAATATCAGAGGAAAGCGGCGAAGGAAACGGGTCCAAAACTGCATAATAAATGTGTCTCTCACTTCTATTACCCCTGAGGCTATGGTGGTGGTGCGAAGAAAGTTGGGCCAAGAAGAAACTGGTGAAGTGGGGTGTGATAGAAGGATGGAAAACACCAAGATATGTGATGGGGTTATGGTAGATAGGGACGTGTTCGTATCGAATTAATGGATAGAATACGGAAGATGTCATGGTGGGAATGTACTCCATATAAGGGCATCGAATTTGAAGACGAGGTTGAACTTTGTTCGCAAAGATGAGGTTTAGTTTACGGTTCACGACTTGCAATAAAGTGTTGAGATGTGAACTGCGATAAAGGAAAGGTTTTAAATTTTGGTGGTGACTGTTGATATTTTCATAACGAAAATTACTTGTCGATTGGAAATATTCCCTACCAAAAATATAGACTTCCTAAGTGTAATCATAACTTTAAGATTCCGAGAGCTTTTTGTTTGTGGCATTAGTTCCTTTCTTCTTACACTTCCACCCCATTTATTGACAAGAAATTCTCCACTAAAAGGCGTTTATATCGGGCATAAGCATTGGCTCTGTTCTCATTATTATCGTGTATTGTTTCGTCGGTTCTCACACCATTATTTCCATCTCTTAAAGGCACTGCACTCTTCCTTAGCTCTCTCCTTTCATCTTCTTCAACAAAAGGGGCCTTGGCCCCATTTTATGGCCCCAAAAAAGAGAAAAGGAGAGGAAATGATGGGAATGACGTCCTTCGAGATTCCTTCTTCTGTCAGTTTATTTAGGGCTTGATTGGTGCACCTGTCGTCGTTATAAACTCATTAATCAAAACTCTTGCCATCAGGTAACAGTAGCCGTTGCAAACGGTCCGAACAAACTCTAGACAATCAGAATTTAAGATGACAGTTTGTGTACATAAAATGGACTATTAAGGGGTATGGGGTTCGTCAAAGTGTGCTGAGGTTTATCGGACCGGAACTTGTACCTATCGCTTTAAATTGAGTCAGCCCTTATTCCGGTCGATCCTCAGTGAGAAGGGCTCTCAACCCACGTTGTAAAGTTTACTGTACTTTTAGAAATTTAGAAAAAATTAGTTCACCGTAACCACCCGACTAAACCCACTTTACATTTAAACCCACATCATCGGTAATCCTCCACCTACACAGGGCCATCTCTTTCTAATTCGAGTATTTATCTGAACACTACTACTACATTCCCATTGACAATGTATTTTTTATTCGTTATTTAGCTACTAACGAGTGGTTATTAATTGCAGATTATTATTCCGTTGTTGCTGGTTAAAATTGTTTATTTTATTGTTACGTATACCTGAGATAAAATTGTTTGAAGGTGAAATCCCTTGGGGAAAATAAGTGTTCCCTTCCATTCTTACTGTTTTGAAAGGTTTAAACTTTTTATTATAAGCCGTACAATCAATTACTGAGTCGTTAAATTGAAGCCGAAGATTTTAGAGCAACCTTAAATGTTCTTGCCCAATATGTAATCGGAAACCTTTGAAAACTCCAGGACCGTAGTCGTAACACCTTTTATAACCCATATAACTCCCTCAGCGCCACTTAAAAATCCTGCCAAACCACGAATTTCTCTGCGAACAGCTCTTTGCCATAAATCTTGCCCTGGGTCCAGGATTTTAATCTTTATTTCCCCGATCACAAAACTTTTTTATCCAATTTGCAGGTGAATGACATATTATTCGAAAATCTTTTCTGTCACATTTTCGGGCCGCGGGAAAGCGAGGCGCGGCCAAAAAAGCTGTGGAGGCCCGTCCCAAAAATCTTTTCCTTTTTTGCGGACAAAGCGGCGGCCGATGGGATTCGGAGTGACAGCCGGTTGTTTATAGTGTGTGTGAGGAGGGGGGAACAGCGGGGCGAGCGAGAACCTAACATACCAAGAGACCCAGTCACGGACGCAGCATGGATATTGCGGATGGGGGCAGAGAAAAGTAGTGCGCAGTAGATGTAGTATCCCCATATACGATGGGGTGTTAGAGTAGAGAGCCGGCGGGAATGTTAGACGTATTCCATGGACACAGTTGGCCATATCAAAAGAGACATAGGATACATCACGCATCTCGAGCGTCCTGGCCGCCCTCTCTTTCTCTTCGACCCGAAAAGTAGTGGTAGTTGTTGTTGTAGACGCAGTAATAGCCATGGCCGCCTTCAGTTTGCGTGTACATTCCTTTTCTTCGTATATTTCTTGAAAAAGGAGGGGGGTTGTGGATGGGCCGGATGCCGGAACTCTATCTGAAGAAGCAAAAAGAGGAAACCCTCGGGCCGTTCTCGGCGGGCCCACAAGATGCAGATGATAGACTACATGAAGGCCAAGATGAAGATGAAGCGTAGAAGGCCATCCAGAAGAAGGAGGGGGATTCTCTGCTTTCCCCGTTTTTTGCACATTTAAGTCCATGTAGTCGTTTATTTATGAGAGACGAAAGGCCATTTTACATATTTATTGACGGGCGTGAGTTGAGACACGGGTCAACGCGGCTAATAATTGATGCAAAGTTGGAGCCGGTCTTTTTTCCTTATTATTAGATGGTTTTCAATTAATTTCAATTCTTCAAATATTTTGCCACTCATTTTTTATTACATACGGCATTACGTGAAACTTATCAAAAAGATGATTAAACACAAAACTTTGCATTATTTTGCCTCCGCTATCTACGTCGATTTAGCTGTTATTTTATGCTTATGTAATTTCTTTCCCGATGCAATTACGTATGTTGCATTTACATCGAGAACACGCAACATGGCAAAGTACCTAGCTCAGCATGAAATATTTAGAGCTTGGTTAGAGAACGGGCATTTTATGTTCATCTTTTTTAATGTATTACATTTTAAATGTTGATTTAACCAAAAACATGAAACTTAATTGACTTATACGACTTGTTGATACATTTCGACTTTTTTGTTTTTCCATGAGCTTGACTACAATCCTTTTCCTCTGGGATTAACTAACTATGCACCTTTCCTTACCAACAATCCCTATAGAGTACAGTCTCTGTCCTCCAGTCGCTTCCAAACCCTTCGTCCGTTCTGCACGGATTTAATGGACAGAACAGAGAATGATGGCGTGCTGGGTTAGGACGGATGTTGATGAGAAGTCAAGGCTTCATTCTAGGCCTCTGCATTGTCTTTATGAGTCCTCATCAACATCTATTCGCTCCCATTTCCTAAATGAGAATTTACATTTTTGGGAAAGAATTCCGACTTACAATTACGAAAAGAAGACGCAGTACGTGCATCACTGTTTTTATTATCCGCTAAGACTACCCGCTGTTTCAAATCGTGGTCATTAATCCTTGGAGGCTTCTTTGGCCTGGGATTACCGTGTTTTCGATTAATCAAAGATGCCCTTTCTTTGTGACATTGTTTTGGCCAATTGGCTCGTTTATTTCTTTTCACTTTTTTCCTGATTCTTATTTAATAACACAGTGAACTCTCATTTTCAGACGTCTTATGTCACTTGGCACATTGCAAGTTTTTGTTTTGCGCGCAAATGTCGTGATGACGAAGTGACCTTTCCTTTCCCAACTCCTAAGTCGTTGCTAATCCATTGATCCCCGAGGCACTCTTTGGTCAGTCTGACTCTGACATGGGATTAGTGCCTTATATTTGGCAAGATTTATGGTGTTGATGAATCCTCGGCATTCTCGGCTTAAAGTTGTTTATGAAAATGGGGTTGTAGAAAATTACGACATTCTTTTGCTTTTTATATCGATTTTTTTGCAAAAAGAACTTGTAGCAAACAAAAGGCACAATGATAAGTTTTCAAAGAGTGCAAGACACCCCTGATTTTGCTTTTAACTCCGATTTTTCTTTCGAATCTGTCATTTCCAAACCTTTGTTATTAGGAGTAGCATATTATAACGCCAGGAGTAAAAAATATTTTTCGACCACCGCGGTGACAAGTAGCACTGTAACAAATTTTATTAAATTTCTGAAACAATCAACCAATCTTTTTCCACGTCATCATTTTTTGCACAATGCGTCTACAGTTTCCGGGGAAATCCTGCAATCATATACTTTGTTTACTCTATTCCTGAGTCAGGATTCAGACGTTTTAAATGTCTAGATAACAATTATTTTTGAATAATTTAATTTAAAAAAATCGCCTTCAGTCTTCGGAAGAACTGACAGGAAGTTTCCGATACGAAGAAGGCAATTTTGTGTTGCAGTCTGATCTCCATTTGCTTTGTATTTTCCCGCTTTATGTTAATAACTTCAAATAATTTTGTTTGGTTCCGTAAAATGTTGCTTTTACACGTCGTATTTCATATCAAAGTGGGGTTCTATTTACTTTGCGGCACGTGGAACTACTTTATGCCAAGTTAGGGGACATTTGTTTGCCCACTTTCGAACTTTGGCCAGGCCAAGGGAGTTGTAGAAGTATAGATGATGTCTCTGGAACTATCAATATTTCTTAATGAATTCATTTAAAGTACTGGCATTACGCAAATTGAACGTACCCTTAACAAATATTATGCAGGACATTTGATGAGGTTATTCAAATACGGCCCCTCTCACCCTTCGGCCCTCCCTTCGAAAAGCCATCACTTTTGATTATTAACCAACGACTCTTATTTTACACCAATGTTTATCCAAGAAGGGTCCTCCTCGGATGTTTGCCTTTCCTCGATGTATATCTCTGTTGGGGAAAGGCACCTTATATATGTATATATAGTTTCGAGGCGGCCTCACGCGCGCAGACGTGACCGCGTTTAATTGACTTGATGGCCGCAGGGCAAGAGTTAATTTGAGAGCCGGCCTTCCATTTTTTCGCCCTCAGGCCGCTGTCGTTTTTATGCTGCTATTTTACATTTTTATGTCTCGAATAAGAGAATAAGACGCTTCTTTCTTCCGGGGAAAAAGGGAGAACGAAGCCGGGTTTGGAGTGTGGAAAATTCAACAAAATGACGTCTTCATCCATCCTTATTATAATACATAATATTGGTCATGTTTTAACAAGATCATTAACGTATAAGCCGTGAAAACAGACTCATTTCGTTGGACAAGAATTAAAAATTAAAGCTGCATTAACACAGGATTTTTTTTGTCGAACTATTTTCCGCGCTTTACTTTTGTGTTGTCAAAAGGATTTTCAATGTTAAATCTTGTGAAAAAAATGATTTTTTTGCAGCCTTCCCTCGAGCAATTTGCCGCCCAGCTCTCAGATCATGCACCGAAATTAGCGGCCCAACCAGGAATCCGGAAGAAGAGAGAGAGAGAAAAGAACGCTCCGAACGCATGTGGATCAGTGCGGTGAATGTAGGTCGTTGATCTCGTTTTGATGACATTTCCATGTTCTTGCGGCCAAGGGATTTCCGTTCTTAAAATCATTTCTTGATCACCCAGGAGTTTTTTTTTTGTTAATTTGCGCAAGGGAAAAATCGTTGCAGCGTATTTTACGTTTTGATAATTTGACATTCCAATCGTTTTTAGTCTGGAAGGGAATTTAGAAACTCAATCTATATGCATGCCAATTTACGTGGCCATCTTTCCCATGGCCAATTTAGGCTTCCTTTTCCCGAGGGAGGGTCTTCATTGTTCTCTTATAATCAGCCACTTAATCATCTCTTCTGAAGTCCTCGTTACCTCAAACAATTTTATATTATTCATGCTCTGTTTTCTTCCAGCGCTTCAAAACTTTCGCCGACGCTCTTCCGTGCTCTTCCGTTCCCTTTTCCGTTTCCTTTTTTTAAGAAAATTCAGTCATCTTTTTTTCTCTGACCGTCTCTCCATTTTGGGGTGCTTTTTGTGGTAAAATGGCACAACCCCTTGATTTTAGATAAATTTTTTTGGTGACGTAACTTCAAAGAATTTCGTTAATGAAATATTTAAATTTTACTGATGATTTACATGGAAAAGATTTATTTATTATGCTTTCATTGGTTTAATATCACCCGTTATTTTTGCTCTAAATCATCTATTTTCCATTTTTTTGTACTCTGGCAAATTTTTCATTAAATTTTCCCCTTGACCTCATATGCCATTGGACCCGTCCATTCTTATAAACGTTTCCTTAATTTCCGCAAAACTGGAAATTTTGGAAATTGATGGCGTAATCGAGTTTAGTGATAACGGTAGAAAAAGAGGATGACACAGGGCAGAAAAAAACAACTCTGGAGACTCAATTGTTCCGGGCATTCATAAGTCATTCGGCCTCTGACATTTCTATTGACGGGGTAAATGTTTCGGCCACTTATGGTAGTTCCCTGTGGCTTTTAGGCTACAATTCAAATGTATTTTTGCATCTGAAATTGGCTAAACAAAAGTTGGAAACATTTTTTAGTTGTTATTGGGACAAATTAGTTTAGAGGGCACTACTTTGACAAGGTCTGCCTATTGCCGTTTCTTTTTCTCCATTGAACCAATAGACTAAACCGAAGTTCAACTCGTTTCTTTTAACCTTCAAATGCAGCTTTGCATCTGTTATGGGATACTGTGCCGTTACAGATTACTAGTTCCTAGCAATAATTGTGATTACCAGCCAGTTTTTATGCATTAGGAATAAGCACTGAACTAAGAGGTACATTTCTTCGGATGACTATTTATATATTACAAACCTAATTATCGTCTTTGCTAATAAGCTTCTAACTCCGAAAGCATTTAAAATCCCATCCCATCCACCCTTCCGCCTCTCCGACGCAGCTTTGACTAGGCATCCGTCAAGATGTACATAACATAAAAATAATAAATGTAACAATATTTCGGGCATAATGTATGTTGTAAAGCGGGCATTTGTCCTGAGCGTTTTGACCTTGGAGGGTGCATAAAACTTCATCGTCCCGAACCCGAAAAAGCACCGCGCCTGAGGGCGGCGGGAAGAAGATAGAACGTCTCAAGAAGATACGGCGACGTCTTCGGCGGGCTGTATGTATAGGTCCCCTGCTTGTGTCCCCCAGTTCATACGTGTTGAGGGGTGTTGGAGGAGTGGGGGGAAAAGTTTTTGGGCCCAAAATTGTCTCCCAATTGGCCGCAATACATCCCCCGGCATAACATAAATATTCCGGCCGCGCTCGTTTCAGACGTCCTCCTCTTCCTCAGCGCTCCACCCGTTCAGCCGTCAAGTTGTCGCAGCGATTCCCCGAGGAGAGCGCCTACCGTCCAGCCGAAGCGGTGGTCGTCGGGCGGCGCTCGGACGCCCCCGTCAAAGGCGCCGCCGACCCCGCCGACACGGCTTCTAGGCACGGTCAGAGGACCGACCGGAACACGGGGATCCTGCCCCCTTATCAGCTCGAAGATCTCGATCGACTCAGTGGACTGGAGCGGCTTGAACCCGCCTTTCTTCAGGTGGATCACCAGACTTGGCATCCGGAAGATCAAGAGGGATCCAGCTCACAAATTCTACAGGACCCTTCTTGTCGGGCAGAAATGGAGATGGATTCGCCATCAACCCGAGATCATGAATTTGTTGCCAATGGCTCGGAACTCGGCCAAAACCTATTAGTTACCTGTTCCAGCCACCTTGATGATCAGAATACAGTGCCTTTCGACGAACCTTATGTGAATCCGGTGATAGATGAAAACGATCAAGCGTCGACTTCCTCAACCTCAGCATGCTCCAGTTGTTCAAACTTGTCTTCTTACCCGTCAAATCCTTCAACGACCTTAAACATGCCTTCGAATTCGCCTCCGGAGACGGTTTGTTTCGTCCGGACGCTCCCTTCCGACCATCAGACACTAAATCTGAGTCCAGATCGCCGCCGGACCCGGGCAATCCGGACTCGATCATCGATTACCAAACGTCAAAGGATAACGTTTCTAATCGTTCGTATGTTCGCAGTGGCAACATTGGTGACATCGCTAACACTTGCTTCCTTTGCGGTCATTGAGACAGCCAGTCAAGATGGAATTCTCTCGCGACGAGCAAGGAATACAGCTGACGGGGTGGTGAATCCGGCCAATAAGGATGACTTAGACAACCTCTACAGACAGCTGGATGACACGACGACATGTAATCGAACCTTGGATACTCCATTACTCAGACAATTGCTCAATTCGACCATTCAGAACATGCAGATTCAGAAGCCGGTGCTCCAATGGCTGGCCAATGTGGCCCCGCGCTATCCCTACCTGCTGGAGATGAAAAGTAAGAAAAAGATGACGCTCCCTGTAGTTTTAGAACCTGACAAAACAATTTTATTTTGCAGACACTCCATTAAACACCACGGTCACCAAAACCCCATTAATCCGGCCTGTTCCCGGTTCCCACGGCCCAGTCCATGTTCTTCATCTGGACTGTGCTCCCTCTCCAAGATGGGTACCAGTCTCCGTTTATGGGACCGCGACAACCGAGACTTTTGTGGAAATGAGACTTCCGGAACTGGAGCTGAACGCCTGTCCGTTTAGTCAGTGCTATCAATCCAAAGTAAGTATGGCTTAACGTTTTTCTTGGTAAAAGTTTAGATCATTCAACGGAGCAATGCATACATATTTTCTCAAAAAACAATTTTTCAGTGTTCCTGGACCTCTCATGGTGACCTAAAAGTCTATGCGAAGCCTTGCTGCGATGCCGAGAGCAGATTCTGCAGAGCTGATTGGACAGCAATGCTCAACTTGTTCTACATCCTCTCAATTCTCTTTGCCTTGGGGTCATTGGCCATGATCCTGGTGGTCGTTCGAGAGCGACATCGACAACAACAAGAAGCAAGGGGATGGGCTCTAATGGAGTTGTTTTTCGTAGGCGCCGCGATTCTTTACACTATCGTAAGTTCTTATTTGGAATACAGTTTGTTACTCATTATTAATTTGTATGGTTACATCCCATTATGTCATTATGATTACAAATTTTTAGCCGTTAATTGACTGGAGTGGAACAAGAGCCCATGGTTGCGCAATAGCAATATGGCTACGTGAGATCGGGTTCACGTTGTTCTACGGATCCGTGGTGCTAAAAATCTATAGGTTAGCTTGTAAATAATTTTTTTTTAATTTGAAAAAGTCATCCCACACTAATTGCTGATAATTTCAGGAATCTTCAAGAGTATAGGGTTAGGAAAGCGCATCATGTCATAGTTCGCGAGCAGGATCTCCTCAAATATTTAGCCGGCTTCATGGTCATAACGCTCACAGGTAAATCATTTTCGAATTTGTCGTTAAATTGGTTTTACTTAGAGATAAGATTTGTTAATTTAGGCCTCGTCGCTTGGACATTAGGCGTCCAACATTCAACCGAACTCTGGAACAGCCAATGGCCCCAATGTCCATTCGAATCGTGGTCTTGGATGTGGACTCTGTTCGAGCTGCTTTTCCTCTTGTATGGAGTCCGACTCTGTTATAAGGCCAGAAGCAGCAACTGGGTAGAACGGTATCAGTTCACGGCCGCCGTCTGCCTCGAGATTCTGGTCAACATGGCCGTCCAAATAGCCAGATATTTCATGAGAGACACCGGGTCCCACGACTTTCTATTTGTCACTGCCATTATTAAATTGCACCTAACTGTCTCGGTGAATATTGCTGCCATTATCACCCCTAAATTTATTGTAAGTTACAGTAATAGGCATGCGTAACTGTTGAAGGTGAACTCGGAGACCAACCGTCGATCGCTCAGTATGTCTGGCACTGGGAACAGCAGTCGCGCCCATCCCTCTCTAGCCAAACTCAGGGATAATCTTATAAATGGGACGATCGACTTTGCCGAGATACCCATCATTGACATGAATCCAGAAGATATTAGGGTAAGATAAGTGGAATAAAGACAATATTTTTTAGGCCGAGCTCAAACGAGTATACACTCAACTGAGGATGTATAAACTGAAGAACCTCTATCAAGACAATCCTCATATCTCTAAAAGGAAAGGCGGGAAGAAGGTGAGCGACAAGAACACAAAGAACCGTCGTATTAGTATCCCCCCAGCTAGCTCGCCCAAGATTAAACGAGTCGACGAGGAAGATGAGAAGAGTGATCTGACAGTTGAATCGGCTCCTCACAATGTTTACTTGTCCACTAATAAGCTCCAATTTGAGCCTAATGACCATTCAGTGCGGGTCTGATGTCCTCATTTTTCAAGCACGCCTAATTTCACTTATTCTTTTATATAAATGAACCCAGTCGACCTCTCAGCACCAGCCGCACCAAGTTTGTTATTGTTTTACAAGGCTTTCAACTTTTTGTAGTACAATAAAGAGAGCTCGCTCAAGAATTGGATGATACTATAAACTAATACTGGAGATATCGAGGAATATAAATCGAACATAAACCTTCACCTCCGGAATATAAATAATACACTTTTTCAAAATTTTATCATAAAACAGTCAAACAATCAACAATTACCAAAAACCAACTTTAACGAGCAGCGGCGGTGGCGGCCGTAGTTGGGCGAGCTGGGAAACGTTCATTGGGGCGACGGCCGAATCGTGGTGGAGGATCTCTGTCACGACGGGCTTCACGGGAACGGTTACGCACAACTTTGGAGTGAATGGCGCACGACACGCAGTAGTGGAGCTTGTGGTAGAGCTTTGGAAGTGGGTATTCTGAAATAATAAAGATTTTCATAACGTTTTCATATAGAATCATCTCCGGTGTTCCAAACAAGACAAACTTTGAAACAAATCGTTAAGAGATAAGTGCATTAACATTACCCTCGATTGAAACAATACTAATTCGTGCAAAAAAAAACATTTCAATCAAAAAGCCCGTATGCCAACATTTTAGATATACCTAATCCTAAACTCAAGAATAAAAAAGTAAAATGCAACATACGTTCATAGACGGAAGCCTCGGTGATATCACGGACGGCAGCTGCTTCGACGATGTTTCTAACGACGAACTTCTTGATAGCCTTGTCCTTAGGGCAGCAACGGCCACAGTTGGTGCAGCGAATGAAGCAGACGTGTCCGCGTCCCTTCTTGTTACGTCCGTGGTTTCTTCTCTTGGTGGTCATAATGACAGTTCAGGGACCCTGAAAGTAAAACAACTGCAAATCTGAATAGTGGTATTCACAACTTCACACACGTTCTTCCTCGAAAATAGCGTTGAAACTATAAAAACAAAGCGGTATAAACCCAGGAACGATAATTCCACATACAACAAAATTTTACAACAATAAGATCGTAACTGAAATATACTTTTACATCAAACATCCAAAAAATTTTGCTCTAGACCTCAACGAAGAAAAAGAATTTTCAATACCGTAAGTTTCGTTTCGGGACCTAAACCGCTTGATTGTGGCGTTCCGTCTCAAACAAAAATTAATATTTTTTCTCAACAAAATTGGTACCAATTTTTTTACTACATAAGTCCGCAATTCGTACAAGCAAAAAAATTATTTACCTCATTTTACGGGTATGCTTCCTAGTAGCTTTCGTTTTTTAGTCTGTGAACTAAAATAATAAACACATTCAATAAATATTTATTCACAGGTTACGAAATGGTCTAAATAAATAGAGTACTCGATGACAAGAATGATAGATGTGTAAATACCTGTTATTAAATAACCAATACGGTGAGACAAATTAGAGAAAATAAATTAGAAATGATTAGAAAGTATCGGATATTGGGGTAAGGCACGTATAGCGGTAGATGTTCATGGGTGTTGGGGTGGTGGAGGAGGGACGGGTGGAGCTTCAAACATTCCATCGGTAAGGTACCCAGCAACGGAGCCGCCTCCGGGTCCTTAAAAAAAGAATTCGTTATGTTGCAAACGGTATGGTATGAGTTAAGATAACATTGTCTAATTACTTACCTGCAATGGCTTGAGTTCGTGAAGCTGGTAGAAATAGATCATGGCGTTGGTCTTTATACTGGGTCCATACAGTCGACTTATTTAATATTTCTTCGATTCTTTCTCCATATTGCAGGTCTCTGCAGATGCTTTTCAATGCATCTACAATCTCGGCCTTGGCTGCTGACACATTCCCAGTTCCCGTGAGTTCTCCAGATAATACCTTGAGTAAAATGTTGATGATATCGGTTTTCAAAAACTGTTCAGCGAGTTCTGGCTTCGGATTCTTGGTGAGGCATTTTAGAGAATGGGCGGCTTCAGACATTAGATCAGGTTGTTTACTCATGCATACTTGTATTCCTTTGATTACCGGCTGAGAAGCCAGAGAATCGGCACAGTATTGGTTCTCACTCATTTGTTGGAGAATTAGGAGTGCTGATTTGGCGGCATCCGGGTTGGGATTGTGCATAACTCGGCAGAATTGAGGGAGATATCCTTGTGCTGGTATCTAAAATGATTTCGCTATTAGACATAAAGCTTAACTCCATTCGCAATACTATTTAAACCAAACTAACCTGATCAACGGTTGTCGGGTGGTTGGTTATCAATGACACCAGAGCTGAAGTTACTGGTTGCAGATTTTCATTCGGTTTTTGCATCAACTCCAAGACCGACTCCATGAGTTCGGTGGCAAACTGTTTTGGATGTCTGACAATCCAAGACGGGTTCTGGTTGAACAAGCGAATGAATACTCCTCCAACAATTAGTTCTCCTGCAATTGTAGACGAATAAGCCGTCGTCTGGTCATTCGTGTTTTGGAGAGTCTGGGACCATTTGGCATTGAGATCTCTGGATTGAGTGGTGAGCAGTTCCTGGAGCGACTGACCGACTTGTTGGCGGACGTTGGCTCTGATCGTGTCGTTCCAAATCAATTCCGGGTTCTCGGTGTTCGAATCCAGCATACGAATTCTAAAATCGAATAAGTATTCAACTTGATGCTCACTTACGCATTGGCCGGACTGTCCCTTAGAGAATCCGCGAAAATGGGAGGAAGATACTTTATGATAAATCGGCTCCATCTGGGCCCGCTGAGCTTGTCGGCTTGAAGTTTGGCCAACAACTCTGCTACCAGGAGTCTGTTCTCTTCATTTTGATCTCCTTTTTGTTGCATCAGGATATGTAACAAGTACAGTAATCCGCCAAATTCAAGAAGATTCTTGACGACAGTTCCGTTGGAGGATAAGGCAATCAATGTTCTCAGGATTCGATCAGCGGCCGAGGGATTCTTCACCAGCAGCAGTAACAGCAAGGGAAGCTGAACCGTACACGAGATATCATTCACACATTCCTTGTTGTTGGCGGCCTTTGAGATGACACTCAATGCAAGAATTTGCACATTTTGGAGATGGTTTAGCCGGAGGTAATCAAATATGAGTTGGAAATGCCCAATCAAAAGGATCTCGATACCTAAACCAATAATCAACATAGGCCTGATGCATCACAATCGTACCTGCATAGTTGAGTAGGACATTATCCAAAGCTTTCCAGACCATTTCGACTTTCTCACTGAGAGGTATCTGACTGGCTGATTCTTTGATGTTTATTGGTTCTTCTGGTTCATCTAAGTCAATTAGATTTTCTGGATTAGTAGGCTTCTTTGGTGCACCATTCAAAACAGGCTTCTTCACTCCCATCAAAGTATCGATATGTCGTTTCAGATACTCGACCAGGTCCACACACACAGATTTTGGATCCTATGAAATAACAGTAAATGTACCAGCTTCCTCGACTTACATAAAGTTTAAATTCCGGTTGTTCGTTGTAAATTCTGACAAAGATGTCACCAACAATAAGCTCCTTCGCGTACACACTCAGAGTAAACTCGGCTCCAAAGTCGTTCTCTGGAGAAGTTCTTTTTTTCTCGACAAAATCCATAAGCTCTGCTCTTGTCCCATTGTCCCAGATGATATAAGGATCTTCTACGTTCGAGTTTAGTACCTTCAGAACCTTATCCATCTCATCGTCCATCATTAATTTACAGACAAACTTGGTGATCAACGCGTTGAGACTGTTCTGCACACCATCATTATCGGGCGTATCCTGTCGGAAGCCAGCTAGACAAGCGAGGGCTTCAGCAGAACTTCTGGCAAGTCGATTATGGACCGCTTGTTTGTTGGACTCCTCGCTGTGTTGAACTCCACCTTCGTCAAGAGTGTAATCGAATCGGAACAAATGAGGTAGCAGGTGCCAGATAACACCAGCTTGGTAAAGGAAGGTCTGGAGAAGGGTGGAGACCGAGAAGGAACAAACACATTCCGCGGCAGCAACAGCAAGGTTTGGAAGATGCTTAAAAATAATATCATCAGAAAAGGTTGAAGTCATAACCAACATAATTGCGTAATACCTACCTCGAATTTGAGTAAATGACATAACAATCCGAAGATCTGCTTCATTTCACTGATCTTTTCGCGACATTGCTCGAACTCAGCTGCCACAGCAAAGCAGTTGCAGACATGACGACACACTTGAACGGGCATATCCGTTTCCTTGGAGCCTTTGGAAATCATTGGGACACATCTCTCAAACGTCTTATACAACGCTTCCAGACCCGTTTCCCTCCGTAGTTGTTCGGCATTCAACGCGGAGCTCTTTAATGTCCAATAACATAGTTCCACAGCCGCACTCAACAGATTTCCAGAATGCAATTTATCCGATGAAAAGAGAGCAGCATCCGAAGCCTCCAGGTTGATGGTTCTGATGAGATGAGTGTAACCGGCGTACTTGTATGGTGCAAGTGTCTCCAGGTGTCGTGAGTAAATGATGGACTGTGTTTTGAGACAAATGGCGATTCTGTTCACGTCCGGATCGGATTGGTTCTTGTTTCGAATCAAAGCCGACGTCAAAAATTCATAGGCAAAATTAATTTTTTCGAACTTCTCGCGGCCTTCCGGGTTCTTGTCTGGATGGTATTTCTGGGCGAGTTTAAAGTAAGCTCTTCGTACTGTTGAAGTGTCTTGCCAATTTTCGTCCTTTGGGTTGAGTTCCAGCTCTTTGCAAGCCTCTTCAATGGACATTGAGGACGGTTTCTTTTCAATTTCTTCTTGCCAGGCAGCCAAACAACATCGTAGGAATGGAACGGGTTCTCTGATCTCCCAATTGGGGAACCTCTGTTCATCGCAAAGATGCCTGAGGTAGTAATAATGGCAGAACAATTCCTCATCAAGTTGGGGATATTCGATTGGTGGGATCGGGCAATATTTGTACAGAGACTTTATGTTAGATGTGAGGCGACAAGAGAAGTCGGATATATGGATGGCAATCTTACTGATCATGTGGCTTCTCATCTCCGTGTTCCAGATAATCTCCGGGTTCTCAAATTCTCCCAGAAAAACCTCCGCATATCTCTCTGGACCATAGGCCTCAAGATAATAGATCGTAGCCTCAGGCAAAATTGGAGAGAGCACACTGTGAGAAATTATTTCGGATTTGGCCTGAAATCGACAAATAAGAAAAGCCATAGAAATATACCGGTATTACATAAAACTAGAGAAACATACCAAAGTCGACCTGAATGCCTGCTTCAGATGGGTATAATGCAATAATCTGGCCACCGGAAGAACGTTAGACCCGTTGTACATAAGAATGAAAAAGTAAATTCCACTGAGATAAAGCCGGGATATGTTGGGATTGTCCATCATTACATCTAGTACCAGAGTTGAAACCCGTTGAACAATGGCTGGGTCATATGTGAGGAGAAGTTGGACCAATTGGTAGAGAATGACTGGCTCGGAAATAATCTTCTTGACCTTGGGCATGGGTCGGACGATGGCATTGGATTCATCCCGGGATGGGAAGAAAGCGCACATCTGATTGAGAACATCAAGGCAGAGAACGGCCAGTTCTGTGAGGTTGTACAAGGGAGCACAATTGGAAGCTTGCCCAGCCGATTGGTTGGGCTCCTTTGCACAAACAGTCCACCGGAATTGGGGGACAGAAGACAGGTTCATCCACACTTCCAATCCCTCCGCCCAGACCTGGGTTTTTTCGAATATATCCCCATTTTTGTACAATTCTTTCATCTAAATTACAAGATACCTAAAGAACAATCAGAACAAACCTTTTTGAAGCAGAACGGCCCTTGAATGGCATTGTTCTTGTCCACATACTTCCATTCTTCTGATTCGCTTTCAGATGTGTTCTCGCCACCTTGGATCTCATTGGTCTACAAAATACTTCGATGCATTCAGTATCAACCCTACCTGACTATGGATCTTAGCTCTGTTCACATGCAGGTGGGCCAACATTGAAAGATCAACCAGGATGGGCACGAGCCCTTCACTAATCAGATCTCGGACATTCTTCTTGTCAAGGACAAGTTTACTAATCAAGAACAACTGAAACAATTGCATATTACCATCAATGAAATAAAGTAACAATTATCAAGGAAGCCACTTACAAAGTGATCCCTTTCAACAACATTAACACATCTAGACAGCATCTGGACAATAAATTTAGAGTCTCCAAAAGGGCCAATGGTCATAACATGCCGTTCATAAGCAATGCCCATCGCTCGCAGACACAAACATTTCATATCAGTTCTGTTTGACAATAAGAATCGATGATACACAGTGTTGAAGAAGTGCTGAGGGTCATGAATTGGGGTAGCTGAAGCGGAATCTTCACCAAGAAGTACTCTAAGATAGTAATCGCCAATTCTGATCTCATCATGCAGAGATGGGTAGTCCACCTAAAATCTCGGAGTTCATCTCCAATTATCAAATATGCACAAAATTTATAATCTAAACTCACAAAGAATTCAGTGTGGTTCCAGGAGACAAGCGTGTGTTCCTTTTCGACCAATTCCAACTCCGCCTGAAGTTGTCTCATTTCATCGACAATCGCCTTTTTGAATTCTTCCCGAGTTTTCTCATTCCAAATCAAATCAGCTTGACTATGATCTTTGTTGAATTGATAGGCAAACATCTTCCAATTGGCCGTCGCTCTGACATGTCGTTTCCTTTGCCGCAACACAACTTGTCGAGCTGATCTGTCCGGTTCTCTTCTGTTAAATCCAATCTTCTGTTCAATATTCCAATGTCGGAAGAGGGTTTCAATCCTAGCTTCCATGGTGTATTGCATGCTTTTTAATTGAGCTTGTAGAGCGGACTGTTGGCTCTCTTGTTGTGCTGCTTCAAGATTGTTTCTGATCAGAAGGAGATCCTTTTCCGAGACTGGCGGTTTGTCTGGCGATTCAAAGTAATCCAAGAGACCTCGAGGCTAAAGCAATGTGTAATTAAACTTTATACCTCAATATCCCACTTCGAGATTGTACAAAATCTTACCAAGCATCTCTTCAAAAGCTCCATAGCGGCCGAATTTTCAGCGATCCAAAGGGAAATCAGATGTCCAGAGAGTTGTTTATTGGTTAACACCCTTAGATCCTTTCCCGATGACAACAATGCCAATTCCAGATGCTTGAGAAAAGCTCCTTCCGTTAGCGATAAAGCCTGCATTTGTTTCGAGATGTCGCGATTACTCTCTTCGATAATGGCTCGCATTACAAGCCCGGCTCCTTTTACAATTGTAAGACATGAGTTGTGGAAGAGACGGTAGAAAGATCGTCCTCTGACCGCCACCAATTCGATTATCATGTCGAAAATTTCTCCCGTAGTAGTTTCTGAATATGGTGAGCATACTGTATAAGTGAGGAAGTCAAGCATTGCCGCGATAACCAGCGCTCCAGTTCCGCGACTCTAAAAAATATGATGAAAATATGAAATAAATACTTCAAAATAACCCTAATCAGGGACACTTACCACATGATGAACAATCAAGTCAAGAAGATGCTCAACAAACGCCTTAGTCGACAAAAGAGATTGCTTGTTCAGTTGCTCCAACTTTAGTTCATAGTTTGGATGCATGGGTTGCATCAGGGAACATAACATCTCAACTGTTGCGTAATCAATCGCCTCACTTTTTCTGGCCAATGCATTGACGACAAGATTTCCAAGCTTTTCACGGATGCTGAAAACAAATATAAAACCATCATCGCACAAAAATTATTTACCCATTGACGGCAGTGAATGCCTGGAATCCCACTTTTGATGCAAAAAGTCGATGTAAACAAGCCATCTGAGCTTCACATTTTAGTAAAGACATCGGTTCATCAGGAGGATAACTCTCCGCCAACACTGCTTCCAGGCAATTTACTATGTTTCTGCTCTTGTTATTATCCGAGAAGAAGCTATCTTTGGGTTGAGAATAAGTGAGACCGTTGTAGGGAATGTTGGCGTTAAAGCGACGGATCATGTCGGATCTTCGTAAACCCGGTGGGACATCCACAATGTGTTTCAGAAGTTGGGCTTCGCCATCTTCGTCAAGCAGTTGTTTGAATGGGAGTAACCGAAGATCTCTTTCGTATCTTCGGGAAGAAATAAATATCTGATAATTGCCAGAAGCTCGGGATCCATCAATAAGCGTGGATAATATTTGATCCCTAAAGATGTAATACAACAATAGAACAAATATCCTACCGTTCTTTTGAAGAGTATGTCCGCTGATCACCGTTTTCATATTCCACTCTGAATGTTTGAGGATCATTGGGATCTCGGAACAAACAGATTATCTAAAACACAACAGTCATATTGAAAAATTAACTTACAGATTTCAAAAAGCGGGCACATACAACTCCGTACGTTCGCTGATCTCTCTCTACGAGACAAGTCTCTGATAAGCATAACAATCTTCTGGTCGGTTCTTCACTTCGAGGACTGTATTTTCGAACTTCGAATTCAACATAAGACGTGATCTGTTCATCCTTACTAACAAAAAATTATAAAATATACAAAGTTAATAGCTTACCTGCACAATCCCAATCTTGTTGCCATAAAATCTTCAAAACAAAGATGATCCTTGGCCACGTTAACAAGGACTCCCATACATTCCAACGCCAATTGTCTCAACTCCTTGATGATTTCTTCAGACTCTTGTGAAGCAAACAAATGCCTTCTATGCTGATCCCCAATCTCAATAACAAATCCTCCAGGGCAATCCGAGACTCGATAAATGTGTTTTATGTGGTTATATTGGTAAACTTTGACACTAACACCTTTTTCATTTACTTGATTTATTCCGTTTGGGCCGAGATCGATGACCACTGACTGTCTCTCATTAGCCCAGCCATACTTGTAACCATTAAACCTCTAAAATAGCAATATCTCTTTAAAGACTTTACACTATCATAACTTCCCATTAATTCAATAAACCAATTAATTTTATTTGATTTATGAACGACTCACCCTTCTTCCAATGGGTTTCTCGCCGAACTTATCCTGGAATAACAGGGTTTGGGCGAGAATTTCCTCGGTGAACTCGGAAGAAAACCTCATATTGTCGCTCTTGCCCTTCTTCCTAACCAAAATGATGAATTCATCACCACGAGAATCACTGCTGGGACTGCGCTGTCCGGGTCGGATCGAAATAAACTCATTGTACATCCACTGCAACATAAAACTTAATACATGATAGCAACCAGCTTTTTTCTAAACACAAAACAATCAATAGAAAAACAAACTTGATTAGTAATCTCCAACTTGTCAGGATTGTAAGTGGTAACGGCATGAGTTCCGACAGAAAAGATACGGCGGTATCTGAAAGAATTTAATGCATCTAGCTGGAAAGGTAACATAATCAAACACTTACTTTCCTTTCCACGAATGCTTGGTAACCAAGAAACAGCTAAGATCTCGATTCTCTTTACAAAACGAAGTCATTGCTGCTCTTTACCCAAACATAACTGAAATTGTATATTTATCCAAAAAAAGGAGAAAACGCGGTCCGAAAAAAGAGACACAAAGCCCACGAGAAGGCCACAAAAACACCACATTGTTGTAGATCGAAAACTTTTCCACCATTTTTGATCCAATTTCGCCTTTCCTCGCGGATTCACTCGCTCACTTCCAAAAAACCGGTGAAAATTTTTTGTTTAGCTGCGCCCATCATTGGGCGGGATGACGGCGACATTTTGTACGAGCATACTCAAAGTAAGACACAATGTAAAACGGCGGGTGCCATGTTACACGAGGAGTGAAAAAACGGTTTTTTGGGAATTGTTACTTTTAGGAAAAAAGTACTTTAGAGAAACTATAAATGTTCAGTATAAAAAACTTCATGCCCATCGGATAGAGCATGAAAAAAAGCTAAAATTTTGTTGACTAAAAAGTTAGGACCGTTGGTTTCAAAAAAAACTTATAAATTACCTTAGCCCAGGGGAAACGATAAAAACGCTTAAAGAAGTCAAGTCTTTATTTTGTCACCATAAACAACAACGAAAATACTATCACAGAGTAAATGATGACATCTTGTATCCCAAAGTATTTGCAACGGCTGATATATTCGTTCCTAATGTAGTATTTCCTCATGCTAAGAACACTCCCATGTCTCGTTCCCCATTTGATCCAGAACTCGGGCTGGTCTCCATTATGACTTTGATGATCTTTCACCATTTTCTTCAATTTCTCAGCTCTCTTTTTATAAGTCACCAAATTCTTCTCAAACTCCTGAAGTGTAATCGTCAGCGTATCGTCCCAAACATTGATCATTCTGACAATCTTCGCTGTCCGCAGCAACTCAAGGGCTTTCAGATTGCTATTCTGATCTCCTTGAAGGGGGATTCCAATCAAAGGAAGGGCTGAATGAACGGCTTCATTTAATGTGTTGATTCCACCATGGATAATAACATATTGGATATTTGGATGGGCTGAAATTGGCCAAACGTTGGTAGAAAATGCAGTGAAAGCTCAACTGTGATGCGTTCATTGATCACCGATATTTATATTACTATGCACATGGCAGTACTTACAAAATAACTTGTTCAAAGGAACCCAATCAACAAAATACACATTGCTGGGTATCTTCACGTCCTGATCTATATTCAATTTCCCATTCACTTGCCAGATTACGTTGAATCTATAAAAGCACAAATCAAATCCCCAAACTGTTCAACGCAAACTCCGAAAAATACTACCTGCTCTGACTGAAGGCTTTCAAAAATTGTTTCAACAGATTTCGAGGGAGATATTCGACCTGAAACCACTCGGATTACTTCATATTACTCACAATGCGATTACAGACAACGCTCCTCAATCTGACATTGCTCTTGACGGGGCTGTTAATTTGTGTGTACGTAACTCGTACTAAACGGAGACTTGTTGAATACAAAACTCTTGATACCTTTATCAACTCGTCTTACTTTGCTGAAGCCTACATGAGTCAGAAGAGAATGAGCAATATGAAATACATAATGCATCAGAATAAAGATGTAAGTTTGGTTATTCAAAGTCATCACAAACATCGTTTACTTTAGCCATTGCCTACACAGAGTGCTTTTGGAATTCACAACTCTTCGGAAATTTGCAGTAAGGCCGATAAAGGTGAATGTGCGCCGGAATATATAAAGTTGGAGACCAGGATACGAGTAGGTTACCGCCATCCTAATAACATGTTATCCTACAGTATACCAGCAAGTACAATATTGCTGCGTGCATTATCCAAAAGAGCATGTCAACGGTGCTGCAAGGGGTAATTTGTTATCTTCGAAACGAGAAAGCCTTCGAACGGCAGAAACGACATATCAATGAACTGAGTAGAGATAGGTATGTTCTGATCATGAAACTTGATGACATATAATAGCGTATCTTTAGGTTTTGCTTGCATAAAAACGAGGCCAACAGTATGTCAAAGGCGATAGAAGGGATTATCCACGAATCTAGGGTCAATAAAAGAGTGGCCAAAAAGATTAGAAAGAAGACGAAAAAGATCGTTGTGGTCAGAGAACCCATTGAAAGATTCCTCTCCGGATTTGTAGACAAATGTATTCGGTATGACTCACGCCTTATATCGACACATTTGTGGTCGTTTTGTTTCTGATAATGTCGATCCCAATTCTTTTTTAGAAAACCATTTGCCAAGGATTACTGTAACGGATGTAAGGCCAATATGACTTGTTTTATCCTAGCCGAATACGATCGTATGTTGGCTCAATCTCGATTGAAACGATTGGAGCGATCTTTTGAAGACCGTCATTTCTTTCCTCAAACCTGGCGCTGTGACTTTGATAAACATCCAATTGGAACATACGAGAAGATACGGTACACAACGGAGAGCCATGAACTATTCAAAAGGTTCAAGAATGTTTTAAATAATGTCCCAGAGAAATCTCTGTCGTTTATACAAAAGGAATTGGAACTGCCTACAGTGCATACGACAAGAGAATCAGAAGCAAGGGCATACTTGGAGAAGAGACTTCTCGGATCGCCGTTTTTGATGGAATACGTTGTAAGAATGTTTTACCATGACTTCATCAATCTGGGATACAGGCTGCCTTACTTTGAGTTCAAGGAAAAAAAGAAGACATGATGACATACTTCTGTTTGTTGTTGTAATAAGAAGAGTTATAACTAAACTTACATTAGACAGGCTGCCAAAGGTAACCAAAATGAACTTCTTTGAGAGAGATCTGTATAACGCACGCGGCAGCTCGGTGTCGTTAGTGGTGTGAATGTCTGATCTTACAATAATTCAATCAGTATAATTGTAAGTGGTCCTATTAGACTTACTTCGAACATGTTGAACACCCAAAATGCTTGATTCTATTGTTCCATGGTCGGACTGGCTCTAACAAAAATTCAGATCTCACAGTATACAGCAGATGACTTCCTTCGTGGTCGAAGAGACCAGCCTAAAATCGTCTCTCCATTAAGTAGGCCTTACTGTAAAATCGGAATTTCTAAAGTCGATCCAAACAATAATGGACTGAAACAATCTGACAAATTGGATAAAAACAAAGGCGATTGTGTTTTTAAGCCTTTCAGAAAAGTTCATCTTTAGATGAGAGAACGTAGTTCCTGTAGTTGGGACATAAGATGGGTAAGATGGGACATTCATTGAGGTCAAATACCCATCAGAAACCGGCCAATTTGAATATTGAATAACTGAAGGCGACAGACTCGAAGATAAAATTGTCAGGCACCCCTAAAAAGACAAGATTGTTGATTTACCTATTTTACCTGTACAAAATGGTCTATCACAAGCACATCAAACTTTGACTCTTTCAGCAATTTGTACTGTTCGGACTTCATAAATTGAAGACAGTGTTTGCGATGGGACATAATGATATTGTAAAACAATACCATCCCCCGAAAATCAGTCGGCCTCTCGGGTTCAAAAGGCACATTTCCAGACCAGACCAGTGGTCCACCATAAGAATGGAGCAGCTGATTGTCATTTTTCCTAAGATCAACTAGAGAATCTTGAGAACTCTCGTTTTGGTTAGAGACAGATTGATTTTTATGTCGCGCAGATAGCTGGTTCGACGAGAATATAAACTTCACCCAATTATCCGGAAGTTCTACAGTCTTCCCAAAGTCAAAAACCTTGACTTGGATCCAGGTGACATTCCACTCGTCATCAGTAACAAGAGAGCTCAACGTTTTGTCATGGGAATAACATCCACTTGAAGCTACTAGTCCCAAAGTAATAGCGTGAGCAAAAGGCAGCATAATGACCGACAGAAACCTCATGGTCGTCGCTATTTGACATCACAATGACCGACTTCGAGGCTTGTTGTCCATTCTCTGAACCGTATCCCGAATAAAAAGATTATACTTTTTGCAAGAGCATTTCAATGTCAATGTAAAAGAACTTGCATCTTAGTGTGGAAACTATATTTAATCGAGTGCATAATCAGAGTTATTCTTCCCAGAGATTTAGCGAGGTAAACGTGCATTTTAAAACACGATTTCTGAGTCAGTGAATCAGCCGCCAGTTAGGCCTGGACATAGGAAAAAATCGATTTTGAGTTTTTGATTTTAAAATGACCGCAGGCATCCAGTAAACATACTCCTGAAATATTTTTGCCTAATTCTTTCATTAACCTACTGTAATTTACAATTTAATGTTTTTACAGTAATCGACCATTACAGCACGACTACTCACTAGAAATGGCTGAAATTGGGAATACTGATGTTTTCGGGTATGCTCGTCATTGTGAATCCAGAATTTCGGCGGTCGGGTTACTGTAACATACCGCAATGTGGTTTCGGCCGAACAAAATCGGCCATAAAAAATTTGTTTCTGAAATGCCGCAGCTGATTTTTACATATGTTAATCAGCGTAAAATTCTGCCCTAAAAACATTAAAAAAAAGTGTAAAAAGTCATCACCCCTTTTTCGTGGTGTAGTGGATTTTGGTCAAATTTAGTAATCCGAAGGTCGCGGGCCGCGCGCGGGTTCGATCCCCGTGGAAGGAAAATGCGTAAAACTGTACAAAACCTCAAAAAATTGGTTGTTGTGGATTGATTATGGATATCAGAAGTATGCAAAAGTGTATCAAAGTTGATTTCCGAACTTGAAAGCATTTTTTTGATGATGAAACTTGGATTTTGGTTTCCGTGGATTATGGTGCAAATTTAGTCTAGGAAATGGCTACAGTTGTTTATAATTAGGTTTTTTAGCTTTTTGAATCCAATGGAGCAGGGATTTTGGCCATAGGATTACTGTAACATAGACAAACCGGATTTCGGCCGCTTAAAATCGGCCGTAAAACGGTTGTTTCTAAACATACGCAGCTAATTCTTCAATTTTTGGAATCAGCGTGAAATTTCACATAATTTGCACCTAAACAATGGGTTATTGGTTGAATACTTTGTTTTCAGTGGTGACTTACTTTAAAACTTGGAAATTGTAAATAAAACTATGTTAGCGAAAGAATTAGCCAAAAATATTTTGAGGCTAAGTTTCATCAACGTATGCAAACATTTCTAGACCAAAATCTCAGAATTTTTTTTTTCGATTTCCACGGATGACTTTTTTTACTGAAAAATTTCTAATCTGCTCGAAAAAAATCCTTGGAATTTGTGCGACCAGTTAGGATATTATATTCAATGATTCTAGAGCAGAATTTCACGCTGATTCCAAAAGAATTAGCTGCGTATGTTTAGAAACAACCGTTTTACGGCCGATTTTAAGCGGCCGAAATCCGGTTTGTCTATGTTACAGTAATCCTATGGCCAAAATCCCTGCTCCATTGGATTCAGAAAGCTAAAAAACCTAATTATAAACAACTGTAGCCATTTCCTAGACTAAATTTGCACCATAATCCACGGAAACCAAAATCCAAGTTTCATCATCAAAAAAATGCTTTCAAGTTCGGAAATCAACTTTGATACACTTTTGCATACTTCTGATATCCATAATCAGTCCACAACAACCAATTTTGAGGTTTTGTACAGTTTTACGCATTTTCCTTCCACGGGGATCGAACCCGCGACCTTCGGATTACTAAATTTGACCAAAATCCACTACACCACGAAAAAGGGGTGATGACTTTTTACACTTTTTTTAAATGTTTCTAGGGCAGAATTTTACGCTGATTAACATATGTAAAAATCAGCTGCGGCATTTCAGAAACAAATTTTTTATGGCCGATTTTGTTCGGCCGAAACCACATTGCGGTATGTTACAGTAACCCGACCGCCGAAGTTCTGGATTCACAATGACGAGCATACCCGAAAACATCAGTATTCCCAATTTCAGCCATTTCTAGTGAGTAGTCGTGCTGTAATAGTCGATTACTGTAAAAACATTAAATTGTAAATTACAGTACAGGGTGGTCCAGCTAAGTTCGCGGATGTAAAATGCTTATAACTTTTTATAGGATTGTTCAATTTTTATGAGCAATAGCTCATTTTATTCCTTAGTAGTTGCCATTTTGTTTAAAAAAAAGATCATAAAAAACGATCAATCCTACGTCGAGTTATGACCCTTCAAAGTCAAACATGCTTTTTCACGTAAATTTTAAACAAAATTTAATTTTCAAAAATTTGAATTGCGGTGTCACCGCTCGCTGTTACCGGGAAATGATGGTGAACAGAGCGATCCCAGCTATGCAAAATTGGCCCAATTTTGCCAGTCTTTGGTATTCTTCCATAATTTGGCGCCTCATTTGTTCATCCTGGCGAACTCGTTCCACCTCTTCTTCGATTACGCGCTTCAATTCCACGTCTTTGGGCGCCAATCCCTGATGAAAATCCGCTGTTTTAAGAACCCCAAAATGGAGAAATCTGGCGGAGTTAGATCATGTGAACGCGGGGGCCAAGCAATTGAGCTGGTTGCCGCGCAGATCCCCGGCCCATCCAACGACCTGGAAAAACCTGGTCTAGGAGTTGACGGACAGCTATAGGTGGCGCGCCGTCTTGTTGAAAAACAAAACTGGCAAAATTGGGCCAATTTTGCATAGCTGGGATCACTCTGTTCACCATCATTTCCCGGTACCAGCGAGCGGTGACACCGCAATTCAAAAATTTTTGAAAATTAATTTTTTTTTAAAATTTACGTGAAAAAAGCATGTTTGACTTTGAAGGGTCATAACTCGACGTTGGATTGATCGTTTTTTATGATCTTTTTTTTTAAACAAAATGGCAACTACCAAGGAATAAAATGAGCTATTGCTTATAAAAATTGAACAATCCTATAAAAAGTTATAAGCATTTTACATCCGCGAACTTAGCTGGACCACCCTGTAGGTTAATGAAAGAATTAGGCAAAAATATTTCAGGAATATGTTTACTGGATGCCTGCGGTCATTTTAAAATCAAAAACTCAAAATCGATTTTTTTCTATGTCCACGGCTGATTCAGTGACTCAGAAATCGTGTTTTAATGAATTACGCAACGAATGGTCCTTGCGCAAAATTGCCTTTTCAGACTGCGCAATGAAGGAGGTACACGAAAAACAAAATTTGGATGCTTATAGACTATACTATAATTAACTACCATGGCTGTGAACTTAGAAGATACCATACGTTACCCCATTTCCAGTCTCACCCTTGAATCCCACAGCGCAAACAAATAACGCGTGGATCCTGGCTTTCTGTTTCAAGCTAAAAATAAAAAATTCCTGAATGAGTTGGATATAGACAAAGTAAGATTAGCCGTCTACCTATTTACCTTCTCATCCCCTAATTTATTTATTTATTTGCTCTAGTCTATTTTCGTTGCTTCCGTAAGTTATTTTTTTTATTTATGGTTATTCTAGGCGTATTTCCAAAATCTTTACCGGAAAATGACATTGGATTATCTAAGTTTGCTAAGCTGTCGATTGCTCATTTCTTTATTTATTTCCTACAGATTTGTTGGGAGATCTGGACAATAGCGAAATTTAGAGGGGTGTTCTGGGAAAAGATTGAAAGAAAGACGTGAATCCAATTAATCCTCGGCGTGATTTGTGAAGTAGCTTTACTAAAAATGTCTAATTTGGTTCCTAAAACCCCTGTGTAATCTAATTTCACAGTCCTTTCACCGTAATTTTGTTATATATATTTATGTGCTTATATTGAGGGTATGGGAAATATCGTGCAGAGCACAAAGGAGAACGTCAAAACAAAAAAACTAAGAGGTATTACGAGACTTCTTTTACCCTGTCTGGCTATATTTTTAAAGGTATAATAATTCTTGCCAAACCAAACTTCGATAACATAAGGTGAAGTCAGTATGGGATGCTAAAGCAGGTAGTTTAGAAGTATCTATTTTTTATCTTCTCCCTTTTTAATAGTACCGGGGTTGGGTGTCATCTTTGACTTGAAGCTATCAAGTTCTTTGAATTGTCGTTTTTTATGCAAATCGACCAACCGAAAACCGACCTGGAAGAACGAAACGACCCGCCCGAGACATTCCTCAATTTGACTTTTAGGCGTTTCAAGGCCCGCTTAACGTCGTCGTACACCTTTTCCATTTAAATGGACATGTTTTGCCATTCATTGGGCCAAAAAATTTCTTTTAATGTTCTCTCCTTTTTTCGGGAATTGTCGGCATTAAAAGGTGGGCCGGAAGTATAGGGCGCGCGCCTGCCTTACTATCTCAGTGCCCAAGGGCCCGCCGGCCTGTAATTGGGATGACAGCCGATCTCTTCGCGGCCCGGTGATAAAATTAAAGAGACGGCTTCAGGCCTGGCGAATTACACTTTCCGCGCTTTATGGGGATTCGTAGCCGGCGTTCGGGTTTTATTTTATTTGCAGTACTAATTTACCTACTATAGGGTGCTGCAGAATATCGTTAACGGTCTTCAGCGGTTGTGGACGAGTTGCCGGTGCACCGGCATCGGCTAGTTGAACATGGAAACGGTAATAAGAAATGCAGGATCACTAAAATATCTACAGGAATAGATCTAAGTTTTGATTATGTGACTTGTTGATTGTGACCTATTTTTTATTACAAAGAATCCTACAAAATGTGATGCATTACCGGTCCGTCTAAAGTTCCTGCACAAAATTGTGAATTTACTTCCCTTTTCATGGTGTATATAATGCTTGAAAAACCATTCTCTGCTCATATGGAATCTTTTAATTTCCTTAGACCACGATCCCTGGGCCCGTAATTAATCGTACATGTCAGAATATCCTGGGGCGGAATGAAATTTGAGAAAAAATTTATTTCTCGAAGAAAAAGCCCGACATCGATCCCCAACACATGGTAATCTTAGTCGTATCTGAATTGAAAAACTTTGGCAGGCCTGCAAACACACTTTCCACACATTTCGGTCCCTCCAGGGCTATCTATCAGGAGGGTTCATTTATACCATTTAAATTGAACTAAACTTATTGGTCTCAGTTTTTGATCAATTATGGCTAGAAAGCGAAAAGGACGAAATTCTGATGTAAGTTAATTGAGCGTGTGCATGCTGAATAAAGCGGTTTTTAATGCAAGAAAACTAATTCCGACGTCATTTCCTGAATGAATCCCATGAATATTAGGCGAGAGAGTGAATAGCAACCTGGGTTTATTATTTTGATATCAGTTCTGGGTCATTTACGGTTAGGTTTATAGGTAACTGAGGATGTTAGCTTCTGGCATATATGACACTATCTTATGACTTTAGAAACCGAAGCCAACTGAGACCACCTCACTAGTCAACAATACCAATGCCACCACTAAGAACGACCTCAAGGACATGTTCGACTCTATAAACACCGCCAAAGCCTCATCTCTGACCACTCAGGACGTTGTGAATGTTCTCCGAACTGATCTCCAGAATGGGCTGAATAGTGCCGAGGCACAACGACGCGTCAACTTTAGTGGATATAATGAGTTTGAAGTGGTGGAAAGGGAGTCACTTACGAAAAAATACCTCGAACAGGTAGGATTTTGATGTTCAGAAATGTTTTTATTGTCTTCAATTTTATTATTTTTTCAGTTTAAAAACCCACTGATTGCCCTTCTCCTGGCAAGTGCAATAGTCTCTCTGCTTATGAAACAGTACGATGATGCCTTGTCAATTACAGTGGCAGTCGTCATTGTTGTTACGGTGGGATTTGTTCAAGAATATAGGTCGGAAAAGACCCTCGAGAAGCTTAACAAACTGGTACCTCCAATGGCTCATTGGTAAGAAAATATATGTCATCATAATTGCGGTTACAGTATTCGAGATGGTCGTCCAACCCAGTTTTTGGCTCGAGAATTGGTCCCTGGAGATTTGGTCACTCTGAATTTGGGGGATCGGGTCCCAGCCGATCTTCGACTTGTTGAAACCATGGATCTTCTTATTGATGAAGCCTCGTTCACTGGAGAAACTGAACCCTGTCATAAGCATTCGCAACATATAGAAGATGCTGACAACAAGGGTGTGGACCATTTGCTTAATATGGCCTTTATGGGGACATTGGTCTCGTCCGGCAGAGGAAAGGGTGTTGTGGTAGCTACGGGACATAACTCAAGGTTCGGTGAGGTCTTCAAGATGATGCAAGCTGAAGAAGCGCCAAAAACACCATTGCAAAACAGTATGGACCACCTGGGAACTCAATTATCATTTTATTCATTCGGAGTGATTGGAATCATTTTTGTCATAGGATTGTTACAAGGAAGAGAGGCCTTGGACATGTTCACGATTGGAGTTAGGTAAGAAAATTCGAATTCTTTGTGTTTAGTATTGGAATTGGGAGCTTTATATGGTTTTTTGTTTCAGTCTGGCTGTTGCCGCGATCCCAGAAGGTCTCCCAATTGTTGTTGCAGTAACCTTGGCCATCGGAGTGATGAGAATGGGCAATAGAAATGCCGTGGTCAAGAAGCTCAGTGCTGTGGAAACTCTGGGATGTGTGACCGTGATCTGTTCGGATAAGACGGGAACTTTAACAAAGAATGAAATGACAGCGGTAGTTGTTCTTGGGGCTGATGGAACGAAAGCTCAAGTTGGAGGTGTTGGTTATGACCCATCAATGGGAGAATGTATAACAGACAGCAATCAGAAAGTATCGGGACATTCTCATACCTCTTTGAGCAGACTGATTGAAGTGGGATGTGTTTGTAACAACGCTCAGATCATCAACGGGACAGTACTGGGACAGCCAACAGAGGGAGCTCTGGTTGTTCTCAGCATGAAAACTCAGCTGGATATTGCCAGAACTTACTTCAGAAGGATCAAGGAGATCCCATTCAGTCACGAAACTAAATGGATGGCAGTTCAGGTGGAACCTGTGAGTAGAGTAAGTGGAATTATAAAATCTTTTACTTTGGTTTGTAATGAAAGGTAGTGTAATATCGTGTTTTAGCCCGGGAATATGGAAGTGATGGTCAAAGGAGCCCTGGATAGAGTATTAGAAATGTCTGTGGGGTACTTGGCGAATGGTACTGAACAACGGCTGATGGACAGAGCGTACAAGGAGAACACTTTACAACAAGCCAGAGGTCTGGGTGCTAGTGGATTGAGAGGTAAATTTTAATTTGGCATTCTTTTGGTTATGTTGTCAATTAGAAGAGCCGTTATGGTTGTGTTGCAGTTATCGGAATGGCTTGTGGTCGCGATATGCAATCATTATATTATGTCGGCATGGTCGGAATCATGGATCCACCCCGAGAAGGATGTGTGGAAGCCATCGAAACAGTCACTGGAGCCGGAGTCACGGTAAAAATGATTACCGGAGATTCGATGGAAACTGCGTGCAGCATCGCCACCCGACTTGGAATGCATTCCAATCAAGATAACATCCTCTCCGGATCTCAGATTGATGGAATGAATGAGCATGAACTGGAACAAGTCATAAAAAGTGTTACGGTTATATATCGAGCAACTCCTAGGCATAAACTGAAGATTGTAAAGGCCCTTCAGAATGTGGGAGAAGTGGTTGCGATGACTGGAGATGGGGTTAATGATGCTGTGGCCTTGAAGAAGGCTGATATCGGAATTGCAATGGGAGAAACGGGCACGGATGTTTGTAAAGAGGCAGCGGACATGGTACTTATTGATGATCGCTTCCAAACAATCGAAGCTGCGATCGAGGAAGGGAAAGGAATCTACCATAACATTAACAATTTCGTCAAATTTCAACTTAGCACGTAAGTTTGTTGGCTTTTTAAATAATGAAGTTAGTAATTGAATTAAAAATATTTGCTTTCAGAAGTGTCGCCGCACTCTCACTGATTGCATTGTCCACCATATTCCACTTTGAGAACCCCCTAAATGCCATGCAGATCCTCTGGATCAACATTATTATGGATGGTCCACCTGCCCAAAGTCTTGGAGTGGAACCAGTGGACTCGGATATTATCAAACAGAAGCAACGAAATGTAAAAGATCCAATGATTAACAAGGCTTTGATCATAAATATCATATCTTCGGCTGCCATTATTATTGTGGGAACTTTGCTTGTATTTTATATGGAGGTATGTCGTTTTTTATATTCTGTTGTGTATTGTTGAAATTTTGATGGACTGTGAAGACAAGCATGATTTTAGATGTCGGCGGACAATAAAATCACCCCTCGAGACACGACTATGACCTTCACTTGCTTTGTTTTGTTCGATATGTGGAATGCATTGAGCTGCAGATCATCAAGGAAATTGATCTGGGAGATTGGATTGTTGAGGAATAAGATGTTTTGTCTTGCTGTCTCGGGCTCTCTGTTCTGCCAGCTTCTCGTCATTTATTTTGCACCTCTTCAACGGGTCTTCCAAACTGAAGCTCTCACAATTGGAGGTAAGCCTGGCTACTATAATTTTGCTTTTTTTTCATGTTGATTTTATGTATCATTCTTTCAGATTTGGTATTCCTGACAGTGATTACATCCACGGTTTTCATCTTCAATGAGTCAAAGAAGTACTATGAATTAAAATTGCAAAAAAAGAAGCCTGATTATTCGACCAGCACCTTATAGTACACTAACTGAGGTACAGGTGACTCGATACTGACCTCGAATCAACATCTTTATGATGCTCGCAACCAGCATGGCTTTAAATAGGATCTTCTTATTGTATCTTTAGTCTTTTCCTAACAACTTTCACTTATTTATTCGAATCTTGAGGATTAAAGTGCCAAACAACTGAAAACTTTGTATTTTTCTCGATTGTCTGACGGGTTTTATATCTCAAAATTGAAAGTCAGCCCCTCCGGTAATGAAAAGAGATTTTAATACCATAATAAATATTCTATGAGTGCTTGAGGTTTGTGTTTCATTAGATTTAAGTTTGGTTTTGGGTGCCAAAAACCAAGTATCGCTAATTAATTTTAATTAAATCAATACACGAGATTTGTTTATCTGGAGAGCAAAAGGACAGACTTATCAAAAATGTAAATTAGTGTGCCTTATACGGAATTCTTGCACCTTTTTTAGGAATTCTAGATATTATTCTTGCTATTGTTTTTTCTTTTGTGTAAAAGAGTACGTGCAGAATGAAAATAAAGTCATCACTAAATGAAAACTTGTAGATGTTGTTGCGCCATCGCCTTACATTGTTAACGCTGATACGGTCAAAATCAATATTCGCGCTTAGTTCGGGTCCTAGCCCAGCGGCTGTCTCGATTATTCGAATATCAGGTAGGAAATTATGCTAACTATCAGATAGTAAGGGGAACACATGCCAATGTAAATCTCTGGTTTAGGTCCCGAAAGTAAATTAGTCCTTCAAAAGATCTCCAGATCCCAAAAATTCGATCACCGTCTCATGAAATACTGTGAATTCTATAGGCAGAGCGGAACACTGATCGACAAAGGACTGGCTGTTTATTTTAAAGGTAGTTTCTGTATCCGTAATATGTTTTATTTCGTGCGTTGTTTTAGGTCCTCAATCATTTACGGGGGAAGATTCTGCCGAATTTTTTGTTCACGGGAGCCGAGCTGTTGTCGATATGTTGCTAGAAGAGCTGGGCAGATACCCAAACCTAAGAGCCGCTGGACCTGGGGAATTTACCAAACGGTAAGGTCTTGTGTTACACGTAATTATACTGCAATACGAATTATTTGTGAGGGCCGTCATCATTGTCTAAACAAGGAAATTTCAGCGCATTTTTCAACGGGAAGTTGGATTTGACCCAAGCCGAAGCCCTGAACGACTTAATATTGGCTGAGACACCCGCGCAACTCTTTCTAGCCAATCGTCAATCTAACATTTCTAAAAAACTACAACCCATCCGAGAGGCATTGCTTAATTTCGGTGCTGAATTGGAGGCTAACATTGATTTCGGAGACGATATTCAAAACCAGCAAGGGCAATGTTGGAAAAAAAGAATAAAGAACGAAGTGAAATCGCTGATTACGGTAGTTGAATCAATGGTCGGAACTGCGAAGAAAGGAATTTTGGTAAGAGATGGAGTCAAGATTGCTCTGATTGGAAGAACTAATGTGGGGAAGAGCAGTCTGATGAATAAATTGGCCGAAAGAGATGTGGCCATCGTCTCGGATATACCGGGAACAACAAGGGATTGTTTGGAACTAAAAATACGAATGGCCGACCTAAATGTAACACTATTTGATACAGCCGGAATCAGAGAAACAAAGGATAAATTGGAATTAGAGGGAATCAAACGGACTCGAAAGAGGTAAGATTGTATTAGATGTAATATTACACGGTATGTATGTGTAACACTAAATATAGAATCAATCTACAAAATTTGTGATTCCAGTGCAGAAGAAGCCCATCTACTTGTTTTGGTAGTGGCTCCAGCAAATGTGTCACCATTAAATTCTGTTATCAATGAAATAAAGTGGTTAATAGAAAGTTTCCCATCAACTCCGAAGGTGATCCTGATAAACAAAGTGGACTTGCTTGACTCAAAAGTGGTAGACCAAATTAAAAATGGTATAATTTTGCTCTATTGTCTCTATCGTTCATTTATCCGTGTTTTTAAACTTTCTTTTCAGCCCTACCCCACCTAAAAATGGCCTTTGTTTCCTGTCTCACCAACTCTGGAATCTCCAGTTTGATATCAAATCTAGAACTAAATGTAAAAGACCTCACCACTATTGAAGAAAATGAAATGGTTCTGAGTCGAGAAAGACATCTTCGGTTACTCGAACAGGCTTATGAATCACTTGAGAACTTCGTCCAGAACATTGATGTGGACACAGCGATTGCCGCTGAAGATTTGAGAGAATGCGCTGAAGTCATTGGGGAAATAACTGGAGTTATCAGTCGAGAATCTGTCCTCGACAAATTGTTTTCTTCATTTTGCATAGGCAAATGACACTTGTTGATTTTTTGTTAATTTGTTCAAAATATTATTTTCCGCAAAATTGGCAAATGTAAAAAATGTTTGGCATTTTGATGCAAATAAAAAGATTTTTGTTGAAATTTTAATAAATTCTGTGCACTGATGTTATAAAATATTGAAGAGTATCCGTTATGTTAAAAAAATGTTTGAGTCTAACTTCTTCCAGAGTTCAAGGGATTAGGCATAAAGTAAGTCGATGCTACCTATTAACTTTTCTTCATTTTTAGTCTAAATCATGCTACATCCTACCGATGTTCCCTTATCCATCCGGCCATTTACATCTGGGACACATGAGGGTATACACGATATCAGATGTGATGGCCAGATACTTCAGACTTAATGGATTTGATATAATCCATCCTATTGGATGGGATTCTTTCGGGTTGCCCGCTGAGAATGCCGCGATCGAACGTGGGCTAGATCCAGCAGAATGGACCCAGAATAACATAAGGGAAATGAAGGCGCAATTACTGAAGATTGGAGTGCAATTTGATTGGGACCGAGTAAGGGTTACTTTCTTTGTTTTGGTGTTTAGGATAAATAACTGAAAATAATGTTCTTACTTTAGGAATTGTCTACTTGTGATCCTGACTATTTCAAATGGACACAAAATATTTTTGTAAAACTGTATAATAGTGGCCTCATTCATCGACGAAATTCTCCTGTTTACTGGGATCCCGTTGACAAGACAGTGCTCGCTTCAGAACAAATTGATTCTTCTGGTCGGGCATGGAGATCTGGAGCATTGGCTGAGAAGAGGAACCTAAAACAATGGGCAGTGGAGACTCCTAGATACGCCAAACGATTGTTGGATGGGCTGGAAAAGTTGTCTATCCAGTCGAGAAGTTGGGAAGAAGTAGCTGCCATTCAGGCCAATTGGATCGGCAAATGCGATGTTTATAGATTCATGTTGCCGGTTAATGTAAGAATTTATGTTTTATATCACTGGGTATTTATTTAGGGTGGAGATCCGGATGAATACTTTGATTTGCGAATTCAAGATCCAACAGAACTTTGCAGAGCCGAGTTTATTCTTGTTTTACCTTCACATCCTTTGGCAGAGCCGGGAAAGACGGGGAGATGTAAGCTTAAACGTTCCCCTTTTTGTTCCATATAGTTCTAAGCTTGTATTTGTCAGATATCAGTAAGAAAACTGTTCGGAACATCGTCACCGGCTCCAATCTTCCGGTTTTCGTACTTGATGAGAATGCCGAATTAAATTCGGTTGAGCCATTCTTCCTGGAATCGAGGCTTGGCTACAGTAGGAAATGTGAGGTTGACAAGAAATTGGCAAAAACATATGGACTTGAAAGCATTGATAACCAGGTGGTTATGTCGACAGACGGGATTTTGAGTGTGGCTGAGGTATCTTTGTTTTATTTATTATGCCTGGGTTGGTTATGAAAATTCGGTGTTAATACTAAGGTTCTAGAAAGAAGGTGCGGGCGGTTACATTACAAGTCGTAAACAGTCTGATTGGGTAGTGTCCCGACAACGCGGTTGGGGCACCCCAATTCCCATGGCTCTTAATGATCAAGGCGAATATCGGCCGGTCCCGGAATCTCTGCTTCCAGTCCTCGGATCAATGAGAGGCCAGTCCATCGATGGAATTGGGAAGATCGAGACTGATACCTTGGATACGTTCTTCGACTCTTCTTGGTATTACCTTCGTTATCTAGATCCCCATAATCAAAACTGTCTTGCTGATCTCCGAAAGCAGAGCGAATTCATGCCAGTTCATCTTTATATCGGGGGTGTTGAACATGCCGATTGTCATGTCTTCTTCGCCCGCTTTATTTCCCATTTCCTCCATGATATTGGACTTGCCACCACTCCAGAACCTTTCGCCCAATTGTTGCCTCAAGGTGTTGTGAAAGGGTTGACTTTTGTTCAAAATGATGGAAAGTATCTGGCTGAAGATCAAGTGGAAAGTAAGTTTATCAAACAAATTTTGTAGGATAGTTTAGAAGCGGGCGAAGGTTATGTTGCCAAAGACACGAGGCAATCAGTCAAAGCAGTCTATGAAAAAATGTCAAAATCCAAAGGAAATGGGACGGATCCGATGGATGTGATCAATGAATTTGGAGTGGATATGACAAGAGTTCAACTATTGAGATCAGCCGCGCCAAGATCAGATCTTAATTGGTCAACTAAAGGTGATTAGTCGATTCAATTTATATTTTTGTAGACCTAAAAGGACTCACCAAATGGATTGAACGAGTTCGGTGGCTGGTCAGCACTTATGTATCGTATAGAAGGGAACAGCCAAATGCTGACGCAAAGAACGATCCAAAGACGGATGAGTATTGCAGGGAGGCCTACAATTATCATATCCTTAATGTAAGTTGGATCAAAAATAAAGTGAAGGTTTCGTTTTTGCAGGTTTCTTTGTGTCTAGAACTACTGCATCTTCATAACACTTCAATCATGAATCTTCAAGGCCTTACAAGTACCCTGAGAGTAAGAAAAAATAGTTAAATTAATGCTTAAAATTGATTTTAGAAAATGGATCCAGAAGAAATCGGGACAAGTAAAGAGGCGGAGAGATGTATCAATGCATTGGTTGTCATGCTACAAGTTGCTGCGCCTAATATTGCCAACGAACTTTGGGAAGAATTAAAGTCAGTTGAGTTCTATGATGAGAGTATCCGAGAAAAAGAGAAGACGGTCAGCGAACAGAAATGGCCCGAGATTGATAAAGATGCCAAGATTGAGTTTATAGTTAGGGTAAGTAGCTGTTGGCATGTCTGTGAAGTGGTTATATAACATGTAAATGATGTTTCCAGGTCCTTGGAACAACTTGTGTAAAAGCATCGGTTCCGCGGACAGAAATTGAATCATCATCCACAACTGAACTCTTGAAAACGGCCAAATCGGAATACCACAAAGAGTTCTTCCAGATGATGCAAAAGGAATTCAATCTCGACGTCAATGAGAGCCGGGTCAGGCGAAGAAACGGACTTTATGTTTGTTTGGACCTTGAAATGCCCGAAAAATTCACCGGTGCTGATCTGGATTCGATTTTGAAAAGATGGCTTGAGCACAAAAGTGAGCTTAGAAAGGCTGAGAAGAAAGTAAAGAAGCAAAAGAAGGCTCAGGGATGAATAAAAAATTGTGTTATCTTATACTAGGTTGTTATTTGTTACTTAGGTTTGTTGATAAATTTTAAAACATGAAATTTGGAGCGTTTGCTTGATTCGGAATCCAAGTTGATCATTCCAAAGTATCAGCCACTCTGATCAGTCGCTTTTCTCTCCGCGGTCGCAAAAATGGCTCAAATATGGCGGAAAATGAATGTGCAGAAGACCCAGATGACACATGAATTTGCTGAAGCCATCAAGGCCTATGATGATTATCAACAGTTGGCCGAAGATCTCGCCGAAAAGTTGCAGAACGTTGTTCAGCAAAATCCGCCACCTGTAAGTTGGATAAACACCGTGATTAATATATGGGATACAGGATTCTTCTGTCAAATCATCCAGAACTGTGTTTTAGGGTGGATTCGAAGCCCCACCGAACGAACATCCCATGGAGAAAGTTTCCAACTCCTTGAACTTGTTCGCGACCTATCTTCCCGCAGAGAAACAGCCGTCCGTTCAAGCGACAGCAGAGGAATGCAAAAAGTTGGCTCAATTCCATAGACAACATCAAATCAAGGTCAACGAATGCATCAAGAACTTGTTGGCATTCAAGGAAACTGAATACAAAGAGTTGATGCAGGAGAGAAAGCAGTTGGATAAGTGAGTTAGAGCTTTTTGATTTTTATACAATAATGAATTATCCTTGTCAGAGCTCGAGAATACATGGACACCATCAAAGATGAGGTGAAGCGAGCCAAGACAACCGAACAAGTCGAGAAAAAGGCCGCGATCTACGAAGAAGCGGTCACCAGCTTTGATCAGCAAGCCACCAAAGTCATCAGCCTCCTGGAGAAACTCCCCGAAATCAAGAAAACCCACCAGAAAGAACTATGTGCCTTCTTCGAGGCCCATCTCAAGTACAATGAGGAAGTTGTCAAGGCCACCATGAAGTAGCTTATTTGAATACCCGTTTATTTGTCCGCCAGATCTTTTTGACCGAAGTAAATGGTTATAATAGATATGAACATTGTATATTCTCTGGTTAATTCGTCATCCTCCTCTGTTAATTCTGCTCGTTTTGTCTTCAAATATCTCGTAAAATCTCGTAGTTGACTAACTACATCATGAAGAAGGGGCTTTCGAACAGCCACCAGCAAAGCGAAGATCCATTCAGAAAGAGCTTGGCTATGCCCGTTTTCAATGTAATACTAAGTAAATAAAAAAGATCAAAATACTTTAACTTACTTTCACCAAGTGTAATATCAATGAATTTACAAATCGATCTGGCAAGGGTAACATGAAGTGCAGTGTCGGTGGAGTCCCTTTATGATGGGAGAATCGTGCTTCACTCGTAGGTGATATTTTTATATCAGGACACCGCTGACTCAAGCAAAATTCAACCCATTTATTTGCATCGTTCTAAAATAATATAAAGCTTAACCAAGAATATAAACTTACTTGACCAGGCAACTGGATGCTCAATTTGTTTGTACACTTATCCCTTCGTTCATTGAAGACTTCCCGCATATGTGTAAAATTTTCCACCTAAACTGAAAATTAATATCGAATTCAACTTACTTTTGATTGAACCCACTCTCTGCTTGGAGCAAAAGAACAGACAGCTTCTTCATGCTGCGGAATCACAATTGTTGGTGTCTTTATGACAGTAACAGTCTCTTTGGCAACAGCAATGTCTTCGCATCGTTCTCTTGAGACAATCACTTGCCTCATATATTCCTCAACATTCCTTGGAGGTTTAGTGAGGTCAACTTTGGCTCGATCAAATCTTCCCGCATTATAGATGGCTTCCTGCTCCATGGATCGACAAATGCAAAATGTTTGCCAATCAAAACTATTGCGCAAATTTTTATTTTGCGCACACGGTTTGCCCAAAACGACAAAAAAACGCCCGAAAAGACTTTTCTTGTTTTTTGCGAAAACCACTTTATACGATCAAAGTTTCAGAGAACTAACTGGGATGTTCACCTTGCAAGGCATTCTAAGCGTTACTGAAGATTGTGATTGATATAATTAGCATAAAGAAATACAATATTATCATCCGGTACTAGAAATGTCTTGTTAATAGACAAATATTATCTTGGCCAATGGAGTAACGAATAGGCCAAGTAGCCAACAACACAACTTTTTTTGCGTAATTCTTGGATTAAACCGGAATTTTTATTATATTTTTGCCTATTTTTATATTGTACATGCACCACGCTTTTTGGTTACACTCATCTACTTCGACTTGCACCCTATCAACACATTTTTCGCCATCTCTAGTTCATTTGGGGACTACCCTCGTTCCCTGTCAGTCCTACTGTGCTTAAAAAAATTTAAATATCACAATACTCAGTGCATCAGAAAAATCGGAAAAATTATTCTCCGTAATGAGATTAATATTATATTATGTAACAATAATATAACTACAATCATCATTCTTCAAATATTAAACCTGTGTGCCGCCCTTCCATAAAGATCATCATAATGGGACATTAAATCATTTTTCTACTACCACTACCAGTTTCCCGATGGTTTTGTCATCTTCACCATGATGACACTCTTTTTTCTGATTACCTTTCCACAGTTACCACATAAGTAATATTGCCTCAATGCTGTTTATCTTCTCACGCCAAAATCTTTAAAAGATCAGGACAGTATCGAACATTTTTGTCAATTTTTTTAGGCATTATGTTTTTGATACCATATCTACGGGATTTTGGTCATGACAGAAGCTGTTAAAACCCACGGTACAGTAAAAATTGCATCTAGCAGTGTAGTTATTTGTTGTACAGCCCAGGAGAACCGTCACGACATCCCCTAGCCATCATGAAATTTTTTTTGCAAAACTTATTGTACTCAAGGGGTGATGCTCTCAGTGGGGTCCAGAAAATCGAATTAAATTTTAGGGCTAGAATTCTGAAACTTTCCAGTATTTGACTCTAGTGTATCCCTCGTCTAACAGAATTAAAAAATTTTGACAATGTTGTGTTCTACAGTATTTATAGAGTACTGTAAAATGCCTACTTTTTGCGATTTTTTCTTCCGTACACCCCTCACTCCGAACACCTATGCCAGAAATCAATGGGTAGATGTGGAAAATGCAAGTCAGGTTTGATAAATGCTAGTGACACTCAGACCAAACCGGCTGTAACGGTTTTTTCGACGTAAAGTTGTTTTACACATCAATTTCCAAGTACTTTTTGGACCCTTCATTGGGGTCCAGAAAATGACCCTTCAAAATTCACCAAATTGCATGAAATTTTCAAGATATGCTGTTCTGATAGTCGTGTAACTAACAAAAATCAAACATCTTGAAAATCACCTCTAAGAAGCCATATATGACCCGCTAAAAAGCGCCTTAAAATTGCACATTTTCGAAAGCTCACGGCAAGTCAGAGTTTCGACATGGACGATGGGCAAACATTCAATACGACAGAAGAAGTGTGCAAGAATTCATTTTTACTCTTATTTTCTATCTTTCTGTTAGTCTTTGCTGTCTTTTACATTCAAACTTTTACCCTATAATTCCGGAATTTTTCACGACTCGGGCGCGAAGTGCGAAGGGCTCGGGCGCTTTTTTGTCGTTTTTTGTTCTATGTGGGCAAACCGTGCGCAAAATAAAAATTTTATACGAAGTTTTTTATTTGCACGAATTTCAATTATCGATTATGCCAACGAATTTCCACAAAACATTTTTTTGGTAAAATGAGTTTTTGGCGGAGAATAACAGTTTAGATATCAAATTGGAGGGGTATAAGCCAAAAGAAAGGTTATTATGTCTCGGCCTCCATTAAGAGGTCATGGCTATCATGGCCAGAGGCCTCATGCCGATCGAACCCAAGAACGGTATCCACCCCAAACTGTCTGCCGAATGTTACAATTGGAGAACAGTAAACTGGAAAGACTTGAAGATGCTGTATGTTGATCGAAAATATAAATAGCATTGTGTTTAGAATAAGTTGTTACAATTCGAGGAAGCTTTTGTTCAACTGCAGGCAATGTTAGTTAAGATCCCTGATATTAACATGGGAGAATATTTGTTGAAGAACATGAACAATGCCGACAGTATTGGAAAAGCTAGTATTCAAGGGTTTCTTTGTGATCCCCCGAAGGCTCAGAAGGTATGAGATTTGCATTACTTTAAATTCACAACTGTTTGGGTATTAATTTATGCCTTTTAGTATCTCGGATTTATTGCACTTGCCGCAAAAGTGGATAACTGGCAAGAAACTCTGACTTCTTTTAACAAAATCATCCTGGACGGATTCTGTATTTTGAAACCGCAAGTTAGGTTGCGATTAGTCGACCTTATGGAGTATATTGTACTAGAGAATCCTCCCAATTGTGATAACGTCCTGTTGAATTTCTTCAGAGAGACTAATAATGGTAAGAAGTCAATTCTGAACTATTTCTCATTGTTTCACTTTTAGGAAGTCGATTGGGCGATATAAATCACGCTTTGGAATTGGCCGAACTTCAAGCCGAGTTTGTTATCCGGCAGAAGGAATGGTTCTCCAGGAACACATTCAACTTCCCATTGACTCCTGTGGTTTGCATAACATTCACGCGAGTGTTGGCTGAGCTTCCTCCTGGCCGGGAACGACTTCAGAGTCTTTTATGTTCCGCCGTGGACATCTTGTTCCACGACCGTTTTCGAGATTTGACCTTTTTGGGTCGAGAACAAATTCTGATTATGCTCCGAGTCTCGAAAATTAATCACTTGCGGCATTATTGGAGGATTCTTCTTCACAATCCTCGCCTTTTATTGCCTCAAGGTATGGAAAATATAACCAAATTAATGGCGGTCAAATGTTCGCCTAACATTTCACAATATCGAGTGGCGTTTAAGATTCAAAATGTAATAGAATATGTTCTTACCTACAAACCAGAGATTATCGAGCGTTATCATTGCGAATGGTTTATTAAAGAAGTAAGTGGTTGCAGTATCCAGGTTTATATTACTTTAGTATCTCTCCGGATTTGACGCAGCAACCTTGCGGGCAGATATTATTCGGTTTGTGGTTACCCATCGACCGTATAATAACACAGAAGCCTTGAAAGCATCAAGGCCTGTCTTCCTGGTGAAGTTACTCAATCATTGCAAGGTAATAATATTCTGTATAACTCAGCCTTATTTTTTGTTAATTTTAGAGCCCTCTTGAATTTCAAATGGCCAAGAACGCCCTAATATTTGATTGGTTATGTACAGATGCGAATGACGTCGCATCTGTCAGCTCAGGTGTGATCACCGATTTTTTTAATAATCACATTTTTTGATTTTAGCCGCCCAGCTAGATGTATTTCTGTCCGTTCTAAAGTATTGTTTCAATAATAATATTAACAACAATGTCATCCTGGCCAACTCTACGATCGATCAGCTTATCCGAGTAAGATTATATCTATTTTTGATGATTTTATTTTTAGAGTGTGTTCGAATTCCAACCTGCTTTCTCACATTTGATCCTGAACAATCTCGCGAATTCGGTTCGAACAGTTTTGACATATCAACCTGGGTGAGGTGTGTCATGTTGGACTGAAGTAATATCGAGTTCTTTCAGATCTCTTAAAATTTTTGATCATCCACGTATCGACAGGTCTAATCGTACCGCATTATCAGTAATTCTTCCCGATTACTTTGGAAAACCACCAGAGTCACAAGCTCAGAAGCCTCCGGAAGAAACGAGGAAACGGAAATCTCCGGATTCTGAAGAGGTTATCCCGGCAAAAACAAAGAAAATAGAACCATTGCCACCGGCCAAGACTCTCAAGGCTATTGAAGAGGAGAATCGAAGGAGAACTCAGTCTAAGTTAAAAGAATTGAGTGGACAATTGAATGGGGAGATCAAGAAAAGATTCGATTTGATGATGAATATCACCCAAAAGAATGGAGTCGAGAGTATGGAGAGTTTCGAAGCTGCCAAGAGTTTCTTTGCCCGATTAAAGGTCTTGAAAGTGGATGAGGCGCAGATTAATGTCCTGGCGGATTGTATTCTCGAATATTGGGAACCATTTTTAAGCAAAAGGCGGTACTTTAAGAGATTACGGTAAGTATTTTGTGGAAGAATCTTATTGCGACTTTAGGGCAAATGCGAATAATATCATTTACGCATTCTTCGAGAACTGGCAGGCCACAAAGGGACAAAAGACGGCACGACAAAATTTCTCGGCATTGGTCAAGAAATTCGCCGTTAAGTCTCCATTAATTGGAATATTGACTATTATCCATGGTCTCGACACAAATTCGGGCACTGAATTGTATAAGGAATTTATCCAACTCATCAAGAGCAATGTCCCCGACCAGTTATCCAAAGACATTGCGGTGGCTGCGGTCGAGGATTCGGATTCTCTTAGATTGATCCTCACCAAAATCGCCTCATTCCCCGAGGCATTGGGTACGGTCGAACTGATCGAAGTGATGTGTAACTACATAAACGAAAGTGACTTATACATTTTAACCAAGATCTTATCCTCTTCCGTCTCAAGTCCCAAACTTTTTGACCGAGGGACCTTCCACAAATTGGTCAAGAAATCTCATCAATGGTCTCCGAACGCGCAATGGCTCTTCTGGAACATCATCAGGATCGAGGGAATCCCAGCGGATTGGCTGACAGACTGTCTGTACTTGATTAATGACAAGTTGCATCCTGTGGCGAGCATGAATGTCCTTTCTTCCCTTAACAGCTCGGATCTTCTGATTGATGTCAATCTGGCCCGAGATTTGTTCTTCCGACCGCTGAATGATGGACTCACGTTGACTTTTTTGAAAGTGAGGAAATAATTTTTAGAGGCCGAAGTAATCGGAATTTCGGTCTTGAAATAATTTATAATTATTTCGTTATTCTAGGCGATAATGTTGGACGATAAAAGCACTGCAACTTTGGCCGAGCAAACGACCAAAGTGATGGTGAAATTGATCACAACGGACAGGGTCACAAAGCCCGATAAAACATTCCAACACGAGGGGGAAGCCAAATTTGGATTTCTGGAGAATGTCCTCAGGCATTTGGAGAAGGCAAGGAAGGCCGGGACCAAGGATCCGGTGTTCATGACTTTTGTAAAATGCGAGTGGTTTGTGGCATTCTACAATCAAGTGCATGCCAGGCCCGCATTGGTGGAGATCAAGGACAATCATCAAACATTGTTTGCCTTGTGGAAAAAGGGCAAGCAAGCGATGAAAGCGGGACAAAAGAAAAAGGATCAGAAGGTAGGAGAATATAGTTTTGTATCGTATTCGCCGTAATGAGTGATGTGACTGTGATTTTAATGGCACTCGTGGAGTTTAATGTGGTATCAGTGACTTGTTTTGGAACACCTTTTGATCACAATAATAGTTTATATTATCGTAGGCATCTCATGGGACTTAGCATCGAATCTCAGCTCCAGTCACAAGTTCCTCGTCCATCGTCATACTGTAATTTTTAGGAGCTGCGACGAAAACGGACGGTGGATTACGTGGAACTCAGTGATGACGATTAGATCAATCTATTTAATATAGACAAATTTTTATGTCGTTAATTTATGATTCTTAACGATCCTTGTTTAATATCTCAATAGTTCGGAGCACTTCAGAGGATGTGAAAGAAAATAAAACGGGAACTCTGATATAGTGTTTTATTACAATTGTATGTATAGTAATAGTAAAGTCCAAGGTATAAAATGAGATCTGAGAAGTTAAAGGGATACTATAGTCATTTGAGCGGCGTTTCCCATATCATTCCGCCTTCTCATGCCCGTCACTGTCCTCCTCTAGTTCACTGAAGTCGGTATTCTCACTATTTCTGAGGTATTTCCCGTCATCTTCATCGTCAAGATCATCTTCATCCGGATAAATCTCATCTCGGTCCACGGAGAAGTCGGATGAGCACAAAGAATATGTAATGATGGAGAAGAAGGCAATTGGAACACCAAAAAGACAGGTCGTCAGGATGGGTTGGTGGTAGAACATGTCGGACACATTCGTTACCAATTCGAATATCATCCGACGGATCCTCTGAGACCAAGATCGACCTCCTAATGGCTGAGAATGCCCGGACTTGATGGTTCGTAGGAAAGTGAGGACCGAGTCTACCGTACTCTCATTCAATTTGTCATCGGGAAGATAGAACTCGTAGCTGCTGAGGTTGAGAACAAAAAGGTCTAAAGATGTGATACGATTGTAAATACAAATACGGACTTACTTGGAGTGTCCAATCTGGCCATAACAACGGAATTGGCAATGTCCGTGCCTTCCAGGAATCCCAATTGAAATTCCGGATTGAGTTCAGGGTCTTTTCTGACTTTAACTGCCACTTCTTCGAACATTTTTTGTAATCTCGAGGTCTCGGTCTTCGGATCCAATCGTTCTACTGGGTCAACTACAGAAAGGACTAACTTCTTGTTCGTATTCTCGCTTATATCATGGATATTAGAGGCCGAAATGAGAGGGAAATCTGCCCATCGCTCTCGTTTTATCCAATCGGAAAGTGGTTCATCCTCTAGAAGAAATGTCGGGGCTTCGGTAGTTGAGCCCCCCACGAAAGGTAGTTCAAACCCCCACTGTTTTGCCCGTTTCACACCCCACATAATGAACAAATTAGAATAATACAAAAAATGTAAGCGGGGGTTTGATCTACTACGTTGGGGGTTTGATCTAAAACGTAGGGGGCTTGAACTAAAACGTAGGGGGCTTTTTCTAAGACGTAGGGGGCTTGATCTAAAACGTAGGGGGCTTCATCTAAAACGTAGGGGGCTTGTGCTGGACCATACAACTTGGATTAATTCTTTGAAATAAATTTTGGGGTTCAGAATGGACGAGGGGGGTTGTACTGGGTCATGGGGGGCTGAACTGGACTGGGGGGTTGTACTACCTTAGCCCCGAAATGTCATCAAAATTGCAATTGATTAAACTGAAGACAAGATGACAGCAGACTCACCCTTCTTCACATACTGAACGTAATATCCGGGCTTAACAGCAAGGACGGTTGGTCTCTGATCCAATTTAATATCAGAAGGGAGATGCTTTAGCTGATCAGTTCTATAAAACCCGGTCTGTGTGAATAGTTGGCCAGCGACTTCTTCGTATTCCGCCCAGAGTTCGTTGGAGTCTCCGCCCACGTAGAGGATGAAAGGATCTTTCGATCTTCTAATCTACATTTGGAATATTGTAAATGAAAGTTTGTTCTTACCTCATCAAATTGAGTTCTGCTAACGATGCTCTGAACAACGGGACCAGCACTTTTGATCGCGAAGTCAACCAGAGCTTCTTTTGAACGTTCACCTTCGTATGGAATCTGGATTCCGTTTCGGAAACTAAAATAAAAGAAACCCGTGACAATAAATAATAAACATCAAAACTTTATAAAAGTAATTAAAGTTCTTGTAGAGGCCTGTAAATCAATTGAAAGCCCTTACAATATGATTGTTGGGTACCCGCTGACTTTGAGTTTATGTGCAACATTCGAAAATCGGGTGCAGTCCACCTTCCCGACCTTAATCAGATTATTTTTGTCGGCCAAGGCATGTCCAACATGCTCCCAAACCGGGGCTAGCCGTTTACAATGAGCACACCACGGCGCATACAGCTGAAAGCAAACAAATTTATGTATAAACATCTAATTTTAAAACCCAAATATAAATAAATTTGCACTCACTTTAATCAGCCAAAACCCCTGATCTTTAACATCCAGGAATTTATCGTTTAATTCCAAGACTGCTGAGGGAACTTTGCTACTATTTACAAAACATAACAGTAGTAGTAAGAACAATGATATTAATTTGACCTTCATTCTGCAATTGTTATTTTCGAACTGGACTTTAAAGCATTAAAGAAAGGAGAAAGGCCAAGCAGACGAATGTCAAAAAAGTTATTGATTTCTCCGCCGAATTATTCCCAAGCGAGATGACCGTTTTTCTGCTCTCCATGGCAGAAATATAGCTGAGTAGAGCCCTAAGTAATTTATATTGGAGTTATCCATTAATACAAGTGTTAAATATTTTTTGTTCAAGTTTTGGTAGTCCATGAACAAACGACTGCTAAAGATTAACGCACTATTTACACGTCTAGCTTTACTCATAAAAACAAACAAAATATTTAACCATGGTCATTACAATAAATTAAGGTCATTAAATTATTCTCGATGGATTAGGACAAGAAGGGCGAGAACTCCGATCACGACAAATTTGAGCTGGGGATAATCGTTGAGGAGGATGGTCACCATCCCAATATAAGGCACCATCCCCTTGGCGCGCCCGAGGATCTCCCCACGAGTCACATAATATTGTCCTTCCGCGTAGAGACCACGATCATCCACCTGAAATTAATTCATTAATAATATTACCCATGAAAACAAAACTTAAGTTACATCTACCAATAAAAAACAGCAAGGCGACGATAACCGTAGGCTGCCTCTCGGAATTCGTTTGACTATAAACAAACCTCCAATTGTTTGGTCTTATATATACCTAAAAAATAACAAGGAAGATAAAAGTCTTACACGATTATTATCTCCCTTGGTTAAGAAAAAACTCTCATTAGCGTTCTTCACAAATGCGCGGATAACTCGATGCACCACAGGAATATCCCGGCCTCGGATTCTGAATACAACAATCTCTCCGGCTTCAATTGGGACTTCTCTGTTGTCCCCAAGAACAAGAAGATCTCCTCGGTAAAAGGAGGGCTCCATCGAACCGGAAAGTACAACCACAACTGGACTCTCAGACCCTGTGAACACCATCAGACCTTTCCATATCATTAGTGCAGTGGAGATTATCATGGCAAAGTTTAGCACCTAAAGTTTAAGGTAATATTATACATTTTACATGGGCCTATTTATTTTTTTCAGAATTGCATTTAAGATTTTATTTCCTTAAAAATAAACGATCTAATTTTATAATTATTTGTAATCGTCAAAACAGCTTACCTGATAGATCAACTGCCTCACTCCCATCAGCCTGAGTTCGGCAAACATCGGCCAATTCAAAACATCCTTCAAACTCATTTTTACTCGATCAATTTACTATGTTTATAAGCCAAAGAACGAAGACGTTGCTTTATGTCCAGGTGTACAAAAATATTTTAGTCCAACGAGCCACAAATTAAATTTATTAGGGCGCAGCTCGCCGACTCGATTATATTATATTTTATACGATGAAACATGTTCACCGCGCTTACAAAAGATCAACCAACCTAGCATAAATTACATTATTAGTGCGTTTATTTTACAAAGGCAACAAGATTGCGAGATATACAAACACAGTTTTAATCAGGCACCAGCGTTTTCGGATTCCGGAGTTTCTTCTGTGAGTGGATTTCCCTTCTGAAGTTGACGGCATAGCTTCTGCAGCTGCTCCATCTGTCTGTCCTTCAGACTAGACTTCTTGGTAATGTCTTCATTTATGCTTGTCAATTGATTGATCGTTCTGTAATCAAATTATATTCGTTTTGTTCTCAGGTTAAGAGTAATTCCTGTATTGAAAAACTTGCGCTTTAGACTCCTCTAACTGCTTGCGGTACCGCTGAGATTCTGCTTGAAGCTTAATGAGTTGGCCGTTCATCTGCAACATACGGCATATATATACTTGTACACGCTTCCTTACTTTAGTCATATCTGTCCTTGCCCTTTCAAAGGCCTTATTCGACTTCTCCAAAGTTCCCACCAACTCTCCGTACTTGTCTCCATATGATTCAATGACTTTTTTAGTGTTTATTTCGGCCGTTACGGCTTCTTGGAAGGCTCTCTCTTTGTTCAAAAGCTAAATACATGATCCTCATTCAGCCCTTCCTACCTCTTGTTTCAGTTCAACGTTTTCTCTGAAGACTCCCTCCACTTTCGAACGCATCCCTTCAATCTCTTTTCTCAAGTGCTTCAACTCGTCGTCCTTGGTCTTCATCATGTCCTTCACTTTATCTTCACGATCCTCATACTAAACATCAAGTAAAATAACAATAAAACCACCTACCAATGTTTTCAGTTCTCTCAGCCTTGTCTCATATTCCTCCGATAAACTGGTCAGACTCTTTGAGATGTCCTCAACGTCTTGCATCCTCTTGGCTTGTTCCTTTCGAGCATCGACAGAACTCTGGATATCACCTAATGATTTCTTAAAGTTCTCCACGGTCTCTTGGTGATTTCTTTCGATCTCTCGGAGTTTCTGAACATTCCTGTCGGCTTCTTCTTTCTTTGATCGGTTCAATTCCCGACAAAGCTCTTCCAACTTTGACTTTGATAGTTCGGCCCGACTCAACATCTTCTCCGTATTCTGGAGTTTTTTCTCTATCTGGAACAACATAAATGTTATAGACGAAAATTTTGGAACACCTCTAAATTTATAATATTAAAACAAATGAACCGTACCCCAGCAAGTCGATCAGTCTCCGTTTTCAGGTATTTTGCGGTTTCAATTGACTTTTCTGATTCAAATTCGACATTCGTAAGCCGGTTAATCAAGAAATTAAGCCGATCTTCTTCCTTGATGGCCTCTAGTTGGCCTAAAATGGCCTTCTTGACGTCCGCCTTGGTCTGGGACATGGCCGCAAGATCAAGACGAAAGAGCAATGAAAAGATGAGAGGATTTCTTGGCTCCCCTCCACTAGCAGCTGTTATCCCTGGCCACTCAGCCTTGTTTCATTGGTTCGGGGATCCTGATTGTGCAGAATGACCCACACGAGCTGGAAAAAACATTTAAAATGCCTGCGAAGGCATAATGCTATTCATGGTATAACGGTAAAGAGCGAGGACGATGGATATTACATTGTTCATGAGCTTTTTCCGAAAACTTTAATTTTTTATACCTTGACGTTCTTGTGGTGGAGAATTAATGGACGAAAGTGAGTCTGCAGATGTTGTAAATTCGAAGAAAAGGCGAAAAGAACAAAAAGAAGAGAAAAAAGATCTGTAAACATTAAAATATTCCAGGAAATCCATCATCTTGACATTGCTTTGATTAAAATAAAAAGTATATTTAGTCCTATACCACAAAAAAATCTGGCTGTCAAGAAGAATATATAATATCGCGAGAATTTACAGCCGGAGTAAACGCGGCACGTCGCCAGACTTTTTTAATTGATGATAAATTTTTTAGAATTTCCAGAAAAATGGTCGTCTTTATTTTTTTTCAGAAGAAGGAAGAAGAAGAAGATTGCTCTGACCTTATGGCTTTTTGTCTTATGGAATAATTATCGGCTTGTCGACAGAGAGGAAACCTCGACTACATCGAAGTGACTAAATATTCAAATGCGAAGGTGAAGATCATGGTATTCGGGCTCAAGTCCAAGGATCGGAAAACAAATGATCTGGAAAGCAGTAAATGTAGGTGTAATTAGCTTTCAAAAATATTTTTAGACAATAAACGGGTCTTTGGTGTAAGTTTAAGTATTGCGGTGAGGAATGGTGCAGTTTCGAGTTCAGTCCATGTCCCGAGAATTGTCTGGGAATGTGTGAGTCATGTTAATCAGCATGGTAAGTGACTGTTCTTGCTTTGTAGTTTATGTTTAGGACTTTTGGTGGAAGGGATTTATCGGATATCGGCGTCGAAGGCCCGATTGGATGAATTGGAGAAGCTAGCCGACTCTGGGAGTCCGATTCAATTCACAGACGCCCATAATGCTGCTGGATTGTTGAAGAGATTCCTTCGACAGTTACCTAGTCATGTGCTCGGAGACATTAGAAAGGGCGCTGAAGAGACCGCGAGTTGTAAGTGGCCAAGATTTTTGTGTTATATTTCGTTGTTGTAATTGGAATTTCTCGTGGTTTAATATAACGTGATTTCTACCTTGATTTCTATGCTTTTTTCTTTCAGCTTGCCAGTGTAATTTCGATAGTCCATGCCGGTGTGATGCTGTGGTACAAGTTTCTAAGCTTTTGAAAGAGTTGCCCATTGAGAATTATCATTTGTTATGCATAGTGTTTATCCACGCTCAATTTGTTGTTCAAAATGTAAGTTTCATGCGTCAACCGAAACTTTGTTTTTAGAGTAATGTTAACAAGATGAACTTTGCGGCGTTGGGAGTGCTGTTACAAGCGATGTTAAACATGCCAAAGCAGCTAATTCGATTATTTTTATTGAACGCCTCGTCTAGATTCTGTGGCGAAGGAGAAACGGTAAGTATTTATACTATAAAATAAATTATGGCTAATTACAGATAAAGGAGCTGTTCGGTGATTCCGTGATAACCAGGTAAGGTTTAAATTATAATGAGGAAGAAATGCCTTGACTTATCGAATTCTCATTGTGGACTAGATTCGTTTTCTAAAGCCAGGTTACTTTTGAAACGGATATTCGTCTTACCTTTCTTCTGACTACGTATATCACTCCGACAATAGTTACCATTACGAGAAACACAACTGTGCAAACGGTCACCCAGGTGGTCGGAGTCTGCGTTTTGGGTTGTCTTTGCCCATATCGGATTGAGTTTATATCATATTTTGGCTTGTCGGCGTCAGAGCTCTCGTCTTTGAGAAGAGTCCCATTTGCCTCTCCAATATTCGCGGACCACTAATTATAATTATATGAGATTGCATAGTTCCACTTACTTTACTCAGGTCAAACGTGAGAGTTGTCGTTTCTCCATCGTCGGGTGTTGTTGGCAGTGCAATAGTTGTAGTAGGGATGTTGTTGATCATGTCTGCGGTTACTTCCATTAATTCCCTCCCTTTTAAATGCTCTGGTTCGTCGCATATTACAAGTTCGGGCTTAGCTAGATAGAAAGGACGGCCTTCTGTAGTCGCTCTTTTGTATTCGTTGGTTATCCATAATTGAACTAGAAATTTTCATCAATAGAAATCAGTTGCTCCTTACGATCAAGTATCTTCAAATTGCATTTCAAAGGGTTCTGAGAGATATCCAAGACGGTCAAATTCTTCAACCCATTGAGAGTAGTTGCATTTATATTTGTGAGGTGATTCGAAGATAAGTTGAGGTTGTTTAGACTTCGTCCAATCACTTCGAATGGCGTGTTGAGCTGACTGATCTTGTTGGACGAGAGATCCAACGTCTAAAGAGTAAGGTTATTCGCAGTGGGCTTACCTGTATGTTATCCATTCCTTTGAACGCATTGTTGTCGATGTATTTAACCGAAGACCCAGTCAGATTTAGTGTTTCAAGCCCTGATAATCCATTGAATGAGTCTTTATCTAGGCTGAATAATCGGTTATTCGATCTCAAATTCAGCGACTTGAGATGTTTTAGATTGTGGAAGTTATTGTTGAAAGTAGTGAATTCGTTGTAGCCAAGATCTAGATGAACTAATTTATCTAATCCGATCCATGAATCTTCTTCTAAATTGGTTTCGTTTAAGAAATTTCCAGCCAAAGAGATGTACTGTAGATTGGAGGCTGACTCAAATGCTCGAGGTCCCAATTTTTCGATGAGGTTTACACTCAAATCTACCTGAAAGGCGGTTATCTAATAATTTGGGATGCCTTACGTATTCCAGAGTAGTTAGGTTTTGGAAATCGCCGTTTGTTATATTAGTCACCCCACATCCAGAAAGGTCGATTCTTTCGATTTTATTGTCAGAAGAGAATTTGAAATCGGCCAAGCTGTAGATTTCATCCGCTTTGGCAAAGCTGACTTGCTGATAAAAGTAAAGAAAAATAGAGGAACTTACTTTTAATGAAGTTATGTTGACAATCTCATCCTTAAGGCCAGCGGTTAGGTTGTTATGATCGCCGATATACAAAGTCTCCAAGTTTGGTAAAGTCGAGAGGGATGATTCTTCTGCCGCATGAATTACATTCTCGCTCAAATCTAAGGTATTCAGCTAAAGGCAATCAAGCTTAAAATTAAAGTATTACTTTATTCAGACCACTGAATTCTTCCTTATTCAGTCGTTGAATGTTGTTATCCTTTAATGAAAGGTATTCCAGATTAGGAAGTCCAGTTAAAAAGAGTTTTGGGATCTGTCCTAACCGACAGTTTTCGATTTTGAGTTGAGTTACACTCGTTAATTCGTGAACGGGTTTGTCGGAAATAATGGAATCTTTAATGTCAGCACTGCAATGTCTGATGGTGATTTCTTCCAAAGTTTGCGTAGATGCAGTTGTAATCGCCTCCCAAATAGTCAAAGAGGTATCATTTGATTGGATCAGAGTACTGATTACTATCTAAGAATAAAATTTAAGATTAGGGATTACTCCTACCGATGTTACGGTATGGTTGGCTTCCTCGATCTGATTGAAAATCTGGTTCAAGGATGAGATATCAGTCTCAAATGGACAGTGAACTAAGAAAGAGGTCTTGTCAAGATCCTTTAGACATATACATTGAATGTGGGAGATGTCTGCTGAGGTGTCATTTGGATGCTACAGGAAAATTAAAAGTATATCAAAAATAGTCATCATAAGCTATCAGCCTGTTTGGAAAAAATGAAATCTTTGCCTCTGTCGTAGCAGTTATGGCGAAAACGACAAGCGTTTCGTTTCTTCCCGACATTCTGATGCATTATAACAATGGAAAACTTACTTCTGTCAATGTAGTTGTGATAGAGTCTGGATCCGGGCAAGAAGGAATTAGATGGCCCCAGCCCACTTGATGACATATAAATGTCACTAACAAGACTCGAATCGCCCTCTTCATTTGCTTTCTTGCTGGTGACCAATTTCTTGAGAGCTTGGTTCGAATCGGCAGAAATCACTCCCTTTTCCAGTAGATCTAGTTTTTTAACGGTCTTTGAGATTGAGAAAAGAAAGTCGTCTTCCTTTCTTTTTTTTATTACGATCGCCAAGTTCTTCTCTTGCAGATTATTCGACGGCGAAAGCACTTCACAAGTCGCCGATTTAGATGACAACGTCCGACATCAGGTAGGCTAATGTCAATTGGTTTTTTCCGGGGGTTTAGGGGTTCTTATTCATGCATTTTTAGATTTCTCTTTTTATTTTGCGCCAGTATTGCAGGAAAGAATGCATGAAAATTTTTATTAATGCTTTCCAAGTTTGAATGATAAGTAGGCTAACTGTAGAATAACGTTTTTTGTGACTCATCCGAGAAGATAACGTTTCCATGGCATTAGAGTAACATCCTAGATGTAGAACGGGAGATTACATTTTTATCATGTTTAGATAGTAAACTGACTACTGTTGCAAGTTTAAAAGGAAATCAAAATTTTTGTTTTGAGTGCTTTTGTTATTGTGAATTGTTGCTTTCAGAATGTTGAACCCTCCCCCACATTCCTTGAAAAACAACTCCTCGCCCTTCACATTTCACTTAAACTGGAGGTAGATGAAGAGAAACGGAAGGTCACTCAACTGCTGGGTGTTCTCCGTCAAGTCCGCTCTCTCCTCCCCGAAGATGCCCTCAGGTCATTTGATGCAAACCATGCTAAGAACCAACTCTCAGATCTACAGACCCCCACGGACCCGATGAATCAGCACGATCTCACAGAAATGGAGCAAAAACGCGACGAACTTCTCGCCGAAATTGCCAAATACCGCGATTTGTGCGGACTGCTAAGAGCCCGTCTAGAACAATATAATCTCCTCCTCAGCTCGGCCCAAAAAGAAGATGCCGTTGCCGCAAGCGATGCTTCAGAATCAGTTGTCACACGGTTTTAATGACCCCATTATTTCACTTGGTATTTAGTTATAACGACTCTGAAAACTATTGTAGAGTCTTTGAATGGGGTGTATTATTGTTAGAGGTTTAAGGATTTGTTGATATAACGCTTTTAAGTACGGTTCAAAGTCGGAAGTGATTGTTTTACTTTACCCAATATGCAATATTGAGCTTTTAATGTAGTAAATATCAAAGCTAATGTTTTTGTTTTTTCATTGGATAATAGAGAAATTAATAGTGTAACGCCAGCCAATCTTTAAATGAATATTTGTTTTATTATGTCCAAGAGTACAAGCTCTTTATTGCGAACGTCACTGTCTGATCTTGAAAATTTTGACGGATTCTAAAAGTCCTAAAATGAAAAAATCCCAGATTAAATCAGGCGAAACATCAACGTTTTATAAGATCATCTGACATGAGGTACCGTAACAGGGAAAAACAGTCATTATCTTCCACAGTTTTGAGTACTTTTCTCTCGACCTGAGGCATTTCCTGCTATCTTCGTTTCTTCTTCTCGTGGAAGAGGCTGATGCGGAAATTCGCGCTGAGCTGGTTATGAAAATCGATTGGACTTGATCCAAATTAAAAAGTCCCAATAAAACGAATAGAAGACGTTGATTCAACGAAAGATTCCTTTCGTTTACTTGAAGTATTTTGATTTTCAAAAAGTATAATAAGCCAATTAATTCCAGGTAACATACCGTGGTCTAGTGTCACATTGAATAAGTGTGAACAAATAAGTTCGCAACGGTTGTACAGAAGCAAAACGCTACTTTTTTTGAAAAAATCGAATGAAAAAATACTATCTGCGTTTTGCAATACTAAGGTTTTAAGGGAATAAAAATCAAAGTTAATACTGTTGTTCTTCATTGGATTATAAAGTATGTATGTAATAGTGGAATTTACGGATTTTATAAAGCTTCAAAGATGACCAACTTCGTCCAGGCAAGTCTTCGTCAACAAATGGGAAAGAGCCAGGGAGAAATGACTTACTGTTAGGTGTCATATGGATTGACTTCTCCTTACAACAAGGAGAAGTTGAGAAATTCTGATTGGTTATGATGATATAAACAAGGCATTCTTTACTACGAGGTTTTGAAACCTGGCAAAACATTTACTGGAATCCGTCGTCAACAGCAGTTGAGGCTGTATTAAAACGGTCGAAATGGCAAATTTTTATTTTGCTGGATTATCACGCCAAACTACGTTTAAACACTGGTCAAGGACACCCTAGAATAGCCGAGGTGACAGGCTCTACGCCATCCGTAATACTCTCCGGACGCCGCGCACTATCTGTGCCACCAGTGTTTTGCTGACCACAATGATCTCGAAAATTAGGTTGATATTTGGATGGCTTGAAAGTAGCAAGAAAATTTTTTTTCGATTTGCCCAAAGCCTCTTTTTTTAATTAATAATAGAACCAGAAATTAAGGGGTTACCCGTAATTAATAATAGAATATAAAATTGAAACTGCACGGTCATACTTCTAATCCTAATATCATGCCTTAGAAAGAGCTTGTTTGGGTACAGGCTCTTTATTTAAAACGTCATTCAAACCGCCTTTAAAATATTCGAACTTCAATTACAAGCTCTTTTTTAAAGTTTAGAAACATAATATTCAATACAATCTCTACTGTAATTTCCCGCTATCCAGGGGAAATCTTTTAATTCGGCGTTTACGGACTCCTTCCATTCACGTCATCGTCTACGTCCCCTGCGGCAATCGATAAGGCCCTGTGTTTTTTAGGCTTTTTGCGTGCCCAAAGCGGGCTCATGTGCCATTCGAAAGAGTCCCTCCCCCTGGTCCATGCCCTTGCCTCAAGCGTTCGTTTCCCCCTGTTTTGGGGGTTTCGCTGAGTTTTTTGGCGGAATAAATGAACACAAATTATTGTCACGTTTAATCATCTTTTCGGGGATGTTTCAAGTATACGGTGACGAGATCTTTTGGTTCCAATTTTTGTTCGAAAATGTTTCGAACTGTACGGTCGTTTTTTTGACCTCCTCCAAAGTTGTTTGATCTCCTTTTATTTAACTTTTCATAACCTGACAAACATTACTTTCTTGGGTACATAATGACTTCCGGTTTTTCATTATCTTGCCTGCGGCAAACTTACTTTTAACCCTTCAAAATACCCGCTTTTTCTACAAATTGCCAAATAAAAACCAGAATTTCCGGAACATGAAATAACAGAAGTGGGCACGAACAAAAGCAGAACGTCATGGAGAATATAATTTTGCTTACGTGCTGCCGGCTTTTAAGGTGCGGATTTTGAATTACTCTTGAGGGAATGTACACAGCGGTCGGTGAAATAATTTAACACTTATTTCACCTCTGGTGCCGACGATTATGACCGGAGTTTGACACCGTTTGTGGGCAAATAATAAGTGTCGTTTTGGGTAAAAGGCATATTTCCTTTATTTTTTTGTCATTTTGCACTTTCTCAACCGCCTACGAATTTTAAAATTTCTCTGAAATATTTGATGTGAAACTAAATTTTGTAACTTTTCCCCATGAATAAGTCATTTATTTTCTAGTCGAACAGATGTTACACCCACACATTTATTTTACCTCCATTTTCTATAAAATTACGCAATGATCTACAGTAATAAGATTATGAATTTCCTATTTAAAAACAAGTTAAAAACAACAAAGATATTCGATAAAGTATATGGTTTTGTTTATTTATTGAATATGCGGTTACGGTACTTTCCTAACGTTGCGCAATAGTTTTGGATCTGATTAAAATTACGCAAAATTCAGGGCCGCGATGTTAACGTGGCTGTGTCTTCTGACTGTGGGATCTGCCGTTGCCTATTTTGTCCCGCTGAATCCCGAAGAGCTGAGTGGAGACCCTGGATACCAATACCAATTCCCCGAGCAATTTTTGGAAGAGAATTTGCAGGAATTGCAACAAGAGGCTGATCAAGGAGAAGGTCATCTGTTTGAAGATGAGCTGAGGATCCCTGGCGAGAAACCCAGCTATGTAAGTGTTTTTTGAAATGAAAATGTTTACTACGTATGAAAAAATATTTTTCTGACAACAGCCGAGAGATATATTTTTTGCCATGATATGTGATCGTCCGTGAAGAAAGATGCCATTTTCTGTTCTTTACAACCTAAAATTACAGAATGACACCTACTTGTGTTCGGCTTTCCGGCAAGACGCCCCCGGGTATGTCGTCAAATTTGAGGCTTTGGCCGATCAGCACATGATCCATCACATTATCCTCTTCGGATGTGAGGCACCAGGAGTTCAAGTTCCTGTCCCGTCATGGTAAGACTCCTATACTTTACGTAGATAATAATTGCTGGCGAAGTTTTACATGAAGATTCCAGGAACTGCGGTGAGATGTCTCCAGTGGCGGACCCCGCATATCTGCAAGCACCCCCATGTGCCAACAACCCCAACATTGTCTATGCCTGGGCGAAAGGAGCTCCCGAATTGACATTGCCTGAGGGTGTTGCGTTCCCCATTGGACCTGGGACCAAGAACAGATTCCTGGTGCTTCAAGTCCACTACATGCATACGATGCAGAAGGAGGATTACTCTGGCATCAAGATCCAATACACGGAAATCCCACAGCCTCGAACTGCGGCCACTTTGTTGACAGTTACTGGTGGAGAACTACAACCCAAGGCTAAGGGTAAGTCACACAAAGGGTCTAAATCCTGTGTAAGGTACATAATTCATACTATAAACAGTGTGTTTTACTTTTACCTAACCATTTCAGAGACCTTTGAGGCAGCTTGCGTAATGAATGAGCCCATGGAGATTCATCCCTTCGCTTTCCGAGTCCATACTCACAAAAGGGGAACCAAAGTAAGTGGATGGACTGTGACCAAGGATGAGAAGACTGGGGAAGACGAATGGCATCTGATTGGGGAGAGAGATCCTCAAAAGGAACAGTTGTTTGAGACTGTCAAGAATACTTCCATGGTCATCAAACCCGGAGATATTATTGCTAGTCGGTGTTACATGGACAATGATGAAGATAGGTCAGTATATCAAATTCCACCACACACGTGTGTATAATCTCATCAATGACGGTTTACAACTTCATTATTTTCAGACTTATCACCATGGGCCCAACCGGTGCCGATGAGATGTGCAATTTCTACATGATGTACTGGGTGGAGGGAGAGCAAACCCTCTCCGAGAACACCTGCTACAGCCCCGGCGCACCCGAATACCGGTTCGCGAAGCAAACGGGCCTCACCAATATTCCAAAGTAATCTCTTTTTTGTTATAAAACGGCGAGGGAATGACTGGCGCGGACATGGCACAATAAACATATATATTGTCGTCTATATCAATGTATTTAATTCGAGTATTAAAAGATCTTTTCTTATCCAACATTATTTAATTCCACAAATATATATGACCAGTGATGATAGAAAGGCGTATGATAAATAAAGTATGCTTATATTACACATGGCTTCATTTTATTCTTCCCGGGATCGGATCAAGAGTTCGAGGGCGGCCTCGAAATTTCCATTGGTCACCACTAGGTATTGGACATTCTCGTCGTCATCGAAGAATCCGAATTCGTGGAATTGGTCCAGCTGACTTCTGAATCTTTCCAAAGGATTCTCCGGAGTCGCAGGTGGAGGAATTTGGGGAGCCGGGGGGACAAGAACGGAAGGAGCAGCTGCGGTTGGAGCAGATAAGTTGTTCATAACAGAAGCAAAAGCATCTTGAAGGGATTCTGCAGTGATTCTATTGGGAGGTTGAGGAGCCCCAAACAAATTGGGTTGAGGCCGGGTTAAGGAAGGACCGGCGGGGTTGAAAAGGCGGCCAAAAGTGTCTTTGGGAAGTGCGTTGTCCAAAACTTGACGGATATATGGAACTAGTTCTGGATATCGTTTAATCCCCTCCTTCCACTGTGTAAAATCTGCCAGGAGATTAATCAAAATCGGATTATCGGTTATCTTCGGGTTCTTTAGGGCAAAAGTACGTTTGAAATCTAGTTTGGAAATGATGTCGGAAATCTAAAAACAAACCATCTTGTCATACTCTATGAATGAAAGGTTAGATTAGATAGACACATACTTTCTGCAGTTCAGCTTCACTTGTGTTCTCCAACGACTGAAGAAGTTGGTTGTCAATCGTATTCGTATCCATTGGATCACTTTCTTGCTGTGTGACATCATATAAGACTCGGAGAGAATGATGAGGCTTCAACCCAGTGATATTACCAATCACTTGTTCATCGGAGAGTTTATTCCCTCGGAAAAATACAGCTAAATAAAAAATATGACTACAAATAACATAAATCATTTAGGTATAAACGTAAGTCAAATTCAAGAACCTACCAACACGTTTATGATCGCCAGGGGGCTTTACTAGATCGATGGCATCTTTGATGGTCTTGGATCCATCCACTTCAACCCGAGGATTTGAAGAGAACACGACATAAACCATCTTAAACTAGAGAACATCCTAATAGTCGTTGAATTAAGGTAACTTTATATGTAAACTAACATATAAGCATTATATAGACAAAAGTAGGCCCAGCCGGGTTTATTCACCATAAAAACAATATACATACATAGTCTACCCATGAGTAATTACTTTATGATTCCCATAATCTTCTCGTTTAGTGGATTCTCCGGTGATTTCTGCCATTCTTTTTTCAAAAGTTGTTTGAGTTGGGACAACCTTAAAGTAGGCTTCTCATCTTTCAGCTGAGGCAATCGACGAGCTTCGAAGTCTGAATAAGCGGTCTTCAAACTCCTCTGGGGCTCAGTAGCAGCCTTATCACCCAAAAGTTTCAAGGCGTCATCAACAGTCCTTGCCACTTCACCCACATTCAACCTATTCAAGTTTTCCTGTAGATGGTCTTCTACCACAATCTTCTTGGCTTCTTCTTCTCTTAGTCGACGCTCTCTTTCTTGCTCGGCCTTTTCTTGTTTGACAATTGCTTCGATCTGAGCTTTGGTGATCTTAGATGGTGCAGTTTTTTCTCTTTCGATGGACTGCAACTCTTCTTCGTAAGCCTGCCTGTTCTGTTGCTTCTTTGCTTGGGCTTCTAGACGTTTCTGTTCTTGTTCTTCCTGAAGAAAACCGTGTAAGAAAATAAATCCATATTGAACATCTTTACAACACTCTAAACCAAAAAGAAAATAAGTCAAAATACATACTTTCCTTTGTAGCTTCTTCAAGACTTTAGCGTCATCTTCCATCCACTTGGCATCTTCTTTTGCTTTCAACTCTTTCGCCCGTTCAACTTCCCTGACCTCGTTCTTCTTGGCTTTCGCAACCACAGATTTTTGATTAGCACCCGTAAATTTCTTCGGCATCCTGGCTAAAGTTAGCTCAAAGCTGAAATTTGTGACTAGCTTTCTGTCGATATTGCAATTGACAAAAAAAAAATCACGAAAATTATTATTTTCATCGTGGCTTTACGTTTTAATTCGGAAATTCGTTGTGAGAAAACTAAAAAACCTAGAGGAGAACATTTTTTGTCGTTTTTAGCTAATTAGTTACGTAGCGCTTACAGTTACCTGCATAACTAATATAACAGTCGACAGAACTCAGCCATGACGGATTTGAGGACTCAGCTGTGTGACACACCCGAGAATTACATCAACGATCCTATCGTCGAAATCCAATGGGCTGAGAAGGCCTTCAAAAAGGCCGAGATTCATACGAATCTTCTCTTATCATCTGACACCAAGCATCTGAAACTTTGCAAGGAACAGGATCAGATTTACGAGCAGTTTAGGAAGGATTTCCCCAATCTTGATGTGAAGGCTGTAAGATTTATCGAGTTTTGTCTGTATTTATATTATTTTAGGTAACTGTCGAAGATCTGAAAGGCGACCATACCGTCAAGTGGCGAGAGTTTTGCATGGTTTTTCAGGAAGTAAAGGACTACAATTTTGGGTCATTGTTGAGATTGCGAGCCGATGAGAGCTACACGAATGAAAACACTGTGCTTGTTCCTCAGGTAAGAACTTCTTCGATGTGTAATTTTTTATGGAAACTAAGTGACTCGAAGTGGAGATAACGAAAATGGTTTCAGGTTATATTCTTTGCTGTCGAGATTGCTAGAAACTTGGAGGGGATCAATGAAACGTACAAGGAACAGGTCAGGATACATCGTGAAGAATCTCTAAAATCGAACCCCGAAGCTGTTTAATAAACCGTTGTTATCTCAATCTTGGCGTTTTTATAGAGAACTGCACAGTTGAAGTTATAAGACTGTATTTATACCCAAACTTAATACATTACAATTCTGTGGAATAATCAAAAACTGGTACCATAGTTTTAACTTATTGATAATAGAGTTCAAAGTTGAAACCATCGTGAATTTCGTAGTCCTGGAGAGTGATATGATCCTTGTAGGTGTTGTACCATTTCTTCAGCATGATTTTGTCGGCTCTAAAAGGTAAATTTAATAAGAAAAAAGATTCACTTACTTGGTTCCAGTTTGAGCAGCTATTAGTTTCTTCAGATCTCCGATGGTGTCATTCGGATTACACTTAATTCGGACCTTCTTTCCCAAACGATCGTTGACTGTGATCTCAATCATATCTCCACGATGCTGAAGATTTCAACACCCGAAAAATAATTTCTTTTGCATTTTACGGAATGTCACTGATTTTATCGGCTTTTTGGCGTTTCGTCGACACTTTTATTCGTAAAAATTTTCCTATGAATCTATTGTTGAAGCGCGTTTATCGGACGAGAGACCAACAAAAATGGAAGAGCATCAGAGAAATATTAGTCTTTGGTTCGGAGATTGCTTCTTGGTCTTGTTGAAGCGAGGAATCTGGTTGTTGGTTTCTGATTATGAGCACATTTGCTTCCAAGAGCGGGTTCAGTCCAAGTGTAGCTGTGCTGTCCAGTCAAGGAGCAGAGAATGTGGCCAACCGAAACAACTTGTCCTTTGCGGAGATGCTTGGGCCTTTCAGTTCCACAAAAGTGGAGTTCAAAGTATGTTCGTCGTGCGATTGTAATCATAGTTGTATTTTTCGAATTGCCAAATACTAATTTATCTATTCTAGGATCCGAACGGACGACCCAGCTCTATCACATTGAGCGTAGACTTCCGAGACATCAAAAGGGATGGATATCTTCTCAGTTTAACAGTTTTGCCTTCCGTTTTACAAGAAGTAAGTTTTCATTCTGTTATTTCTGTACTTTAGGTTGTGAAATTGAGTGTAAACAACAGCAATACAGATGTTTGGGACAGCTGTTTTGTTAACGCATTCCATTCTTGGTTCGAACCTGCAGAACATGATTTCTTGAAGGCGTATTTGGCTTGTATATTCGTCGTTTCTTCAGAAGATTCAAATGCTTTGGTGGAATTGGATCATATGGTTAATCAACAGAACCTGCAGCAGGTTTGTCTGGTATCTATATTTTAACCGTTGATCTAGCAAGGTTTAGATTCATCCCTGACAACGCCAGCTTTCTGCGCTCCTCCCAAATGGTTTCTAAGCCAGATTTTGAAGCATTTTGTAGTTGTACATGACATGTCGCGTGGAAATAAGGAGCAGTAAGCTTTTATTATCAAGATTATTGTTTTCTTAGAGCTGAGAGATTATCGAAATCAATAAAAGAAAGGTACGGCTCTTGCACTATGCTCAAGATCAACTCTGGGGAAAATGTTAATCTGCCTGATGTTTGGAGATATGTGAACACACGAAGAGCCGGGCTGAAGACTGGATTGGAAGTCGCAAGAAGAGAAATACTAGCTAGTCGAGCAGCAAGCAATGGAAGTGGTCCTGAACCGGTGAGCTTTAAGTGGAATATTTGCGTAATATTAGATAAGGGTTTTTTAAATCTTAATTTTAGGAGTCAGTTGATTTCAAGATTGAAGTCTTTGGCCAGTGCTTATCGCAAGAAGACCGTGATCGAGTGGAGAGTTTTACGCAAGGATTTATAACCGATGATCTAGTGCCATTTGTTTCCAAACAGATGAATATATTGAATGAAGCCATCGTATCGAGAAGAGGGCTTGGAAAGTCGTTTACTAATATGAGAAAATGGCTGAATGTGGCGACGACAGCACAAACTTCTAGCACTACGGGTGTAAAGTAAGTGTAATTGCCTAAGTTTTATTTATTTACTTTCCAGTACGCGTTTATTCACTGTAAAATATTTTTAGTTATGCCTCAGAGAGTACAGAAATGCAATCGAGACGTCTGGCTGATCTCGCCTTTTTGTTTGGAGCATATCCATTTGCATTTCAACTTTATCAGAGTTTAAAAAAGGACTTTCTCAACGATCAAGCTTGGGTACAGCATGCGGGTACCTTGGAAATGGCTGCCATTACTTCTTATTTATCTGGGGCTTCGAATGGAAAGAACTTTCCAATGCATTATATCGAAAATTCTCTGAATTACTACATCAAAACTAGCAGGTGAGTATCATTTTTTGGGTATCGAATTCTCATGTTGAAGAACGTTTATTTATCTAATTTTAGTAACCCATTGCTCTTCTTTCGCTCAATTATGTTCTCAACTCGATTATTAGAAGATTTGGGTCGGCCTCAAGATGCTGCCAGCTTCCTAGCCCGGTTTATTCCCTTGGCTTCAATGAATGATCTTTTTGTCGCTGTCGCTACAGAGCATTCGGCAACATTATATGGCCGGGCGAGATTGTTCCGAAAACAATCATTTCAACGTTTTCTGGCCGCTGAATTGTATTTGATTGTTAAATTGGAAGTTATCGCGACCAGATTATTGGAATCGGTATTAACAGAAATTGGAGATAAAAGATGGTGGTCCGCTGAAGATTATGTGCTATTAGACTTGTCTAAACAGATGACTGAGGACAAAGACATTGCCAAGGAATGTGCAGAAAAGTTGCTCAGATCAGAGGACGCGATCACAGACCGAGTTTTATATAAATCTACAGAACATTTTCTGAATTTCCTCGAAACTTGTGGACCCATGGGAAAAATTGATCTAATTGTGCCGAAACTGGAAGTGAGCACACCTCAAATCTATTATGTAAATCAAGATCTGTTGTCGAGAAAGGAATATGAAAAGGAAGAATGGAAAACGTTGTATGAGAAGGCGATTACCTCTCTAAAACAACACAATCCAGCCGTCAAACATCCACTGGGCATTCCGAAGGTCATGAGAGTACCGGTAAACGAGCCGGTGTATGTGAAAATTGGATTTGAAAAAGAATTTAGCTTCCCGTTGGTAATGGAAGGCTTGGCTTTGAATGTAAAGGCAAGTGTTTGATTCAAATCTGAGATTCTTTTGTTTTTAGTCTAATGGAGAAGTGGAATCTTTAACGATTCCTAGATACCGGCTGCCTGAATACGGAGAGGAAACGCCGGGTTTGGACCAGGGGAAACAGGACGCGGCCGATTACATTACCTTCTATTTTACTCCCAAAAGTGTGGATAATGTTTATGAAATTGAATCTTTGGCTTGTCAGCTCTCTGATATTGATATGAAAGGAAGAGTTAGTGGCCAAATCCCGCTTCAGATCTATGGAAATAAGGAAAGATTCAAAGTGAAAACGGACAAATTGGTGTGGCCGCGTCTTTCAATATCAACTCCCAATCATACTTATGAAGAATATCAGAAGATGAGCTTGGAATTGTATTGTGGACAGGTGTATAGAAAAGAGGTCGAGATTGGAAATCCATCAGAAACTGCGGCTACAGTGACGGTGACATCAGAGGCCAGATGTAAATTTGTAATCACAAGTGATGATAAGGCTGTTGATAATGATGGGGATTGCTTCAAAGTGCTTCCAAGACAAATTTTAAAGTAAGTTTTTTTTGGTGAACGTTTTGTACGACTATTTCTTTGATATTTATTTGAGCTTTTTTTCAGATTAAATATCTTTATCCTTGCTCCCAGGACAGCTGTAAAGTCGAAGCCAGTCAGAGTACTCCTGAGTTATTGCTCTGCCCACGGTGCTATCAGAAATCATCTAATCGAATTTTCGGTCACAACTACGCATTTATTAAAAACCAATATTCGAGTAATCGACAGGAAGTCCGGGCTTTGCGCATTGGTTGTCAAGAATGAAGTTTCAAAGCGGAGTTTTGTTCAAATTGAAGCCTTGAAGTTGTCCTTTAAAAGTAATGACAAGAAGGTTGAAAGCCACGTGGGATTGGAAAAAGTTTCGGATAGGAAAAGTAAGATTTTAAATTTGTTATTTTGTTGGTATAGACATGGTTCAAGAATAATTTGGAATTATTTCAGTCACACTGGAAGCAGAACAAGAAGATACATTCTGCTTCAAAATCAAAGCTAACAAGTCGTCATCGCCGGAAATCAACTTCCAAGAAATCCCTCAGGACGGGAAAAACTGGCCAACGTTTGAGGATTCTACGGAGAAATCAATCTACTTTGAATTACTTTGGAAGGCCAGGAAAACAGATTTAAGCCAGACAATCACGAATTCGTATGGAAGAACAAGAATCCCCAATCCGTTTATTTCCTTATCGTCAGATGAAAAAGAGACTATCACTGCATTTGCTGGACCAAAACTACTCCTCAAAAAAAGTTTTGAAGAGAAAACAAGTGATCTTCCAGGGCTGGAAGGGACTTTCAAACTAGCAGAAGGAGACATTGATGTGCTCTCCGAAGAAATATTACAGAATCTTCAGATCAAAGAGCCAAAAATACCGTGGGCTCACAAATACGCGGTTTCGTAATCTCTGTCATCATATTTAGGTATTCTGTAAGAGAATCAAAAATCCATAATCTACCCAGTGTCTAGTCACCATCATATCAGTTGTCATTTCATGTGTCTATAATTTTATATTTGCTCAGTTAATACGGGTATCCTCTCATTACTGGTCGTTTATTTGAAATGGGTGTTTTTTTTGCTTTAAAAATAATTTGATAACGAGTTTTTTTTGTTACGAGGAGACATGGTTGATCCCATGGATAATATCTGGGTGTTTGGTTTTGATTTTTGTTTAATTTGGTTTTTAGTGACTGAGCAAGATGGCCTCCCAAACCACTGGAATCATGCAATTGTTGGCCGCCGAGAAAAGAGCGGCCGAAAAGATCAACGAGGCCCGCAAACGGAAGGCCCAGAGACTGAAGCAGGCCAAGCAGGAGGCCCAGGCTGAGGTCGAGAAGTATCGTCAGGTATGGATCTAGCATCTTTGACTCTTAGTTTTGGATTTTTATATTAATTTAGAACATCTAAATTTGTTGTCGATTAAAAATATCTTGATCTTGGATAATTGTAGCTCATGATCGAAACGATTATTTTTAGGAGCGTGAACGTCAGTTCAAGGAATACGAACAGCAATATTTGGGCACCAAGGAGGACATCGAGGCCGGCATTCGCAAAGAGACCGAGACCACCCTGGAACAGATGAACCAGACCGTGGCGGCCAACAAACAACAAGTGATCGTCCGTCTTCTCCAATTGGTTTGTGACATCCGCCCCGAACTCCATCACAATCTTCAGCTCCAGAAGAAGTTGGAGCTCAACAACAACTAAGTGGACTTAGTCTCTTTTTCTGTGATCCTAATCAATCCATCGCTTAAATCGTATTCTTTTTTTCACAGCTGAACTTTCACTTCCAATTTGAATATTCAGATTTCTAATTCTTCCCAGTTTGTATAATTTCCACTCTCTAAATCGAATAAATAAATCTAGATGTTTTGATTGGAAGTCGACAATACAAAATTAATCTTTAATTTATTGAGCAATGATTTTTGGGGGAAAATATAAATAATACGCGAATTAGAATATCTATTATATTTACATTTGCTTTTCGTAACTTTCAACGGCGAGCTTGCAGCGAGATTTGCGAATGATGGCCAAAGTCAGGCACAGTTTTAAAGCAGTAGCATTCTAGAAGTTTCAGGGCGGTCGGCATCAACTGTTTCTTCATTTGAGGACTGAAAATATTGGAATAAGCACAATTATTGAGAGAATCATATAGTTCGAGGAATCAACCTCACCTCCAGAATATATACATGTAAAAGAGAACAGCATGATGCAAATAGTAGAGCAGGTAAGTGGTGAAGAAGAGGAATTGCCAGAGGGCAGTTTGCTCCACATTAAAGACCGCTTCGTACAATCGGAAAGCGTAGTTCGGGACATTCAGCAAGACGAATGTGCTGAAAACATTGGATTAGTCATCAAAAATGTTTCTTTAGTCTTACAGTACCCTCGTCAAAAAATAAAATTTACCTAGTAACAATCAACAAAGAGCGGCTGAGAGTTAGATCCGAAGACCGTAATTTGCCTCCATGAGAGACGCGACTGCTCTGGGAAGAGAGCTGATTGGTTATCTGACTCTGCTGACTCAACAGGAACTTCTTGGCAGTGGTTGTTTCCTCCTAAAACATTCTCAAAAATAGACTTTTTTGATAAATTGCAGTAAAAGATAAGTAAAAAAAACTTACAGTCAGATCCTTGTTGCCCTCATTCTCCGGCACCCTCAAGAATCGAACTCTCAGCACCCCAGAAGAATAGATTTTCATACATTGACGATACCGGTAGATGCTCAAACTATTTACGACCACTATCAAAAGCGAGGGAACAATCGTACACAGGATGGTATCCAGAAATGAGAAGAAGATATGGAGCTCTCGAAGGTTGTAATCCGCCACTTTTACATCCGAATTCAGCCCACAGTAAGTGGCCCCATTAACTGAAGGCTCTAGACCGGCAAAAACAAGGCACCAGCCATATAAAGTGGCACCAAAAAGGACGGTGCAGATGACCAGATGACGAGCAAAGGTCTTGGAACAGACTCGCTTGCGGATCCCGGGTCTAAAAACATTATTTTAGGTACAAGAAAAAAGGTTACAGAGCCATCATGGATAATATAAAAAAATTCAAATCATACCTGAACAAGACAATAGCCCGGTCACAAGAAACCCAGCTGATCATCCAAACACAAATGAAATCACACGAATGTGCCATGAATGTGAACATTTTGCATCCAAATTCTGAATCCGAATACAAAGGGAAGCCGAAAGTTGTGTCGAGCCAGGTGATGAGGACAGTGGAGAGGAAGAGACACCCGCATATCGAAAGAGTGCAGAGGTATATGTTCGAGGTAAGGCGACGCAACCAGTAATTTGTTCTAAAGTACCCAAAAAATAGTCATCAATGTTTTCAAAAATTTTTTAATTTAGAAAAATCGTCATGATGACATGTTAATACAATAACAAATAATAGTAACTTACCGTATTAACATTAAGGCCATACAATTACCGAGGATTCCGACAATACAAAAGATCGGAATGAAGTGGCGAGCATAGAACCGGAGGTGGAGAAGGAGCGAGTGCTCCTCAAAGTACTCCTCCTCCTCCGGCTGATCATCGTAATAGACGGGAGAGGATGTGATCGGGTCGGAGGTTAAATTGTTCATCTTTTAATGGGCATTTGGCTTGGTTTTAGAGTAATCTGAACAATTTTTACCATGTATTGAGTTAGATGTTCCAAAAATATTAAAAACGAGTAAAAGCGATCTCGAAAAAAGTAATTTAAAAGTATCATACTGTGGATATTGCAGTAAATGAAACATAAACTGTTTTGAACAAGAGAACCGCGTTATTAAAAGCCCTGAGGCCATGGAAAACCAATAAATGAAATCCGAGCAGGCCCGGCAATTACGTTTTTATTCGATCCGAAATAGATAACTTCCAAAAAGCACTAGGGATTAAAAACCTCTCAAAACTCAAAAAAAAACAAGGAGTCTGGGGAATTACTGTTTAGGTTGTAAGAAATTATAATATTGGAGATGATTCTGAAGACAAAGTTGTTAGTCAAAAGTGTTTGGAAGGGAGAAAATGAGCGATGAAAGACGTTGCCGTTCTTGGAGGTGTCCTTCTGGGTTTGAATTTTTTTGGGCCAAGAAATTGAATTACAATACAAAATTCACAGTAGTAACAAAAAATATTGTGAAAAAATGTTAAGAAAAAATCCCAAAAAACTTTTTTTTGCCCGAATTCACATTGTGCTCTTTATAAAAATAGAGTTAAAAATACCTGCCTTGCAAAGCAATTTAAAGTAAAAACCAGTATTACCGCCCTACTTTCAGACTTCTCCACCCATTAAACACAAGTTTCTACCGTAACTGGTGAAAAATTTTTATTTATAGCATTCAAATCGCAACGAAAAAACAAAGGAAATTGATGGGATTTGACAATTTCTCCGAAAACTAAAAGTAGTGCAAGCGATCGCCGTCAGTCAACTAACTCATCGATCTCTTCGCTGAACAAAAACGGTGCCCGATTTTTGAAAATTCAAAGAAAAATCCAAAAAATGGAGTTTGGAATGCGAAAAAGGAAGACTTGAGAGTATTAATTTGTTTTATAGAGGATGAATAAGTTGGATTTGATATCGGATAAAGGAATTTTTGGAACTGAGGGGAGAGTTGTGGGGAAAAACCTCGAGGAAATGAGTCATTTCATCGATAGAAACAAAATTTTAAGGTTGTCTAGGGTGGGATGAGTAATATAAAAAATGGAAAAATGGAAAAAGATTGTAACGGAGAAATTAAAATTCCAAGAAAGTTTAAAAAAATTTTTTCCTAGGAATTGATTTTAATTAAAATAAACGTAAATTAAATTAAAAAAATTCAAAAAATGCCCTCCGGGCACATTATGAAACGCAAAAAAAATTTCAGCTGCCTTTTTAAACCACAATTTTTGGACAGTTTTCAGCAAAGAGATGCCCTCAGTCACCTCCCACATTATAAAACAAACCATTTTAAAAACACGGTAATTCACCAAAGAAACCGAAAAAACTACGAAAAGGACTTTAAAAACAAAGAGATCACCCAAGAATCGTCTCGACTGGGTTGAAAGCCCACTTTCCGACTAGTTGGCAGCACTTCTGCGGTCTTAAAATGGTCTCCTTTCCCATCACAAATCATAAATCAAGTTATAAAACTGAATTGAAATCATAAAATAATACAACAGAGATTGTAAATAATTAGAAAAGCTGCTATTCAGAGGAGCTGAAAAGACATTGGGCAGTTATTTAGACGGTCATGAGACGGAGGCCAAGGTTTTCGAATGTTAATCCGGACCAGAAATATGTAAATAACTCAAATCTCCAGGGGTTTTCATCTGTTTTGGATGGAGGGTTTAGATTGTCTTGAGGGAATTTATAAGCAATTTTTTTAATTTAGAAAAATTTGTCATGATGACAAAAGACGATTCAGGTGAAATTTCCGACCTGGGCCGTACAGAATGGGACCAGAGCAAGCCCGAATTTGGCAAAATATTTTACGAGACCAAAGCCATATTTTGATATAGTTCGCGTTTAACGGAGAGTTTTCTTTATAAAACAAAGAGTTTTTGAGATTTTGGCGTTGCAAATTGAATGGCTACGTGCAGTTTTTCCACAAAAAATAAAGTTTACAGTAGCGAAAAATTTGCGATGGAACCGTCTGGCCGAGTCTCCTCATTTCATGTGCTCCAAAGAAGGCCGTCTTATATTTAAAATTTTACGCACTGTGAGAAAACAAAAGTTCTCCTTGCATTTGTTGCTTCTTTCACCGTGCAAATGGCTTTTTTGGGCTGTCATCCGCACCCTGACATAACATTTTTGCATCATGCAAACGCCAAAAATCACACCAAGAATATTTATCTCGCCTCAAAGGAAAACAGTAAAAGAAACAAACAATTTCAAAATCCGAGCAAAACATGACTTCCTCAAGTTCAAAAAAAGGATGCAGAAACTTTTCTGAACCCTCGAAAATCTACAGTGTTCTCTCGAACATCTGCCCCAACGTCCCTTTTTTCAATTAAAAAATGTCACAAAGAATATAACAAAAGATTAAGCCCAATTTGCAAGCAAGTTGGAGTCCCAAGATCGGCGCTGATAAACACCAAACAACGTACTCGTGCGTTAAAAAAACAAAAAATCCGCGAAAAAACTGGTCGGCACACTTGCCCTGAGGTCATTTTTCGGCGTCTTTTGGGCGTCACAAAGCCCGAAATTTATGGACTCGTTATTACAACAATTGTCGTTACATTCGGGGAGCATAATGGATAGAGTAAAAAAATCTGAGAAACATCTGAAACAAGAACGACGTTATACTTGGAAGACTTTCGTTTTAATAACCCCTAAAATTAACGGCTAATGCATGAAAATCTCGCATTCCTGACCCCAATTAGGCGGAAATACATTTACACTTTTGGATGAACCGTGTTTCACAACTCCTTTGGTACTCGAAACACCAAGTTTAGACAAAGGAAATGCGATTACTGCTAATACAATTTCATTTTTCGTTTTTTTCGTGCTCGGAATTCGGTGGAACTGCGAGAAATACGGGTAATAAGACGGGAGGATTTGAGTTGCAAGCATCTGGACATAGCATTAAATGAAAAGAACAGAAATTTGACCAGAAAAACTTCCGGTTTAAGGGTTCACGTTTAGGAGATTCACAGTTCTTTCCTAGGGCAAGATATCTTCGAAATTGGATTGCAAAATAGTAATAAGAGTTATGGAAATTTTCGAAAAAATTAAAAATCTTAAAATTTGATTTGCAAAAAAATTCGTCCAAAGAATTTAAATTTGAATTTACAAACACAGCCATAGAAGATTTTTTGATGACTATTCTAAGCAGAAATATTTACAATCCCATCATTACTCGTTTTTCCGTTGCCCAGTAATCCGATTTCTTTCTCTCGAGAAACAGAAATTACCGTTTCAAAAGCCACAAACCCAGCTTAAATCAATAAAATTAATTTTGAACTTGGAAAATATGTAGTTACTTCGGTAATTTAGGTGAATGTTTTGATTAAACGTGCCCAAAGCATAGTCTTATAGTACCCGCAAACAAAGTATACTGCCTATTACATAATTTAGGCCTGCGGAAAGGGAGTTAAAAAGCGAAATCTTGCGTTTGGAGGGCTATTAATTGGCAGTCTTGCGAAGATTTATATAATTATTGGCCGAGATCATTACGCAAATGGGGAAAAAGTGGTCGTAAATATTGGAATTGGACTCCTGACGACCTTGCAACTTTTTTGAATTTCAGAAAATATGAAAATTGAAATTTTTGGTTACTGTAATTAACAAAATGAAGGAAAATTGTTAGATGGAAAGACAAGTTGTAATCAAAAATAAAGGAAGGCAAAGAGAAATGATTAATATCAGATGGTTCCCAGCCAAAACCCCCAAAATACTTGTAATTTCAGGCCAAAAACAGAAAACTTATCGCCCAAAATAGGCATTCCCCTCGAAAACAAACCTATTTATGAAAAAGTTTTTCGATTAATAAATCGGCAAATGCAACTTTTTTCCTTGAATGGAAAGTAATTACAATTTCCAAAAGTGCATAATAAATCCGCGAAAAAAGCCGGCTCCGGGTGTTACCAAACAAATATGCCCTCTGGGCATTACTTTGATTAGAGTCAGTGACGTCATCCGTTCAAACTTAAAAAAAATTAATTATTTTTCTACAGTAATCCTGATAAAAAAAAGTTTTAAAACCAAAGTATAACATGTCCCTCTACCCCCTTTTTTGGTATTTTGGACGTTTGAAAGAGCAAATTTTTGAAATGTTTGGCAGGCCGCTGAAAAATGCCTCAGGCACCGATTGGACCCGCGGGGATTTGGCCAAAATAGACGTCTCTTTTTATTCGAATACCCCAAAAACTTTTTTATGTATCAAAAAATTCGTCGGAAGAGAATTAAAAATGGTACAGTAAAAGAATGAAAAAGATGACGTCATGAAGAATAAAAAGAGGATCTTCGAACCTTGACACAAATTTGGTTAGAAGCCTAGTGTTTCTGGGCCTTCAGACAAGCTTTTAATTTAATTACTCGGCGCGTTTTTTACATTAAAATTAAATTTTACTGATACCTACTGCAATATCACTCAAAATGTTTTAAAAAATTGTTTAAAGTGCAAAATTTTAGTCATAGTTTTATTAAAAAGGCCAACAAAAAGTAAAAAGAAATGCAAAATTAGTTCAATAAACATCAGTTTGCACCTTTTGAGAGAGCGGAGCCTTCAAAAAAATTTAAAATTGAGGCAATTTTCCATTCAAAGAAAGCCCTCAAAAAAGAGTGGCAAAAAATTGAGACCTAAAATACGATGGAAATCAAAAGAGAGGACTTTGGAAACAATGACTACAAAGATGTCATCGAAAATAAAATTTATTTAATTTCGCGGACATAATTAAAAAAAGAAACAAACAAAAAACTGGACTGAAGGTCAAGGAAATGCCAAAAATATGACAAAAAGGGGAACGAGGCAGAGAAAGTAGCAATATACTACTTTAGTTGAGTACTCATGCCCTGAGGGTCGTGGATTTAATTGAGGGGACCTTTGAAAACCACTTGAAGTTTATTTTCGAGACTCTAAGTTTGAAAGGCGATCTAGGAACCTCGCATTTGTGGCTGAAAATT